ATGTTGGCTGCAGAGCACAGAGGAATCCCTTGCTGTGAATTTCTCCCTCCTTACAGCAATCTCCCACTTCTTCCTCAAACTTTTGTCCTTAGGAAATCTTCAAAATGAAACAGGAGATCACCACAAAGAAATCTTTAATAAAACAGATAACAGAGCTCACTTTCTTCCTTCTTCTTTCTATTTTATTTCTTAACGTTTCTTAGAACCTCTCTCAAACAAAAGTTTTTCAATCTAATGCAAATCTGTTGATAATAGAGCAAAGTTGCTATTATGGTGAATGAGCTAGCTGTTAGCAAATGCTGTTTCGTTTTTGAAGTTGACCGATAGTCTTCCTCTTTGGCCTACAAATGACTCTACAGTCAAGTGTAATGTTGAAAAAAATGTTTAATCCTACCTGTGAAAAGTTATTCCTCTAGCCCTGCTCTCTGCTGTCCGCCTGTTGGCACAGGAATACGCCGCACAGTGCTCCGGCATCGCTGAATGACTGATGAATGAATATGATTGACCGGAGCGTATGGGAAGCTTGACCGGACCAAGATGGCGGCCGCATTTCTCGCCGCGCAGCACCCCCAGCGGGGTCTATCCTTTATTATGCCTATGCTAGACACGCCCACATTGTAGTATGGTCGCGATGCATCCTACAGGCATGCTACTGAACCGAAATGCACCGCGGGCTTCTTCTTCGTCCTCTTAAAAGTTGTAGAAGTGCATGTGATGCTAGTGCCACCAGCTGCTGCCTATTTAGATGCGTCACGAATGCAGGCTGGCCACAGCAGCGCGCACCATGTCAGAGCAGCAGCAGCAGGCGGGACCGCAGCAGTACAGATGTAAGTCTCATGTAACTTAACACACTGTCCTAAAAAATGTGTGGTTGTATCTCTTTGTCATGTCATGTTTCATATTTGCCCAAGTAATCATTTTATGAGCAAATATGTGGCGACATCATGGAGGTAAAGCTCACTTATTCCATCATCAAACTGCACAGCTGCAGTAATCAGGCAGATCTCATTGAACAAACGATCACCACGTGAGTGAATGAAGGCTAAAAGTAATGGAAAAGCTACGTTGTGAATTTCTAAAGCAGTGCAGGAATATAATACAGCAGCATCCATCACTTGCACAATTACCATTCGAAGAGTGTAAAACTATCTGCACGGGCGCAGTACCTACTCTCTGCCTGCGGGGGTCGTCTTTGCCCACCGCTCGTCTAGTGTGTCCGAATTCGGCCAACGTGTTTAGTATGTAGGAGTAGGATCTAGCAGTAGTATTTAGTATGCGAGCGGGCAATTCGGACGCATCAGGGATGTGAGGGCAACTGGTCGGTAGTCATTGAGGTCAGATGGAGTGGACTTCTTTGGGACAGGAACGAGACATGACGTCTTCCATAGCACTGGGACTCTCTCTTGACTCAGGCTCAGGTTGTAGAGTGTGTTGGATGACAGGAGACAGCTGGCTGGCGCAGGTCCTCAGGATCCTGGGGCTGATGCCATCAGGTCCTGCTGCCTTCCCCTGGTGGAACCTCTCCAGCTGTCTCCTAACCTGGCCCGTTCCTGGGAAGTATTCACTCCATACCACATCACGCGAGTTCCAACACACAAATTTACACAATAGAGGGTTTCCTGTACAATATTTCAGCCTATTTACACCATTGTGTTGCTATAAACTGCTATAAACACTGAAGACTTCTTTTTGCAGCTCATGTGTTATGAGCGCCACCCTGTGGTTACTTACTGTTAAATACCAGCTGCAGGATACTAAAAGTTTTAACAGTGAACAGACAGTTAAACTGGACCCACTTCAGATGTCGAAAGGTATCCAAAATTATTAATTAGTCACCAAGAACATTGTATAATTATAAAATAATGAATAAAGCAGTGAGAGAAAGCTAATATTTATGATATGAAGGTTTTGAGTCTGCTGGTTGATGGCCTTGTTTGCTTTTGTATGTCCTAAAGATGATTTACTGTTTAGGTTGTTTTATAACCATCTTAAATCCTCTCACAGGAGCCTTAAATGTGTTTAAAGTTCATCTGAAAACACCTGATGAAGCACAGGAGACAAGAAATCACTGTCAGGAAAACAAAAAGGGAGAAAGGAGCCACAGAGGTGATTAAACTGATGAGAGATCAATGGATTAAACTTTTAATCTGTGTTGTGTCTGTCTGGAATGAACTGGATTATCGGAGTGACCTGGGGTCCGTTTCACGTAGGTGGTTCAACAAACTCTGAGTTAAATCCTTAACTCTGAGTTGATCTACTCTGAGTTCGGAAACTCTGAGTTTCCGGTTTCACAACACCTGATTCGAGACGGTTTTAACAACTCCGAGTAGTTTGACCTGTGCTGCGTCCGAACTGCCCGTTCGGATACTACATGCTACTGCTACGTGCTACTGCTAGATCCTACTCCTACATACTAAAAACGTTGGCCCAATTCGGACACACTAGACGAGCGGTGGGGAAAGACGACCCCCGCAGGCAGAGAGTAGGTACTGCGCCCGTGCAGACAGTGGTAACTGAAGCTCCTCATCTGCGGGCCTGGCTGTAGTACTGCAGCTGTGCAGTTTAATGATGGAATAAGTGAGCTTTACCTCCATGATGTCGCCACATATTTGCTCATAAAATGATTACTTGGGCAAATATGACACCATGACATGACAAAGAGATACAACCGCACATTTTTTAGGACAGTGTGTGAAGTTACATGAAACTTACATCTGTACTGCTGCGGTCCCGCCTGCTGCTGCTCCGACATGGTGCGCGCTGCTGTGGCCAGCCGGCGTTCGCGACACTTTTAAATAGGCAGAGCAGCTGGTGGCGCTAGCATCACATGCGCTTCTACAACTTTTAAGAGGACGAAGAAGAAGCCCGCGGTGCATTTTGGGTCAGTAGCATGCCCGTAGGATGCACCGAGACCAACCTACAATGTGGGCGTGTCTAGCATCTGAAGTAGTATCTGAAGTAGCATGCTACTCGCTCCGGTGGCCAATTCGGACATGCTAGATACTACTTCGACTACTACTTCGACTACTACTTCGACTACTACTTGGCAATTCGGACGCAGCTCTGGAGTTAAGCACGTGCACGCCAGACATAAACAGCCAGCATCTGTGGAGCGCAGATTCAATGATCAACCAATGGAAACAGGGAGAAGGAGGGGGCAGCAGCAAGCCAACAGCGAATTACAGCACGTTTTTAAAAGAAAGTGCAATACAGCAGCAGCTGCAAAGGAGAGGGAGAGGGCTTGGGAGGAAATCGCTGCTCGCGTCAATGCGTAACTTTAAATCTAGTCTCGTGCAATCACAATGACAGACTGTTGCAGGGAAACTGCTTGAATCATTTTGATCATGTTTTACATTGTCAAGTAAGTATTAAGTGGCAGTTTGATCCCTTAGAAAATGCTCTTTTCACACTCAAAAATGAATTTTACTCTCTTATGATGTTCCGTTAAATGATTAGGAATATTAAACTAACTCTCAGTATGTATATGTACATATATTAAACTAACACACACTACACTCAATATTAGACTTTCACTCAGCAAACAGAAAGAGGGCAGATGCCAGAAAAACGGGTGGTGGCCCAGCAGCCCCACCTTTAGCGGAGGCAGAGGAGCTCCCCCCCCCCCCCTTAGACGATCGCAACCCCCACCCCGTAGCAGCGATCGTCGGACTGGTGTGTGTGTGTGTGTGTGTGTGTCTGTGGTGGGGGGGGATTTGCGATCGGACCGGCCGCGATCATCGAACGGGGGGGTGGGGGGCAGCTCCTCTGCCTCCGTTAAAGGTGGGGCTGCTGGACCACCACCCGTTTTTGTGTTAGTTTAATATTCCTAATCATTTAACGGAACATAATAAGAGAGTAAAAATTCTGTTTTGAGTGTGAAAAGAGCATTTTTTAAGGGCTCAAACTGCCACTTAATACTTACTTGACAATGTAAAACATGATCAAAATGAGAAAATGCCGATGTCTCACCTGAAACTCTGGGTTTACTGAGTTAAACCTGCTCCCGAGCAGGTTAGGTTCACGGAGTCTGTTACTGTGGTAACTGACCGCGAGGTTGAGTTACCTCTCTTTGTGAAACAGGTTAGAGTTACCCCTCTCTCCCTGGTTTAACTAACCCTCCTTTGTGAAACGGAAAACTCAGAGTTTCCCTGATTTCAGGGTTAACAAACTCGGAGTTTCCACTAAACCTGCTACGTGAAACGGACCCCTGGAGATGAACCACTGAGGTTAAGTTCATGTGTTTACATGAGGCAGTGTTTACACAGGGTCTTATCTCACGACTGGTTTGATCATTTAAAGTAACTTTCATTTCATAAAAAAATACTGAAATACACCACAGACCATTTAGATCAGGACCAGAGTACTGGACTGGTTTCAGGTCCAAATATAAGAGTAACATCATAGTATAAAGTTTTTCTCACCACACAAAAGTCATATTACGAGATTAAAGTCATATTGTAACAAAAATAAAATCACACGAAAGACATATTAGGAGAATGAAGTCCTCATGCTGTGCGTTTGCAAAAAATGATTAAATTTTTTAACCCCCCCCCCAATTTTTTTTTTTTTCACTGTGGCCCCTTTTACCTGCCTGCTATTTAAATGTACATAAAAATGCAGTATTCGACTGAAGCAACAACTTGAATGTTTAGTTTGCCTGAACTTTTACATTTGAAAGCAAATCCCTGTGTGTAGCTCATAGATTGTAGCACTTAGATGTAGTCAATGGTGTACTTTATTTTACAATTTTCAAACTGAGAGACAAACAAAGCAGAGGACCAAGTGTCTGATATCCTGAACATGTGTTTATTGATTAGAGGTTTATAAGTGCACACATGAACATTTTCATGGGTCAGAAGTGCAAACAGAACAGAACAGACATCTTGTCTCAGTAGCTTAAAGAGGAAGAGATGCGAAGGGAGGGAGGGCTGACTGGCCGTCTGGTCTGCATCTTCATGAGGGCCGGAATGAAACTCCCTTCTCCTCCTTTTCCTCCTCTATTACTTCTTTGTCTTATAGTCCTCCAGGTGTGCCAGGATCCAGCCGGAGGGACCCAGAATGGTCACAAACATGGCTGTCAGAGCGATCGCTTGCTCCTGAGGGACACACACACACAGAAAATGTTGGTTCAGTATCAGCGCAGGAGACTTTTGTGCTCCAAACAACCAGAACAAAAAAATAACATCAGTAATTAGGACGAAGAAAACATCCCTGAATGACTCAAGTGTTTTATATGGTCCAAACAAAGAGAAAGAAGCAGCTGTAAAGCAGCGTGTGTTTTTCTTTGTAATAAATTCCTGTCTTTAATCAGTGTACTCTTGTGGGTACGAAAGCAGCAATTTAAAGCTGTTTCTCTGTCTTTTTCTGTAAGGTCATCAGACACTAGATAACAATTTAAGCCTGTTAGAGACAAAAATATGAACTTATTGTAAAACCTTTGAACTCAAGGTTACACAGCACACATTACAGACCGTTTCAGTCTTTTCCATTTTTTTTTTAACCTAAGAACTATTTACATCCCAAGGAACGAACACAAAGTGAGCATAAATTTAAAAAATCCCATTGAAGTCTCCTCTTCTCTCTGTTTAACCAGGAAATTTAACATCTTACTGTAACACACACACACACACACACACACACACACACAAACACAGACACACACTGAAATGCTTCTCAGTGATGTTTTACTTTTTGGGTCAGGATGATGTATTTTAGACCTCGTCTTTTCTCCATATTTGGCCATAATTAGCTGAAGTTTGTAGTTTTCTTTGGCATGAAGTGCAGCAGCCAAAAAAAAAAAAAAACCTCTCTTTCACTGCAGCCTGTAAACATTCAATCTAAAAACAACACTCAGCTGGTCTGAACTTTGCTCCTCTTTTTTTAGGACTCAGAAATTCCTCTAATCATTTAACTTTAAGCAACTTCTCAACCACAATGATTTCCACATGACATCTATAAAGAGTTTTCTTCAGTAAGGAGTTGATGACTCTGAGGGTGGTATTGAACGCCCAGCACGAAGTGTCGGAGCTTAAAGCAAAAGCGCCATTGGTATTTTTCAGAGAAATGGTTACAGATAAAACAAAGCAGACTAGCACAACCAAGAGCGGCCCGACCAGTTCATTAACTTCACTTGTGTTGACTTTAGGAGTCAATTATGGAAAACCAAAACTGCACAATGCTTTTTTTACCCCTCCCCTCAAACTGCTCTCACTTTCACTTCATCATAAGCAGCTCAGAAGCTGCAGCTACTGCTAAGATTAGTGGAGTGCCACTGCAGGGAGAGGAGTAGGATGAAGCAAGAGGAGAGGGGAGAGCAGGGAGAGGAGTATGAGGAGGCAGGATAATGTTTATCTGTGTGGGTGTGAAAAGCAAAGGCGCTCGAGAGCGCTAACCAGCTTATGACTACTGGGCTAAAAAGTATGTCATCATTCTGAATCATGAAATTCCAGCTCAAGTCTTAACATTATAAATGACATTCAATAACACAGTGTAAAAATACAACTTTGAGACCCTGCTTGAGTTGGCTGAGTTAGGGGGCATGTCTTGTAGACTCTTGTTTGCATCTGGTGCATCCATTTGTGGCTGTGGATTTTCACACAGTGCCCAGGGTTTATTTAGATTAGGACAGTTTGGGTGCAGTTTGCCCTGGCTTGCATTTAGGGCTGGGCGATAAAACTATAACGCTATTGAAAATTAATTTCCCTCAATATGAATATAAAACATGGTCAATATGCTTTTTGATAGACAGCATTCTGCCATGTTTTGGTAGACTATACAAGTAGCCAGTGAAAAGGCGGGTTGCTCCGGGTCTGCTTCGCGCTGTACCAATCGTGCTGAATTAGAACCAAGTAGCAAACAACTGTGTAGTAGCAGGCTGCAGCTACACGCAACCATAGCACATTAACACGTGACGCTGACAGCACTGTCGGTGAAAAAAAAGAAAATGAGCGCTACCCCCAGCAAAAATGCAGATGAAGGCTCAACAGATGACAACATCGCCGACAACACTGGCACAAAAACATCGCTGCTGTGGAGATATTTAGTTTTTTGAGGCCGGACATGAAGAAGAGTAATGTGCACTGCAAGTTATGTTGAGTACATGTTCTCATTTTTTAAATCTTGATATATCGATATCGACTGATATGAAAAAAATACATCCTCATAAACTTTTTCCCATATTGCCCAGCCCTACCCAGAATGTATTTAGAATTTTAGATTAGGACAGTCTGGGTGCAGTTTGCCTTGGCTTGCAGTAAAATCAGACACCCTACTTGTTCAAGTCCCAGCCTGACCTGTTACTAAGTGTCTTCCCTGAGCTCTCTGCCTAGCTGACCCACCAGGACCACTGAAGACTCAGTTTTAGATGCTAGGATTTTTAGCTGTTATCTCTGTCTGAAGGTAAAAGCATAATGGAGCATAGTTTACCTTACTAAACACGAGTAAACCTGCAAAAATTGAAACTTTAAAATCGTGCTGCTTTTTCACGTATAGAAGCTATCCAAATTACTATACTGTACTATGTACTATACTGCTGCCACGCTCCAAACACGCATCCTGTGGGCAATGAAGAGCGCTGCCTAACAGAGCAGAGGCATGACGCTGACAGAATGCGATCAATGCAGATCCTGTAGGTTTTGGGCTTGAAGCAGGCACACGACTAAAGGTATCTTGGACACCACCACACATGTGCACACTGTATCCCATGTATTTTGTCTCTTTAGCCACCAAATCAATTCAAGCAAAACTGCCTTAAAAGTTATAACTTTAAAAATGTGGAGAGCTTTAAGGCTTAACGTATTGGCTTGGTGTGTTTTAAGTCAGAAATGAAATTATTTCTCCTTTGACAACCAAACCACCGCTACATCACTGTGCACCATTTTGCATCAAATGGGATTCAAATATGATCCAAGAACTGTGACTATGAGCCACCATCTATACGCTAATTATCCGGGAGCAGCTGATCAGACACATGGACAAGTGCAACACAAAAGCCTGCAGAGCAATATTTTGGAGAGCATCAACTACCATAAAACTAAAGTGAACCAGGAATCTGTTTGCAAGTGAGCAATCAAAATCACTGAATATCTCTATTTCTGAATGACTGTCCACCATGTTGACACCAGACCTTTTGCACATGCACTCCTATGTATTTCTTGACTTGTTCCAGTTTTATCCTTTGACACTATAAATAAAAAAATCTCGTATTTGACAGATTAAATACTGCAAAGCTGTCCTCTACCTCTAAGTCACAGTTTTAGACCACACTAAAGGTGCACTATGATATTTATTGAATTTAAAAAGTTGTAAAAATCAAGATCAAAAAGTACATCTCATGACATAAAGTTCATTTACAAATCAAGACACTCAAGTGCAAAACATCACGACTATAAAAACCTGGTGGACTGCAATTAACTACTGAAAATCTGTGATTAGTTGTATATAAAATTTCATCAATTTGCCAACCCAGTCCACATAACACAGCAATACACCAAATAAAAATACATTTCATTCATTTAAAACACAAAGAAATCCATTTATGTTGTCACAAACAGCCTCATATGCTGTGTGCTCTCTGGAATTATTAGGCTACTGAACAGAGACGCATTTGTTCTGTTTCTTTTAGACCATTTTGTGTCTCTGCTATCTAACGTTCAGTTTCTTTGTGGTTGTTAAGTGATCATGTGATCCGATTGTCGACAGGAAGTATGCAGAAGCAAGTCAAGATAACAATGTGCTGTTCCTTAATATGAATGTATTGGGTGTGCATGCAGCACACAATCCTCCATAATCACCGGCAGCTGCCCTCACAGTCCTGAAATGTTGTTTTGATTATGTGTCGGTCCTGTTTTAGTACAGGAGAAACTAGTTTTGTTGTATGACTTGTTTGGAAGAGAGCGGTTAAGGTGAACTCCACCTAAAAACATCTATAAATGACAAAAGTAAGATCTAGTCTCCACACCTGAGTTCTAGGTAAGCTGAAAACTATTATTGATATCTTGAATTTGCAGGAAAAAAAGCCCTGTTAACAATAAACCCTTTATTCTTTAAATGGGTCAGACATAAGCCATCTAGCTGTTTAATTTTAACCAAATAATATTCTAATTTGCTCTGACCTCTAAGCCATGTCCTATGTCCTTATATCTTAGCTGGAAAGTAGTCATATGGGTGACCGTCATCAGCATGAAGGTCGGATAGTTGGCACCCGATCAAAAGATAGTCATGCGTACACAAAACCAGACGACACAAGGTTCAACACACACTTGACCAATCACACACTCAAGCAAACAAGTGCTAAAATATCCAAATGTTAAATAATGTTAAGAATAGAAACAAAAGCAGTTGCAGGTGTTTCTGGATTACAGTCAGACAGTTCTAGATATTTCTATCTGAGCAGCCAGACTTGTGTACGTGTTCGAATAAGGCGGAATAATGGCGAGAAACTGGCGCACATGGAAAGTGTTAAAAATAAACGCATTTAATTCCCGGAAGAATCCGCATATTGATAAGAAAGTGGGTTACTAATCATGAAATATGAGTGTTAAGCATGAAAAGATAGACAGGCGCAGCGGTTTATAAAGTTTGGCGCAGTTGAGTGTTAAGTGAGGGTGCAGCAGGATAACGCACAGTCATTTGAGGCCACATAGGAACCTCATAGAGGTATGAGGGCTAACGGGACCACCTTTAAAGGCTGTTAATGGTGGATATGCGAGAAGTCTGCGGAGTCCTGCAAGATGAGGGGACCATACGGGGTCGTCTGAGGACACAGCGGAGGATATAGACTCACCCCTGCAGAGATGTTGTGTTTGGCGGGTTTGTACGTCAGGTTGGCCGCGGGCATCAGCCGGGTCCGGAGCGTGGTCCTCAGCAGCCTGGAGGCGGCGGGCAGAGACATACCAGCGGGGTAGAGAGACGCAGATAGAAGCACTGAAGTTGATAGGAATGATCCAGCCCTGTCCTTACTGTACGCTTTATCTGCGTGACGCGCGCAAAGTGTGCGTGGGTGAGTGTGTGTGCGCGTGTGTACGAGGGGGGGTCACGCTGACAGCCCTCGGGCGGTGTCGGAATTTAATTGGCCGTCTCACCTCCGGATATCTGACACCGTGACCACAGAGCGCGGAACGTGTCCTCATTTACCCCCGCGTGCACTTCTGTAAACATATTTGTGGTAGAGCTGCAGCAGCGACACCCACGCGCCTTACATGAACTATAATAGATACGGCGAGCGGATGAATACATAAAATACATGAAACACCTTAAATTATGTAGGGGAGACCGGGGCTTGTTGTCACACTTTTTACACACTCGTACATATTTTGTATTCATGTCATTTTTATATCCTGTGTCAGTGCAGAGTTATAAGCAATCAAATAGAGTGTGAACATGTGACATGTTGCCCCACCATTGGGTAAGTTGTCTCACTACATGGGGTAAGATGTCAGAGTGGATTTTGCAGCTTATAAAATAAGGACAAAATTATTGTTGTTCTCATTTTTTTTACTTGAAAGTGAATGTCAAAGTCAGGCACAGAAAATGTTTATTATTGAACTAGAAAAAGTCATTGAACAAATGTTAAAAAAAAAAAATTATGCAACATAGTCTGGAGTTTAGATGACTGTCTGACTGTATTTTGGCTGGGGTGAATGTTTTGCAGTACTGAGCCAAGGTAGTTGACATTAAAGTCCTTTATTGTAGTTCAGATTGATTTATTAGCTAGGGTCACCTGTCTGACTGCCCTCAGCATCACGTCACGTACTGCACTGCCATGTTCTCCTTTCCTTTAAACCACTATTTATTTCTGTAAAAATAAAATGACAACTGCTGATAAGCAGACTCTCTATGTTAATTTTAGTTCTTTTTAAACATATGACAACTAACTCCAAAATGACAGACATGTTGCCCCAAACTACCATGTTTGCTAATTCTAGCTCTAGTAGTTTAAAACAGAACAATGACTGAGGTATGACAAGATGCCTTAATCTCTCCTGTAACAAGTCCAAGTCCATGTATCACAGCAAGGATTTTAATCTGGAAGCTTATTTTAAAATATATTAAGGTTAATTGTCTTTACTTTGGGTTGTGTGAAATGGTCAATTGGCGCTCATCTCAGCTACAATGTGCTCTTCTCCTCTCAGACAGGACACGACTCCTGACCACATAAGAAAACTAGTTTTCCACTTTTTAGTTGCGCCCTCTGGTGGCAAAGATAATTGCAATGTAAAAACTTGCCCCATGTGACAACAAGCCCCGGTCTCCCCTATCTTTAGAAGCAATATTACATACACTATTGGTCAAAAGTTCTAGAACAACCCAATTTTTTAAGTTTTTTTAATTGAAATTCAAGCAGTTCAAGACCAACGAACAGCTTGAACTGCCAGAGGTAAGTGAAAATGGGTAAAGGTAACCAAACTGAAAAATAAGGTACATTTCAGAATTATACAAAAAGGCCTTTTTCAGGGAACAGGAAATGGGTGAACAACTTAAAGCAGTTCTGCAGCAATGGAGGCTGATCAAGCCTTCAGTGTTGGTGGTACCAATTCATACAGGTGACGATAGACGGCTCGCAGGCTGAGGCAGTCAAACCAAGAAAAAGAACGATTATTTGCCTCAGTGCTGGTCTCACATTTGGACTTATTCTGACAAAATGGTTGCTCCTATCATAAAAAAGCAGATTAGGTCATTGTATGGACTTCCTGAACACTTTGATATGATTTTGGTGTTTCCACAATAAATAGTTTGGACATAGATTTAAGGTAGGCTATAAACAGGATTCCCCTCTGCTTCTTTCAGAAAATCTTTGTATTAGTGTCAATGAGGAACAGAGAGAAACATTGCCGCTCAATATTTAAATTCTGTAAGCCTCTCTTCTTAGATAAACATCGTTAGAAACAGAACAAGTGTTTCTACAACTGTGGAAAGAAACATGTGCAGACTGTAATTTGTGGTTGTGAACAATGTAGAAAAATAACAGCACAATGATCCAGATCTGACCACATGTTTTGATATAATTCACCCTACAGCTCAGCAATGAATCAAAATTTCTCCGGAAAAGGAATAAGAAAAAATTCACAGTATAACAATTGTGCCTGGTTCGTATACTTTTGTATAGGGGCCGGTGCCTCGGTGCATTTGCCCCGTGGCCCGAATGATACATGAACACCTTGACAATTAAGACTAAATGTACTGATTTTTGCTTGAACTGATTATACATGAAAATAAATAAACAAAAACATTGAATCTTCTGGGTTACAGAGATGAGTCTGACAGTTGCCCGTGTTCAAATTTCTCAAATAAGTAGTGACAAGATCAGAGTCACAACAAGCCCTATCTGACTTTGTGACAAAGATTTGTGCCAGGTACCGCGTGGCCCTAGTGAAGAAGCTGAAACTAAATAAAAGATTTTAGCAGCAATTTTGAAATAAATGTTTGATTGTGAAACAACAAACCACTTTGAATCTTTTAATTTGAAAACATTGTCTGTTTATAAAAACCTCCAACCTATTAAAAAAAAAATCACAACACATCATCTCAACTCAGTGTTCAGTGTCTGATTCAAAAACCATAGGGGAGAGTGGGGTAAGTTGAGCCAAAGGGTAAGTTGAGCCACCCCCTGTTTTTAGGAAATGGTAACAGAAATTGATCATGTGACCAAATATTTAGGAGATGGGTATCGGTTCATGGAGTCTGTGAAGGTTAGAAGCACATGGGTGAAGGGGTTAGACATTTATTTCCCAACAAAAACATTTTTCACTCTTGAAAGTGAATTTAGTCTGTCACAAGTTTTATTAGAATTGTGTTCAGACCAAAAAAGATCATTTTAAATTTGTTTGATACATCAATTGTGGTATCTATGAGCTACAACATGAGGTCAAAACCTAGAATAAAAGTCCACCTTTTTAGCTTAGAGGAAGAATTAAGTCATAACAGTAGCTCTGGGGTAAGTTGAGGCATTTGGCCCCTTAATTATTGTACCAGTTGAATAGTGTATAATAGTTAAAAATACACATGAATGTGAAGGAGTGAGTGTTATTTAGGGAGTGAGAAGGTGAGGGAGGGCTGGGGTGGAGAGTGTGTGTGTGTGTGTGTGTGTGTGTGTGTGTGTGTGTGGGGGGGGGGGGCTCAACTTACCCCGCTCCTATGGTCAACTTACCCCATACACGGGGTAAGTAAAGCATTTTTTGGCATGCTATATTATCAGGACAGTTATGTTTACACTCATTCTGTTGGTTTGCAGGGATGCACAACATCTTGAAATATATGCAGATACACTAGTTAGAAACAAAACTATGTCTTGATGTAGTAATCTGAAATATGAAACATGGCTCATCTTACCCCACTCTCCCCTACACATAGAAATCATTGCATCAGCCAAAATGTTTACTATGAACATGATGACACACAACTTTAAGGTTTGACTGTGTTAAGCAACGTGACAACCGACCTCAGTCTTCCTGAGGTTCCACATGATATGGCAGTATAGACTTTTCATGTCACTCAAGGACATAGGGACATTAGGCAGTCTGAAGGGAAAAGGAAAACTATCCTAAAGCTGAACCTGCCTGCCTGATCCTCTCCCTCTAACTTTCAGTTTCATTTCTCGGTAACCCGGTCATGAGCTGTTTCATCACGGTTAAGGGGCGGTATTGTACTTCCCTGCTGTATCAACAACAGTTTAAAAGGCTGCCTGGTCGAGCTGACACTCAAAAAATGGCCTCGGTAGTCTCTGAATTTATTACCCAGACCCTGTGCGACAACAGGGGCTATCTGGACTTCAAGAGCCTGGAGGAGAAGATAAAACAGAGGTACACCGTTTCAGAGACGCTCCTCAGCAGCCTGCTCTTTGACGACGGTAAAATAGCGATTAAAGAAGGTAGACAGAGAGCTGCAGCAGGTCAGATAGTTAGTCAGGACAGTCTGATTGTGGCTAAAACTGCTCTACGACTCTGCCAGAAGAAACCTGGAGAGTGTCCATCGTGTGCTGGGCTTCACCTGTGCAGGTACTTGGTTAGTGGGGGATGCACGTTTGGGTAAGTATCTCGCTGTGGCCTGACCTTTTTTTTTCTGTGTTTGGGCGTGTACATACAGGTTCGTGTTTTTGATAAAGCAGTGGGTCAGTTTAATCATTACTTTATGTTCATTACGGAAACAGTGACTTACAGTATTTCTCCACAAAAGTGTGAGCAGAAGTCAGGCCTGCAGTTAAAGGAAACCCCTCTGAGTGGGAGTGTTCCCCACAATGATCTGGGTTTTGAAATCTGATATCTAGAATTGTCCAGATCATTTCCCTGTGTTACCGGGCAACCAAGAATCTATTCAAAGTATCAGGCCTGTAAAGTTTTCTCTAAGTGTGAAAACAGGTGCGGCTCAGTTTTGATATAAAGTTCCTTTATCATAACCCACAGACTGTGGAAATTTTGTGCTGGACTTTGGGCACCTTGAATCACTTTAAGACATGAACTTCAAAAACAACTGGAGGCCATCATTAATTATCCACATGAGAACACATTTCACATAGGCTACAAGTCTAGATTATGCAAGTCTCTTTCAGTTTCCTCCTTATTGAGCTGCACTTGTTCCTTTTGGGCTTCAAACTGAAATTCTTAATATCAGCAGAGAGCTTCTGCAGGTACAAATAGAGTAAACTTAATTTAAGACTTTTATTTTGAGGGTCAAAAAACAAATTCTCTTCAACTGCCAGGAGTTGCCACTGGAAGGCAACTCCTGGCAGGTTTTGAACAGGTCGAGGGCGGGGAGTTTGACAAAACACGGTCAAGCATTTTCTTGTAAAGTGACTTAAGGAGAATGGTCTTTCCAATTTTCATGTTTAAATCACCAACTTTACATGATGTTACAGCCGGAATGAGATGGCGACCATCTTTTAAATGGTCGCCGCCTTGAAATTTCAAGAAGCTTGGGGCATTTTCTTGTTGAGCAACTTATGAAGACTATCCATACAAATCTTCATGCCTATATCACCAACTTAACAAGGACATCACCTAATCATTCCACCTAGGTGGCAGCCATCTTGAAAAATGGCCACCATCTTAAAATTTCAAATGGCTGGGACACTTTCCTGGTAAAGTGACCCATGAGGAATGCTCATGCCAATTTTCATGCTTGTATCACCAACTGAACGATTATGTCACTTATCTGCTTCACTATAGTTCCTTGTGTTGTGGTTCCATAGCTGTTAAAGTTGGGCTGCTTAAAATGTTGCTCAGTTACCTTTCAAAATGAAGAATAAGAAATTAGAACTGACTGCACCTGAGAAATAAGGAAATATAATTTTTAATGACACAAGGGGCTGAATGAAAAAGACATCAACCAAACTGAAGAAAACAAAACACAAAGCAAACAAAGCGGGATATGGTATGTGCTTTGGCAGTGTTAAAGGACATGCTAGGTGTAAAGAAAGAGAGCTGCAGTCATTTGTTGCTTCAGCTCTTAACACCAACAACAAAACAAAACAAAACAAGACAAAAACATTTTAACTGAACCATGAAAGAAACTTTTTTTTTTGATTCACAATAAATTTTTCGATGTCATTTTGTGACAAACTGAGTGAGATCTATGTCTATGATAACTTAATCTATAATCTATGATAACTTTTGTAGCACATTCTATCAGGGATATGTTTGTGTTATCATTGAGTTACAGTTCACAACAAAGACAAACATAGTTAAAGCAAACACATAGTCTTCGGTTTTACTTACTTTTATCAGGTTTCAGGATTTGATTGTTCCTTACCTTTGTTCATTCTTTGTTTAGCCCACCATGTGGTCCTCCAGTTAAAAAGGGGTTGGCTCTGTAGTTCCTGGATTTATAAAAAATTGGTGATGTCAGAGCTGACATCACAGGCTTAGACCAGCTGTGGGATTTTTCCTTTTGTGAAATGTTTTTCTTTGTTCATACTTAGCATTTTTTGGGAGTGTAAGTAAATGATGTATTTGATTTGAGTATAGTTTAGTTGAGCTCAGTACAGACAGCTTAGGTAGGAGTTTTATTTGATTTCTTTGACTGAAGAGAGATCTTAAGCTCCCCTTCAGGTACATTGGTACACTCTCTGGCAGGTGGGTTGCTGATTGAGCAGCCTATAAAAACAGTGGAGATAGTTGCTCCCAAGGAGGAAGGTGTGCCCTAGTTTGATCTCTTTTGTGAGTCTTTTTTTTTTGTTGTTGTTGTTGTTTTAATAGAGCCTGTATGTATTGACCTCTCTGTAAATAAACTAAAAAAAAAAAAATCCTCACCTCTGGGAAATCTGAAGTCTATTAATTTGCCTTCCTACCACCTTCCTGGACGCTTGAACCACTTAACACACTTTTGAAGTGCTGAATCATCTTCATCTGTGAAAGCTAGCTCATTTGCACTCTGCTCCTCAGTCATTTCTCTACGTAACAGCTCAAAGGTCCTCTGCTATTGATTTAAAATACTGCAATTAAATTATTTTTTTGTGCATGATATCAGTATTTATTTAAAAAATTTTTAATATTTTATGTTGAGATGGCCTTAATTAAAACGCCTGCAGAGATTGTGGTTTTAATCCACTCAATCCAGCTCAGTTTACATGATATGATCATGAGTTTGTAGGCTATTTTTTGTGGATAATGTTATGAAATTAAGTTGTTGAAATGGTATATAATATTATGTTCCATTTTTTTCAGACACAAGTGTACAAAAAACCACAGTTTAGCCTTTCAACACAATGCAGAGCTTCTGAAGACCCACGGTTGTCAAAATTTGACGGACAAACAGCTGTTCCAGCTCTTACTGCAGAATGATCCTTTCCTGCTTCCAGAGGTGAGTCAAACTAGAAACAGTAATGACACCTCATGCAGTTATGGAGAAAAACTTTCACATATATTAACGAACTTACATGTTTTTTCACACTCTGTTGACCCTGGTCTTCCTGCTTTGGCACCTCTCTAGATCTGCCCACATTACAATAAGGGTAATGGTGTGCACGGCTCCTGTAAATTTGCTGCCTCCTGCACCAAGCTCCACATCTGCCAGCACTTTTTCCAGGGTGACTGTAAGTTTGGATCTTCTTGTAAGAGAGCCCATGACGTAGGTGGATGTGACATGAAGATGTTTCGAGGCCTCAGTCAGGAGAATGTTACAAACCTCAATGAGACCTACAGAAATAAGTGCATCATCACCGCTCAACAGGAGAAACCACCTGCTAGGGTTGTAGGTAAATAATGAAGAGTTTTTTTGTACATTTTAAGAGAGCAGTAATTTAAAGTCTACTTTACCAGATAGATTTGATATGTTTGTGTTTTCTGCAGTGGTGCCAGGGGTGAGAATGCTCCCTCAGCAGCCCTCCCAAAGTAAACCAGGACGCTCCGCTGCAAGTAACCCCATAAGCGAAGCTGACAGGAATGAAATCTGCCTCTACTTCATCCGCAGGGACTGCAGATACAAAGGTGACTTGCTAACCGGAGATTTCAACTGCTGTCTCGAACAATACAGATTAAAAGGGAGGAAGCTTGTTCATAGGCTTACAGGTTTTAGCTTTTAGTCTTCATCTGGGTCATTATAAAATATATGACCAAAAACATCTTGTCTGTATGCCCTAACCCTAACCCATTATTGAAGTAGCTTTATATGTAGAGACGTGGATGCATTTGATTGGATGTTTTGGACTTTTTTCTGTTTAAACTTACCCTATTTAAAAGCAATCTAGTGGTTGTGTATTTTATAATGACTCTGATTAAGAGTGAAAACTGAAATGTGTCAGTCCATGAATTAGGTTATTCATATATCACACATGTTGCTGCAGTTTGAACCCTTTTAAAAACTGAATCATTTCTTGAAAGCAGGTAAAGTTTTGCTGAAATCCTCTAAACTACTTTGACAACAAAGAATACAAAGTTCTTTCTATAAAACAAGAGTACTAACATGCTGTGAAAGAATTAAGTATTCGTTATGATGATGAGTTAAATGTAAGAGGCAAGTACAAAAACAACAGTAACGGTCAGAGATGGACAAAATGGATGGATTTTTTTTTGTGAAAGATCTCGCAGCAACATGTTGGACAAGCTTTCAACAGGAGTTTTGAATGAAATAAGTGTAGAAATAATACATTTAGAAATAAACTGATGTGCATTTTCCAAAAAAAAAAAAGAAAGTTGTATGTGAAGAGAAGTTATCTTTATTTTTGCATCTGTCTTTTTTAGAGAAGTGTGCTCGTGTCCACTGGCCCCTTCCTTACAGATGGCAAGTGTTAGAGAGCGACGGCGTGACCTGGAAGGACCTGCCTGACATGGAGGGCATTGAAAAGGCCTACTGTGATCCAGGACGGGACAAGAGCAGCATGGACCAGCCGACACAGACATTAGGCATTTTCAGATTTCTGTCACTTCAAAGGTGTGTATGAAGAAACAAACAAAAGGGATGCGCAGATGAGTCCTTATCTAAAACATACAGTATTTCTGGCCATTTGCAAGAATAAGTCTCTAGAAACTTCCATTTCCGGGACTTACTGAGTGCAGTGGAAAGTTTGGAAGAACAAGTTTTTGGTTTCTCTTTTGCAGCAGTGAGCTACTGTGCCTTTGCTTATCTCAAGGCCAGTAGAGATTTTGTGTAATCACACCTTCCATACTCACATCCGAAGAATAGTTTTTCTTCTCTGATACAGATTTCCTCTCACTCTCTTTACTTTCAGTAACACACCACCACAGCAGCAGTCAGCTGACTTCACCATGATGACATGGGGAGGGTCTCCTATCCGTCGCCTCTCCACTGCCTCCTCTGTCTCAAAGCCTCCTCACTTCATTCTCACTACTCAGTGGCTGTGGTACTGGAAGGATGAAAACCAGGAGTGGCAGGAGTTTGGACAGGTTGGTGCGAATTTTGTTGTCTTCATTTTTTTCTTTTATCAATCAGATTTTATTTTATTTTCAGAATTTACATATAACCATACATCATTTTAATTCAATAAAGTAGAAAATGACAAGAAAAGGATAAAACATGAGGGAAAAAAGGAAAACAAAACAACAAGAAGGGTAAACAAAGAAAAACCCCACCAACAACAACACAACAGTGTGTCATCAGTTAAAGAAATATGTGTCCTTATATTTATAAAAAAAAGTATTTTTTTATCATTATCTCAGTCTGGGACCCCCTAAACCACCATCTCCCCTATGTATGGTTTCATTTAGACCTTTAGGCAAGTAATCCATAAGGGGCCGCCATGTGTCCATAAAGATATCATCATTCCCTTTTAATTTGGCACTTAGCCTTTCCAACGGTGAAACTCGAACTCTGAGTCACAGTGGGGGGTTGTTGTCTTCATTTTTAAATTTGAATCTTCCAGGATTTAAGTTTTCCTTGCAACCTTCACCCAATATTTTTATATGACATTGATGTTTTTTGATCTTACAAGGTTCAAATTCTACTGTAACTCATAGAAAATAACAGTAACTGTTGACCAAGTGTCACAGCCCTCCCCTGGGATCTGTTTGCTACAGGCTAGCTCCCTTGACTTCAGATTCGGTCTTTATGCCACTTGTGACTTGTATTCTATTTTTGACTTTAACTCTCCCTTTTTTTTGCTCTTCAGGGCGCTACTGACGAATCAGCCTCTCTCACCTCTCAGACTCTGGAGAATGTGTACCTGGCAGACAGGGATACAGAGATCCCATTTAGTGCTGGCCAACATAAGTACGTCCTCCACTTTAAAGGTGACCCGGGAACCCATCAGATGTACCAGCAGAACATCAAATACAAAACCAAGAGAGAGGTCAGACGGAGGCCTAGCTTTGTGTCTGCACAGGACGTGGAGCTGAAGCTAAAGAGGTGTTTTTATTTAGAAACAGAAACAGATTTCGCAGTCTTGCTGCAATTTTAGCTGCTGCTTTTGGATTTCTCTTGATGTAAAGTGACTTCAGTCAGACTTTTCTCATGTTTGTCTGCATTTAGCCTGTCATCACATGGCTCCAGCACCTCCACAGCTGAAAACATCCCATCCCACTGGGACAAGAACGCCATACCAGACTTGGGATATAAGGTACCTCTTTAGCATTGATCATTACATAAAATGCTAGTGAACAGAATTGATTAAAAATGGTGCAAAGACAACTTATCAAATACTACACTCATTTTGAATTTGATGCCAACAATACGCGTGTAAAAAGTAGGTTCAGAGACAAGCTCACTATCTGAAGCATCAGCACTTGTTTTACTCGTCTTTGACTCTACCTTTTACATTTGAGAACCCAGGAGACAAGTTTCTGGAATTACAAAGTAAAATGTTGTCCCAGTCTTGCCTCACAGAGGATTCTAGAAGGCAGGCAAGCAGGACTCTTCTTCTGAATTGTCAGACAACAGTCCAGTTTTCTTCTTCTCCCCTGTCCACCTTAACTGAGGAGAGGTCTCTGGTGTTTCTGGCTCATGTTTCTTTCTGGTTTCCTCTTTGCATGATTAAATTTTAACCTCATTTGGCAGTCTCTCACAGAGTGATGAACCTCTGAGAGACTCAGCCTCTCTGAATGTCTTTTTTATACCCAGTCATGTTCCTAACCTGTTGGAAATTCACCTCATTAGTTGAAGATGTTTCTCCAGCTGTTTGTTAGTATTACCCAACTTTTCACCTGTTTGGTTGTTCTTCTATAACAACTTTTCACCTGTTTGGTTGTCCCTGTCCCAACTTTTTTGGCATCAATTTTGAGAGAAGCATATAGTTTCCATTAATTTCCAGTTTTAGCATTTGATTTGTTGTCATTGGACTGTATAAAATCTAGTTTCAAAAATTTGCAAACAATAAAAAAGTTGTATCAACAATTTGCTCAGGGTCCCAACTTTTTTGGAGTTGGTGCTGTTGATGTAGCGAATGTTACCCCAGAAAGTGGCTGTTCAAAGGTTGGCCAAGGGGTGTTTGTACAAATATATACTATCCTGCTATTGGAAATTTCTGAATTCATCAGCTTTTGTCAGATTAAAAATATAGCTCCTAGGAGTGACAGACAGTTTGTTTGCTAACTCACATACAGATGTCTGTTTATGTAGATGAATGAAAAGCTAATTCATAGCTATGTGTTAACCAAAGCTAAGGCTTGCTGTATTGCTATTGTTTAACATTTTTAAGTCTAACAAACGTTTCACAAACCAATTCTCTTGGTTCACATCAAATTTCCTGCAATAAGCTACAGAAATAAAATGCTAACCTCCAAAATGTTTTTTTATACTAAATATTGAGAATATGTTTGTACTGTACATCTCATACCTGTTCTTCTGCCCTGTAATCTTTTCTTCCAGTTCGTGCCTCTCTCAGAATCTACGGAGTACAATATGATTAAAAAATTGTTTAAGAACACAATGCCCTCGAGTAAAATTCACAAAATCCAAAGGATCCAGAACCCTTCCCTGTGGGGTGTCTTTCACTGGTAAGAGAAAGAACTTACATTTGACTGAATTGAGTAAAAAAATGTCAGTGTGAAAACCAATCTGGGGCACCGAGAAAGGGATTATTTGCCTGGTCTTCAGAGATATCATCTGATTTTGCAGCTCTTCTCCCCTAATAGAGCAATGTAGTTCGATTTCAACTTGAAAAATCCAAATCAAACCAATGACTTGCTTTACAATCTCTACAAAAAAATAATGAAATTATTTTTAATCCATCAATTTGTATACTTATGTAATGAAAAATGTTAATAAAAAAGTAAAGGACAAAAAATAAATCGCTGTGGTTCTGATAATATAAAAGTAGAGGACCAAAGGACTGATCCCTGAGCATCTCCATTTTTGTATGACCTTTTGCATTTTTGAGCCTTTTTCTTAGCTGTTTTTTTTTCACGTTTATTAAATAAACAAAAAGTCATATTGATGCTGTTTTACAAAATCAAAAAGCAAATAAAACCATCAAAATCAAGTCTGATTACCAAAGTTAGGGAGTAGATGGTGTAGCATGTTGGGGAATGGGGATCTAGATACAGTATTTTGCTTAGGAGCTGATGAAAAAAAAAAAAAACATAAAAAAATGGAGCTTATGGTGTCAGTTCATCCAAAATAAAATAAAATACGCTGTAAAATGTAAGCACATGAATGATAAGTTAAACCTGTGTGTTCAGGCAAAAAGAGCAGATGAAAAAGAGGAACGGAGGGAAAACTGTGAACCAGCAGTACTTGTTCCATGGGACTGATGAGTCCCTGATTGAGGCGATCTGTGATCAGAACTTTGACTGGAGGATGTGTGGTGTCCATGGGACGGCCTACGGCAAAGGTAAAGAGGAACGGATTTGAAGTATAATGGCTGTTTAATAAATACAATAAATATAAAGTATCAAATGCTGAAAATCTGTTCTGATACTGCTGGAGCCATTAAGTTTTCTGGTCCAGGGTATATCAGACTCTATAAAGCAGCGCACTTTACCATGTTCTCACCATATTTTCTGATTTTCAGCTGAAACTTTCTTTTGATTTTTTTAGGGAGCTACTTTGCCAAAAATGCCTCCTATTCAGACAGATATACCCGTGCCAACAGCCACCAGACGAGGACCATGTTTGTTGCTCTGGTCCTAGTGGGGGAGCACACTCGTGGGAGCAGCAGCTATGTCAGACCTCCAGCAAAACGAGATGGCAAAACCCTCTACGACAGCTGTGTGGACCGTGAGAACGACCCGAGCATCTATGTTGTCTTTGAGAAGCAGCAGATCTATCCTGAGTATCTCATCACTTACTCATGAAAGCACAATGATGGGTGGAGAGTTTGGCCCTATTGGGGCACTCTGCAGGACACTCCTTGTCCTTTTTTTTCTGTTTTACCATGGTGGAAGGAATATTCCAAGTTGAGAGAAAAAATGTAGAATTAAAATGCTGGTTTAAAAGCCTTTATTTAGCAAAGAAGAAAAAAACTATGAAAAAAAACAAAAACAAAACAAAGCAAAAAAAACAACAACTACATAGCATATTAAACTTATTTTAAGTAGGAATGCATGATGTGATTTTTTTGAAACAATACCAATAACTGCATTTGCACTTTGTAAAAACACATTTGCACCACAAGTGGCAGAAATCTAGTCCTCTGTGACCTTTAAAAACAAGATGGAAATGTTTGTCCCCATCAATGTTTATGATTGTGGGGCTTCTATTTTGAAAGACTCGTAAAAGAATGCTGCAGGCCGTGGCCCATTACATATTTTTACACTGAGAGAGGCTTATAGTGAGCTTAATCTGTGCTCGCTCTGCCTTTCCTGCCTCTCACCATAAGGAACAAAAAAATCACACTGTTTCAATTCACGACACGAAACTAATTGCAGGCAAAGATTTCATCTCTGGGGGTTCAATAAAAAGCAAAAATCGCCCCAAAAAATTGTGAAAAAAAAAGGAAAAAAAGATTTTGCCTCTGCATTCAAACTAACATTCCACGAACCCACGAGTTGGGCTACTCATTCAGTGGTCCACATGGGGACCTTTTATTTGATTACCTTTGTTCTGCATGTATTTGGATCTGAACGCACCTGCACCAGATCCAAAGCACCATACTAAAACAGCTCAGCAGAGACTCAGGATACTAATACCTCTCAAAGAGATGAGACATGAAGTGAATTAATTTCTTTGTGCAAATGCACACTGTGGTTATTACTGCTTTATATTTCTTCAATAAATCTTTGTCAGGATAACTACCTTTCAGGTGACTTTACAGATGAGTTAAAACTTTCTGCAGACTGTATTTTGTTGCTCTGTACTTGTGACATGTGCACTGACAATAAAGTTGAATTCTATTCTATTCTAAAACTTAAGTACTTTTCCCTCCTTTCAAGAAGTGAAACATTGTCCATGCGGGTGACTCGAGGTTGTTTTTTCTTTCACTTTTTGTAATTGTTATTTACACATTATCCTCTTAAAGTCTATCAATGTAATCAATACAAATAAACAAAACAAAAAAAAAGACAACAACTGATGGTGACGAGTTTATGTTCAAAATTGGCATTTAATTTTGCTGGTTGTAAAAGGTTGAATAGACCGTGACATCTTCGTGGTCTTAAGAGCATCCACATCTAACTCACCCTGCTCATGCACAAACTTGACCTACTAGTTAGGATTTATTCCAGCATGAAATTTACACAAGTCCAAGTGTAAAAGATTTTGTTGACGCTGATGCTGGCTCAGTGAACATCCTATACAAAGTGAACATTTAAACACAGGATCCAGGATTCAGTTAGAAGGTTTATTTTCGCTTGTCTTTAGTGGATGATTTTTTCTGTCCAGACAATCAAAGAAATAGAAACAAGATGTATCAACAAAAAAATTTCAATAAAGGGGGACTTATAAAGTCAAATGAATTTGCAAATTTGTTAACTTAGCTTACGTCATAGATGCATCCACTTCACGGCTTTAAATCATCATTACATTTGCGTTTAGTTTGACAGGAATCTAATGAAATAATATTTGAGAATAAACCATATTAGAAATAATACAAATCAGGAGAATTGAACAAAATTTAGTAAGGCTTTATCCATTTTTAACTCACATTCAGACTCCCTTTGTTCTGTGCTGATCTTTGGTAGGGGTGCAAAAGGCAGAGAAGGCCTGAGGGCTGGCTTTTATTATATTGGGGGTGTGGCTTGGCCTTGAGTGACAGGGGAGTCAGTCATGGCGATGGTGAGGTGAGAACTTGGGATTTAACACCAAGTGTGGATATTAAACTTATTATGATACAGATAGGAAAGACACAACTGCAAACTAATGAGGAATATACATTTATTAAACCGTAAACAGCAAAAAAAAACATTGTAAATAAATCCAACAAGCACAATCAATCCTCTGCTATGAATCACTCTGATCAAATACATTCAAAATTCATATTTCTTCAGGGCTGCTGTTCTCAAGCATAAATCCCAAATATGGTACAGATTGAGATTATTTTTTCAACTGGCATGACAAAAACAGTAAATGTTTCTCTTTAGAATTTCTGAATCAGATCATCCAAAGAAAAGTGAGAAGCAGCTTTCACTCCAACCAGATGTGAGCAGTTTTTCCTGATTTCAGCACATTCAATCAACACAGATGTAAATAATCTGGATTAAAAGTATATAAAGGATTTCTGTTCCTTCCCGTACACTTCGTCTTTAACTCTTTACATAGCAGCTTTCAGTAGAGTGCAGTGAGACGTCTGAAACGTCACAAGGTTTCAGTAAATTCAGATTAAATCGGCAACATGGTCTTCGCAAAACTGAAACTCAGAAATCTGTAACTGCGGTTTGTACATTAACAGTTGATTAATCATCAGTCATGTAGAGAGATTAATGGATGAATGAAGAACACAGCAGACCGTCTACTTTGGTGAAGGAATGTGCAAACAGGTGTGATCTTCATTTTTGTAGTCGCCAGGTTAACCAGGTCTGTGTTCATTTGACTTCACTGCATGAATTTAGTCTTTGTGAAATGAAATAAAAGATCATTCAAAAGTTACAAAGTTAAAAACACAAGTTAAAAGGACACTGAATTGATAGTGCAGAGAAGAAAAGGAGGTAACCTGGTTAAAGTGAGATTTTAATCGGGATTATTTTCATCCATTAGGATGAATTTTTTCCAAATACCCTTTTGTGAGACTCTTTCAAACCACAGCAAAAATAAAGGTTATTGCTTTAATGCAGTTAAGAGGCTGATAGCTGCTCTTTTCAATGAAGCAAAATATTATCTCTTTGTTTTTCATCGCTTATTTCAGACTGAGAGTTCAGTCCCTTCTTCACCATTTCTTCTTTCAAGTTTCACAAAAATGCCGTTTTTTGGTCCAAGAGTGCTTGTAGACTTCAGTTCCAGAGGAACCTGCAGGAAGGAAACATGTTGAGTTTACTTCAAACAACTTCAAAGTGTTTCATGAAAGACTGACATTAACTCTACAGCGACACAAGTTCATCAAAGTGTCCTGGATACTGAAACCAAATGGCATCAAGCAAAGCAGCCAAAATAAATAAATAAAGATATTTTGATGATTTGTGAACACAAACTAATCCAAACTCACCTTAGTCTCAGAGCAGGCCACGATCCTGAACCTGTGGAACAGACGCACCAGAGCCATCTTGATTTCCAGCTGAGCAAGTCTCATCCCCACACAGTTACGAGGACCGGCCCCAAACGGGAGGTAGACGAATGGATGTCTGCTGGCCTTGGCCTCTGGAGTGAACCTGGAGAGAAATAACTGGTTTCAATCTTGAGACATTTGCAGCTGAAGTGATGGAAACCATCGTTAGCTTTAATAAAATACATTGAGGAGAGCTTCAGAGTGGTCTTTAAAATAGCTGCCAAAGTGGCCACAGTCCAGGTAAGACTGACACACACACACACACACACACACACACACACACACACACACACACTGCAGATGCTTCAGTTCTGATTTAATTGTGCTAAATTAAAACCCTCTCACCGCTCAGGGATGAACTTCTCGGGCTCGGGCCAGTGCTCGGGGTCGTAGTGAAGGAAGCCAGCTGGGATCTCGATGGTCGCTCCTTTTGGCAGAAACTGTCCGTTCACCACGCAGTCGTGGTCCGTCTCTCGTGCAAACCTACATTGTCAAAACATCTTTTGTCCTTTTTTGCATTGAAATTTATGTCTTTTGTTTTTGATAAACTTTGTGATAAGAGCTTTTGAATCTGAAAAGAAAGCGCACATGACCGTCATTCGATGGGTCATATTTACCTGAATCCAGGAGGGTAGAGACGTAGGGCTTCACTGATGACCATGTCCAAATATTTCAGCTCCTGGACATTGGAGTAATCTGGTGACTCCTAAAAAAATCACAGAACAGGAGATATATTCAGCATAATGAAGAAAAAGTATGTTAGTGCAGGTCTATGTGTGATGAATTTCTCTGTCAAAGAATGAATTCCTGACAAATTAAATCTGTGGACGCATATTTCTAACAGACGAAACATTAAAAAAAAACTTGAACAGAAAACGAAACAATATTATCCCACAAAGAGTCTTAATATTAGGGTAAAAAAGAAATAATTGTCAGGTAAAGACTGTTTATGTGAAATAGAAACTAAAAACTGAAATTAAACATCAAATTTTTGGAGCAAAAAGTGAACATAAATTATAGAGTCAAAATTACCAGGAAAATTTTTACCACACCAAAACTACAGTATCAAAAGTACTGAGATGAGTCACAATTAGTATATATATGCATCTGTTATAAAATAATTAAAAAATAATTTTAAAAAAAAATCAAATTTGTCACATTCAAAGTCAAAATCACAAAACAAATTTTTAACTGACTATAAAAGAATCCATTAATGGGATGAAAAGTCAAAACAAAAGCAAATAAAGTGAAAACAATGAGATACAATATTAGAAACAAAGCCAAAATGAAAAGTGTATGACAAACAAAGGAGGTTAAAAAAAAAAGAAAACAACCAGACAAAATTCAAATTGATGAAAATAGAGTCAAAACAAAATAATAAATGTGCAAGTAGAGGAGAGGGTTATAATCATGAGAGAAAGGATTAAATAAGATAAAAATCAAAGATAATAAAAGTCATGAAGATGTCACTAAAAATCTTAATCATCAAAAAAAGTCAAAACTTTAGGATGAAATAAACATTCTGATGTTTAAGTGACTGCATGACTACAGGATACAAAATCAAAAGTTAAAAAGCTGCGATAAAAAGGTAAATGTCAAAACATTGAGCAAAAAATGTCTCAAAATTAAAAACACAACTTTATTTTGACAAGACCCGCAGACAATGACTGAAAGAGGACATGTTCAAATTAAACATTACAAATACAGAGTTTTAAGATCAAATCTTTTTAATTTTGGGAAGGGTTTAAAAACCAACATCATCCTCTCTCATTATTTTGACTCACCAAAACAGAACTTCAACCTTTATTCTCACATTTTATACGTAAACATCACGACTCAGTCTCCATCTCTCCTTTTTAGATAACTAAAGTTGAATTTCATAGAAAACTCCTGTAAGCAGCAGCAGAAACTGTGATCATGAACACACTCACATGTCTGGAGAAGAAGTCGTCCACCTCCTGCTGCACTTTGCTCTGACAGTCTGGGTGGAGAGCCAGCAGGTAGCAGGTGAAGGCCAATGTGTTGCTGCTGGTCTCGTATCCAGCCAGGAGGAAGACAAACGCCTGGCCCACAATCTCATCCTCGGTCATCATCTTTTTCTGATGACGTCTGCCGGGGGACTCCTGAGAGTCCTGATTGGAGGCTGTCGCTCTGTGGTCGAGCTCGTCTGTGTGGTTCCCCGTGTCAAACTGCTCCAGAGACACGCCCTCCCTGTTGGTTCGTGCGTCCAACATCAGCTGGAGAAAGTCCCGACGCCTCTTAATTAGATCAGATTAGACACAAATGAATGCAAATCAACCATCAGCCAGTCACTTTATGTTCGCAGAAATAAAAGAGAAACTGTTCCGAGTGTATGCTGTGAAACCCACCTGCTCTGGAGGCTGCTCCTCTCTCTGCTCGATGATCTTCTGGATGATGTTGATGAAGAAATTGTTCATTTTGTCTCGCCGTTTATTGGGGATGAGTCCCACCAGAGGAGCCGCGAGGAACGGGAAAGCAACTGGACACAAGAGTAACAGTTCAGAGAAGGACTTTTGATGGTTGGAAAAGTTAATAGTAGCAGCAGAACTTTTTGAAGTTAAGTACTAGCAACCTCATCTTTCTGTACAGGCTATTTTATACGCAGAAATCTGAGAAAAAGAATCTGGAGATAAGCCTGTAGGGTTGAATCTTTACATCCCAAACCAAACAAATACTGTGGACTCACTGAAGAACATCATGATGGGCCGAAAGAAGGAGAAGGTGAAGAACATCTGTGCATGACTGACAAACGGGTCGTCTGGGTTGTTCTGAGAGTCCACCTGAGTCCCAAAGGCCACACTGGCAATAACGTCCATGGTGAAGCAGCCAAAACACCTGCAGGGATGTGGGAATTCATGAGTAAGGAGAGCAAAAACAGAACCTGACTCTGTTAGACTGTCTTCATCATGTGTGCGATTACTTGTGGATGTCAAAGGCTTCTCCTGACTCGCTGTAGACGTTTAAATTGTTCATCAGGGCATCGATGGCCGTGTTGATCAAAGGGACCATCTGCAAGAAACACAGGAAACACTTTTTTTAAGCTGCTGAATCTTTGTAAGAATAAGACGTACCAACTCTTCAAGTATAAACGGATTTAAAGCATCCAGAACCAGGTTCAGGTGTCTCTAAAGTGACCAACATTTTCATTTTTAATGTTTGGCTTTACCCCCTGAATCCACCGTCTCAGAGTAGGTCTGAACCAAAGCAGCTGACATTTTAACTTTTCACAGTAGTTTAGGCTGAGTGATGCGTTTAACTTTTTAGGAAACACATGCACAAAGCAAAATCAACAGAGATAAGAAATTTGTTCTGTCCACAAGAGGCGCCAAAGTTTAAACAAACAGAAAGTTCCTTCTTGGAGCTGAAACTTCTCTGTTTTTTCTTTGGGAAACTCGACCAGCAGAAGAACTTTTTTAAGTCACCAATTCTTCTTAATTTCACATGGTTCACAATCTATCTGCTTTTGCGCATCTCACCTCTTTCATCTTGGCGGCGCTAAATGACGGTGTCAGGATGCTCCGCACTCTCTTCCAGTGTTCGTTCCTCAACATGAGCAGACAGTCGGTCATGGGTTTGGTGGCGAAGCGAAAAGCCTGCACAGAACAGACATCTGTTATCATCACCACGTGGTTTTAACTGATGTGTGAATTCAGAATAACCCGACAGCACAGGTGTATGTTACTGTCAATGCTCTCACCATTCTGTTGGGGAAGCTGCTGAACTCTCTGACCATCACCTGTCTGAGCATGTCGGGGTCTGCGATCACTATGACCGGTCTGCGGCCCAGATAATACCTGAGGTACATCAAGAAGAGTCTCAATTTCACCAGAAACTACTTTAATGTTCAGAGTTTTTGTTAACAGCTTGGAATAACTGCAATAATTCATGTTGAAGATGTTGATTTTTAATGTGGTGAATGTAGCCAGTAGTTTTCTGCTCACCCGCAGACTCTGCCATGAGTCTTAATGATTTCTTTCATAGGCTCAAAGAAGCCCTGTGAAGATCAGAGGACAACATGAGGCTGAAAATAACAAATGTTTTTGCAATTTTGCAAACAAGGTGCTGATTTGTATTCAAACAAAGGAAGTCATCTTTTAATCTGGTAAATATTAACTGATTTCTAAAAAACGTAGTCAAACATGCATTTTGTTTGATTTTCTTGCAGGTAAAGACAAACAACATGATTGTTACATTCAGCTGTGAGGAGGCGTTTGAAGTTTAAAGCACGTTTTAATGCAAACTAACAGGCTGAAGGGATCCATGCACCAGAACCCCATGAGCTTGACTGTTTTTTACCAGGATATTACATCATCTTTGATTACACAGTCACCTGACTGGTGAAAAGTTAATACTGATAGATTTCCTGGAAAGCAAAGCTGGCATGTATCTGCACCATCTGTGTCGTCTGTGTGAGTTTTTTCTCCCTCTACACTAATGTAGACCCATACACTCCTGACTTACACACAACCAGGTTATTTTCCTCAATAAAAAACAAGTGTGAAGAAAACTGAACACTGAGAATCTGAAATATTTCTCTGTTCAGATCTTTTGTGGCAGAAATTCCAGATTTCGTAGTTTTTACTCTTACTCTGCAGGACTCCATGTCTACAGAGATTATTTTATGATCCTTCATGTTCAGCTTCTTAAAACACTTTTTTACGCATCTAGAAGTTCTGCAGCTTTGCAATCACATCAGTTATATCCAGTATAAGGCTGAAGAAAATATGTGATTTAAGAAAAATAGATGTGTATTGTTTTTTGTGTCATAGGGATTATCTAAGAATTTATAATTGATAAATGATTGTTTACTTTTTCAAAGGTCCATCACTGAGAATACTGCAAATTTGCAACCTAATCTGGTTGAATTTAGACACAGTTAAACATAAGATAAGGTTAGAGGAGAGGGGTTGAATTTGAAATATGGGGAATGTCTCACCTGTCGAAACATGAATACGTTTCCATAAAAAGGCACCGGCTTTGGATGTTTGATTCCATATCGAGAGAGGAATGAAAATGGGTAAATGGCGTACCTGGCAGACAGAGAGCAGAGCTGTGCTGGTTAATGATGAACTATAAGAACAGGGACAAACACACAGACCAATTAAGTGTGAGGGGAAATACTGCTTCAGTTCTCCAAGCAGGTGGCTGTAGGTTCAATTACAGATTGTAGCTTTTAGCTGCATGTCACTTCCTACTCTGTTTCTAGTCCACTGCTCTATCCTTGAACCCTTTGCTCTCAAAAAAGATAAAAGCCCAACAAATAAGATTTACAAATAGGTGAGAACTATGATATGAATGTGTTTTTTTTTTGATCATTTGAACATTTTTTAAATCAAATTTTTAAGATCCAGAAAGTTTCAAGATGTCTAATGTTTGCCTTTGCCAACCATCCATTCCCTGTATTTTTCACCTTTAAGCTAAAATTCTTTTAATTTGTAGGCTCACATGTTGCTCTCTTGCTCCCTCTATCCCCCAAAAAGAGCAAAATTAGAGTATGCAAATTCAAGAAAATTTAGCTTTAAGATATCAAAATACAACAAACGAAGGAAAATAAAAAAATCCACTCGTCCAAACATGTAAATCTGCAAACATCAGCACTGCTTCTATGTAGTTCACAGCATATTTGAAAGGTTGGGTTTGACTTCCAAACACTCAAACCTAGAGAAAGGCTAAATGATGCAAAAACTCACCAATAAAGAAGACCCAGAAAGATGAGGAACAGGCTGAGAGTCACTGGTAATCCACTGGCTTTAATGTGGAATAAATCTAGGAGGTCAGACACAGACTCCATGGTGGTAACGCTTTATCAGTTCCCTCCGCTGCCATCAGGTTATAAAGCTCTCTGGATAAAAGGAGAACAGAAACAGGTTGTTGGGTCATTGTTAAAGCTGCTGAATGTGTGTTTAACACGTGATGGTCATGAGTTACATACGCAAATCATGCAACAAAAACACATTTGTTTCTGTCTGCAGATGGTCTCATAAACTGTTCGAAGAGTTACAACACATCTTTTTCATTACTCTGTGAACTTTGCTCTAATGAAGTTTTAGTCTGCAGTGGGTCAGACGGTACCATGGCAACGTGTTAATTATTGGTTTGGGGTCGAGTCAGTCTCAAAGTGAATTGAGGTATTTAGGAAAAATATGAAATTTAAATTATAATGACTTTGATCAATTAGATATTTTTCAACAAAGAGAAAAAAAAATCTTCAATAAAAATTAAATGTTATGGTTGAGTTTATTGTTTTATACGAGACTGATTTCAGTCCTTTTATCTGCGTCTTACAGGTCACTCACCTTTAACCTGCATTATAAATATTCAGGTCCATGCCCATCCTTTTTATTTATGGTCAAATATGCTGTGTTTGAGGAATTTATACACTAAAAGACTGACAATAAAAGAGCACTAAAAAGAACGTAAAACATACAAAGAAAAAGCTGAACTGAAGTTGAAACCTAACTTTTTAAACCACGAAAAAACATTGTGTAACTAAGGTCAATTGCGATTCTAGGACTACGAATTACCACATAGTATCGCAGCATATCAATGTATTTTCACTTCGATAGATTTTAATCTAACTGTTATCATTATGACAGCAGAAAAATCCCTCTGTTATGTTTTATATCTTAGTATTTTTCATAAACTCACCTTTCCTCCGCGCATCATACCGCTCCTCTCTTTCGTTGTTTACATGCGCTCTTCTTCATCTGAGTGACAGTTCGCAGCACAAATACGGGATCAACTCCACACCGCCACCTAGTGTTCAGCGTTTATATAGTCCTCCATGAGGTCACTGCGGTAAAAAGCAGCCCTATGCAAAATACAAATGGTGAAACATGAGCCACAGTTCCTCTCCTCAGGTCAAAAAAGAAAAAAAAAAATCTTCGCAGTGTGAATATCTTTTCTTTGTAATAAAAAATATACGTGTTTATTTTTAGCTGCTACCCAAATAAATAGATACATCAATAAATCGTAATGACAATCTCTTTTTTTTTTGCAAAAAAAGCCTTTCCCCCAGCAGTCAATGGGTACCAATTGATCTAAGGATGGCAGTTGGCCTAATATTCATCCGGAGATTTTTATTCAAACAGTTTGAGTGCATGTTTGCAAAAGGAAAAATCATATTTAGGGTATAAAGCTAAAACCATTGCAGTGGGAATGCTTGCATTGCCATAATGATCAAATTGCACAAACTGAAGAAAAAATACATATTGTACAGACTTGTGCAAAGTATTGTGTTTTATTGAAATATTTTTACAGCCCTGACCAGTGAGACCAGAAACAGCTTCTTGTTCAATCCTGCAAATTTTTGCTTCACTATTAATCTGATCAGACTCTGCCTTTCCAGAGACTCTTTCATACTCTTTTACTGAGATTATAGGGACTTGGAAACCATTCAGAGCTCTGCAGCATCTATTTATCATCCCTTGGTCATTCATCTTAAACACCTCCAACTTCCCTTAACTACTTATATCCTTAGGGATGAAACAGCACATAACTGCATAATCATTATCATTTATCAACTTTGGAAAAAATACATTCACAGTTTTCTCTGTATAACCTTCTCCACTACCACAACACTTAAGACAAATTTCTGTGCTCCTTTTCCAAACGAGGCAAATTTAGCCAAAGATCAAAAGTAAAAACATGCAGAGTTTGATTTGACAGCCGTTATTTTATTGACCAGGTTCAAATGTATGAGTGTAATTCATTCTGTAAACGTAAAGTAAGACAACCTGCACATGGAAACAAAGCCTTGGTCCTTTCACATTCAGCACCATGTTTAAAAGAGCCACAGCTCAATATTTCTGCTCTTTTCAGGTGTAGAAAAACTAATAAATCATGAGATCTTGACTTTAAAACCACTGCCCAACCCAAAATCCACGTCAGAGTCTCGTGGTATTTGGCTCTTTCTCTCTCTCTCTTGACACCAGCATTTGTTCTGCTGTCCTTGTCTCTGTTTTCAGTCTGTTTTTCTTCCATCACTGCGTCTGTGAGAGGAGCTGCTCTCTCCGCTCTGCACTAATAAAGAATCGTAGTTTCCTCGGCAGCAGCCTAATCTCTACGGGCATGGCCTCATACGCTTCATTGTCGATGTTGTAAAATCCTCCAGTATCCTGCGGGGGTTAAGCAGAGCAACATAGTTTTTATCTCTTTTGAGTGACTCATGAAAAAAAAAAAAAAAACAAGTATCTTAGGGTTCCTCACCTCTGGGAGCTGCAGCTGACAGGCGCTGGCTTCCACTTTTGTGGAGCCTTTAGTGAACAAAGCTGGGTCCTCTTCTTTTTTATTTCTGTAATAGAGAAAATTCAGTTTTCTTGAATTTACATGACAATAAACTGAATGAACAACATTGCTATGGCACTGTTCTCTTCAGCAGACTCATAAAAAATATAAAAGCGACTAACCCGACGGTGATGAACTCGCTCACAGTGAAGTCATCAGGTTCTGCACAGATTATCAGGGAATCATGAAGCCGCTGCAAACGTCAAAAAGGAAAACAATCCCCATTGAATCTCACATTAATCAGGTAGGTCAAAATTTTAAAAGACAAACAGAAAGCTTTATTAAATGCAGGGAAGTGCATCACAATGCTATTACAGCATCACTGTAATAGCATTACAGTCCAGTCCATGTAAACACACTCAGTAGATAACGATTGCACTTAAGTTTGATGAGACGCATCTTCTTAAGATGCTTGTTGTCCCCCCACTAAAGCTTAATGGCCCACCCCCAATGCTGCTGCAATGGTGAAAAATCATTCACAAGGAACTAGGAGCAGTTTCGACATGGTTAGGACACGAGGCCCTTCTAATATTGACTCCTCCAAGGTGGATAATCTTAATGACTTTCTATTTGGTGAATAACTAGAAGAGACCTCAGAGAAAAGAGTCCAGTCACTGTGAATCCAATCCGCTTCAAACTGTTTGTTTTACCAGAGGGGACTCTTAGCGTACCAAACTATAAGAGCACCGCAGTGCACAGTGTGTTCAGTTTTTATCAGTGTTTACATCTATGTTGACCCGTTTGTCTGCTTCTTGCTCTTTTCTTTTCCATCACTTTTTCACTCTTTATGTTCAATTTTTTCTTTTCACAAGCTGCCGTAACAACTTCATTCCTCCCATCGAGAACCGATAAATCTCTTTTTTTTGGACTGACCCTCTGCACCGGGTTTTTGTTCTGTGTTTGAACGAACAGCTCCAAGGTCGACAGCTGCTGTTCCTCCCACTTCTCTGGCTCTTCCACTTTTGGAGGCTCTGAATGAACAAACAAAACAACATTTCTCTGATGTAGCTCTGCTATGCTGGGATCCATAGATCAACACTTTGACTCACAGTTTTACCTTCGACTGGAGGGTTCCAGTAGTTCTTCAGCCTGCGGACAATACGGTAGAGCAGGTTGGGTCTGGGGGGTTTCTGAGGGGGCTGGTCTGGAGGCCGGAGGGTTGGGGCTGTGTAGGATATGGAGACGCTTCGGACCAGGGGCCACTCCTGAGAGATATGAACACAGTTTAAGAAGATGACAAACTAGAAAGATGATAGAAACATTAAAAGTACAGGAATAGCCCTGTGACATCTGCAAAGTGTTTAGTGTTTCAACTACAGCCAAGCAAAGTTTGTTTCTCAGTTCAAAAATGTTCAAAATTAAATCAAATGCATGTACGAGCATAAGTGGCAAAAGTTAAAAATTAAGTCACTAGAGCCCCCCACATCTCCCCCTTACCATTTAGAAACAGCTGCAGAAACTATGACTAAAAGTTTACAGCCTTACCCGGAGAGTACTAAACCAATGTGCTGCGTTTTTCTTCAGTGGTCCAAGATACCAATATCTGAGGAGAGAATCAGTGAATTTTTTGTGAGGGGAATTATTTCATGATTTATCCAGAGCTATCTGAGAGATCAAATGCTGAATCTTACTTGCTGATTGTTGCAGCCACATCTCTAAAAGCGCCCCATCGAAGTCCCATCAGAGCGAAGACTGGCTGATCTTTCTCCCCCTATGAAACAAAAACAAATGCTGTCATATGAAATCTCACTGGACTGAATAGATATGATGATTATCTTTCACAACAGTGTAATTTAATGGTGCATTTGGAGGAAACTTGCATGTTTAAAAGTTTAAAATATATATATATATCTTAAGTGATCTGGAATTAATCTGGAAACAAATACTGGCATGAGAAGGAGCAAAGAGGGTTCACAGATTTGTAAAAGGATCAGTTTCTCACTTTGATTTGAAGTACATCCAAAGGTACGGTTTCTCCCTTCAGGATGGACAGAGTCGCTGATAAAATGTCTCTGAAAATGATCAAAAAAGCGACAACTTAATCAGACATGTCCAACACAGTTTATCAGAGGATGTTTTTCCAATCCTCAGGGCTCCTTTGGGCACATTTGGACACCAGTATGTTATCATTTTTTCATTGGCAGTACAATTGGCATGCTATTTGGCAGAGAGAAGCTTCTTTTAAGATATATTTTGAGATTTTAACTCAATCTATTACCACAGGCTTCTGCATGATTGAAATATGATAATCACACAAATCTTCTTCAGGTGCAAAACGGCTATGTTTAAAATCAGTGCATCAAAAATAAATAAATAAAGTTGCATGTATTTTTGCAAATCCCACACATCTATAATGTTGTTTTTTCCTCTATCATTTTTTTTTAATGGTAAATCTTTTTAAATGTTTTTTGTTCTACTAAAATACAATCACTGAAATACGGCCACAAACTGATCCATAAATGTTCATATTCTTTTTTCAAAATGTACAAACAGAACCGAAGACGGTGAAGAAATATTCAATCAAGCACAACACTGAAGGACTGTTTAAGTTTTCCGGGATACTCACTTGACTTTGTTATCAGTGAGGTGATGAAGACTTGGACTCAGAGAGTTGTGAGAGCCGAGAGGAATGAATCCGATTGGAGTGCTGCTGAATGTGTCCTGTAGTAATAAAAGATCCACCAGTGAACAGCTGATAAAAGTTTTGGATCATGTTCTTCTTCTTGTGGGTCTGAAGAGTAAAACAATCAAGTGACTCTTACTTGATCTGGCCTTCTCAGCAGACCTGTGATGACCTCCTGCAGCGTACCATCTCCTCCAGCAACGATCAGCATGTCTGTCGGCTCCATGAACTCCATCAGTTTTTTCCCCTGGCCCTCATAATCAGTCTGTAGAGGAACGTCACGAATTCAAGTATTAGGAGGACATTTTTAACAAATGTAACATTGATAGGTAACATTAAATATGAACACACCTTCACTATTGTAACTTCCACACCAGCCAGGTGTAAAATAGGAGCAGCATTCTTCTCAAATAGGTTGTTTGCTTTCCTGGAATAGAAAGGAATTTGGAGTTACTCTGATAAAACCCGAGTCTGGAGTCTTAACAAAACTGTGGGAGGTTTCTGTACCCGCTACACGCTGCAGGGTTTAAGATCACTGTTGCTTTCCTCAGCCTCTCCTGTGGGTCCATCAGCTGACGCCCAAACTCCTGAGAGAGAAGACAGTGGGTTTATATTTATTAAGGATTTGTTTAAATAAAGAGCCTTTGAACGAACTTTTGAGGCAGTTTTTATTCCATATGCACAAAACTTGAACCTGTAACAGTGAACTCTCTCTGAAATTGGCATTCATACTGCCTTCATATGTTGTTTACTTATGTTGGTGTGTTTGACCCAGTTGTAGGTCCCAGGATGTTGTTTTTTTTTTAACTGAAACATCAGGAGTAAAATGATTCTCACCCTTGCAGCGACACAAGCCTCTCTGCGCAGGACGTTATCACTAAAAGAAAAAAAAAGGGTTAAAATCAAGTCTGTGATCTGTTCATGTACCTGTCCCATCAGCTCAGGAGCTCACCTGTGTTTCCCGTACAGCCAGTAGCCTCCGTATGAAGCCACACACACCGCAAACGTGGACTTCTTCCAGTGATTCCTCAGAGTCCGGAACACTTTCACAACCCGAGCCATGGCTAACAACCAAAACCGGACCCAGGACCTCAACACGAAACTCTAACACAAACGTTTCACGGTCAAAAATTACACATTTTCATCCCAGCGGTCACGGGTCTACAGCTGTCAGAGGAGTGGGGCCATGCTGGTGCAACTGCAAAACAGTTCGGGGAAACAAGAGGCGGAACCAAGCTGCCCAATTTAGTAAAAAAACAAGCATTTTTTGGCAGAAAATTATTAAAGAATCGGGTATTTGATTATGAAATCCAAACAAACCGTAAATAATAAAATTCATATGCATATCAACATTATTCACACATTTAATCTACATCAACCGCTCGCCTTCTTCTCATCTGAATCCTGCAATGTAATTGTCTATACTCGGTTTTATACTGTTCATACTAATATAAAATATGTATATGTTTGATGTAATTAAAAAGTCATTTAACAAAGCGATGTTTCATTAATAAACCTGGCTTACAGTTAACGATTAAAATCCATTTTTATTCATGTCTTTGGCACTTAAGTAAACTACAACTCCCAACAAGGAAGGCGGTACCAACCGTCGAAGGACCTCGCCTGAAAATAACTAAAGATAATCATCGTAATGTTAAACTCCTCCACTTGTTTCTTAAACAGTTTACACGGTAATCCTCTATTTGATTGATAAAATCTGAATCAAACATTTTAAAAAGTTTATATATTTTTTTATTTCAGACCGGCACGAGCGCAGACTCTCCTGTCCGAGCTTCAGTGGATCATGGCGGCACAGATGGCGGTAAATTCGGGTATGAGTCACATTTCTGTATTTTCTTAATTTAAACGATGTTCATATGGATTACCTGTGTCAGTATACCGCAGAGAAACAAAAGAAAAACATGTCCACTGTACCTGCTGTATCGTCGAGTCTTTATTTGAGCAGACGGTGGTCATGAACTGAAGTACAGGCGTTCATGCTAGGCTAACAGGCCGAGTCTGCATGTAAATGTCAGGGCTGCTAATGTGGATCATTGATGGTCTCACGTGGGTTTATCAAATATCTTTTAAGTGTTTGTGTTTTTAAAATAAAAGTCATGTTATGCCTCGAAGACAGTTTGAAGAAAAATGTGATAAGTCAACAGATAACTTCACCGATGAGAATTGAAACTGAAACTATCAGGAAAGCAGAGGAATATTTTATTAATTTTAATATTATTAAAGTAAGTTAAGTGTTTATCCCCGGAGGTCAGGTCATGAAACAGATAAACTCAGGCATACTCTACACAGTAAATACTGTCTGTTTACCCGTGAGGTGGAGCAGACCTGTTTACTTGGTCCTACTTGTTGTGGTGTAGTTCTCCTGTTGGTCTGTCATACGGTGATCAATAAAAACGTTATTGCCAAACCCTGAAACTGAAAAACTCAGCATTTCAGCAAAGAAAAAAAAAAGATTGTTTTTAATTCTATGCATGCAAGAAAGATGTGACCGAGACAAGTGAGTGAGAGTAAAAAATGAGATTCAGAGGCTGAGTCTCAAGTTCAAAACCTCTCTGAACAAAGTAAGTGAGTGGATTTCATCATCTTCAGTACACAACATCATTAAAAGATTCAGAGAATCTGGAGAAATCTCTGAACTAAAGGGACAAGGACCAAATCCAAGACTGAATGGTCCTGGTCTTCATGTAAAGTACATCTCAGCAGTAAACCTCTCCCTGTTCAAACTATTTTATAAATATATTACTGGCATCAAAATTAAATTCAAAATGTTAAGTAAAAAAATCAATTTTCCAATTTTAACGTTCTGCATATGTCTGTAGATACAGACTGGAAAAGATAGGCAAACCATCAAAATCTATGTTATCAACATTTTACCCACTGTCTCTTCTTTTGTGGTTACAGGGTTGTAAAATTAAAGGAAATTTGTATGATATTAGTGATCCCACCTCTATTTTATTAATGGTTCAACATCAATTCAGTTTTCCTTTTGTATGAAACGATTCATTGATATGACATTGTTAGAACTTATACGTGTAGTTATTGCTGACATCAAATATCAGTTTTTTTATTTAACATGATACAGCTCTATCAAAAATGTGCCTTTATATTCACTCACACCACTCAACTCTTCGCTTGTGCCCAGTTTACCTTTTCTGCGATTATTCAGATATCATAATACATCATCATATGATGGTCTTGAATCTTATCACTTAACCTTAAAAGTGATGTTTTGTGATATCATCATTATTGTGGGCCATTGTATGTTGAGACATCCCTTGTCTCTCATCTCTGATTATTTACATCTGATAATACATTCTTTTTCTTTCTTAAAAGTTATTTCACATGCAGTATTTGTCAGATTATGAATAGAGAAGAAATTTGTCCAAAATGTAAAGCCAGTAAAATAATTGGAATGTAAATAACCGCTTTGTGGAGTAGTGGTGAGACCTGCAGAAAAGTTCAAATATTTCATGTATGAACCTAGGAGCCAGTCTGTGGGGGCCGCTGAAGGAGTTGTGGGAGACGGTGGATGGAGCAGTGTTGAGGAAACAGCCGGAGATTTTCCACCTTTTGGACCTGCAGCTTAAGAAACACAAAGCCAACTTCCTCTCACTCTTCAAAAACCCGGTGAGATGCTGTGCAAATTGACCCAACTGCTTTTTTTCATATTTGAATGCAGCTTTCTCAGCGCAGAAGTATTTGTTATACAATGTGGTTCCTAAAACATAAATATTTATATAATCTGGTATTATTATTTTAGCCAAAGAGTGCAGAGCAAAGAGAAAAGGTGCGTAAAGCCAGCACAGAAGGAATCGCCATCCAAGGTCAGCAGGGATCACGTCTTCTCCCAGAGCAGCTCCTGAAGGAGGCCTTCATCCTCAGTGATTTGTTTGACATTGGAGAATTGGCAGCTTTGGAGCTCCTTCTGGCAGGTAAGGTGGACACAAACAAGTGACTCGCGAGCAGACGTTGGTGCGTTAGAGATAAAACTCTTACAGCAGCTGATTTTTTGCTGATTTTCCCCAGTAAAATAAACACTTGGACACAAAGCGTTGAACATGCAGTGGTTAAGATACTGTCATTTTGTCTCCAGGTGAGCAGCAGCAGCCCCATTTTCCAGGTCTGACACGCGGCCTTGTAGCTGTGCTCCTCTACTGGGATGGAAAGCTTTGTGTGGCACACTCTCTGCGCACACTCATCCAGTCACGGCAGGGCAAAACCTTCACCCTGGACCTGAGGTAACAGAGCTGTCTGTGAAGCACCAGCACACATACTTTCAAATATAGTGACATGAGTTCATCCTCTTCTTCTACCTGTATTTTTCCATCATTGACCTGCTCTGTTGTCGGTTTTCTCACTCAGCGGAGAGCTGGTAGCTTTGACGACACGTTTCACAGACGAGCTGATGAGCCAGGGTCTGACCAAACGCATCCTGACCTTAGTCTCAGAGATAAGTGTGACCCGGGAGTTTGAGAAGCTGCAGAAGGAGCGAGGCCTGGGCAACGAGAAGCACAGGAAAGAGGTTGGGATGAAGTAACCAAAGTGGAGATAGAGTCAAGATAGAGACACACAAATATAACTGTTTTTTTATTTTTTATTTACAGGTTTCTGACCTCATCAAAGAATGCAGACAGGCTCTTGCAGACAGCCTGTTTTTATGGACCTGCCAATCACCGCTGACTAAAGATGACACTCTGGCTCTTATTGGCTACCTGGAGACAGTCACAGCTCAAGCTGACGGCTCACTGGACAGTGTGAACCTGGCTCTGGTTATGGCCCTGCTGTACTGCTTAGATGTCAGCTTCATAGAACAGGGAACAGAGGACAGAGAAGGTAAAAACACATACCGTAAAATACATGAAAAAGCTGTTGACTTTGTCTGTACTGGAGTGTTGTGAGCTTCACTGTTTGGTCTTTGGTGAGTGAAGTTTTGTGTCTGTGTTGTGTTGTTTTAGATCTGCTCCAGGCTCTCCCGTTGCTGACGGAGAGGCAGTACGTGTCTGCAGTTCACAGTCGTCTGATGGACGGTCAAACATGGAAGCTTCCAGGCCTGCAGGCTGTGTGTAAACTGGCCTGGGCTCTTACTCTGAGGGTCCTGTCTCAGCTCCCACAGGGATCTGGTAATTTCCTTTTCATTTCACATGCATCACATTTGTCTTTCCTCGGCAGACTAATATAATGTCCTGAAGGTTGTTACTCAAACTAATGCAGAGCGTATTTTTCTGTGTGTTTTTTGCAGCCCTGGTTGAGTTCACGGAGGCAGACGAGGTTCTCGCCGACCAGGCACTGAAGGGGGATGTCTTCCTGTTTATGAAAGAGGGCGTGCTGGGATGTGAGAGTTTTGCCCAGGAAGAGTTTTACATCAGACGTCTCCATTCACTCATCACAGACTTCCTCGCACTCATGCCAATGAAGGTGAGAGAGGCCAGAGTAACAGGCTGACTTGGACAGAAACTGTGTTTGACGTTAGTGTCAGCAAATCATATTATTCTTCATGTTTGATATCCTTTTCCCTTTGGAGTTTTTAATAAGATTTTTCACAAGATCAGTTTAATGAAGAATTTAGTGATAGAAAAGTCCAACTTCTGAAAAATATGTTCATCTAAAAACACAATAATTTGTTGAAACTCCTTTATCAAATTTCTCCTCGGGGTTCAATAAAGTTCTTCTTATCTTAACATGAATCATTGGATCAGTGTGGCGTAGTTTTTAAAAACTGATGAACTAAAACTTCCTCTGCCATGTCCTTTCTTTAAGATGCTCCTTTTTAAATCTGTGATAAAATGATAGATGCTGCTCTGTGCAGATTTAGTTAATGTGTCACAAACTTTGCTGTCTCCTGTCTTTTCTTTGCAGGTGAAACAGCTCCGTAACCGTGCTGATGAGGATGCACGTCTGGTGCACATGTCTCTGCAGATGGACAGTGAGCTTCCATCATCAGTGCGCAAAGACTTAGACCACCTTATGATCCTCGTGAGTCCTCTGCCCGCTACATGCACACATACGTAAACACATCAGCTAAGATCACGGGGAGTCGAACTGAGAATATGATCCAAATTTCAGATATTGATGCAGAAAAAAAGCTTGATAAAGTTTTGAGAGGAAAAGTAGCGCAGACGCTGAGTGTTCCTGCTTTTGACATTTTAGTTTCTGCTTTCTTTTCCAGATTGGAGAGTTTTACAGTAAGGATCCTTTTGGGCTGGAGTTGGGCCTAGAGTTCTGGTGTCCCACAGAGTCTCTTCAGCACACGTCCTTGCAGGGATCCTATCTGGGGATGGCACTGCAGAGACCTCCACATAAACAGGTAAGAGCTGTTTTCTCAGTTTCACTCTTGTTGTAGAAAAGCTTAATGTGTAAAACTCTGAAATCTCAGAGATGGGTTACTCTAGTTTTGGAGAACCTCCCTTTGACTTCTTTCCCCCGCTGTGATTTGTTGCAGGTGGTTTTATCCAAGTTTGTGCGTCAGATGGGAGACCTCCTGCCCTCCACCCTCTACATCTCCTATCTGCGTATGCTGAAAGGCCTTGCCAACGGTCCTCAGTGTGCCCACTACTGCTTCACCCTTCTTAAAACCAACGGAGCGACACACAGTAAGACAGACAGCTCTAATAACACAGGGGGCTGTTTAATCTCTGCGACTCTCTGTACACACAGTTAGGGACGGCTGTGGCTCAGCATTAGAGTCGGTCATCTCCCAATTGGAGGGTTGGGGGTTCGATCCCAGGGCTGTCATTTGACCCCACCAGCCCCTGCTGGCTGCACCCAGCAGTGTGTGAATAGAGTTAGTTAAAAAACAGATGAGCTCTATACAAAGAAGCTTCTGCCATCAGTGTGTGAATGTGGTGTGAAGAGGTGAATGTGACATGTGATGTAAATTGGCAGCGGATAGTGCGATATAAACATTGTCCAACTACCATTTAAACATAGAAAAATTCCAGATGAGTCAAGACACTTTTCTTCTAATGGTTGCAAATAATTTAAAACCGATATTTTTAAAAAGAGCAAAGAATTTGAAACTTCTAAACAACAACAAATGTCTAAAAAATGGTTGTTAGATGAACAACCAAACAGTTAAAGTTGTGTAAGTTTCTTGATAGTAGATGTACCTCCATGTAGGGGTGTCTCGATACAACTTTTTAACTTCAGATACAATACCGATATTGTCGTCTTCAGTATTGACTGATACAGACATAGATCCAATATTGGCACAGATTTGTGCATGGCAAGTTTTGCACTCAGCTGCAACGTCTTTCTTGGACTTGAACAAAAAAATTCTGCCACACGGCCGGCATCACTCCTACTCCTTGCTACTTTGTTAGTACTTTTGTACACACTGTTGTCGTGATTACGTGGGCTTTGCTGCAAGATAGAGGTGCTGGAGCGGAGTCTGGAATGGACTGCTTGAACCAGAGTGCTGATATCAGAGATTTTAAGATGCATGCCGATATAATCCGATATTCATTTTTTTGACATGGACCGATATCCAATATCAATAATGGATCGCGACATCCCTACTTCTCTGTCGTTAATTTTGTATTGGAAATATCACACTATTAAAGTCTCCTGATATAGTTTTACATGACTCAGCAAACTCACTTTGCGTTGATGTGAACAGGTGATAACATCCAGGGAGTGTCCGGCAGCCCTGTGTCTTGGGAACACTTTTTTCACTCCCTGATGCTCTACCACGAGAACCTGCGGAGAGACTTTCCAAATCCAGACGCCGCGCAGTACCGCCACCCACCACTGAGGGGCATCACTCAAAGAGAGCTGGAGGGACTCACCTCCTTCCTGCAGCTGCTTACAACCATCATCACATGGGTATACCATTTTCGATCTTGATTACAAACTAGGATGTTCTAAATGTCTCAGAAAAGTACATCTGGGGGTCGCTGAGAGGATTTTTAAATAACTGCGCTGATGTGTTGTGATTTTTTATTTTTGTCTCTTTAGAGTGAAAATGCTCGGTTGGCGTTGTGTGAGCATCCCCAGTGGACCCCCGCTGTGGTGATGTTGGGGCTGCTTCAGTGCAGCGTGCCTCCTGTCCTGAAGGCTGAGCTCCTGCACTGCTTAGCTGCGTTTGGGAAGTCACCAGAGATCGCTGCTTCGCTCTGGCAGTCACTGGAGTACACACAGGTCAGCATTTAAAGACTCATGACAAAGACTCTGTCACACCAAGGTGTTGTTTGTCAATACTGGACTAAAACTTCAAACTTTCGACGTGTCACAGTGAAGCCATTGTTTTTCTCTGGCGGTGCATTAAAGCTCTTATTTGTGTCTTATCTTTTACCTCAGATCCTTCAGACAGTGCGAGCTCCAGGGCAGAGGCAGGCTGCCGGCATCGAGGTAAGTGTTTTGTGGTTGTTGTGGTTCTACTCACTTCCTCAGAGTTTGGCTGGTTGTCCACAGTGACGCACAAGGTGCTACAAGCTTGTCTCACGAGTCATTCTGCTTCCAGGTTGAGCTGAATGAGATCGAGTCCAGCTGTGAGGAGTACCCTCTGGCGCGAGGCTTTTGTCATCTGACCAGCATTTTGGTTGAGAGTGGTGTGCCTGCCAATTTGGGGGCTGGGCTACGCGTGCCAGGCTTTCAACCCTACCTGAACTTCCTGCGGGACTCTGTGTTCCTGCCCTTCCCCACCAGAGCTTACCGCCGCCCGGCTGAGAAGGTGAAGGAGCATTTATTGCTGATCCACTGTCTTTAAAAATTCAGAAAATGCAGAGATAGTTTTAAAACAACAGATGGATCGTTTAAATGTCTTTTTGTTTCTTTACTCTAGTGGGAGGTTGCAGATGCCGTCCTGGAGGTTTTCCACAAACTGCTGCGGGACTACGAGCCCCAGCCGTCCGACTTTGTCCAGGAGATGGTCGAGCTGCAGGGTGAGCAGCTCCCAGCCGACAAACCCCCAGGCCACAGCATCTTGTTCCACCTGCTCAACGACTCGCCCATGTTGGCGCTCTGCCTCAGCCTGCTGGAGGAGGGCGTACGTCAGCTGGACACCTACGCACCCTTCCCCGGTGAGAGAACACGTGCTGCTGCTGCTGCTGCTGCTGCTCTGGGAGAAACAAAGATGGCCCCTGTGATTGTTCTGACCACATGCTGTGTTGCTGTTTCTTTTGCAGGTAAGAAGCACCTGGAGTCAGCGGTGCTGCACTGCCTCTGCCTGCTGGATTTGGCTCTGCAGAAGGAGGTGATGTTCATGGACTTCCTCAGGGAGAGCCAGTCCTCCTTGCTGGTTTCCCCTTTGGAGCAGCTTCTCCAGGGGGTCAGTCCACAAACTCGCAGGGCTGACCACATCGTCAATATTGCGAGGTGTGTACATCCAGGTTTGATCTTGCTGCAAGTATTTCAAAGTTCTACAACTTGATGCAACAAAAACCCTCCTCAGAAAGAGTTTTTCAGCTGAATGATAATCTACGTTTGTCCCCTCCAGGTATCTGTACCACAGCAGCTCCAACCCAGAGGCGGCTTTCCAGAGTGCCAAGATCCTGCGTCACATTGCCAACTACCCCAACATTCAGAACAGGCTGGTGGGAGATTTTACACACGATCAGGTACAGATTTATCGAGTTTCCCCCAAAAAACATTTGCATAAACATTTACACCATGATTTCTGTTTGTACTGGCAAAGTAAATTCAAAGTATGGACACGATTGATCGTGGAAAATGTTAAGAATTATTGATTTTGCCGATACTGAAGGCTACAATATCGTTATCGTATCGGAAGTAAAACAAAGTTGTATCAGGACACCCCTAGTTATTTTACATTTAAAGACTTTTTTTAGGTCCATGTCTTTTTTTGTGAATCAAATGCAACAGACTGTACCAGATGAGCTTGATTCGACTCCTGCGCCGCAACATTAGTGGGTTTAGAGGTTGGAGATCGTTTCAAAATAAGAAATAAATACAGGGTTTATTTTCATTTTCATTGTTACACCCCAAGACACCTAAACCTGACTCATTTCTTGGGTTTGAGAAGCGGTGTCGCTTACAAATATTGACATACATTTCCTTATGTTCACTACTTTGTGTGTTATTTTCTTTATAAATACTTAGCATTTAAAGTGCAACATGCAGAGGTCTCCAGCAGGAGGCAGAATTCAAACCACTGTGGGAAACGGTTATGTGACAGCTAATAAAAAAACTTTACCATAACAGCTCTTTGTAACAAATGCTCTTAAATCTATTCTGAGGTTGCACAGATTAAATTCAGGGTGTATTTGAAAACAAAACGGTCACAAAAGGCACGTACCTGAGAGGTTTGTTTTCTCTGTCTTTCAGTCTGTGAGTGATAAACTGATGGCGGGCTTTGTGGAGTGTCTGGACAATGAAGAGGCGGAGGAGGGAACAGAGAAAGAGGACGGTGAGAGAAACATGCTCGTCTTTTCTATGTGGTTATAATCCTGCTGTTTAACCTCAGTTAGAACTCAACATGTCAACATTTACTCGCAGACTCTGACCCACAAAAGAAGGCTTCAAGAATCCGACATGAAACCCAGATCCACATCCTGAACCTGCTCATCACCTCTTTGGAGCTGAAGACACCAAACCTGGCTCTCTATCTTTTGGGCTACGAGGTCAAGAAACCAGTTTCCACGACCAACCTGCAGGACCCAGGTCAGACTGAGCATCAACTGATTTGTTTTTTAAAATTTAAATGGCTTTTTCAACAATATTGTGATTTAAACTAAATAGATCAGATGGCCTGAGAGACAATTGTGTGTTTGTGTGCTGCAGGTGTGTTAGGATGTCCAAGGAGTTGCCTGCACGCAATCCTGAGTCTGCTGCGGCAAGGCACTGAGAAAAGATCAGGACCTGTCCTCACACAGCAGGCCCCACACCTGGCTGAGCTCTGCTACCAGGTAATCTTCGCAACAAAGGCTGTCGCACAGTTGCTCCATTTTTTACTGTTATTAAGCTTTTTAATAAGCTCTATGTTTGTTTTTATTCATGTGACCGCGAATGTTTCTCTCTCAGGTGATCTACCAGCTGTGTGCCTGCCCGGACACATCAGGACCCACCATGCGGTACTTGAGGACCAGTCAGGACTTCCTGTTTTCTCACCTGCAGCACCTCCCCTTCATCCTGCCCAGTGAGTACAGGGTCCTGCACCCCAATCAAAATGTTTTTAATAAACAGCATTAATAAGAACTACAGAATTTATAAAAGTATTACAAATGTGCGTCATGCCTCCATGATGTTTGAATGTCAGGGGTTTTTCTGGCCCATTATTGGCCTCCTAAGTTGACAACAGGGACATTCAGTCTGCTTCCATCAAAGCCAGTGAGTGTTTGTTTCCTCATCTGACAGGACTTTAAGGATTCTCTTGTTGTGTTAGATTACCAATCCTGAATGAAGATAAAGTGATCCGCTGTAAGGGTTAGGGGGATTTGTTTCTCCTTTCTGTTAAATTTGTAGAGAAAAAAAAAAGCAAACGTAAAAGAGTACGACTCTGTTTAAAAGTCAGATTACACAGATTACGCACTGCAAAGGTGGTAGACACAAAGACAAGGTCTGTTGCTCCACACTGCCCAATGACAAAAAAGACAAAAACTTCAGAAGTAAAGGTTAAGTGATTTTTATATGCAGAGTGTGATTCTTAATGCAGTGGATCCACTTCGTCTGGTAGCTGTGTCTGTAATCAGCACCGCAGCGCTCGATCTGTGCAGTAAGGATGCCATCAGTGAGCACAGAACTGCAACCAGTGACAACAAAATGTGCTGATGTGGCTTGATTTTCCAGATCGAGGACGAGCTAATCCTCTATGATTGAATATTGATCCATCCAGCACACATAAAACCAACACCACCACACTTTGATTCAGCAGAGACTTTCTCAAAGGAGCCACATTTTCAGCTGGTCAAAGTCAGCTTTCATCATTTCAATCTCCATTAAAAAAAAAAAAAAAATTTAAATATATATATATATATATTAAAAAAAACAAAACTTTTCAGTAATGTGATTCTATCAGTCTGTGATTATTAAAAAAAAAGCACCAAGTAAACTAAATAGTAAGAAGTCTTTCGACCAAAAGGAAGACCTGAAAGAAGGAATAATTCTCATTTAAAGCCAAACAACATAGAGAAATAAACCCACGCTCTGTGTCATATTTCAGTTTGTGAGATATACTCTTTGTTGGACCTCCTTGCATTGTTACAAACTTCTAAACAGATTAATGGACAAAAAAAATGCTGCTTATCTCTGGATTTGTTTTGTGAATATGTTAAAAAAAAAAGATTTGCTATTTGTTTGACTACAACTTGATTTCTGCTGACTTGAGCACTCGTCTTCACTCTGACCCTGGTGAATTTTCTTTGATGCTGACGAAAACATCGGTGCACCACTGATTCTTTCTTTGGCAGAAAAACCCTGTAGCTGCTGTTGGTCAAGGTAAGACACATCCCTCATGACTTTTCTGCTCTCTTCAGATAATCAGATCGCCGCCCTCTCTCAGATGTCCTGGCTCATGAAAACAGCTGCAATCGAGCTGAGAGTGACCTCGCTGAACCGCCAGCGTTCGCACACACAGCGTCTTGTCAGCCTCCTGCTGGATGACCAACCGCACACTCAGCATACGGGTAAGTTTGTTGTCGAGGTCTGAAGGTCTTAAATGTTTATCTTTGTAACTATCAAACCTGAACCTCTTCTGTTTTTTAACGATCTTTCACGTTTTCCAAAGCTTGCTCACAATCTGGTGTCGAGCTTCCTTAATTTCACACACAATAATCAAGAATGACAAATGACTCACTAGTACACCAAAAGACAAACATCATTATTTCTGTTTTTTTAGCAGATGGAGAATCTGGCATGGAGGAAGAAACCAGATCTGTCAGCGGTTTTCTGCATTTCGACACTGTTTCTAAAGGTTTGTCATCTTGGTATAAATATCAATCTGATATTGTTTGACAAATCCATAATCAATCATCACTCCCTCAAAGCTTTGAGTCAATTGTAGCTCTATGTCTGACCCCACACCCTCGATTGATTCCAACTTGAACCCTCACCTTGTCTGTGCTTGATGCCATCAGTACGCAGGAAGTTGCTGAGCGTGCTGGACGCCATCGACTTCAGTCAGGACATGCCCGAGCTGCTGCAGCTGGACTTCTTTGAGCGCGCTCAGATCGAGCAGGTGATCTCCAACTGTGAGCACGTCAACGAACAAGGACACACCGTGTGCAACGTCAAGGTAACTTTTGAGGTTGAACACGTAATTGAGCTCTGATTGGTTCAATAGTCGAATAATGTTGTTTGTTTGATCTCAGTTGCTGCACAGGGTTCTGGTCGCTGAAGTGAATGCACTGCAGGGGATGGCAGCCATTGGACAAAGACCTCTGCTAATGGAGGTGAGTGAGAGAAAACCTAATCATTGAGTTTGGTGCTGCCGATGACTCCATTTGATTTCTGATCACGACGACCGACTGAAACTTTTAAAGAACAAGGGTCCTTGTCCTTTTAAAACCATGGCCTCCTCTGTCCTTAGAGGTGACTCTCAAATAGATCAGTCCAAAAACACACGGCCTAATTTAGAGTTTCCTGTGCAGCTGTGAATCGTCCTGTTTAAACTAATGCTGTTATTAATCAGTCATAATCACCTCAGGGGTTTGTGCGGCTCCAAAGAAAAGGTGGAGTCTCAGTGGGGGGGGTTGACAGGCTTTCTGGCACACTTGCTTGAGTCCAGCCTTTATTTCTTCAGGGCATGTTTAATAAAGCAGGATTCCATAAAATCCCAAAAGGGTCTTCAGACAGTAAATGATCATCTCTTGGGGTGTTCTGGTTTTAAGTTTGAGAGAGCCACTATAACCAGGAATCTGTCATGCAGTTTCTTACTCTAAGACCATTCCTCTCTCTCTCTGTGTTTTTTCCCTCAGGAGGTGACGTCCATCCTGCAGCAGGTGGTGGAGCGAAACCGCGTCCGAAGAAGTCTGAGTGCGAAGCGACACGCTCTGCGGTCCTGGAGGAGTCTGGTGGAGACGCTGCTGACAGCCTGCCCCTCAGATCTCATACCTGCTGATGACAGACAGCTCATCATCAGAGACCTGCTGCTGGACCTGCACGATAAGGTCAGTGAGGATATTTGGCGTGCAGCGTGGGAAATAAGCACAGCAGTGATTTATGATGTGATTTTAATGGTGTCTAATGTTATTGCTTATAGAAAAGGCCTTACTTACCCAGTGAAGAAAATATAAGTATACTCCTAAGACTTGTAGGAGTGAATGAATTGTAGTTTCCTGTAATAACCGACTTTGTTAATACCTCAAATCTCCAGTTACTTTTAGCAGTAAACTCAAACCTTCCTGTCCCGTTCACAGGTGTTATCCGAGGACGCAGCAGGAGAACTGATGCCCATCGTTGCTGGGGCAGTCTTCACTCTGACAGCTCATCTCAGCCAATCAGTCCTGTCCGAGCAGCAGCAGGGGGCGGGGTTAGAAGCGTCCTCAGGCTTTGCATCCATCGCCAACTCAGCCCTGCATCTGATTCTCCGCAAGCTGCTGGACTTCATCCTTTGCACAGGTATGTAAATCCTTCATGACCGACGTCTCAAAGCCGTCATTGTTGAAAATGTTCATAAAACAGAATTTAGTGGTCTGCAGAAAATCAATTTGAATTTAAAAACTTTAGTTTTCTTAAATATGAAAAAAAAAAACTTTATCTGTTCATTTCAATTTGATGCCAGGAACATGCAGGTCTTTTTCTCGGGATGAACGCTCCCGACACATTCTTGAGTTAAGTTCTTCTGCTCTTTCCTGCCCAGTCAAGGGCTGAGCTGATAAACCTGACACTTCCCAGTCAAGGTGTGATGACAAAGGTTTATCTGATCGAGCGGTCCTGCAGTTCTTTCCTGCTGACAATAAACAATCCTGTCTTTGTCACTTTGGAGTAGGAAGGATAAAAGGTTTGTCCTTTTGAGAAGGCTGCTTTGGTTATCTTGTATAAAGACAGGAGGTTGAAGAAAGATTGTGATTCGGTGTTAAAGGTTTACACCGTCTCGTCTCCAGTGACCAGATGTAAACCTTACATTACCTAGGAAGTGGTCGTCTCTATTTTTTATTTTCTTTTTTTTTTTAGAGTTTAAATGACTAAAAACCACCAAATTATAATTTTATGAACATTTTAAACATTTTTCTAACTTTTTCATCTGTTTGGTAAACTTTGGTTGAATCAGAGTTTATAATGTTGATTTTTCCTCATGAAGGAGGTGGATACCAGCGTCTGCGCGCCCACTTGTACGGCTCTCTGCTGTACTATCTCCAGATCGCCCAGAAACCTGAAGAGCCAGACACTCTGCAGACAGGTATAACACTCAGAGATTTGAACAGACAGACCTTCATGGACCTAATTTGATCATAAATGGTTTGAAAAGTTGTCTGCTTAACTGAGAAAGACTTCATCTCTATTCTTTCAGCTGGTAAAGCGATGTGGGAGCGTCTGACTGCGCCTGAAGATGGTTTCTCTAAACTGCAGAGGGAGAACCTCGCCATCATCGAGAGCTACGGCAAGTCTCTGATGGAGGTGGTGTGCCGGGACGCCTGTGACGGCCATGAAATAAGCAGGGTGAGAGCGGCGATGTGAAAGAAAACCTTCATCTTATAACTAATGCATTTTATTCGTCGGACTAGAGTAAGCTGTGAATTCCAGAACTGAAAGGACCCTCAAGGATAAACCCTCATTGTCAACTTTCTCTGTCTGTCAGATGTTGGCTCTGGCAGTGCTGGACCGGATCCTATCTATAGACCGTCAAAATCAGTGGCTGTTATACGTCTGCAACAGCGGCTACCTGCGGTCACTAGTGGAGAGTCTGAGACAGGATGATGTCGCCCTGCAGAGCCTGCTCACACCCCAGCCCCCCCTCCTAAAACCCCTCTACATCTATGAGAGTAAGATGGTAAGAGCGGCTCTCTCGCTACTATCAGATTAAGCTGCGCACTTATCAGGATCACTGGGATACACACTCTGTCGTGTTTTCAGGCTCTGCTGACTCGTGTGGCCAAGACCGGGCAGGGGGCCGTGGAGCTGCTGCGCTGTGGTCTGGTGGCTCAGCTGATCGAGTGTCAGGTGTTTGACATGGTACCTGACAGCGAGACACACAGGTATGAAGTCAAGTGGAAAGTGAAATGAAGGAGTGTTTGGTGTCAGTCTTTTGATCTTGAGAGTGTTTTTAAAAGAAGGTCAAGTGGAAATAAAGTTAAACATTTTCAACTCCAGGTTAACTCCAACTTTTCCTCTTCCCCTCACTGCTGTCCACAGGGTGATGAGGGACCCATCAGGCTTCATCCCAAGTCCTTTAGACCGTTACAGGCAGATCCTCTCACCCACCTTGAGGCTGTTCCAGGTGATCCTGACCTCCACCACTATGAATCACCAGCAGGGGGCAGCACAGGTAAATAGAAAACTGCTTTTAAAATTATAGCAAGAAATCCGTCTCTGGGTGGACTCTTCAGATTTCAGATGTGATTTTGTCTGTTTGTCTCTGCAGGTCCTCCAGTGGCTTATAGTCCACGCAGACACTATTCAGGCTCTGCTGCGCAGTCAGGAGCTCAGTATGGGAGCTTTGCAAGAGCTGTCGTTGCTTACAGGCATCATCAGCAAGACCGCTCTGCCAGGTGAATATGCTTATTTTGTCCAACTTTCTAATGAAAACCAAAACTCTGAAAAAAATCAGAAAGCTACATAAATGATCAATATGAACAAAGTTTAATCTCAAATTCTTTAGAGCCAATATAAGATTAAAAGTAATGCTAGTATAATGTTTACACGTTTGATGTCCTTTTTCCAAAAATGAGCACATTTGAATCCCAAAATAATTTACCAACTCACAAAAATCTATTTTTATTAACATTTGGCACACTGCACCGACTTCTTTTGAGTCAGTGTTTTATGATATTTACACATTTTCATGAAATCCACATTTTGAAATGACAGAGTACCTCTAACAGTTTTTGATTTTGTGCTTCATGGTCTCTCAGGTGTCCTTGAGATGGGCGGGGAGGTCAATGGCGCCGCTCTCCTCGAGTTCCAGGGTCACATCAACAGATTCCAGGTTTGGTTTTAAATCACTTAAGTAAAGATGAGTTTATCCCCCGGTACTGCACGCCCACACCAACATGTAGATACTAACGTCACTTATCTTACTCTTTTTTTATTTTTAGCACCTCTGTTTGTCTCTGCTGAGCCGTCTGGCAGGAAGTGAGCGCGAGAGGTTACTGAAACAGGCGGAGATCGCTGCACCTGGAGAATCTGCAGAAAGGCGAGAGGAGATGGAGGTGGCCATGCAGCAGGTCAGAGAGAAACCACTCTCAAATCTGAGAAGTCAAATATATGTTGATGTTGATACCTGTGAGGTTTTGGGGGTCTCGTCTCCTTGAAAATGTCAGGAGGGTATTCATGAGACCAGTTCATCATTATGTATGTGCACAGTATAATGGACAGGGATGAAACTGCACCGACACAAAGGCTGCGGAGTCTCATATCCATAATCATGATTATTCATCAGTCCTCCTCTGTGACTGACCTGAGAGGTGCTGTCCTCTGTGTCCAGGTGTGTGCTAACATCATGGAGTACTGCCAGACCCTGCTGCTGCAGAGCTCGGCCCAGGCCCAGTTCAGCATCTGCCTCTTCAGCCCGTCAGGCAGCGAGCCAGCTGGCAGGGATGGAGGACGCTCAGGTCAGTGATATTCCGCCTGAACTCGGAGGAATTCGACTCCCGTGTGACCGTGACGAGCTGCACTTTGTGCTGTCGGGTCTTTTAGAGAGTGATCGCTGAGTTTTTAAAATGATCAAGTTAGCTTTCCATTTTTACTTCCTGGAGTAATAATGTAATTATCATTTATGATGCTGGAAATGTCCTTCAAGTAATACAACAAGCATTGATCAGACGACAGTGAGCGATACAGATGAGTTTGAGGGTCAGAGATTGAGGACATTTTCATACTTGCTACGTTTAGAGACATTTCTGTAAAACAAAATAAAGTGTCTTGAGGTGTACTCGTCAGTTATGTTTTGATTTGAAGTGGAAATATAGTAAAGCTATAAAATCATAATCTGATGCATACAGATTTTTACTCAAATTACAAAGATGAGAGAAATGCAGCAAGTCATGTTTGTAGGGTTTTATAGATTCTGAGAAATCCTACAAAGAAATTAATGTTTCAATGAATTGATACGAAAATAAACTCATTAGTGCTCTCTCAGTCCACATGAGTAACAGAGTATGTCAAGCACTAATATTGTGAACTGCAGTGATTGTGTTCATGTTTCGTAGTCTCAGTGTTTATTTATATTTTTTTGTATTTTTATGTTTTTAAGATCATACGGTCCTATAAGGCTGTCAAACATCACTTGATACTTGTTTTCTTCCAGATCTTTCATCCACGGTGCCCTCCATGGTGTACTCCCGGGCCCCCAGTTTAGGTCTGGTCCTGTACCTGCTGAAGAACAGCGCTGCAGATTTCTTCCGTTTCCACCAGAGTCACAGACAGAGCCTGGGGAAGCTGCAGAGTCTGGATCAGCTGCCCCCTGAGGAGCTCAAGGAGGTATCTCCTTATCGATTCACCCATTTACTGTTATCAGCCACTGAGGAAACTATCTTCTCCTTTTATTTCAGTGTAACTTTATCAAGTAAACTCAACAAAAAAGTGAATTTAAAAGCTGTTGTTTCTTGTTTGCACCTGGAAGGCTCAAACATGTCTCTGTACTGACTGACCTTCTCTTTTTCAGCTGTGTCAGGGTCTGGTGTCCGGCCCAGGAGGGGTGGAGAAAATCCCCTCGGTCCAGAGGAACTTGCTGGCAAAGAGACGACTGGTCCAGCTTATTAACAGCCGGGCAAAGCTGCTCGCCCTCTGCTCCTGTATCCTTTGGTCCTTTACGGGGTCAGCTGTAATCACACTGACTACAAGACCAGAATTTCAATGACTCTGCATAATGTCCCCCCAAAGAAAATCCATGTCCTTGAGAGTTCTCTTTAGTGAGCTGGAGTAAAATCATGCAGAAAAAAACCTTAACTTCCTCCTCCTTCAGACGTGATTGAGACGTGTTTGTTTGTTCTGTGGCGCCACCTGGAGTACTACCTGTTGCACTGTACCCCCACTGACCCGAAGGACCTGCTGCCTGGAGCTGGTTTATTCAGATCTCGTCTGGCAGATGGTGAGATATTCACAGGGTTCCTTTGCAAGTATGGAAATACATTTGATCAATTTCCAGATCTTAAAAAGTATGGAAAATGAAAAATAAAGTATGGAAAAATATTTATGTTTTCAGACTATTACCAAAGTTCTAAAATGCTGTTTTCTAAAATAGAAAAGAAGATATTTCCAAAAAGAATTGTAAAAATTAGGGTATGGAAAATATGAAAATTCCAGCTGTGTAGGAACTCTGTATTCAGAAACTGTTGCAGGATTTCATCCAGTTAACTCTGCACCAGTTTGAAAAATCAAAATGTGCAATGCAGCGATTATTTAATTAAATCACACTCTGCGTTCCTGATCTGCAAACATATTCCTCTGGATGTGGGTGAACTAAACTCAACCACATGAGTCTAATTCATTGACTCTTTTTTCCTTAGACTCGTTTGGGGGGTTGCAGGCGAGTGGAAGACGTGGGCTCAATCTGTCGCGAGTCAGCCAACAAGACCTTGACTTGGTAAGAAATAAAGAGCGTGCTGCTTTTTGCACACAGCCGGTACTGTTATTTGTACATCTGTGTCAACCTCTTCACTGTTCCTGTGTCTGTGCAGCTCAAAAGCGACATGGCTGCCAGCTTTGGAGAGGCCCTGCAGAGGAAGCTGCTGGAGGTGGAGGGTCTGTACAGCCAAGTCCGCTCTCGCTACACTTTCATCCAGGCTCTCGTCCGCAGGATCCGCGGCCTGCTACGACAACCTAAAAGCTGAGACACACCCTCAAAGACATAAAGACTGACTAAAACTCAAATCTTCACTCTCATGAAGTGGACGATAATTTCTGCCAAGCAACTCCACAAATCTATAAAGGACTCTTAACTCTGTTAGTTTGCTCTTTCAGGACACAGCACTCTTTTCTACCGATCTATTAAAGCTCTTTTCTTGAGTGTTTTTGGACGTTGATGCCAACCACAGTGTGTGTGGCATTCTGTGTGATCATTCCTAACAATGTTTGACTCGCTCGATGTAAGAAGTGTTCCTCAAAGACATCAAAACGTGGCTTTGCATGAACACTTCGTACATTCGTACTGAGAATTCGGTTTTCTTTTGTTTGAACTGATCTTTCTCTTTTGTGAAAATAAAACTTTTCTAAATCTGTTTAACACTTTTGAAATTTAATCCACACAAAAACAAATCTAACTCACTCCGTGCAGTCGCAGACTTTATGCTTGTACTTATTGCAAACCTGGGATATGATCTGCTGAGTGCAGACATGCTCAGGTGTGCATACGCAGTTCTTGAACGGCAAAGATCTTCCTGGTGAAGTTCAATCTTGCACTCATGGATAACACAATGCTTCAATGTAACTTAAGAAACTTGATTCATATTTATTTGTCTCCTAGGTATTACAGACATTCGATGCCATCCAAAAGATTTTATCAATATCAATGCCATTATCGATTCTGCTTATTGATTCAATTCTTTAACGATTCCCTTATCAATGCCTTAATTTGATTTAAAAAAAAAAAAGAGAAGTAGACTTTAGGTTTTCACTGTTAACCCAAAATTTTATTAGGCCTTTGGTATAAGAAAAAGATGTACGCCACCTTAAGTGAGAGTCTAAAAATAATCAAACGACAAAGAATTTGTACAGCATTTATTTCAGTCAGCACTAAGTCAAATTATGGTGACCATGTTCTTGATCCCCTAAAAGAGGACACTACTACCGGGGGCGGAGTCGGGTGCAAAATTTTTGAGTGTTTATGTGCTTTTACCTCAGTTAGTCCACAGTACACAAACTCAAAACTTCCATACAAAATCCGTTGTCGTCTATCTTCTTAAAATGAAGCCACACTTTAGATTGTTTCTGCATACTTTTCGTACCATTCGCCATGTTTTTTTTCCTCAAAGTCTCTGTTCTCGTTCACATAGACTGGCTCTCACGAGACCGTTTTTCAAGGCACCTCAAAGAAAGGAATTGTTAAAGGAATCGTTAAAATAAAATGTAAATGATGTCGATGGATTGAACTATTTGGAACCGGATCTCGATTCCCACCCCTATTCATGGTGTGTGCACAGTTACAGAAGATGTACAACTTCAACTAGCACCTCCAGAAACCAGAGAGGGGGTTCAAGTTTGATTGTTTGGTTTAACTGATAGGAATTATATAGGTTAAGTAGCTGAAATTAAATAAACAACATAAAAACAGGCTGGATCCACACAAACAATAATTAAGTCCATTTTATTTTCTTTGAAGGTACACTTTATAAGACTGTAAAGTGCTTGGATTCTCAGACCTTTTGGGGAGAAGAAGAAGAAGAAAGGACACAAAAATCTGGATTTACATTCAGATCTCACAGACAGGAGTTTGTGCTCTTGTATTTTTATTGGAGTAATGAGGAGGGAGAACGAGAGCAGACTCAGGTGACCACCAGCATCCAGAACAGAGGAGAACTCGGACCGCAGTGATGCTTCTGCAGAGTTAGTGGAAAAATAAGATCTACCATTAGCCTCTCTGAGTCGATAGTGAGGGAACAGCTTTGTGCTACTTTTAACAAATCATGCTCATTATACTCTATAAATTACTTTAAATAATAAAATTAATTACAGCATTAGAAACACATTTACATTTCTCACACCAGCTCACTCAATCTGTGATTGTGCTGCATTTGAATCTGAAAAGAAAACCTGCCACACAAACACAACAATGATCTCTGCTCGTCTCTCTCCACAGAAGGTCAGGTCTGTTATCCTCTGAATTTAGTGATTCCTTCAAAACTATCATCCATCACTTTAAAAGGCTGAAATAGAAAAAAAAAAAACATGATTGCATTGTGCCAATTTCACTAAATCTGCACAGTCTGAGGCAAAGGCTGGAGCAACACACATGAAAATACAGTATGCTGTTACATTAAAAAGATATTACTTGACCTTTCACTTGTAATTTTATCTGTTTTTCAGATGCAGTTTTGTGGCTACTGAGCTGCATCATAGGAACAGAAGAATTCAGCATATGTATAAACTAACTTTAAAAAGAAGCATCACTAAATTTCTGGGTTGCTTGATTAAGAGTTAAAATCAGTGATCCAGTCTGAGTCATCAGCTTTTTCATATTTACAGTCAGTCTGCATCAATGTGATAACGCTGTTCGTCTCATGATAGTAGCCAGAGTGTTAGGCTTACTTTGAGCTCAAGAGCTCCCCCTGCTGACTGGCTGATCTAAAAGTCAAACCCGCCTGTTAACAGATGGAACCGGGTCAAGTTTAAGTGTCTACGTCTCCAACAACCCACTGAGCAATAAACGACTCTTAGACGTCTAGTTTTTTTAGACCCAATTTGAACTGTTTGGCTTCTGTATATTTCTAGATGGAATTTAGACGTTGCACTTTAACCGATTATTCGATAACTTTATTTCAAAAAAGCATCTGTGAGTTGCATAACTGATCTCCAAGTACTTAACCAAAATAATTATAATAGCCATTGAGCAATATACAGTTATGCCTCTGTTAGCCAGTTAGTTTAAACTTGGTCTAAATTTAGACGTCTAAAAAACTTTTGTTTTTAGACCTGTTCTAGCCTGATTTTAGACCAATTGTCCAGGCTACATTTAGACGTGTATTAGACCTCCTTTAGACTAAAAAACGTCAGTGGGAAGTTTAGCTTGAATAAGTTATTTGATTTTAAGACGAGGGTTGATTGATGGCCCTGTTGACAAACCAGAGCTCCTGCAGCATTTCTCTCTGGTTTAGTAGGGTAGAGGAGGAATGGCCAAAGATTGTAGGACAGAATGTATGTGAAAGTCACTAAACCATCCACAGCCATGTGTCTGCTTCAAATCAGCACAAAGAAATCGTTCTTATTGTTGACTGGACCCCCTGAGGCATCGTCAATGTTCGATCAGTCCGTCAGTCAATTGCATGTTTTTGTCATGTCAGTCCTGCTACTGTACCATCCAGGTCACAAACTAACACAAACAAATGCACATACAGCTTTCATAGGTAAGGAATTTTTTCCTTCCTTCTGCATGCCACTGTCTGTTCAAATTTCCTGCTCCATCACATGTTGTGTAAACCTGATAGGTCGGTCTGAAAAATCACTGAAGAGACACTTCAGCAACTCCCTCTGAATGAGGAAATGAATTCAATAGAGCCAGGCTAACACCCCAGCTGTTTTTTTTCACCTTAAAATAGCCAAATTTAAGTGCAATACAGGGATAAAATGTGAACATTCAAACTCAAATGCTACCAAGTATTCAGGGCGCAGCTGAGGACCTGTAGATCCACTTCACAAAAACCATGATGGACCTTATCACAAACGCTGGAACACCTTTCCTGGCCCCTTTCAGTCATGGCCCCTCAAAATTCCCCTTCTTTCCCCCTCAAATAGCACCTCCTTCACATCACCTCCAATCAGACTGAATTGCTTTGTCTAAGACGCACTTTGGGACAGGTGCAACTGATTGCAAAGCAGCTACAGCAGCAATCACGCCGCCACAGCTTGATTAGACTTTTCATTCAGGAGTGAGAGGCAGAGACGAGACCACTGTTACCCGAGCACATGATCATTCTCCCAGTTTTATAAACATTTTTTTTTCAGCACAAAAACGGGGAAACACTGTAAATACTTTATCTCACTTAGTCACTTTCTATGTTATCAAAACAAAGTTTGGGACTGATTTCTGTACATAAAAACACAACTGTTCTCTTTTGAAAAGAAAAAAAAAACAAACTTATACTGTACAGGTACACAGAGTCGAGTTACAGCACCAGCAGACTGACAATTGCTTTGATTCACATCCTGTAAAGGGCGCTGAGTAAGTCCATAGACATCCACTGGCTCAAGAGAGGCTGACACAGGTGAAAAGACCACGATGAGTGAGTTTGAGCTGTCCTTGATAGCGCCAGTTTGAGAGAAGTCCATCAACCCTGAGGCCTTCTGCTCTAGTGTTGATTGTACCAGACATGTCCTTTTAGTAACCCAGCACAGATCGAGCAGTGAATCAAAGGTCCTTCTGTAGATTTGTGAGGAAATCCAGGAGAGTGGCGAGGAAAGGCAGCTCATCCAGCTCCGAGCTCTCCACTCTGTCTTAAAGATTCAGATTCAGACAGCATGAGGAGTGTGCGTTTGTGTTTTGTGTGCAGCACACGAGCACACCGCGTCTTTGTGAGAAGTCCAACAGCGAGTCTTTCTTCTTATGTGCTGTCCGTACTCGCCTCCTGCGTGTTGTTGTTGTCCATCATGGCGGGGTTGTTGCCGTTTGTCTGAGGACGTTCGGGCATCTCTCCTGTCACCGCCACGCGAATCACTTTGAGCCAGCGCTGCTTCAGCTCCTCTGTTTCTGCTGCAAAGTTGTGGGTGGACTTTGACTGGGAGAGGCGGAAACTTGCTGGAGGGTCTGTGGGTCGGGCGCTGTCGTCCACTGAGTAGCCCAGGAGGGGGATGCTACACTGAGCCCTCACGTCCTGTGGAGAGGAGTCAGGGGAGAGGTGCATGTGAGCTTTATGATTGGACATTAAAGGGATAGTTTGGGGTGTAATGAAGTACTTTTCCAAGGTCAATATATTATGAAGAATAGATATCAGTCAGTATGGCTCCTTCATTGAAAAGCCAGTTCCTAAATGGGGGCTAAGCTATCAGTCGAAGAGTCAGGACCAGTCCTCGGATATTTTCTGTGACCTTTTTTTTTACCAGGATTTCTAGTTAGTTTGTACTTTCAGCAATCAAAAAGTGATGTCCACCTCCACTTTTAGAACAGCGGTAACGCTTTACAATAACCATAATTTATGAATGGTAAATAGATAGTTTACTAAATTTTAATAATCATTTAAAAACAGCATATAGACCAATTATAAATGGCAAATAGTTTATTAATGTAAGTTAAAAGTTACTTTACCATTAACAAGCAATGGAATTATGATTAATAATTTTCATTAATTATTAATGGACTAGTTATTAAAGGTTTAAATATTGGTTGTAAAACATCTAGATTAAAATGTGTGTCAGTAGGACTTTGTAAATGATTAATATTTGTTTTTTAAATCATCTATAAACATTACTTAGATGGTTATTGTAAAGTTAGAGTTAGGTTTTTAAAATTGTAAAATCTACAATTTATTAATGGTCCATATGGTATTTACGAATGATGATTAAACATTAATAAACTATCTGCTTACTATTTATAAATAAGTTATGGTTATTGTAAAGTTTTACCAGAACAGCTACATTTCACAAAAACCTCTATTTTGAGAAATATTTTTGGCATGTCCAAAGTTTCCAAAAAGAATGTCAAACTCTGAAGGTCAGTCTGCCAGATTATTGTACACTTACAAACCGAAACTCAAGGTGTCCTGAAATTTTGGCGAGTGTAGTATGTCAGTGCAGACCATATTCAAGGACACATCTATAATGTCTCACAGCCTCCTAACAGGAGTTTAGCATATTTGATTTTTCTCTCAGCTTTTTTCAGTGTGTCCCTTTGTGTTTTCCAGCGTTGGTTGTGGTGATAAATCATGTATGTTAGTTAAGGTTCTATAATCATCAATTGATATACTTACAACCCCTCCTTTAAATGCCCAAATTATCCCTTCATTAAATCAGAGATGAGAGATGGATTTCTGCCTCATGTTCTCAGTGTTTTACCTGTGGAGCTCCGTAAAGATAAAGCACCACACACTCCTTCTCAGGGATGACGCACCAAAACTTCTGCCACGTTTTATTCTTCTCATAGTACTGCAGGAAGCCGCACATGATGCTGCTGCCTGAGAACTGAGCTGCCTCGATCTGTACAAGGAGGAAAACACGAGACATTAAGAATCAGAGGTTAGAAATAAGAGATCTAGACCCCAGTATTTTATTATATTTAATGCAGGTCTGAAAACATCCCAGGCTCACCTCCAGGATCCCCTTCTTCTTGCCTTCTGCTAACCCCTCTCCTGTCAGGATGGAATAACAGTCTCTGCAGACTTTGTTCACTTTGTTTCCATCATATTCAAGCGGCACCTTATTGTCGGAACATTTCCAGCACACCACCTGTAAAGAAGACAAAGAGAAGATCTATTACTCTCACAAGCTGCTTTCTAATACAACATTTTCTTATTCAAAACATTTATAATGTCCAAATGGAAGCAGCTTAAACCTCTTTTATTCAACTATGAGTATTCAGGAACTATCTTAAGCTGAGAGTGGGACAAACAGTTAGGAAATAAAGGAGGGATGACTTGCAAAAAAGTCCCAATGCATAATTTATTTTCCTCATACTTATGGGAAATATAAGATTGAACTCTGCACCAAAATCCAGATGTTTTCATTTTAAAATGGAGGCAGTAAATGTTTTAATCTGATTTCAAATAAGGTCACATCACTCGTCCTAAAATACAATAAATTCTTAATAATTAAAACCAAAACAGTGATACCTTTTTGAACTGACCAGGCTATGTTTATACAACTGCAATTCCAAAACAACAAATGTACAGTGTAAAAAGTTATAATTGTTTTTAAACCACTTAAAATAACTAAAAATAACTAAATAACTAAAATTACTGCAAAGAAAATATCAAATTTTAAAACTTGATTTTTAAAAATTGTTTTATGAAAAAAAAAAATCTCATTTCAATTTGATGCCCTCAAGATATCTTTAAAAAGGCTTTTGCAGGAACAACCAAAAAAAATGTTAAAGAGGTAAAAAAACAGGTAAAAAAAATGTTAAGGAGGAAAAACCGAACAGGTTAAAAAGTTTTTAAGGAGGAACAACCGAACAGGTAAAAAAGATGTTAAAGAGGAAAAACCAAACAGGTTAAAAAATGTTAAAGAGGAACAACCAAACAGGTAAAAAAATGTTAAAGAGGAACAACCAAACAGGTAAAAAAAATGTTAAAGAGGAACTACGAAACAGAAAAAAAATGTTAAAGAGGAACAACCAAACAGGTTAAAAAATGTTAAAGAGGTAAAAAACAGGTTAAAAAAAATGTTAAAGAGGAAAAAACAAAACAGGTTAAAAAGTTGTTAAGTAGGAACTACCAAACAGGAAAAAAAATGTTAAAGAGGTAAAAAATAGGTTAAAAAAATGTTAAAAAGGAACAACCAAACAGGTGAAAAGTTGTTACAGAGGAACAGCCAAACAGGTAAAAAAATGTTAAAGAGAAATAACCAAACAGGTAAAAAGTTGTGTAATCCGAAAAAAACTGCTGGGGGACCATCTCCACCTAATGAGGTGAATGTCTAACAGGTTAGTAACATGACTGGCTTTAAAAAGGACATTCAGAGAGGCCTGATTTACTCGCCAGTAAATTCTGATTTTGTCAACATTTGACACAGCACCCTAACTTTTGTAGAATTGAGATTGTAGATTTTTTGCATCGAGACATTTTGATCACTTACGTAGCCACAGGCCCTGCAGTGGTGTCTCCGCCGTGTCAGGGCATTGAAAGGCTCTTTACACTTCATACACATCGTCACTTCGTTGTCACGGATCCAGCGAGGGGCTCGCTTCCCCAGCTCTTCGTTCTACATTCAAATAAAATCATTATCAGTACAGATACATCAGAGCAGAAATGTGTCTTTACTGTTCATCGGCTCCGATGTGACACTGACCGACACCTCCTCCATGTCTTTCAGCGCATTCTTGAACGACTCATTTTTTTGCTGGAAGACCTCGATGGTCTCCTGGAAAGCCTGAGAGATAAAAATCCCTTTTAAACACTGTAACATTATATATAATGAAATTAAAAAGAAATAAATGAATGATTTTGTGTTGTACGTACTTTAATCCAGCCGGCCTTGTCCTGCTCTGTGCTGAGGAGGGAAAAAAGGAAAAAACATTAAAACCCGAGTTCCTGTTCCACTAATAACACGGCAGTCAGCTGCGGTTATAGGGTTTATTTAGAGCTCTAAGTGGAGTTAGGGTGTGCTCATTTAGGTGGTCTCCCACATACATGTGAAAATATTCTGCATGGGTAACAAATAACATGTTATTACACCCCTGAGTGTGGGAAAGGCAGAGTTGTTTCTGCACTTCTTTACAGGACTTCTAAAACAGACGTTATATTTCCTGTAATTCCTTCTTGCATAAGACCCCACCTGGCCTGTAGCTCCAGCGTCCTCTCCTTCCCTGACACCTGAAAGGTATGGGGGTAGTCCTCATTTATGGTTTCCAGCACCTTCATGCCGTCAACGCCGATCCGCGTCCTCACTGTGTACTTTGGCCCGCCCAGGCTGAATTTTGGCACGCAGTACAGCAGCATATTGTTAAACTGGAAGAAAACAAACCGAGCGTGAAAAATCCAGTGAGGTTACGGTGTGTTTTTCTTTTCAAAATCTGCTGTTGTTCTCCTCCAGCAGCTTCAATCACACAGTTGGGAGGCATCAGCCTGAAGTTAATAAGAAACAGCCAGAACATAATCTCATCACCGCTAATCTGCGTAATTGAGAGATGCGTTCATGCGCCCCTGATGTATCCTCACACAGAGGTGTTCCCGTCTTGTAATGATTCATTTGTTTCAATTGCAGACAAAGTCCGGCCTCAGCATATTTCCCTGCTGTGTCCTTCATTAGATTAAAAGATGCTTCACTCACTAAGAAGAGGTATCGCTCCATGGCCGAGGTGTTCCTGGCAGCCAGCTTCAGGATGTGACCCTCTTTGATGAACTCGTTGGAGGGGTTTACGATGTCCTCCTCCTCTCCCAGCATCTCGTAGATCTCCATCAGCTTCTTCAGATTCTCCTGCATGACAAAAAGAGATTTATTTTTAGTTCAGGGTTGATCAGAGAGATAGATTTAGTCTCAGTTTGAAAGATTTGGACTTACAGATTTCCGGATGGCGCTGTTGGAGTGAGTAGCTGCTGTGGCGATGATTTCTAATGATTCTGAAGGAAAATGAGAGAGAGGTTATTTCTTCCCATTTTTGATCACAGACAATGGGACATTTAAAACGAGAGGGAGGGATTTATTAAACAAAATTTAGAGCAGGACTTTTAAGAGGAATATATTCATTTCTTGAAATAAATCTTGATTTTATTTCCTCCATACTCTCTGAGGGGCTCTGTTGAATTGAAGGGTTTTTGAACTTACTCTCTGCATCTCTTCTGTCCGAGTCGTCCTGAGGAAGCTTCTTCAGGTAGTCTTTGAGCAGCATCTCGTAGCGTGGGACTCTCTGCACGGGTTCCAGCATGTGGTGTTGAAGCGTCAGGTTCCCGCACACATCTGAAGTCTGTCCACAAATAAATAAAAGTTTACTTCGCTGTCTTTGTTTTGCAGAACAGTTATCAAATTTGAAAACAATAAAGCACCCATGCAATAACGACCTGAGACATTTTTGTTTGTTTTTTGTTACAAACTTGAACTGAATTTTTTTTTTGAGCATCATTAAAAAAAGAGAGAAAATCTGTCCTATAAATGAAGGCAGTAATTTACACCTGAACTTGCTTTTCATTTGCTTTTCATATTTCCATACCCTGTAAAAAATCCTGTAACATTTTGTGTTGGTCCAGGACATACAGGCTCAAAAATACTTCTCTAAATTGCAGCAGATTCATCTAAACGTATGTCTTAAGTCCAAAAAGCATCTGTATTTATGTATGGCACTCTACGTCTCCGATCAGACAAATTGGTTTTTCATGCAGCACTTCATCAGTAATTTTTGACCCCCTTTGTGAAATACAGCTTCATCTTTCAAGTTTGGGTTTCGCTCTAAAACCTCTACCTGTATCTCCTGAATGATGGCCTTGAACTGAGGCGAACGGTCGGTCCACTGTTTCAGCAGCTCCATGGCCTTGTCGAAATTCTTCACATACTCTGCGTACATTTTGAGGAAGGGTGTGAGTTTCTGCAGGATGTCCCCGATGCGAGGTTTGGACTCCCTTTAGAGAAAAAAAAGATGGTGTTTGTGTAGTAAAGTGTGTGAAACCTAACCTAGCAACCTGATGGTGACGGTGTTAACACTCTCTTAACAAATATATTGAATGTTTTCACAAGTCTTTATCGTTTTTTATTATTACATGGGTGTGTTAAATGAGCAGACACACTTTCTGGTCCTGTTTCCTCCATATGCAATCTTGGCAAACTGTTTTAACAGGATCCCAGGACCAGGATGTAAAGCTCAGTATTCACTCTCTCTCTCTCTCTTCCATATCAGGCTGAATCACTCACCATTCTCCCATACGCTTCTCCAGACCTGGGAGCAGAAACTGACTGTGGAAGGCGTTGATGGAGGAGATGTTGGAGAAGATGTTCTTCACGACATCCACGGGGAACGTGCCTTTGTTTGCCTCCTCCATCAGCTTCGTACAGAACACCTAAAGATACGACATCACACAACATAAAAACTCATAACTAATGAGGGATGATTGTAGTCACTGGTTTTGACAGGAGAGATTTTGAAATGAAAGTGAAGTCCTTATACAAAAAAACAGAAATGAGCCATGGTTTTCAAAGTTCCTCACCTGGTCCAGCAAGTTTAATCGAGCCACATAGGCCTTCTCTGTCTGCAGGAGCTCGCTCGCAATCTTAAACAGCTTCTGTTCATTTGTTTCCTAAAATCAAGAAAAAATAAGAGAGAGAAATTTTAAATACCCGTGCTGATCTCAAAGTTTCTGTCAGGTGAAAAGTACATTTTTGTTTTTGTTCAAGACAAATCAAACCACATAAAATACAATAAACTGCCACTTTGAGGGTCTTTACTGTTGATCTTCCTGCCTTGGCTTTTCATGTTTGCCCATGAAACATGAGGGAGGTGTGATCTTCCCACTTAAGGTCTTTCGAAGTCCCCTTACTCACATGGAGGAGCAGGGAGCTCTCAGAAAAGGGCCATTCTGCCAAATTTTAAAGTACTGCATTCAAATAACAGTTCTGTGCCTAAACAGCGGCTTACTTAAATGAAAATATGTGGGGGAAACTTGTCTGTGGTGCTGAAATTCAGCACTCTCTCATTCTTGCTTTTTCAGTCTTATTTAAACATGTAGCTTCCTGTCCATCTGCAGGTTCCTGTTTGGTGCACGTCTGATTCAGGACTGGGATAAGACCGCAACCCATTGTTTTTGACAGACAAAAGAGTGAAGTGAACAACCAACCATGTAATACCCTTTTGGACTTCCAAAACAAAATACCCACCTCACACTCTTTATTTATAGAAACAGATTAGGTTTAAGGCATCAGTGACTCCTCAACTAAAGGCAGTCTTGTGTTAAATCTGTTTTTCTCTGTTTCTGCAAACACCAGCATGCAGCGCTGATGTGTGCGTGTCTCTGTGTGTACATATACTGTATATGAGTGTGTCTCTTTAAATCTGGGCCAATGGCAGACCAGCCTGTGGTTCTGCATGAGGTCTCAGAATAGGAAATGAAAACATGGACGAAGGGAAATGACACCAAATGTAACAAAGACACAAATCGTCTCATACAGATTTGTGTGGGAGACCATTTAGCAAACAATAACTGCACACTCAAAATATACTCCGCAATCAGACACTCAGATGATGAAAGTGTGATATTATAGCCCGTCACTATGGGCCAGGTTATTTTACTCTGTTCTGGGTTAAATGCTGGCATAGCCTTGGGAATCAACCACACATTTCTCCATTACTTATTATTTTAAAACTTTTTTAGAGAATGGATTAAAACACTCCCTCGCTCACCCCTGTCAGAACAAGAACAAGAAGATCCTGAGAAATTTAATAAGTATGATCCTCTATTTGTCTAGTATCTATGAATTCCTTTCATAGATACCACTCTCCAACAGGACTTTTACGTCTTATATCCATGTCCATTAGACCCAGAGTATTTTATTTCTGCAGTTTGGATCCTCGTGATCAATTTATGGCTAAACAAATAGTTTAATGGTGTCGTAAAGAAGCACAGGATCATGGGAGACACCATTGCAGTTAAAATCCAGATGACTATACAAACTGTCTTTAACAGGAAGTTGAGGAATTAAAGAATAGACAGTATAATCGCTCTGTAACATGACATAAACTTATGACATAAGCCTGTAGTCTGGAAGGAGACTTTGTCAAACAGCTCTGTGATACAGTGAAGAGTCTACTTCAGGTTTAACTTTCTCTCTCACTTCAGCTTTTCTGAAACATGAAACTCTCCAAACTAACTCACAAAATGAAACCCAAAGAACAAACAATCCTCATCTGAAGTCATGTGAAGCCTCTCCTGAACATCTCCTTAACGCTTTATAATACCAGGATAGAGAGCTGACAGAGCAGTGAGAGCTCAGCGGAAATGTACTGGACTTTATACTAAACTGTCTAACAAAGATGAGGAATGGCAGAGTGTTTAGAGAGTGAAGCATTACAGAGATGAACCTTGATTCCATTTTCTGATCGATTTATCGGATTAATTTGAAAACATTTTGGCTAAAAGTGCCTACTAAAATGCTAGACTAAAACTATAACGGGAATTTTATATCCAAAGACTAAATCTGAAATAGCTACCAAAATTAGTATTTCTGTGTTTCAAGGTAAAATATCGACACATACAGTAAGTCTCGCCACACTGAAAACACTGAGCACAGGTTCTGAGGAACACAGTAAAACTTCAGTCAACCAGGTCACAACATTTTTATCTGTACACACCCAGCAGATATATTTACTCAACATAATGCAAAAGTTCATCATGGGGGGCTAAAACTTTTTTTAAAATGCAAAAATATTGAGGAAACAGAAAAAATTATCATGAAAAATATGTTCACGCAGGAAGTTCAGGAAATTCAGAAATATGTTCAAAAACATTAGAAGATTTTTCGAAGTGTATGAAATATCTTCGTGTTTTCTTGTGTAATTGTTTTTTTTATTTTTTATTTTTGGCAGCATTTATAAAATGTTTTTGCAGTTGTCCTTCAGGGACAAAGTAGATTTGGGGCCAAAACTATGAGTTTAAAAACAGATTTAAACTTGAGGTTGAAGAGCGTTTACCAGACTTTTGACAGAGGCTAAATGAGCTTGAGGGAACATGCTGTTAAAGACGACGAAAGCCCCTGTCCTCTTTTGCACATGCACTGCAGTCTATGAGATTTACAGCATATAGAGGTTGTAAGGGTGGAAACACACAATCACACACTTGCTTGATTTTCTTTTAAGATTTTCAGCTCCAATGTAAGTTTGAGTGCAGATCATCAGCTCTGTCCCTGTAATGAGAAGCTGCTGGGGGAACTTGTCCTGCAAACAAGCTAGGCTAGTTTTTGGCTAAGCTAATTTGTTGATTTTGAAAGACTGACTCAAATGCTCATCTCTGTTTCTACAGCTCTTTACTTGGACATCAGAAAGTTAGTTTGCTTATTTTATTTGCCGACTCCCCTGCCTACAGCGCACTGATGAGTTGTTTGATCTGTGGGCTTTGAAGGGACAGACGAAATACTGAGAGATTCTGACAGAGCAATTGTCATGCTGTTTACACACATTGATATATTTGTGAAAAGGAGTTTACAGAGGAATGAAGTCAGGCCTGAAGGAAACAGTGAATATACCTTTATGCTAACTGGAGAGCAGGAGAGATCCAAGGTTACCTGGTGGTTCAGGTGTGCTAACAGTGAGCTAATGCCCACAAGAAACAGAGAAAACTCCTGTCTGTCAGGAGGGAGACTTGGTACCAATAGTACCTCTGGATCTTTGAGAGTCCAAATCTAGCTGCAGTTCACACACGCCTGCAGTCTGAGACCTTCACCAACCAGAGTCCACTGCTGTACCGAAGACTGACTGCTGTTTGTGACCGACTTTCTGCAACTTTTAGAAGTTCAATCAGAGAAGCAGAATGGAAGAGCGTCTTCAAAGGAAGAGTTCAGCTCTTGGTGTTTTTTATTTATTTACAGCATGACAGCACAACTAGGGTTGAGTTAGGGTAGGGATATTGGCACAAACTTGGGCATGACAAATTTTGCATTCAGCTGCAAAGTCTTTTTTGGACTTCAATGAAAAATACTGCCACACGGCCGACATGTGAGTACCTTAGTACACACACTGTTGTTGTGATTTTGTGGGCTCTACATGCTGGATTTTGGCGCTGTTAGATAGAGGCGCTGGAGCAAAATCTACACTGACAGCTGCTGAAGCTGAAACTGCACTCATCCCTGTGTCTACAGGCTGATCTGAGGCATTTGGTGGTAAACATCATGCAAAACTGAGGTGTGAAATATAAAACTTCATAACATTTAAGTGACTTGTACATCTGATTAGTTGACTGTGCTGGATGCGGAATAACACATCTGTGTGTATGCATATTTAACCCAAGATGTGTGTTTGTTTGGGATCTCTCAAAATTAGCTCAATTACTTGGCAGATTCGACTTTGGCCGCAGAAAGTTGTAGCCTAGCTTGAATACCACTTCCACACATTGGTAGTTTTTTTTACTGATGGTGCAGACATGGCCAGCATCGATGTGGTTAATACACTCAATGTAGACATTTAACCCACACAACCTCACTTCAGCTGATTCAGCGTGGAAACCTGATCTGAGTATAAAAATACCTACGATACCAAAAATGGAAAAATGAAGTTCATCAGCAAAGCTCGGTTTCGACTTGACAAAGCTTCCTTATTGCAGGACAAAGTAGTAGTTTTGACAGCAGAGCCACTTATTATCACTTGGAAACTGCTTTCAGCTCGTACTCTCAGATCTCACAGAGACTGTGAGGTTGTTTTCAACAGAGAAGTGAAGGAGATTGATCTGAATTTAAGATATTTAGGATCTCGAAACACCAGCTCGCTACTACAGGGGGAAGGTCAGTGAAGCATGGACTCAACTGCTCATGCTTAAGACATCGGTTCAGCCTTCGTAGAAAACAACCTCTCTGATACACACTCCTCTGTAACTGTAGCCAAACTACATTAGAGTATCCTGTAGCTGAGCTAGTTCAGGAGATTTAATCACTTTGAAATCCCTGAACATCAATAAATGCTGATGTTTGGTCTCTTAGAGGCAGAGGAGGAGGAAGAAGGTAGCAGCAGCTCTAAATGTAAGACACACAGGATGTAAATAGATGAATCATTTAGGTGATACAAAGTCAAACAGGAAAAATCAGCCAGCAGCTGTGCGCCTACCTTCTGGTCTGTGCTTCCTTCTTCGCTCTTGTGCTCGTTTTCTGTTTTAGTCCCACTGTCCTCGTTCTCAGAGTGGCTGTCTGAAGCAGTCCTGTCAGTGCGAGGAGCTGAATGTTCATCACTCTGCTCTGTGCCGCCGTCCCCCATGTCTCCGTTTACCAACCCTGCCGTCTCTATCCTCACGCCATCATCCTCCCTCTCCTCTTTCTCCTCCTTCTCCATCTGCACTACTACCCCGTTAGCTGCCAGTTTGAGAGCATCCTGCAGCTCGGCCGGAGCGGGGGAGTGGTTCTCCTGAGTCCCGCTGGAGTCCGTCTGCCTCTGCTGGGCGCGGTGAGCCGGGCTGCAGTTGGCTGACCTGCTGATCTGTTTGATCGGCGAGCCGTCTCTCTTGCTCTCTGTGTTGCTGGAGGAACAGAGGACAAGGCAAAGGAGGAAGTCGGTCAGAAAGAGTTAGCTGACTACAGACAGGAGAGAGAAAAAGGAGGCAGCTTACAGGAGAGTGCGCGCAGAGACTCGACGGTAAGCCGAGAGATTTTTCACGTGAGTGTGAGGGTTAAAAATAAAACTGTGAGGTGCACAAACTTCTGCAGAGGAAGTGTGTGAGAGCTCAGGAGGACAGGAGGTACAGTAAGAGAGGAGGGGGAGAGCTACAACACCAACCCCCCTGAGAAAGAGCATGTCCTACTTCCAAGGAGAGTTACTCACTGTGCTCTTACATCTCTCTCATTGGTCGATTGAACATGAATGTAACAGGAAAAACAGTTTCAAGATGATCTGAAATACAGCCCAGGAATGGAAGCTCAGAGATTAAGACAAACACACACACACACACACACACACACACTGACATGCATGCACAAAGACATTATTCATCCGCTCTACATCCTGTACCAGCAGGCAGCACAGCTGTTTTCCTGCAAACAACCCTGCAGACCTCCAGTCATAACTGTAAGAAGAAACCAGCAGCACAGTAGCTGCTGTATCTAAACTCCGATCTCACTTCTGCTGTGAAACTGACCACAAATCGGATCTGGGAAAATCACCCAGAGGACTGCATAACTTACTGAAAAGCAATGGGAGATGCAACAAGTGCAATCTCACCTAATCTGATGCAAAACAAGCTTGAGCCATGCAGGTGATTTTTAGATTGAGCGTTGTTCTGCGCTGAGTGTCACTGTCCGGCAGAAACAGGAAGTATGTAAAAATAGAGGAAGAACAGGCCAGTGAAAAACTCCACAGATGAATCACTTCTGGGCCGTCAGCCACCGTTAGGGTCTGAGACGTTAGGGTCTGAAACAGAACAGTCCATACTCCTCTGAGCAGGACTGAATCATACTGAACCTCATGGCAGATACTGTTTTCTGGGGCTGTGAACAAGAACCTGGTGAAATGACATCCTGAGACAGGGGTGATGATTTATGCTTTATAAGGATATATTGGGATACTTTGCACATGACAATAAAGAATTATAAAATCGTTTTTTTTGGAAAAACTTTTAGGGTATAAAGAACACGTCACATGCATTGAAAAAGTTTATCTTTGGGGAATCACTCAAACCAGTTGGTCGAGCTTCAGTATTTCACAGTTCCTACTATGTTACATTTCGGAGTGACTAAATCCTGTATCCTCAACTTTAAGTCAAGAAGATACGGCCCATATCAGGGCTATCAGGGCGCAGATCTTTGCACGCAAAATGCATTATATTCTTTGCATGAGTTGAGGTGTTTCCTTTACAAGGAACTTGTTACTCTAGATTAAGTTTCCTCTGCTTTTGCTCAGCAGATAAATGAAGGGTGTAACAGTAAAAAAAGAGGTGTGGTCATCTAGACTCTCAGTTTGGTTTGGTTTCAACACATGCGACAAATGTAAGGTCCCTTTCTTTTGCTAAAATCTTAAAGAAATTAAAGACTAATCTCACATTATAAAAACTAAAATTTTTGAACCAAAATTATCAGCTTGTGAAAAATGACTATCCTTTTTTTTTTTGTTTAAATTACATTTTATGCCTTTATTTTGAAAGGACAGGGTGGTGGACTGAGCAGAAATTGGGGATGACGGCATGGAGTGACATGTATAAATCAAACCAGTGGCACCCCATGGATGAAGCTGTTGCTCTGTTTTCTCCTGCTCCTCTGCTGTCTGCACATCAGAGCTTCACAGGGACTAAATCTACATGGAATGGTCAGAATCACTTTATTTTCAGCCATTACGAGCTCTGACGGCCTCCAAAGGTGGTGGCATATTGCACGACATGTGAAGAAGCCACCTGACTAGTAGTGTTAGCCCATGATGATAAAGAATAGGATCGATGTGCTGAATCAATAACTGTTTAAATATCAATATCTTACCAATGTGTTGTGCAAAACTGTGTTAAAAATCAAAGGATGTCTAGTTCACCTTTACAAGTGTAAAGTAGGACATTTACATCATTTTGGCATGATAGCCATGGTCCAGTCGGGTCAATGCATCTGTCTTTTGTTGCTTGTTGGGTTTGACTTCTCAAGAATGGATCAGGAGAGTATTTACGTCAGGACCACTTCAGTCAAAATTAATTCATTCTGAAAACAGTTGTTACATTTGGTGCGATGACTCGGCTCTCAGAGTTCCCTGCTCTTCCATGCGCTCGCATTGAATGTCTCTTTCATGTGCATACATGAAAAGCCAAGGTAGGCAGAGCATCAGCGAAGAAGACATAAAGATCCCCCACAGAACAGAGCAAGCATCAGTTTAAACACATGACACTAAAGGAGCTGGTTTGGAGGTGAGTTGCAGCAGACAGAGTAGGCAGACAAAGCAGGTTAAATAAAGCACCATTTAGACATTTGCCAATTGGATGTGTAAAGGGCAATAAGCGGCGCTATCAGCTGACTGAGGCTAGTTTAGGATCAGCTGACTGTAGTCTTAAGCTTGACTTCATCTCCTGCCTGAACTACGCCATGTTCATTTCATTCTTGTTTCAGACTGTTGTAATGATTCACAAACTGAGAAGAGTACTCAAATCTTCACAAATATCCCATTAAAATACATTCAACAGACAAAATGTGTGATTAATTATGAGTAAACTATGAACAATCACACTATTAATCACAATTAAATATTAATGGATTCTCAGCCAGTCTCTCCTCATGAAATACAGACTTATTTTCTTACATCTGGACTGTTTTTTAAACCATTTTCATGAGAATACACACACAAAAACACACAAAATATTGCTTTGTGTTAGTCAGTAGTTTTTCTTTCCATACAAATAACACAGTAAACCCTCCAGCAAAACCAAACAGTTTCCAAACGGGTCTAACTAGATGAGAATTAGGCACTGCTTCACCTTCCATGTGGCCGTCTCCTCATGTGCCTTCAAGGCAGCCTAGCGCCATGTGAACCAGATTAGTATATTAGTCGGCTAATTCTGTTCTCTCAAGCCTTTCTCCTCTTTCTTCTCCAAGGCCACTTGAAGGCTAATCCTCACTGCACCACAGTGTCTGAATAAAAAAGAAACACACTGTTTTTCTGATTAACTTTGATTCAAGGCTCAGGAACATGAGCAGGAAAGGAGACAGGGATTCAGTTTGAGATTTCTGACTCTGTTTTTCAGAGGAGACTGGAGAGGAGGCAGAATTGAAGGCTGAAAAGACAGAGGAACTTCAGTGGGCATACTGCTGCAGAGCAAATATTTTAGGGCTCACTGTATGAGCAGCTGGGGACAAGGGCACCATTGTTGTGCCTCCCTCAAAAAGAGGGGGCTGCAGAAACTGACCAAAAGAACTTCGAAATGCATAAACAAGGAGGAAGCTATGATACTAGATAACTCTCAACTCTCAATCAGCACAGAAACGTCTGGGAAAAGCAGAGCCAACAGAGCACTTATCTCATCATGTGGCTGTGAGATCTCAGATCAAACACTGTAAAGTTTAAAGAGGAGATCCTACCTCTTCCTGCCCGGCTTCATCTCATAACTCAGAGTCTGGTCCCACCACTGAATGAGGAGCTGTGTTTCCCCTCGTCTGTACAAATCTCCTTTCATCCCCTTACTAACGCTTGGCTCGTGGAGCTTGGGCTAATCTCTGCTCGTCCTGTCTGCTGCGTTACTATCAATGAGTCAGGCTCAGGGCTTTAATCGAAGCACTTCTGCTTTTTTCCTCCTTGAAATAACCGGCAGTAGGAAACGTTAGGAAAGACAAAGTTTTCCGTCACTGTGATTGCAAAAGGCTAAATGAGGTTTCAAAAGCTTTTAAGTGACGCAAGATGAGTGAATCAACCTCCTAACATGTTTATATGTTACTATTTTAAATCAGATCAACTTTCACTCAGGAAATTTACAGATTGATATTGGAGGAAATCAGCAGTTTTTCAGCTCCAATTCAATCTCCTTTCCTCAGATCTACAACCCCAGAACGAAAAAGTTGATTATAAACGCAAATTCTGCTTATAATCAACTTAAATTCTGTTGATTATAAACTTAAATTCTATTTATAATCAACTTATTTTTAGTGCCACAACTTTTTGGATCCAACATAAAGATATTGGATCAGTAAAAGAGGGTCTGAATCATCAGCTTGGGAAGTGTTTTCGGCTCCATTTGTGGTCAGTTTGTATCATCAGTAAATTTCATCTCATAATCAATCACAGACATGGATTCACGTGGGCTTAAAAACAGACATCTTTCATAGTTATTAAAAATTCAGAAGTCTTCAGATAACACAGATCCTGTGGGAATAATTCTTAATTCAGTTTTCACAGTGAAGCAGAGACTCACCTTAAATGGATTAACAAGCATTACTGGGGGTGTAATGACACAAGAAATGATGGCTCTCATTTTGCAGATATAAATTTGCTTCCCTTTAATCTCGACCCACAATCGTTTCTCGAGTTGCTAATTAATATTTAACAATATAACACACAGAAAATAAAGTTCTGCCTGGAGGTCCACGATATAACAAACTAACTGCACCAGAATAAAAGCAAAGTTGGCTCACTCTGTCCTGGGATAATAGCAGACTCCCATATTGACTTCAGACCAACTTCCACTAAAAAATAACAAAGACAATTGCTGGATGAAGTTTACAGGTTAGCACAAAAACACATAATCACTCTGTGAAAGACAACAACACACTTCCACGGAGTAAAGAGCTCCTACCTGTTCTCCTCAAAGCGGCTGATGAGGTTTGAGACTTTGGAGTGTTTATCCCTGACTCTCTCCCTCGTCGCAGCCCCTCTTCCTCCCCCTCCTCCTCCTCCTCCCTCCTCCATGCTTGATCTGAGCGGGGGTTTTTGGACGCGGACCCACGTAGGGGTGGGCTCCGTCACCGGGCTTTGGAGGTGTGGTGGCTTTGGAGGCACTGAAGAAGACAGAGTAGATGGACAGGTTGATGGACATGAATGCATTGATTTTTCTGGAGCAACATGGAGTGAAGACATACAAGTTTGCTCACAAAGAAACAGGAATTTGTTTTGACTTGGATGTGCAAATGTATTTAATTTATACAGTTAAGATGCTTCCTACACAACATACAAATAAAAAATGTTGATAATCAGAAAATATAGTTTATGCATATGGTCAGTTTTGACCTCAGGGGGGCAGCATAAGCTCCAATCTGACACCACACAAGAGGGAAACCTGAATTTAACATCCTCATAAGTCCTGCTCGGTGAAGAATAAATACAGTTTTAATTAAATCACAAATCAGGCGCCGGGAATCGACTTTCCTCCATGATAAACAGCTGCAGAGAGAACAGAGCGAGAACAGAACTCTGTCTCTGCTCTTATCTCTGTCCAATAATTTACCCACTGCAAATAAAAAAGGAACAATGCTCAGGGTTCACAGGTCACATAAAACCTTACATAACAATGTTCCTGTTTTTGCTGTTTCACTGTGAGGGGCCTGAGAACCGGCACAATGATAATATAAACTATGGAGTGATTAAACTTGTTGCCAAAACACTTGTGATAGTTTTTCCTACTTTTGAGTTTTTTTCAATCTACGGCTCAAACCGCTCAGAGAAAAACTACATATAATTACATTAATCCTTTTTTTAATTAAATTAGTTGACTCAAGATATATATTTGGAGTATAAAGTATGTTGTTGGTGTTGGAGTGATTATTAACAACAAACTGAATAAAAGCTTCTTGAAGTGTTTTCAGTGTTTTCAGTGAGTCACAAACTTCTCTGAGAGCAGAATGAGATTTTTGGTCAGAAAATCCAATTTTCAGCACAAGATCAGCAAAGGGAGAAGTGGTATTAGTTTGTCCACAGGGGGCGCCAAATCAACACAAACTGAAACTTCCTCACGGGAGCTTTAATTTATTCTAATTCATTTTTGGAGGTGTTTTGTTTTACCTTTTTAAACGTATGATTTTTGCATGATTTTTTGTTACATATTTGCGTCATATTTTAAGAGAAAATAAAGATTCAAAACTATTTTTGCAGTGATCCTGTCCTGCACACACTCAATAATATTTGAGTAGTTTTTTTGTTCAACCCATTGTATGTCCAAACTAGCTGTGGCTAAATTTAAGAAAGGCTTGTGCTGCGATTGCTTTGTCTGGATCTGAACTGAGTCAGTGTCAGCACAGACAGGAGAAGTCAGTCCTCTGAATAGTGACCTGGTTTACTTTTGTAGGTCAGACGGAGTCATCAGGATTTAATTTGGACTATTTCAAAACCAGTTATCTCCTCACAGCAAGTTCAAGTAAAGGATCTCAGTGCTGTTTACGTCAGTCTGAGCATGTTGTGATCCCTCAGTTGTGGCCGAAAGTCCTGAATATTGTTTTTATTATTATTATAACTATTATTATTTCACAGGGGATAACAATTTACAGATACATACACAGCAGGATAGCCACTCTGATACAACTGGACATTGATGAGTCAATACTTTCTCACTCACCACACAGATGAATCACACACTAATACAACTGCGTCCACTGACACTCCCACTCTGCAGTGCTTGGCTCAATCATTATGAGTCAGTGTGTACCTTGTGGTTTAGACTGCAAGCCCGGCCTGCTGGCAGGGACACTTCCATTGACCCCTTTCCTGTTCCTGTCTGTCCTCCCGCCGCCTGCTCGGCTCAGACACGCCTGAACGCTGGGCAGGGCGCTGTGCTCGCACGCCGGACTGCTGCCGAGAGCTGATGGGCAGAGAGAGAGAGAGAGAAAACACAACCATGACAACAAGTCCAAAACTCCTGAGTGCAGTCAATGAAGTGAGAGAAAATGATAACAACTTTGTTTCTACTGTTCCTTGACAGACAAAGACCAAGAAGTGGTTTTAAGAAAACAAAGACAACCGAGTAAGAACAAAGTAAACAAAGTAAAGTAGGTGAGGAACTCAATCACAGCTTAAAACAACACCAGAACCCACAGACACAAACCGTACCAATGTTAAATATGCGATCAAAAACAACGGAGGGCGCAATGACTGTAAACCATTAGAGTAAATTAACCAGTCCTTCAAAGTCTGTTCATAAAAATGGATTTTAAAAAGGGATTTCAAAGGAAGAACTGATGGGCTCAGATGAAAAAATCATAGTCTAATACTTTATAAAGATTTTGACAGTGTACTTTTTCCCCTCTAGACAGAGCAAAAAGAAAGAGATGTTGATTTGGAATTTAATTCATGCCCTAAAAATGGTTTAATCTTTCCATACACAACCAACCAAAAGTGCTGAGGATGCTTTTTGACATAACCAGAATTTCAGAGCGCCTTTACCAGCATTTACTGTTGCCAGGTTACGAAAGTGGCAACTTCTGCAAATAAACTTGCCATCATGCTGTAAATCTCTGCTTGTTCTTAATGAGTCGAATCCTCCATCTCTTGTCCCGCCTGCCGTCAAACCTCGTTCAAACGCAGGGTCCGCTGTGTACCTTAATTTCTGTAAATCTGCTCATACCAAACAGCTGCGGGCTAAACATCGGAGGGTGTCAGACAGTTCAGCAGATTATCCAGCTAATGATCCAGTTGATGATCATCTCCAGCGAGGCTTTTCCCTCGACCAGCTGGCCACAGATGGTTCAGCGTCAGTGTTTAGAGAGAGAGCAGACAGACCGGTTTAATGGAGCGACAGGCACAGACCGAAAGTGTTTACAGTAGCCTCAACCTACCCCTCTTTGACCTCTCACATACACACACATACACACACATACATGGCCATTGTGTGTACTTAAACATGCGGCTCAGAGAGGCAGATGACCATCTATGGTCCTAAATAACTGGGAGTTAATAGGTGCTCTTGTTGTTTTAAAACCGTTGGTTCATTAGTTTCCATTTAAGGTGGACTTTTAAACATCCGTGTGTGACTTAATCAGAGACACTGATGCATGGGCTGGATGTAGAAATCAATGTAGCTCTGTGCAAGGTTAACATGCAGAATTAAAGAGTGTGTGCAGAGGAATAAAAGATGCAGACTCTGTTTTATCAAACTCTGATCTTCCTCTGTTGGAGCACAGTTAAGTAAACATGGACGGTAATTGACCGTTCTTATGAATAGATCTCTACTGAAATGTCTAAATTCTTAAACAGAGGCGGTTTAATGTCCATGAAACAGATTTGGCTTCAAGCTTCTCCACTTTTCTGGTTGTTTTAATTCATCTGATCAGATTTGTGTTGATTTGACCCTTTTCTGAGGACACTGCTGAATGTATTCTTCTCTTCTCCTAATGTGGCGCAGAACGGCCAAGCACGTAATTAGGAGAGATTCCTGAGGCGGCCTCCAGGATTAATTGGTAATTTCAGAGCCTGAAGTTAACTCTAAAGTTAACAAGTCAGAACATGACCACTTGAGTTTATCTAAATTCAACACTGTGCTTGCAACAATCTTAGTGACATAAAAGTAATACTTAAAATACATGTTTTAACGGTAATGAATTACTGAACTTAATCAAATCTTGTTTTCTCCAAGATAAATTCATAAATAATAAATGTAATCACTCCGTAGTATTAAACAAGTTCTCTTTATGTAGTTTACTGGTCCAAAGGGCACCTGCACACGAGCCCGCATGTTTGTTTAAATGTGTACTCAATGGTTAAAGATTTGCTAATGACACTTTCAGAAATACAAAATGATGAATACATGTAGTTTCAGGTGATGATGAGCCAGGCTTGACTCTGTCTGCACACTTCTCAAGTATCTGGATGATCTAAAGGTCCTCACTCATATTTTTGTCCCCAGTCAAAGCTTCAGTTTTCGTCATGGATAACCACAAACACCGTCATGGCTGTTGCAATAACAACTAAAACAAATGTTGATATGGTGCTAAAAATAGGCATACAGCAGTGCTGTCTAAGTACCTGATTTACATCAGGGGGCGGTACTGCTTCTTGCGAAGGGCAATAAAACAAGGAAGGAAGAAGAGAAAGCAGCAGAAGAGGCAAAACAAAAGATAAATAGAGGACAAAGTGGTCACCTATTACATAGAGCTATCAACATGATTCAATGCAAACTAGCTAGATAAAGATATTGTGCACAGCATAGACAGTCTGTTTTTTTTTTTTTTTTTTGGTAAGAACAAGTAAAACTGAGAGTCTGAAATATTCTCACTTCCTTTTTTTGGTAGCAACACTAAGGAGTTTGCATGACTACATACTTAAGAAGAATATTTTTATCATGGTGTTGGTATTCAGCATGCTAAACAACTCGTATGCCTCTACATCTGCTGTACACTGCATAACACTGTGATATGGTTGACTATATTTAATAAGTTGTGTGGAAAATCCATGACTTGGAGAAAGAATGTGATTGTTATTACTATTGCGATGGGAGAACTCAACTATCTCTTTCCATCAAGTCATCAAGAATCTTTGAAAATTCACCCACAGAGATTATTATGAATTTGCATCTCTAACCAGGCTTTAAACATGTTAAATCCTGCTTAAAAAACAGACATTACAATATGGATTCTGTTGGTGACAGCCCCTAGTGGACACTTGAGTAACTGCAGTATTTTGAACACTGAAGGACCCTGCAGGGGTATAACTGATATAAAAGTACCTAATTGAAGCTTGAGTGTGTAAACAACTCCTCTCAGAGTAAAAAATGTATGTCCTATATGTGGTGTTACTACGAGCCAAAAATGCAGCCTGGGACCCCTTCTTTATAGTCCCTACAGTGATCTTTATCATAGCAGTCCTGGAACAGAAAGAGAAAATAACAACCACAGAATCATATAGTCACAGTTTCTATTTTTACAGCCTGACCGTAATTAGAGACAGCAGTTTGAGAAACTGTCTGAGTGGAAAGTGTCCCACGCTGTGTTTGGGACAGCAGACTTTCTAAACACGGCCATGAAATTACCGATCAATCCTGGAGGCCGCCTCAGGAATCTCTCCTAATTATGTGCTTGGCTGTTCTGTTCCACATTAGGAGAAAATGCGAATACATTTAGTAATGATTTACACACCATATCATACATGTTTAAGGCTGAGATGAAGTCTCTGCAGACTGAGCTCCATTTAAGGCAGTTTTCTGCAGGTTTACCGAGGTCCACCCTCCACAGCCTGAATCTGTGCAGCAGACTTTCACTTCACACTGAGCATGTGCAGATATTTCAGGTATCTTAAGTGTTAAGAGTGCAAGATAAGAAAATAGAGATCAGATCAGAGATTTCTGTTCAGAGGACTTGAAATAATACGAGACAAAAAGTCTAAACTTTATCTTAAAGCTTTTTAAAAAAATCCGACACAAAATTCAGTTTCCTTTTCACTCCAGAAGCAAGACACTCTTGTGGCAGCCTCCATATACAGTATGTTTGGCTGGAACATCACTTGGTTAAGACAAGATCCCAGCTAACAGCCTATAAAATCCCCAAATTGTGTTTGTACGCACAAACACAAAAGCTGAAGACTAAACATCATCAAAACCAGGACAAGCAACATCTCTTACTGCTCTACCCACTGAGCAATAGTCGGCTATTTGACGTCTAGTTTCTTTTTTAGACCTAATTTCAATCGTCTAGATTCTGTATATTTTTAGACGTAATATAGATGTTGCACTTTAACCTATTATTCGATAACTATTTATTTCAAAAAGCATTTGTGATTTGCATAACTGATCTCCAAGTACCTAACCAAAATAATTACGATAGCCGTTGAGCAACATACAGTATAGTATAGCTAGAGACCAGATTTAGATTTAGTCTAAACTTGGTCTAAATTTAGACATCTAAAAAACTTTCATTTTTAGACCTGTGGGAGCCTGATTTGAGACCACTCTTCTAGGCTACATTTAGATATCTATTAGACCTCTTTTAAACCAAAAAATACTCAGTGGGTATTCCCCAAACCAGAGCCGACCATGTTGATCTGTGGGATGAAGCTCCCACCAGCCTACATTGATAAGCAACACACACAATAGTGCATGCCCGATAAGATTTATTATCATTGAACATGTAAAAAACACATGTACTATGTGTCATGATAAACAAGCTATTTAGCCACATGTGTGATATTAAAATTTTCTTTAAACTCTGTGTTCTAAAGGTATCTGCCTATTGTGAACATAACAGAGCACAATATGAATTAAAACTGTGATTTCTGAGAATAACAAGCAACATTTGTGCTCAGTCATGATGAACACAAACACTACGAGCACTCAAAAGCAGGTGTAGACTTTGTTCATACCTAAAACTCATGGTGGATTAATGAATCTTAATGAATTACGAAGTGCGGCTGCTCTCTGTGTGAAGTGTCTGCAGTGAACTGTTGCTGATCTCTCATCTGTTTTCTGAAATATGGAGACGATGTAACAGAGCAGGTTCTGTTTCAGTAAATAAAGGATCAACTCCACTTCCTTTCCCAGAACTGCAGTTTCTTGGCAGGAACTGCTGCTCACACTCACGCTGGCATCTTCTCATTAAACTGGCTTGGCAGAAGTGTCAGACTGTGTATAGTAATTTAGAGGCAGAAAACAACCACCCAGCAAAAACACTTTGATTCCCCTCCTCCATCTGTGAAGGAGCCCTGCTCTCTGCACCTAAGACGTGCCAATAACAAGAACAGAAAAGTGACTCCTGCAGGAGAAGCAGGTGGGTTTCATATCATCAAACAGAGACATTATTTAGCTTTTTTTAATCTTAAATGACACCTACTGTATAGATTATCTGCGTCACAGACAACCACCGAAACTCTGCTGCTGCAGCCTAATGAGGAACTTTAGACTGAGACCGAGACTCAACCTTTGCTCCTATCCTTGTTAGAAGATGCTGAGATTTGTTGCATTTGTTGCCATCACAACCGTCACTTTCACCTAATGAAGGTGCAAAACTTACTTTACTCCATGCACTGAGCCTGAAGGCATCTCAATCATTAAAAAAAACACAGCTTGTACGAGAACAGGGAAAACCTTCAAGTCAAGGTTAGAAGCAGCATAGGTAGAAAATGATTTGCAAAGAGCCCAGCGTCTTCTGACTTTATAACATCCCCAAAAACCAACCAGCTCTCTGTGGTTCACCTGAGCTCAGTGTGTCTTGTATATTATGTGTGTCTGTGGTCAACGTTGTGGTGATGCTGCAGCACCAGAGAATTGCCCTCCAGCTGCAAAGGAATGAGTTTACCACAAACCAGCAGAGGAGCATGAAGGAATGTAACAGACAGAAATATCCTCCTCTGCAACAACAAAAAAAAACAAGCCCTGTCCAAAAATAGTGAATCATCCAAACTCATGTCCAACATTGTTCGCCTCTGGGGACGACAAAGAGCAAAGCTTTTTTAGTCGAATAAATCTTCAGACGCTAATTTTGTTACTCTAAGGTTGGTTTTTGGAGCTGTCTGACAATCCTGCTTTTTTAATCTGTGATCATCTGATAAACTTGTCAGTAGTAAGTGCCCTAACCATTGGGTTTCCCCGTCAGCTTGACCTCTTTTTGAGATCAGGTTTTGTTTTTAATGGCTGCCATCAGAGAGTCAATTAGTTGCAGCACGACTCGTTTGATGAGACTTTTGCTGGACTTTAACCAGCAAGATGTCAGTCACATGACCTGAAACATTTCACGTGTCACCAGTTTATTGTTTTCTATTGTTTTCTGTAAACTCCGAGTCTGTCTTAAATCACTGTAAAGCAGCCTCTCACTTAAACACAGAACATTCTCTGCGGTGCAAACACAATCTGTATCTGTGTGTCATAAGACTGTAAAATGTAAACATGCACATGACACCACTATTGGCAAATCCTCAATTAAATAAGACAGGTTTAAAGACGGTGGATTCTGTTATACCTCTAATAAACATTATGGGCAAATTTATACGTTTAGTTTTAGTCCCATGGTGACCTCTAGGCAGATCTTAAAAATGTTATCCAATGTAAGTAAGTAAAGTTTATATATAGAGCGCTTTTCACAGATAAAAATCACAAAGCACTGTACAAAAAATAAGTGAAATTAGGTAAACATAAAACTGTACAAAAGATAAGTACATATAAGTACACAAATACAAATACAAATACAAATACAGTACAAGTGAATATGGAAATAAGTGCAGATATAAAAGCTAAGTTGATCAAACAGAGGGAGAGGGGCAGATCGTTCCAGATTCTGGGGGCGACAGTCTTAGAAGCCCGGTCTCCCAAAGTTTTAAAACGGGTCTTCAGCACCATTGGGGTGTTCTGGCTTGACATGTTCAGATATTTTACTTAAGACTAAAAAGAGTGATATCAGGAGTCAGAGGTTCTCTAAAGTCAGTATATGGAGATTCTAAAATGCTCCAAAGCTTTATGTGACTCTTTATATAATTAAAGTCAGAAACAAAGTGGTGGCCTGATACAAACCAACTCTAAAAAGATGAATACATCGCAGCAAGCTTTGCTAAGTACAAGCCAACCTTTTAAACACCCGTGCCTAAAAAAGACTGATATGTTTCCTTTTTTTTCTTCTGAACACAGAAACAAACTTCCTCGTGTTTGTGGCCGAGTAGGTGTGCCGGTTAATCTCCAGCCAACCTCTCAGACAAACACGAAGAGAATGATTAATAAAAGTTCCTACCAAACATTCATGACTAACCTTCACCTGACAGCTGCCCTACCTTACCTGATTCCTACACGTCCCTCGTGTCGCTGTTTCTCTCCCACCCCCCCCAAACCTCCTCTGGCTAAATATATGTTGATACCTCAGAGTGAGAGCTACAGGTGAGAAAACAAAGGGCAAACCTGTCTGTGATGCAATGAGTCCCCACCCCACAGCCCAGGACAGCAGGCTGAGGAGTGTCTGACACCGCTCGAAACTCAAGCTTTGTGTGCGTGACCCCAAGGGCAGTGTTTTTGTGTCAAGAGGAAAGTCTGAGAGGACTTTCTAGTCTTTCTGCTCCTTTTACATGAACAGATTTTCATTCGGAAGACTGTCTGGGTAACGTATACACATTTATAACATCGTTGGAAATGACTGAAAACAAAGGGGAAAATAGAGATATAAGAGAGGGAAAGTTAACAGCCATGCCTGATCAGAAATTCTTTCAATTCACAGACATATGCTGACCATAATTCATCATAAAGCTCTACGACTGCGTCAAGTACAAAAGAGCAAAAACAGAGTCTAGAGTTCTCTGAAAGCAACAAACTGTTTTTAAATCAAAAGTTTAGCCAGTTTGAGCAGGTAAACACTGTGTCAATGTCACATTTTCATAAATCAACAGTTAAGAAAGAGGTAAACAAACCTGCAAAAGCTTGTTTTAACCTTTACAAACATGAAATCAGCTGCAAACCCTCCAAAAACAAAGACATCAAGAAGTGTGATACACCAGGAAAGAGAAGAAACACTACGCAGACAAGTTAGAAATCACAGTGACTGAACTCACCCAGCGCTTGGGATGGATGGGAAAACAGCTGTGGAGTGTATCCTCAGTGAGGGACCACACTAATGTGAGTGTGTGTTTGTGAGAGAGAGTGTGTTTCTCCCTGAAGAGGACCAAGTTTAGATCTGGTGAGAGCTTCCCATGCAGCTCAGAGGCAGTGAGTCAGATCAACGAGGAAACTCGCAGAGCTGCACGAGACTCCTCCTTCACACACTCTCTCTCACACACACCCTCTATTTAAGTGGCTTTAAAAAGTACAGAAACACACTGACTGATACACACACCCCACAGAAACTGACACACATTAAAAAACAACAAAACATCAGTACTGCAGTTTAAGCATTTGCTATAAAAATCCTGCAAAAAAACACAGTTTATTACATTACCTTAGGAAGTTTTTAATATATACAGTCACTCTGCATGCACATTTGACCTATTCGATGGAGGCTTGGGTGTTATAGTCATGCTTTTACATCTTTATGAGTAGTCATTGAACCTCAGATGAATCTGTGATGATTTAGCAGTAAAAAATACTTTTTAGATGAAAACGCAGTAATGTTTAAAAAATGAGGAACAACATATAGAGATAGAAACTGAGATATGTTAGCAAATATCTGCTCTTTAAGATTTATTCATTTGCCAAACATTTCATAGAAATAATGATATTGAGATTTCCCAGTCATTAAGATGGGTCATTATATGCTGACTAGTCTGAAGGTGAGAAAGCGCTCTGTGCATTTTTAAAATGACTCAGCAGAGACAAAGTCTGCTAGAAAACAATGTCAAACCTGTTTGCCAGATGTTAGTACCATTAGCAGAGCTAGCACCACAGTTTAAAATCTAAATGTCTGTGCCGGTTACACACTGAAAAAAGTGAACGTGAAAGTGAAAGTCAAAAACTGTCCAAACCGGCAAACATGGCTTTACATGTGGTCAGGCGAACTCTATCAGATATGACTGCAGAGTGTTGCTAACGTTTATAGAGCTAGCATTTGGTCATTTAACTGCTTAATACTGACATGTTCTAGTTGGGTGGTTATAAAACTGTCTAGCTAGAAATAATCTAAAACTTTATCTCCATTTACTAGATCAAAATACTGACAAACACTGCTGTTCTATGAGATGTCTATCTGGATGTGCTTGTTTACATCCAGATAGTAGAGGATTACTGCATTATGACAGTAGCTCCTACTAGTGGCAGGTCGTAGCATTAAGGTTTGAACACCACATATGACCAGCATTTCAGGCCTGCAAGAAATAAAATACAATACATAATCGACATCACTAGAGTACAAATATGAATGCTTGATAACAGATGTGCTTACTAGGGATCTGCAATACTATGGGCATGATGTGGGTATCTGCATGTTAATACCTTCAGAAGCTACTGTGACCTCCAGGTATCAAAGTTTCTGCAAATATAATTATCCTCCAAATAGCTGACGCATTAATCATGTGCGCATAATCATAGCTTACATATTTGCTGTACAAAAGTATTCAAAGTGTCATGCAATGAAATGATGCCAATTCTACATGCTTGTATGAGACAATGGAAACAAAAGAGACAACACACTGTCCTAAAAAGCAGCTTGAAAGCATTTAACACAAGCTAAATAAGCTGAATCACTTTATGTATAAACTGGACCTGCAGTCAGTCTTTATCAGACATGCTAAACAGATCAGGGCAATTTTCTGACAACTTCCTGAAAAGCAGTTATCTAAGATCATAATACAATGGGCCACAGAGCATGACGTGCATTTCATTTTCAACCTTTCCCAGACCACATAGACGGGTCTTTGTTTCCTCTGATATTCATGACTGATCATAACACTGAACAATGTCGTCAAACAGACCATCTCTTTTTTTTTTTCTTTTGCACATGCCTAAAGTCAGAGTTTCTGGGAGACAGCTGAGTCAAGTTTGATCAAAATAAGGATAACATCACAAATGAACGTCACAAATTATAAAACAGACACTTCATTAATTGTGAATATGATGCAACTCTAAGATCTGTGCCTTTAAACTGTAAAAGCTACATGTCCAAACTTTGACACAGCTGTCTTCCTGCACCATGCAACCATCAAATAAACAGTGCTCAGTAAATTCAGAGTAGTAAATTTTGATTTAAATTCAGCAGTACATGCAAAGCTCCTTCAGATGAAGCATTATGAAAGTGCTCTACGGCTTCCTTCAACTTGATTTTCTCATTCCCCTAAACTAGATCAAAAATCAGTGATCTTATTAACCTTACTTGAAACAGAAGTACTAGTAAAGGACAAACCTGGTTATATAACTGCCGCTACACTCCTCATTCTGTATTCTGTCTACACCAACAGCATCAGTCGGTTACTCTGATCAATGATTAACAGACACAGTACAGCAGCCTGCAGCGCCAACACAAGCTCTCTCATGTGCTCACTAAAATCTAAATGAAGCCCCAAAGACTGATGGTTTATTTCAAACACCCAACTCATCGTCTGCTTCTCCTCAGGCCTGTTTCTAGAGCAAATATTTGAGAAATCAAAATGAGATTACCAAGAGAGGATCATCAACGAGTCTGCGTATGTCGAGTGAAATCCAACAACAACACATGACTTTAAATCTAAATGAACTCAGATGGAAATGAAACAAAGATCTCAATAAGTAGGTAGTGAGAGTGAGATACCTCTGGCAGAAGTCGCCACAGGGAAATGGAACCAAAGCTTCTCCATGTTCTATTTGTATCCTGAGTGTAGAGCTGCACCGGTGTCTCTGACTGTCAGACTCTCAGCGTCTGCTCTTCTGGGGTCTTGCTAATCTTTTTTTTTTTTTTTTTAATTTGAGACATCACTTCACCACAAGAGAAACAGCTTAACCCACTCAGGAAGTCTTCATTTACCCACACCTTCTATGTGACAGAAATACCTCTTGTCATCTCCTATCTCTGACAACATAAAACACGTTCATGTGTGCAGTTTAGAGTGAACATATTCCCACACACATGCTGCACACATTGTCAAACACCTGCAGGCTCACTGACAGGCATTATGCAATAGCAGAGCAGCATGAGGAGGAATGTTTTTCACCTCTCACAGTAAACCAGTTTGACCAGCACAAATTCCAATCACCACATTCCCTCCAGATTACCACCTCATTAAACTGCAGACACTCATGCACACCAACAACTGTGGGACGTTAGGTGCAAACATCTTTCTTTGCATGCTAAACATCAATGCAGCATGAGAAAAACTGCAAATATGACGCAATAGACACTGAATCTGCATTTTAATCAAACATTTCTTGAAGCCGCAGACATGAGTCAGTGTGGGGAGCAGCCTGCAGACTACACTTAAACTCTGACCCAAAACAGGGGCTGCACAGTGCTGCAGTAATCCAGGATATGTGTTTACGTCATGTGTACAAACCTTCAGTTTTGAGCAATACTTGATGGTGAATTGGTTGAAGTTTCGATACATAAATTCAAATTAATTTTCCACTTGTGTTCTGCTGAAACAACAATATTCTTAGCTTTAAGGATGATGAAACTTACTTTACTTTGTATCTGGCACTTTTTCATTGTCTGAAGTTCTTTCAGCATCATACTCAGCAAATAATCTATGCCTCAAAGACACAGAAACCAAACACACAGCAGTGGTCACATCAGCAGTGGTCCAAGTATGGACCCCTGTGGAACCCCACATGTACTTTCAAAGGGTTAAAAATTCAGTTGTAAGTCTGCCCATACTGATACCTGTCTTAGCAATCATGTGTCAGTCCTCTGACATCAAACCTTTGTCATTTAGACAGTAATTACTAATGAACAATGGTGTCAAATGTTTTTTGTAGGTCAACAATTTTCCTAACCGTGCGTTTATTTCTCTTGGTGACATTTGTAATTTGTTCAAACCTAACAGTGAGGTGGTTCTCTTTTGTTCACAGAGTATATTGTGCTCAGAAATAAAAACATTTTCGCCAATTACAAATGATTTTTGCCAATTTCTTTTCAACTGTGACTGCTCATTCTGCACAAACAATAAAACCACACTTTGCAATTCTTTTCTTTGTGTAAATTTTGCAGCTCTATTTGTCTTAAATGGTTGAAAAAGTGTGAAAAACACTGTCTGAGGACAAAAAGTGCTGCCTACCACCTTTCTGACACACACAGACAAACCTAGTTTCTGACCATTTCTGCTGCCCTATATCACTGAGTGAGATTAGAGTGTTGTTACTGTTTCTGTCTGGTACAGGAAGCACTTATTGTGTCCATCAAACAGTGGGTGTGCGTGTGTGTGTGCGTGCGTGTGTGTTGTTGAGTATGCTGACGGACAGGGTGAGAGATAACCACGAGGCATGTGGGATAAGCTGTTTTGGTAAAACTACCCAGACTTTCTTCAGATTATCTCTCCCTCATCCCCTAATCCAAGGGCCAGAGTGAGATTATAACCCTGGTATGCTCTCAAACAGGAGGCTCTAGTGATGGTGAGGGGACAAAAACAGCAGGGGGGGCTGATAAAAAAGGGTATGAAGCAAGAGGAGGATAAAAGATGGGAAATTCAAAGGAAAAGGTGTAGAAAAAGCTCCAACTGTGCAGAGAAAAAAAGTCTGATGAAACAGACGGAAGAAAGAAGCTATGAAGGCATGATGACAAAAGAGGGAGGAAATAGGAGACAGACAGATGGGGGGGAAGGATGGAGGGATTTATGGGCCAGAATGAGAAAGTACACCTGAAGAGGGGAGAGAATGAGAAAGAGTGAAAAATAGAAAGACACAGGGGGGCTGGAGGAAGACGCCCATTCATCACAGAGACACGCACAGAAACCAGTTTGATATAAAAATAGAGCTGCGGTGTCTCTCACACTCCTGCAGAGCTGTGAGCTGCAGAGGAAGCTTTTCATATTGCCCTTTATAGCTTCCACCTGCATCCCTCCTCTGCAAGAAAACAGCTAAATAAGTAACGATATTCTCAAATCTTGACTCAACACTGTGCATGATACGGTAAAACTAAAGGTGTCGTATTGTACAGGATATTATTCGCCAAAGGTCTATTTTTTTTTTTGTTTGGGACTGATTCTTCAAACTCTCATCATTGTGCTTTATATGGTGGGTGGATCTCTCTGGTTGAGAGCCGTATAAAGCATTTGTGCATGTTCATCTAAAAGGGTTTGACTGGAAAACATCTCATCTCTCCTCTCTCAGTCATCTGTATTATTTCAGATACAGTCCAGTGAAAACCTTTTACTGTGAGTTCCTCAAGTTTATTCTGAACTCAGGGGATCAACATTGAGTTTTTATGCTGCATCAGCTAAGGTTTTTTTTGCTAAGGACTTTAAAAATGTAGACCTTAGTTCCCCTTGGAGTTTTAAAATCTTTAATAAAGACTAGTACCAGTTCATCTTTTTTATGGCCAGTTCTCTTTTTTTCACTGCTTGGCATCACTGTAAATGGGGGCAGACTTTACATAAAAGCATTTATAGAACAGCGTTAAATAGATGAAAAAAACCTAAAAAAAATGTCCACATTTTCTGGAAACATCCTTTGGGTCGAGCCAAGACTCATACAACAGTTAAAAGTGAGCTCAATTTGGGACATAACATGGGATCACAGTCTGCTGGAGACAATAATTATTGTTGTAGAGTGTTGCTAACATTATCAGAGTTAGCTCCACCTGCTTTTCACAGGTTAATATCCACATGCACTGTCTGAGCGGCTATGCCAGTTTAATAAAACAGCCTGAACCAAACTTTACCTCCATTTTCTTGATTAAAATACTGAAAAACTGCACCGAGCACTAAGATAGAACATGTGATCGTCAGCATATTGATTGTTTGACCCTCTAGAAACTCTAGCGTGTGCCTCATTTAAACACCTTTTTATCCTCTCAGTTTAAATCATTTTTCAAGTATAACAACTTTCAACAGTCCTGTGAGGTACTGTTGCATTTTTAAGTCAATTTCCTTTTACTTCACCCACCTTTTTGGACATAAAAAAATTCTCCAAAGATCTGATCAGACGGAACCGAAAGCTGTCAACTCTCAGCATGATCTTGATCTAAATGTAAAAATGTGCAGACCCCCTCCTGAGCATCAGAGAGGGTGACTGTCAGTCAAAAAAGCTTTGCATCTTTATTCGGCTCTTGATATGGCCACACATCACAAGATGACGATCAAAAATGCAAGAAGAGACAGTTTTAACCACAGCATGAAAACAGAAAACAACAAGAGGATACCGACCTCAGCGTTTTAACGCAGAAGAAGCCCTCACACTAGTGAATCAAACTTAGCACACGCAGAAATAACAATAAAGCTGCTTAAAAGAGAAAGGTGAAGAAGTCACAGCATTAAGCTGACTGAAGGTGATGTTGCTCACCTCTGGAGAGTTCGGCCATGACAGGAAAAAATCCCATCTCTCCTGTCTCAGTCATCTGTATTGTATTAAATCCAGTCCAGTTAAAGCCTTTTACTGTGAGTTCCTCAAGTTTGTTCTGAACTCAGGGGATCAACATTGAGTTTTTATGCTGCATCAGCTTGGGGTTTGTTGCTAAGGACTTTAAATATGTAAACCTTAGTTCCCCTTGGAGTTTTCAAATCCTAAATTAAGACTAGTACCCGCTCATCTTGTATTTTTGGCTTGTTCTCTTTTTTTCTCTCTGCTTGGCATCACTGTAAATGGGGGCTGACTTTACATAAAGGCATTTATTCAGTATAAAATACAACTGCGTTAAATAGACTGCTGCCATTCTTGGTCAGGTCTCCCTTGCAAATGAGATCCTCAGATCTCAATGGGACAAACCTGGTTAAATAAAGGTTAAAAAGATACAAAAATGCTAAAGAAACCTCAAAATTTTCTGGAAACATCCTTTGGGTTGAGATGAGACTCATACAACAGTTAAAAGTGAGCTCAATTTGGGACATAACATGGGATCACAGTCTGCTGGGGACAATAATTGTTGTTGTAGAGTGTTGCTAACATTATCAGAGCTAACACCACCTGCTTTTCACAGGTTAATATCCACATGCACTGTCTGAGCGGCTATGCCAGTTAAAGAAAACAGCCTACACCAAACTTTACCTCCATTTTCTTGATTAAAATACTGACAAACTGCACTGAGCACTAAGATAGAACATGTGATCGTCAGCATATTGATTTGTTTGACCCGCTAACTCTAGTGTGTCTTCCTCATTTATACTCCTTTTTATCCTCTCAGTTTAAATCATTTTTCATGTAAAACAATTTTCAACAATCCTACGAGGTACTGTTGCATTTTTAAGTCAATTTTCTTTTACTTCACCCACCTTTTTGGACATAAAAAAATTCTCCAAAGATCTGATCAGACGGAACCGAAAAAGCTGTCCACTCTCAGCATGATCTTGATCTAAATGCAAGAATGTGCAGACCCCCTCCTGAGCATCAGAGAGGGTGACTGTCAGTCAAAAAAGCTTTGCATCTTAATTCGGCTCTTGATGTGGCCACACATCACAAGATGACGATCAAAAATGCAAGAGCAGACAGTTTTAACCACAGCATGAAAACAGAAAACAACAAGAGGACACCAACCTCAGCATTTTAACGCAGAAGAAGCCCAAGAATAGCCTCACACTCATTAATCAAACTTAGCACATGCAGAAATAACAATAAAGCTGTTTAAAAGAGAAAGTTGAAGAAGTCACAGCGGTGCGTTAAATGACTGAAGGTGGTGCTGCTCACCTCTTGAGTGTTCGATTTTCACCGCCACGCAGGCCTCCTCATCAGCGCTCTTGGACTGCAAACAGCCAGCTTTGACTTTCTTTTCTGCAACAACAAACAAACAGAAGATTCACAGTGAGAAAATTAAGAAACATGAAAAAGTAAGCAAAAAAAAGAAGAAGCTCCATGTTTCATTTACACGCTCAAATAAAGGATAGGCAGGAGGAAGCTAACAGATATTAGTTTCTGTTTTTAACACAAAACAGCAGCTGGACCTGCTCTGAGCTGAAGATGTTCAAGCTGCTTCACTGGTTCAGTAGCTGCATTTATTGAGATCAGGAGCAGACTTGTGTTTGTTTTGAGACTGAAAAAGAGGAATACCACCCCTCAGAGACAGAGACTCTAATTAGTCTGTCTGTGATATGTAGGGCATCGTCTGTGGGGAGAGCTCACTCTCTATCAACACAGCCATTTAATATGCACATAAAAGATTAAAGAGAAAATAGAAACCGTCGTAAAAACAATGATGATCTCTCATGAGTATTCATAGCGACACACTCGAATACAACCAAGGCACAATTAAAGAGACATCTAAGCTCTGTCTGATGTAATGTGAAGCATCAAAGCTGTAGGTGATGATCAGTGCAGATGTTGATTTCAATGCAGCAGCTGGAAAGTCAGACAGAGAGAAACATGTCAGCTGTGTCACACAAAAGGACTTTCCTAAAACTGTAGATATTGTTCAGCATTACTGGAGCCTTCACAGATGTGGAAGTAGTTCTGGTTTCCTCTGTACATGGTTCAGTTTTAACCAAATTTGTGGATGCAGCAACAAGCCATGTGCTCAGAGTTTAGCTCATGCAGTGATTTCCACTCCAGAGTCCTGTCTGTTTTTAATGCAGTGCTGCCTGAGAGCCTGAAGATCAGGACCATCCATTGGTCCTTGTCCCTTTATAACAAAGATTTCTCCAGATTCTCTGAATCTTTAAATGTACGATAGATGATGAAATCCACTCATTCTTTCACATTTGACACTCAGGAACATTATTCTGAAACTGTTGAACTATAAGACAGACTTGAACTTTTCTAAAATATTGCCAACTTAATACTAGTATTGTTTTTGTTAAACTACGTATATATTTTTTTCTTTTTAGCTTCAATATGTTGCCATTGTGCTACTTTAAATTAAACATAAGCTTTAACTAATTTGCGAAGCATCAAAATCTGCTTTCATCAAAATTTTACAGAGTCTCTAATTCTGGAAAGCGGGTTTTAGTATACTAATGCTCTTAACACGACACAGAATATTGCTATTTAAAAGTTTTCTATTTTCCAACATATTCACAAATCTGTCTCAATTCTTTTTTTTTTTATTGTAACACAAAAAGATTTAAGCTGTTGTGAGGAACTTTAGGTTTGTCTGTATTACAGCACCCCCAGTGGAAAAAGTGATACCTCCTACCTCTTGTTCCTAAACACATGGAAGTGTTTCTCATCTTTTAGTCTTGTTAAACTGAAGCGTATCCCTCACAAACCATGAATAAGCTAACCCTAATTTATAAGCTAAGAAATTTTACCCTTATGTCAGATGGATGATTCAGTTTTTTTGACTGAATTTTCTTTCAGAGAACTTATATTTTGAAATGTTGTGCTATTTCCTGTAATGTACCAAACAAGACTTCCCATCAAGTTCTTAGAAAAGTCAGACTGCAGTGATATACAGTAATAATGAAACCACATAAGAGGAAAGTGGGCACACTCAGAGGGAGGCTAAACAGCTGAAAAGAGGTGTGTGTGTGTGTGTGTGTGTGTGTGTGTGCGTGTTGGGGGGTGTATAATATCCTGGCAGGGGGATTAAAGGACGGTTTTCTCCACCCGCCATCTGGTCTCCTCATGACAGGCCTGCAAGCTGCTCACACACACATACAAACACACACACACACATAAACTGTAGTTAATGTGTATTTGCTGTACATAAAGAGGAGCTTGATGTGTTACATAAGTTTAGTTTTTAGTATAAAAAACACAAGCAGCTTAACGAAACTTTCACCTAAATATCAAACACCCACCCACTCAACTAAAGCCCCATAACCCCCACCAAACACACACACACACATACGCACACTCTTCAGCAGACATGTGACCAGAGTCATCGTGTGCCTATTGTTTCCTGAGGTGGGGGATGTGTTACTATGTCAGCACCGCCAACACAAACACACACTCTACACAAACATCACGTCACACACTCTCAGCTGGAACAAAAGTCAGAACATCTCAGACGGATATAAAGGTCAGATAAGCAGCTTTCTGAGGTGCGTGTGTGTGTGTGTGTGTGCATGCGTGCGTGCGTGCGTGCGTGCGTGTGTGTGTGGGTAAGGGAGGTGGGGTGGGAAATGTACTTCACATATGATGTATGATGGGGAACGTCAACTAAATCAGCCTCTGGCCTGACCCCTCACTTCCTCATCCCGACTATCGACTTCTTGTTTTTCATACACTTGAGGTCTGAAATGAAGTGCTCACTGAGACTCTCTGACCCAACACCAAAAGAGAAACTGTCAGGAAACATAAATAAACATGAACACATGAAACTGTTTCACATCATAAAACCTGCATGTGAACAAAAGTCCCAAAAAAATCTCAGGCTCAGAAATGTATATTTGATGTGAATCTCTGCTTTCAAGACACATAATCCACTTAAGGCCTTGATGGCTATGACCCTGTTCAGGGACAATCCATCCAAAATGTAGAACAGTTCTGAATGATTCAGTCTAGTTTTAGTTTGGATCAATTTAATAGGGTTCAACTTGATTTGATTTGATCTGATCTGGTAAGATTCTCTACATTAGATTATATTTCTATTTGGATTTGAATCTTTTCAGTAGGATTAGATCAGGTTATGATTAGTTTGATTTGACTCCACTGGATTCAGCTGACCTGTTTTAGATTTGATTCACTCTATTCTGATTGAGTTCAATTTTACTGAACTGAATTGGGTTACTCTGGAACTGATTCAATTTGATTCTGATTTATTGGATTCAGATGTGATTTGGGGTTTAATTGGAATTATTTAATCCAGTTTGATTCCACTTGATGTAATTAGACTCTGCTCCAGCGAGCTTGATCTCATTGTACTCAGTAAGATTCAGATCATTCTGATTGTTTTCTATTGGTTTGATTTGGTCTGAAAGCACATCAATGATTAAATCCCTTTTTCAAAATACAAGACTAAACTTATAGTGTGACATTTCAGTACGTTTACATGCGCAGAGACAGTCACAGCTCCATTAGGCTGTTTAACTTGACAACCTTCCATGTCCCTGTTTTCAAGTAATAGAAAAGGAACAAATTATTGCCTGTCCCCAAATGCATTATCCAGGTATGTCAGTTTGACTATGAGAAGTTTATTTGAGAGCAATTTCAGTCAGACTACATTTCTTAGTTTGATTAAGGTAATTAATCAATTTTTAGAGTGACTGACTGAAATGATTATCAACAAGAAAAACTGTGTTTCCATTGTAGAAAATGTGTGGAAATGCTGTGGAGCAAACCAAAATGGTAATAAACTGAAGTTTTAATCAAAAACCTGTGCTAAAGTTGTGTCATAATGACAGGTAGTTGGGTGGAGATGGATAAACTTGTTAAATCTAACACAGAAATCTTGGCTTTCTGTACATCTGCCTTTACTGGCTTTGCAAAGTCCTGCTAATATTTATTGGTAAGTTCTTACTTTCTGAGGTTCAAGAGGTTGAAGCCAATTAAACTATAAAAGTAGATGGAAACAAACACTGTCTGCTCATTGTGTCAGACAGAAGACCAATGCTGTTGTGTTAAACTTGTAATGATGTAATTTATTCTCCTACTTAATATTATGTTCAGGCATTGGCTGTTATTGCCACTTGCTCTTCATCTGGACATTAATGTTTATATATTGAACTACTTCTAATGAAATAAAGGGTTTGAAAGATTTGCAAACCATTGAAGTTTTTTGGAAGTGGGGTTGTATATCTGTGGAAATTTGCCCAATCTGAAGCCACATTTTTCGCCTCCCTCGTTGGGTCTTTTGATTTCCTTTGTTACTGAGATGCTGATGTCCACCATCTTAAGGATTTTCACACAGAAAGACACACATCCTCTGTCTGTTGTGTGACTGTGTTTCTGTTCAGTTTCCTCTAGTTAACATCATGATTTAAAATCACATCAACGCAGATGGCAAAGTGCAGCAAATCCAGCAATGATGGCATTCAGGGAAAATAAAAATGTCATTTAGCTGTTACTTTGGAGGCAATCGGCTCTTTAATGGACGCATCTCCTGAAACAACTGGAGTACTTTGGAGGAAAATAGTGGCAGCTCCCTCTATGACTCATTAAATGAAGGGTTTATGCCTTATTTATGTTTAGTTTTAATGAGATGGGCTTATTTGGGGGAGCACAGTGAGGATTTATGTTTGACAGTTTCAGGGCAGCAAATGAGCTGTGACATTTATCAAACTACAACTCTGTGTATATGTTCAGTATCTCACTGTGGTGTAAACAAACCTCTTATCAGTCCCCAGCTGTCTCTGTTTACAGTCACATCACCTGCTGTGTAGCAACAGGAACAGTGGGCTGAGGTGTTGAAGATGGGATATTACCTGGGTCTACTTCGCTCTCCTCTCTACTCCTGATCTCTGTGTGATATTTAAAGATGTGGAGAGAGGCTGTTTAATGTGTTAAGAGTTATAAAGGCCTATATTGACGACAACCAGATGCCATTCTGAGCAGAAATAGAAGATAACTGCACGGTGGAAGATCTTTCTTTCAGATCAGTCACAGCCAAGAAAAAAAAAGACGACAGTGCAGAAACAGTGAAGGAGACTGAAACACACAGAGAGCTGAGTGATAGACATCAACCAAATGGAAGAAAACACATAGAAACTATCAGTCTACGCGTGCTCAGATGAGTTGACTGGATTACTGTGCTTATCCCATCTTACAAGGACCCGCGAGTTTGAAATCATAGACAGATGCATGTCCGCCCCTTTCAGCTACTATTGGGTCATCTTCTGGTTGACCTTTGATGTATAAATCAATAAATAAATTTGCCACAAGCTTGACCGGGGAACAAGAAACAGTAGTTTTGTGCATACAGGACCAGCATGAGGCAAAGAAAGCAACTAAACTGGACTCATAATCCATGTGTTTACATGGACGCATTTCGAAATAACAATCGGCATAAACCATCCCTCTTGATTGGAATACAATTGCTTCCCAATTGAGCTGAACTGGATCAGAGTCTTCCAATCGACATGTTTATATGATGCATTTTTATTCTGATTGTTTGTGCCAATGTGAACGCAGCTACTGACAAAAAATCATGAGTGATATGTTTGTTAAAAGTCAGCGGCAGGAGATTTTTCTAGAGAACTAACTCTGCTTAGACATGTTGGTTAAGACGAGGAAACAAATAACTCGCACCTCTTTGTCCACACAATTGCAAAATCCAAAAGCTCTAAATAGTAAATCTAAAAGTCAATATCATGAAGTACATTTCATGGTGTTCATTTTAAGAACAAATGAAGACACTGGTTGGGATTGCTTTATAAGCTGTCTGAAATTCAAAATAATGTATTTCTAGACATGCCTTTTCAAGTACAATTAATCACAATTAAAAAGGACTTAGTTGTCTGACTAAGCAGCACAAAGAACCCACAGACCGCAACACGGTATAGGCTTTGGCAGAGTTACAGGGCTGATTGAGTCACAGGAAAATGACAACAGAAAGGAGTCTGAGAAGAGGAACTCATACAAGACCCCCCAGCCTGTTTGGACTCTGTTTCACACAACACTCACAATGTTGTCGCTTTCTGTAAGTCTCCTCAAAATGACTTATAGACCAGAAAAAGTTCAGAATGAGACCAACAATCCCCAATCAATCCCTTACACCGATGTTCTAAACTTTTGCAGAAATCTAATAAGAATAAACATAAATCTTCTTTTATACCAACCAAAACATTTTCCCAAGCTTAAAACAAACATCCAACAGATTTTAGTAGAAGACAATGTGCAAATAACTTACCACAATCTCACTGGTATTTGAAAATGTCACACGCTCCTACATTTCAAGTCATAGAATGTGGAAGTAGAAGTTACTTGATTTCAGTTTGTAAATAATCTGAACTCTATTAGGCAGAAAAACAACCTTGTCTTAAAAATAGAATTGGTTCACTTCTCGTTTCATCATTGTCATGAGTGATTATCTAGAATACTTCCTCTCAAAACATCGGCTGCATGTTTTAAATGTTTCTAAAGTGACTCTACAAACACCGATGGGTTACTTGTCTGGCAGCACCTGTGTGTGGGTTTTTTGAGGTTGAACCTTCACTTCCTCCGCTTTCTTCTTGACATTTTACACATAGTCCACCTTTACTGCCTTCACAGAAACTGAAACAAACTTTAGTTTTTGGCATGTCTAAGCGGCTTGGCTGTTGACCAAAAGAAAACACCTCCACAGTACCTGAGATCTCTTCTCTCCAGTATGGCTCGGTTTTCTGTCTCCTGTCAACCTGGTGATAATAATCCATCTCTGAATCTCTCCTCTGATTGGTTTTTATCAGCATCAATAGCAGCAATGAACCTCTTTATTTCTGAGTTTTCCCGAGAGTTGGTTACTTCATGTGCTCTGTCTTTACCCATCAGACTGCCTGCCTTGTTTCTGCACAAACCGGTTCCCTGGAAACTAGAGTCACCAGGTGCAAGACAGGAGGGAGGGGAAAAAGGAGGAGGGAGGGAGGGAGGGAGGGAGGAGGGTGAAGTCGTCCTTCAAGGCATTGATTCACGGTCACTTTCATCCATTTCCATAAAAATAATGCCTCATGGGTTAGCCGGCACTCAAGGCCAGAGTCACCCTGAGATGGAGTGGGAAGACGAGACACCAAAGTAGAAGAAGAGTGGGTGGAAACTGTTAGTGAAAATCAGTGGAGAGTGAAGATAGAGGAGGGGAGAGGAGGGGGGAGAACATGTGCAGGGAGAAGTGAGGGATGAAAATTAACCAGCTGTAACAGTTAATATTTAATCATCTGCAGTCTTGCGAAATAATCTATGAACCCAATATTTGACACATTTCGTAATATGATGATCCGTGTTATCTTCCTAACCTCTTTTCTGCTAAATACATTACACACTGTACTGACTGCGCACCCCCAAAAGCCAAAATGAACCAAATCTCAGCCCTGATCAACAGCAGCAGAAGTAAATGTCCCAGAAAGAGATTTAGAAATTAAAAACCTTCATCACAGAGGGGGTCTGCACCTCAAATTATGAGCTCAAAATACTGTTAAATATATAAAAGCATGCAGAAGATCTTAGGCCTCATTTACATGGCTGCCGTTCAAATGTGGCTCATTAATAATGCAACACAGAGAGCGTATTAACATGCCAAGTCACACCCCTTTAATCATCCCGCTTCACGTGGCGGTAATGTGTGTGAGGGCACATGTCTGAGGTTGTCATGCTTGACTCTGAGGAGATTTGCTTCTGAATAAGAGCAGATGCGTCTGCCTCCCTCTCCTCCTGTCCCTCTGTAATGGACAATTACCAAAGAGTTATGGTTTTCTGCCACAACAGAATAGAGGGAAAATTAAAAGGCGTTGTAAAGCCTTTATGTGGCGAATGAAGCCAGATGAGACCCTGGACACCTGGAGCAAACATGGGCATATGATGTAGTTAACCTCTGTTTAACAAGTCAATGATGCTAGAATATCTTTTAACACATAAACGATGGTCACAAAGCTTTGTCTGGGTCCCCACCTGCATCTGAAGGTCCTGGTACATGGTGTCCAATGTGTTCACCAGCTCAGTGTGTCTTTATCTGACGTTTAGTACTGAGCAGGTAACACAAAGAAGAGATTTTTGCTTAAAAGGGGCCTTTGTTGTAGGGACGCACCGATCCGCATTTTTCACCTCTGATACTGATACAGATATCTACAGTTTTGTACCAGCTGATACCAAAGTTTTACCACTGCCCCTTGGAACGTTTATTGCTTAGGTATTGCAAGTGGCTGTCGAGCTTGTAGGCTGAGGTATTGTGATAAAGTTTAAGATAGCAGACCCCTTTGCTAGCTCCATTTTGAAAACAATGTCGGCATCCGCTCAGCGTGTTTAATTGTGGATGCCACTCACAGCGCATAGCATAGAGTTAGAATCAATAGATTGGCCTCTATGCATTGGGCCTATTGTCACAATACTCATTCTAAAATTTTCCTCAGTATCGTGACTGATACTGATATCAAATATTGGATCAGTGCATCCCTACTTTGTTGGCTGTAGAAGGAATTTTCAATAACCAAAACAAGTATTTAAAGATCAGCTATCATGCTGATCCATGTTTTAATACATGCATGTGATAAGAAGCTCTTTATTGATCCCTGAAGGGAAATTCAATACATTTTTGGTTACACTGTTTGATGTCCATGCTAAACCTAGGTTAAGTTTTATAACAAACGAGACATGGATGGCGGCATTACTCCTGGACATGTCTATACAACAGTTTACAACAAGGCTAAAGGCTTTCCCCAAAGACGAAGGCTCCAGAAAACAGTAGGAAGTTTTCATCTTTTCTGGACAACAAAAGGCAAAGCTGTTTGTACTCCTTTGCAAACAAAAGCCAACACAAACTGGGTTAGAGTCTCAGCTGCTACTGAAACCTGGAGCTGTTGATGCATTAAGACCTTCATTAAGGCTCACATCCATCAGCTGGAGGGAACATTAGGACAGCAGCTGGTGTATCATTAGCTATTGTATGCTAACAGAAGTTAGAAGTTTTCTGTAAAAGCAAAACTTTTGTGTGATTTCATGACAACAAAGCTGTGTAAAAGTAACACCCATGTGTCTAACTTTATATCAGTGGAAAAGCAGCCAAAAGGAAAAGTGCTGAAATGAGGGTTTGCTTTGCTTTTCACAGTCTGTCCTGCAGACCTGAACCTCATCAGACTGTACATCAGAACCAGAACTACTTTGTGAGTCCCAGCATGCTCCCTGAGCGGCCCCAGCATGTAAAGATAAGCTTTTAGCATGATCTGAACATGCTCTGTGACCCGCGTCTAATGAGGGCAGACTAAGTGGGTGACTGAACCCCCGAACCCCCTATCCCTCTCCCACAGTGAAAAGCTTTGTGACTGTACTTCAGAGGGCACGTAGAGGGAGAAAGAGATGGAAAAAGACATGATTCTTGTCACGGCAGTAATAAAATTCTCATGCGGAGAAGAATTACTGCAGGCGTGCTCAGGATATCAGATGAATGACATACTCAGTTTCTTAAACAGTAAACATGATAGAGCTTGTAATGAGGAACAAAGGAGATTGATTGATGTTATATAATTCAGATCCACAGCAGTGTGGAGGATGGGCTCTGTGATTGACTGTTGGAAATAAAAGCACGTGATAACATCGACAGAAAGCAGGCTCTCTTTCTTTCCCTTTTTTTCACTTCCTTTCAGCAGACCTCTCTCTTTTTCTCTACCAGTCTATAGTCTGTCTCCATCTCTCTCCCCTCCATCCCCTCCTCTTCCTCCTACCCCCCATGACCCGCCCGTCTACCTCGCAAAAACAGATCACAGCTGCCGGGCAGGAGCTCCCAAATGTGTCAATCAATACCCTGTCCACCCAATCAGCACGTCTGACCGGGCCCCAGCAGACCGGTCTGTTCATGAGAGCACAACAGAGCTCATTCACATACGGGCACACTCTTTTATGATAAGACAGAATGGATTTGAAATGTCTCACAGATTAAGTGGAGATAAGAGAAAGTGACCTATATTCAGAAAAAATAGACTGTTTTTCTGTCCATGTTTGAAGAGAAAAAACAAACATCAGACTGAGTCTATTATAGTTCTGTTGGACCAGCTGCTCTCTCAATATTACTATTCAGGAAAGTTAACCCTGCACAGCCACATTCCCCTAGAGGGTTTCTTTTTTAGCAACCAATCTGTGTTTCCATCCAGTGTTCATGCAAATCCAATTTTAAGCAGTTTGTCTACAGAAATAACTTTTGACTTTCCATCAGAGCAGCAAAAGTCAATGACTTCCTGAACTTAAAATGTACCAGCTCCGTCTCCAAAAATAACCCCATGAGAAATTCTCAGTTTGTTATTATTACTCATCTTCTGCTGGTCACAACTCATGCTGTCCACATTTGAAAACAAAGACATTCAACCAGTCATATTGTCATGCATTGAGCAAGAGCCACAACAAAGGGCCTGGTCACAAGATGGGGGACACTGTGAGCTATTTGTGAAAGGTCACAGTGAACAGATACTCCACAGAGAAGCAGATGATCCTTATAAAATACCTGTGTTGTTGTTTTTATGTATATAAAAATACTATAAAATTTTAGATTAAAACAGTGATCAAGAATTTTAAAGACCTTTTCCTAAAACTCCTTCAAAAGCCTTTGTCCAATCTCAGTGAATATGCACAGTAGGACGGTCAGGTTTGTGCACATGTTGAAGCAATGTGCTCAGAGTTTAAGCCACGACAATATGCAGTTTGATTGTATTTTTTATCTCACTTCCCCATGACAAAAAAATTTAGATAACCTTAGATAAGACAAGATGTTATTTACTTTCCCAGAGAGGAAATTCACCTTGGGCAATAGTGTCAGGAACACACCGGTTTGTGCAGCTCAGGTGTGACATTAAATACGCATGACACAAAATACAAGATACCCTTAATATGCATAGTACCTTCAATATGCACAGTAACGTAAAACCTTATTGAAGACTCATGGCTAAAAAGGAGGAATAGAATAAAATGAGAGTAAAATACCGTGCATCATGTTGCGGATCATCAGGAGTCAGCTGGTTGTTAGCTCAGCAGTGTTGTTAAGCTTCAGTCTTCTGCTCTGACACCTACAGCCTCTGTAACATCTGCCTGAAGGGATACAAGTCTGAGGGGTCTCCAGTGATTTGATGAGAAAGTCTGACTACTGTCTTCCAAGAGCAGAAGTGAAACACATGGATTAATCACTTCAATCACCTCTAGGCTCATATAAGCTGCACGTTTGCATGTGTTGCTGTAGCCTACCATACAAATGAAAGACTGTTGAAGAATTTCCCCTTTTTTTCAACAGTGCCACAGCACATCTATGACACACGCAGGGTTGACATATCACTCCTGTAGAAGGTAGTGCAACCTTAGTTCCTATTGTGAGAAATTGTATTACATCAGTCAACTGTTTGAGGTATAAATGCTTTTTGAATTTTTTAAAAATGTTGAGCCTCTCAGCATGTTTGTATAATAACCAAAATATGGACCAGTGATGGTGGTGTGTGAATACCTGGAAGCAATCAAAGATCCCCATCTATTGCTTCCTGGTTATGCTAGACTGCTTGCTGGCCGGGTCCTTTATAAACAGAAAATCTTCCTTCCCACTGAGGAGACATGGGTAAAAACCATGACTTGCTATGCATGGTTTAAAGTGGTTTCCCCCTGTGGTGCACCCTGCAATTTCTAGTCTCTCAACTGCTCCACAACTTCCTCACCCAGGTCATGTAACAATTCAACCAGGCCTACCTATGTCTTCCTCAACACGCTAAATCAATGCATCTTCATCAAGAGCCCCCTAAACTGTGGGGTGTACCTGTTCTCTCTCAGAGTAATGTGGCTACTCTCTAAGTAGAATCACTTGATTTGACTGTTTGTTAACCAGGGGTCTGCATCTCCTTGCTTGGTCTGTGGGCGAATAAAAATGTCAAATGCATGGGTACAGAAGCACAGAGCTGCAGTGGATGACAAACAACTATCTCTGGACCTGTTCCAGTGCTTTGTGATCTAATACTGTCCTCTTGCACACTCCTACTTTCAGCTACTCTAGAGACTGGCATAGAGGTGGAATTGGGGTCACAACCTCGCTGCCTGGCAGACGTCTAGTTAGTCCCATTTAGGCCTGGCTGGTAGCCTTAATAAAATCAAAATGGATGGGTTATGACCTCAAATCTCTCCCTCTGTACTGTTGTCAAAAAGTAATGAGCCAAAGGGAACCAAAACTCTCCTCTTGTACCGGGCCATAAACACGTCCATTATTGCTGTAAAGTTGGCAGCTGTTGTTTTCACTGGCTTCCTATTAGACTGCAGTTTTCTGTGCTGCTGCACAGTCTTCAGTTTTCAACTGCAGAGGTTGCTGCTTAACAAAATTAAACTATCTGCAGAAGACGTCTGGTATTCAAGTCTGTGAAGCTACTGATTGGCTTAAAGTAAGAAATTAAGCACCATCTTCCAAAATGAAGTAGAGTAAGTAAGTAAATCCCCCGTAGTAAATTCATTCTGCACATCATTCAAATTAACACACTCCTGAAGAATTTCTTCTTAGATTTCTCTTTGTTTTTCTTCTCCCACTTATTCTGGTACATTTAAGACACAGTGAGCTCTAAAGCTCCATTAATGCTAAGTAGATTTGACTCCATGCATTATGGATGAAGTAAATAGATGCTGAATATAATGCCAATCAAACAGCGTGGGTAAGATCTTGCAGCTCAGACAGGATCTTTGTGCTAAGCATGAATGAGCCTCTCTGAGTGGAGGCTCTGGAGCCCAGATTCTCCGCGCAGAGCTGGAATGCATAGAAAAGGCTGCAACCCCGAAAACAAGCCTGCAGGCACGCCGGCAGCCAAGAGCAGGACATTAATGAGGCAAGGAGAAGAAAAAGGGCAACACAATAACATTTATAACATCTCAAACTTCCTTTTTCTAACTGAGCATGCTGAAAAAGAAATGATCTTTCCTCTTCCTCTTTCTGGAAAGCTCCTTTGTCATCATTTCTCTACAGATCTGCACTTTCCATGTTAAAAAAGGTGGTGGTTACCTTGAATCACCTCCCTCTGTTTGCATGTGCACGCTCTCAAACACACGCAACAGCAGCGTTTAATCCGACACGTCCCGGCAGAGTAAAGTGTCAAACAGTATCAGCATTTCCAGCCTGTGTCATTGGAGGCTCAGCAGAAAGACAAACCGCCGTTCACAGAGAGGACAAAACAGCAGCTGCCACGAACTTAACCAACGATGCTTATGGAGGGTGACAATGACACAGCAGTTTTAGAAAGAGGAAAGAAAAAAATAAGCACATCAGACCATGAAATAAAGGAGAGAGAGAGAGCAGGGAGGAAAAGGAGGATAAATCCCACGGTGATGAAGACGCTGGCAGAGAACAGACTCAGACGCCAGCCAAAGGGGACTCCTATACTCACGCATCCAGACTAACAGAAAGCTTTAAAAATGCAAGAAGAAGCCATGATGTGAAGAGAGGAGGGTTTTTATTCGGGCTGTATGTGTATTATTATTCACACTGGAGAAGCTCTCAGCACTCCTTCCTCCTTTCAGCTTCTCTTTGGAAACCGCATTTTTACCCAATTCATGGCCTCCGCTGTACAAACGACAAGTTCCCTTCTCACTGTACTCAGAAATGTCTTTAGTTTCTGCTTTTAAAGCTGAACCAAGATCTTCTTAATTTAGCTTTTCAGAGAATTATACTTATCTTACTTTGCCCATTCATTCCTTTTTCATTTTTTCTGAAAATGTGTACTTGGAAATGCACAAAACTCCATGAAATTTGCCCCAAATTTTCCAGGCTGGCTGCAAAAGTGATGCCAACATTTTCACACTGATGCTTTGAACCTTTTGTTGCAGCAGCAGGATATTGTTTGTGCTCCAACCTTATCACTACTTGCAGTTTCACTTTCACATGCAGAAACTGAGGAGTAATGAGATGGTAACTTGAATCTGCATTCAGAGCCCACAGGTGGATGCTGAGGTGGTGATGCTGCTGAAAATGCAGGTGCAGTACTGAAGCATGCCAGTGGAGAGTATGGCAAGGCAGGGACTGGGACTGTGAGAATGATGCATATCAGGTGGGAGATTAGCGTAGCTTGAGTTGCATGCCTGAACTAGCTTCAAGGTTCAATCCATTTAGATTTTTTTCTTGCCAGCTTCCTTGTAACATTTCCGCCAGAGAGAGGATGATCTGATGTAAGAGTGCAGCAGATTTTATTTAGTCAAATCTATGACAGGATTTCAACTGATGATATAACCGGTGTTCTGTTGACCTTTGTTCGCTTGTCTACCAATTGTAAAGTTGATGGTAAAATCATGCCTGAAACCACTGAAACCACTCTGGTTAGCTCCCTCCATGCTACGTTTGCCCCCTTGCAAAATATAAAGACCTATCAGATGATGTAATGCGTGCATTTGATTTTTGCGAAAACAGAATAGCATAGAGCCGAAAGAATAAATCGGCCTGAAGGACTGGCTCTTTGTCACAAAAGCTGATCCAGCTAGGCTTTATTTCACATTCTAAGCAATTTGTATGATCAGCCGTTATGTCGTAATTCACAGATCTGATCAATGACGTCATTGCCATTTTGAAATGTTTTACAGATGCTACCATTGCATGGATGATGATGGCTAGTGCTTTAACTGTCTCAAATACTCTCATTTAACGTGTTTGTTTGCTTGTGACGATGTTGCTAGGTCACAATGTTTCAAAAAACTTTATTGTCCATCAAGTAATGACAGACTCAAAACACCAAAATGGCTACAACAAACGACATTAGACTGTGTACAAATGTACAGAAGGACAGAAAGTTTGCTGTCGTATTTTGATCCACGCTATCTCCTCCCAGAACGCACATACTGTGGCGATACCAGTCTGACTGAGGCCCCGTCCACATGAAAACTCAGGAATTAATGGTTTTTGGTTGTATCAGCGTTTCATCCACATGGAAACCGTATTTCGGGTCCATGTGGATTCCTATCTGTGCCTTTCTCAAAACAATTAAGTCACACAAGCTTATGTAACTCTCTCGTCTGTGTGTGGACAAGACCTTAGCTACATCAGATTGTGTATTCCAATAGTCAAAGGCATTGATGTTCAACCTTTTCATCTCAGTCAGTTTGAGGTAAAAATTGCCAAACATTGTCAAAAAAATGCTTAAAAACACTTTTTTAACCTCAGTTAACACGAGTATACAGTAAATAAACATTTAAACATACATATTGCTCCCTCATGTGATTGGATTGTGATTGGTTATCAGTTTATTTAAACTCACTAATCTGTGATTGGCCTCCAAAATCCTGATTGTGTAAAGCCTGTGAATTATCCAACTCCATTCTACCCACTGAGTTCCTCTCCACTTTCAAAGACAGCTAAAGACCCAGCTGTTTGGAGAACAGTATGTACTTAGCTAGACTAGTCTTCACTGTTGTCCCCAGTGGTGAGTCTTCCAGCTACGGTTGGCTCACATTGTCCTGCTTTACATCTGGGATTTTTTTAGGCCCAGCTCTTTGTGAGTGACCCAGCTCTTGGTATTTTTTTTAGTAATTATTGTGGTGAAGACATTTCAATTGATGGTGATGATAAAACATCTTAAACTGTGAATTGATTCCTTCATTGATGATGTTCAAGATCTGTGCTCGTATTGGTCTTGCTCTCAAATGTACATCACTCTGGATAAAAGCGTCTGCTAAATGACATTGTAACACTGTACGTATATGTCCAATACCAGATACCGAGATCTCATTGGTGTATCTCCACCATAAGTCTTAGAACAATTCACCTGGTGAAAATTCACCTCATATCACAGACTGATTTTTTGGGTTAAAGCCAAAGCCAATCACATCCCTGTTACTTAGGCACTTTTTACCAAACCGACAGCCCTCCATGACAGTTTTTACAGCGACTACAGCCACTCTCCGCCTCAAACCCCCTCCTCTGATTTATATTTAAGCCACAAAGGCCTCTCTGCTTGTGAACCTAACCCCCCTTTGTTTTAAACAGAGTGCTTTGATTCATTTGTGAGGGCTTCCTTGATCCTGGTAGACCCTCTCTGTGGGATCAAACACACAAACGCAGACACACATGGCCTCTGTCACAGCTCAAACAGCAGAATCTGCTAACAGCCTGCCACCAGCATGCCTGTATGTGAAGCCGGGCTTGGAGAGAGGGAGAAATATAGTGCTGCAGACAGAGTTAATGGTTCCAACTGCAGTGATAGCTATAGCCAAATGAGTTCCAGTGAGTGCACACAGAAGGGAGATGCAGCAGGGAGATTAAACCAGAAGACGCAAAAAACTGAGGGGATATTTTCTCTATTATGTGCCTGATGATTAAAAAGTCATTATTGCAACATCTCATTGCTTTATCGATAACATTTATGGAGCTTTTTTCCCCTCTCTGTTGATAAGAGGAATCAGAGCTGAGTGCAGCAAGCTACACACAGCCAGGATCACATCTATCAGCAGGAGATTGTGTTACAGCTGTAATGACAAGGTGACTGAAAATCAGAGCTGTGTTTGCAGGAGGTTCAGGAGCAGCAAGCCTCAAAACACACACACTCACACACAGTCAGGCACGCACACATGCACACACCCACTCCAGACAGAGGCTTGCATATTTTCCCACAGCTCAGTGTGGACAGCTGAGGCCGATTACGACAATCATTGCAAACAGAGTTAACTGAAATCAGCAGCAGTAGCCTCTCAGTGCACAAGCATGTGTGTATGTGTGTGTGTGTGTGTGTGTGTGTGTCTTGAGAGCTGCTCAGTAAACAACGCCTTACAGAAAATTAATAGTCCCCTCCAGCCAATACAGCTCACACTCTCTCTTACACACACACACACACACACACACACACACACACACACACACACACTGTAGTTTCTTCATACACACACACTCATCTACAGCACCAGTCAGTGGATCATCCTGTGGTGAGATCCCGGGTTTGTCTTTTGTGATGTGTGCTCCCCGTCTTTGTCAACCATCAGCCCAAACAGGCGGCGTGTGTGGTGTGTGTCCGTGTGTGTGTGTGTTAAGAGTCCCCGTGGTCATGAACCACCCACTTTCCGTTTATCGGCTCTCTGTTAACCCAACGCCGCACGGCTGCATTGTGTGTGCGCTCGGTGGACGCAGAGCTCCAGTAAAGCAGTCTGGAAGAGAGAGAGAGGGGTACTAACCTGAGCGGAGGATGTGTCTCCTGTGAGAGCGGCGAGGTGGAGTCCAGAGAAATTACAATCCACCGCTAGACTCAGGAGAAAGACCTCTCCTCCTTCCTCTTCCTCCTCTCCCTCTCTCTCTCTCTCTCTCTCTCTTTGCGCTCTGTCGCTCGCTTCGGCAGGTTCACGCTCGTGTTAAACTGCTGCCTCGCTGCATTGGTGGTGGTTGCATCCTCTCTCTCTCTCTCTCTCTCTCTCTCTCTCTCTCTCTCTCTCTCTCTCTCTCTCTCTCTCTCTCTCGCACACTCAGTGACAGACTGACTCGCCCTTTTCCCTTCCTCTGATGCTTGTCTCTTCTTTCCTCATTCCTCTCGATAGATAATCACATTCCAGCGGAGATGGGGCGTATGGCAGGGGGAGCGACACTCAGCCCCAGAGTAAAGCCCCCTCTGTATTTGACTCTGTGTGTGTGTGTGTGTGTGTGTGTGTGTGTGTGTGTGTGTGTGTGTGTGTGTGTGTGTGTGTGTGTGTGTCGCATGGACAATCACTCCCATTCTGTTGGGTGAGGGGAGGGCCAGTGAGAGGGGAAACCAATGGCCGGACTCATCTGCTGCCCTGCTGCTGCTGCTGCTGCTGGTGGATGAAGCAGATAGAGGTGCCGAGTGTGACACAGAATAACCCCTCCAGGGGAAACAAGAAAGAGGAGGGGTTGGACGAGAATAGAAGAGGATTCTAGTTTTTAAGTGTCTCCTTCCTCGTTCCCATCTCTGGTTTCTCCCATCAGGTCATACACTGAGTCTGAACTCTTTTCCTTATTGAGCATTATGGTAAAAAACATGGGAGGCAGGGGGATTAGGAGCCACCCACCCTCTTCCAATAACAACCAAACCAGCAGCTACACAGAACCAAGCTGAGAATTTCACTGATAAACTGACACAATATCTTATTAATCATGTTTTTAAAGATTGATATGGATCTAAAAGTCACCTGTACTCCAACTGTGGATGGCATTCGTTCACTGAAGACAAAAGTACAACTTTTGCATCATTTAGTCGTGAAAAGTGACAGTGTAACCCCCAATTTCCACTGCATGCAGAACGGCCACGGAAAAGCTGTATCCGCCGATCGTAGCTGATCGTAACCATTCAAGTTAATGTATCAATTTCCACCGACTTCTTTCCGTTCCACTGCGGATTGCTGTTTATTCTAGGCGCTGGAGCATAAATTCAGCACAGATTAACCCGTGTTGGAAAGGAAGTCGGGCACAGACACAAAATAAAACATCCGGCTTCTTTTCAAAATAAAACACTCCGTGTTTCAGGCTGATCATATTTCACACCATGCAAACAGGCGGGGACAAAACTTGTGAAAAGTTTATAGACAGCATTTCATCACGATGACACCATGGATGAGGAGATGCTGATTTTATAAGTCTAGAAGTAGATTTCCTCCTCTGGAAGGACACAATCTACTGCTTATATGGTCAGCCTATGTGGCTAGAGACAACTTGATATCTCGCGACTGCACGTTAATTCGTGGGTTCTTCTGAGTTCTCACGATTCCTGCTGTCCGTTATCCGCCACGAAATTCGCCTCACAAATGGATCCGGTAGGAATTGGCATGCGGCAAAAATCGCTGCTGCTCCGGATTGTAGCCATTTCGGATGCAGTGAAAATCCCAGGTAAGTCAGAGCGAGCTTTTGGCTGATAGGACCTTTAGTGTATCAAACTGAGTTAAGTGTTGTATACTATGTTGCTCTATAAAGCAGATCTTACTGTGTGGTTTTCACCTGCTGTCATCATGTGTTCCTCAGTTGCTCTCTGTGATTGTTGGCTCTAAAACCTGACTTATGGATAACATTTTTTTTTTTTTGTCTGATGTCAGTTTTATCGTAAAAGCGTTCAGACCTGAAACTTGCAGCTCTTATAGAGGCCTCATTTCAGGAAGTAATCCTTTTTTTAGCATGATGACAGAGCATGCTTTTCTCAGGTTTAGATACAAGAGTTGATGTCATAAGTACAAACAGTCTCATAGTGCAGCCAACACATAGAGAACTGCTGAGGCAGCAAGATGAGGGGAATAAATAGAGTTTTTGAAGCTTTTTTAAAGTGTGGAAGTAGAGTAAGCAATTGCAGATTTTCGTTGATAGCTCACTGACCTTAACGATGCAGTTCAGAGCAGACAGCTCTCTGTTGAAGTTGGCCAGAGAACGAAGTGAGAGAAAGATCTTGGTGGTTCACATATTGTTAAAACTGTGAAAATGACCCACAGGCATGGAGGAGTGTTTGAGCTGCTCAGAGAGCGCGAGAGACGTGTGACTTTCAGAAAATGTGTCAGTGAAACATGTCGCTGTGGAGTGAAATGAACTCACACCTCAGGCTCTTGGTTGAAAATAAAATGTCATCATGTCAGGGAGCTCACTCTGTCTCTTCTCTAATTCAACCTGGCAGCCATTACAGTCCTGACCTCCTTTTTTTTACACTCCTATCCTCTCTGTTTTCACTCCTGTCTTTGTCTCCTTCTCTTTTATCTTTCTTTTATGACCTGCTTTCTTTATATCTTCTCTCACCTTTTAGTTTCTGACATTTTTCTTTTTCCACAGCTGGAAAGTCAGCAGGTTGCTTGTGCTTCTCTCTAATGATCTTACTCACTGTTTATGGTCCACCCTTTGACCAGTGCCGGACATAAACGCTCATTAAAATGAAATCCTTTCTGCAATTACATGTTACGACCAGCTCAAAGCAAAGATACACACTGCTAGTGTCACACACACCTCGATACACACCGTGAGTCAGTCCAGACCTCATTACACAACACAGTAATTAGTGACCGGAAGGGTGAGAGATGTAACTGTGTCCAGACCTCCACATCAGCAGCAGTACTGTGGACGTCTGAGCTGGTTATTAACTGCAGATGTATGAACACCAGCAGGTCAGTGCCTAAAATGTAGGGTCACCCAGCCTGCTGCCATGCACACCTTCACCTGCTGCCAGTGTTGTAATATCCAGGACTCAGACTTGGACGTGTGTTGTTATCGACTGTTTTACTGTTAGATTTTTGAAGTTAAGTCCTAATAACTTATTTATTTCAAAGGGAGGGCTGGCACTTGTGTTTGCCTGCGTGTCCTTTAATGTCCCCAGTGACAGCAAACCAAATCTAGAACAGTCACTGGCTTGAGTTTCATTTCTGTTATGAGGTAGGGCATAATGCAGATTAGCAATAATATTCATATTCTGTTGAATGCAAACTATTAAAATAACAATAATAATAAAAAAATGAATAAAATAATGTTATATCAGTATTTCATCAATATGGTGGTTATTACTTCAAGGAAATGATAAAGGAATGATCATAAATGTTCTTCCTTTTTTTTCACTTTAACTTGCAAGTTGAATCTTTGAATATAAAACTGAAACTACTTCCAGTGTGACCCTGATTTTTTTAGGTATCGTCACAGTCAGCTGTCTTTAAAATCTTTAATCTTCTTATTCAAATTATTCACACAAAGAAACAAAGTTTATTATCAGCAATAGCAGAGCAACCAACCACATCTGCCAATTCTACGACATAATACCTATCAATGACTTCACATTTCCTTAGTAAATACAACTGAATGAACGCAAATATGAAACACACAGAATCAGACTTGATGTCCACCACTCAGAGAAGCAAAAGAGCTGCAGGATGACTTTCATGACTTAAAGTAAGCGTAGGTGAGAAGTGCTCTGAAACTGAAGTTGTGGGCTAACTGCACAGAGGTTTAAAAGCCTCTGTAATCATATATAACACCACGCAAACAAATTTAAACAGCATCACTCGTGTTTCTATAACTGAAGATAGGCTGAAACGAATGAAGTGTGAGTCCTTCATGTGGCCTCAAATAACCGCCTACGTCCATAAAAAGACACAATGACTTGAAGTCACAGAGCCCCTTTTAACTGATTTCACTTTTCACTTTCTTTTTCAATAGCTGACCTTATTTGTTTAACTTTAAGTATCTGGTTTCATTTGGTTATTTGTGTGTGATTTCCCATTAACAGAGACTCTGTTGAGAAATGGTGAAAACACATTTAGGTGTTTAGAAAAAAAACACGATTCTTATAGGGCTGTTGCATTTTTAAAACATATACAAGCTCTTAATGTTTGTCTCAGCTCAAAGCATAAGTGATGTCACTCTGGATTTGTATAACAAGAACAAACTGTTAGTGGGAGTTTGGACAAATACTGCAAATCCTGAAATATAACCCAGGTTCTTCTGTATTTGCTTTTGTTGTGAAATGTCCAAGGCCTTTGAAAGAGACGAGTTCATAAAAGAGGCAGGTTTTACATCAAATTCACTACATTTTGGTACAAAGTGAGGGCTTTATACTCAAAGTTCAAAGCATGCACAAAGGGTTAAATGCCCCACAAACTGCACTGCAGAGCAAATATTATCTCTGTGCACCAGTGTTGTTTGCACACATTCATATGATCTATTATGCATTTATTTGGTGCAAAATATACCTCTCTCTGTGTAAACAAGTTATTGCATAAAACGCCTTTACAAAAAGCCAGGCTTTGTGGCTCTTATGTTATTCAATTAGGCAAATCTAGAGCGCCCAGTTAGCTTGCCATTGTGCACATTGGACAACTCATTTGACTTTTTGGAAGTATGCTGGTTAGGACTTCACAGTAGAACAATAGCCATTTTCCCTCTTCATGCAGCTCCTCCTTTACTTTTGAAAGCCGTCTGGATTAGAGTGCACAGTACAGCTCTGAGCAGTAGAGAGTGGAGATGCTAACAGTGGTAATCTCAGTCACAATGACATGAAAATCTGGAGTAAACTGCACAGAGATGACCTGTGGTGTAGTTCATGACGACTTTACTGTCATTATAAATGTGCAGGACATTGTGAACTCAATAGTAAATTTTTCTACATGATAAAAATATGAACGCAAAGCAACCCTGTCAAAAATTGACAGCTGTCCTTTATACATAAAAGCTATGATCCCCTGCATTACTAAAGGCCTGACTGCATAATGAATGCTGCTCTTTATATGAGGATTTACAGCACCACAGCCGTATTTGGCCTTACTTTGTTTGCTGGTAAAATAAATGTTAAATCAAATATACTCACACAACAGATGCGTATATGTCAGGATCCTATCCAGTCTGTATCTCTGTCTTTATGATCTGAAGAGCCTGAGCTTTAATTTACCAGGAAATGACTGTGAGAGAGTACTAGACATCAATGGTGAGGTGAAGATTTGAATATTATGTCAACAAATTAAAGCTCTTATGTGCCAATGCGTTTATTGATTACAATCAGCAGCATGGCCTTTGTTTCCATGGTGACACTTCACAGAGGTAGCCTCCTGCTTTTCAGAGAGACAGTGAGTAATCGTCTGTTTAAGTATTCTCCACACAATATGTAATCTGATGAGAGCGTACAGGCAAATACGGAGGCATTAACACCAGACGGTTCCCAAATCCATAGATTTATTTATACTAGACCCGTGCACATAAAGCGCACAGCGTACACAGACACGGAGGCAGGCAAATGAAATCATAAAGAGACACTAACTTATTTAAATACACACTGCTCTGCACAAGGAAAGCAATCAAACGCTTAATACACACACACACACACACACACTGCACAGTGTAAGATAAGCTTTTCCTCACTGCTTCACAACCACAGATCAGTCTGCTGTCACACACTGTGAGCGTCAACTCTGAGAATCCTCCTGCTGTATCCCTCCACACACACACACACACACACACACACACACACACACACACACGCATGCACGTACACACATACACACACAAACGCATGCAAAGTTCACTCTGAAGTAACCTAACAGCCAGCACCATGTGAGGCTCCAAGTGCTGCCGTCAGTTATCAAACCTTCCTCGTCACACTCAGGTGACCCTGAAGCTCTTACCTGCCCTGACATGTACAAACTCTGTCTGCACAGACTTCCAGGTAGTGGAGAGAGGAATTTAGACGTTCATATTACGGTTTCCTGGAACCACATCTGTGTCTCAGATAGACCCACATAGGCTGGGACACTGACTCTGAATAAAACTGGAGCAGTTTGAAGTATAATTTAAAAAAGACAACCATACTTTTACAGATGCATAAAAAAGTCTTTGTCTGGATGGCAGCATATGTTACTCCTAAACCTGTAAATATTGTTCAGCATTAATGGAGCCTAAACAGATGTGAAAAATATCCATGATATGGACTCTGATGATCCCCATACCATCAGGGATGTTGGATCTGAACTGGGAGCTGAGAGCAACAAATGGTGGTCCCTCTACTCTTTAGATCAAAGGTGGAATATCAATGGTATCCAAAAATGTTGCAGTGGAAAATATACAACTTAGTAGGGGTGGGAGAAAACATCGAGTCACATAAGTATTTTTGTTTTACAATTTTTTAATCAATTTTTTTGTTCAAAAATCGATTTTAGTTTTTTAAATTTAAGAATAAATCTTAAAAACAGATTTTGGGGGAAATGTGGTACCTTGAGTAGTCAGTAGTCAATCATAATCATTCAACTTTTCACTGGTGTTAAAAATGCAGACTAAAAATCGAAAAAATCAACAATATCATAGAATCGCAATTTAAATGGAGTCGGCATCCCAAAAGTCGTACAAGAATCGAATCGGGAGAAAAGCATATCGTCCCAGCCTTACAACTTGGGGCAAAATTTCATTTGTTATTTGAGAAAGTAGTTGATAATGATTGATATGTTCACAGACTGATCACAGAAGACTATGAATTTGCATCCCCACTCCCTTCACAAGGTCAGATCACATTTCCAACACATTTCATAAACTGGGTTCATTATTAGATGTTCTTTCTAAATTACTTAGTCGAAGCCATCTTAGTAAATATAAGTGATAGAGCTGTAAGGCTCTTTCTAGTCAAGTCTAAAGCCTCAGACGACAGCGGCTCAGGGAGTGAAGGAGGGATTTTTGAGCGCTTCCTCCTGTATCTCTGCAGACCACAGAGCACATCAACATTTTTTTAAATTCAAACTGTCAAGACCCTTTATCCCTCTCAGAATTTTTTAACTGAGCCATATGTTTGGATGAAGAGTAAAACCTCATTTCCATTTACAGTGAAGAAGATCTGAATATGAGTGATTCTGTTTTCTTCTTACCTCCTCTCAGTGCATGAAAACAGGGGGTTTGGATTCTGTTCTGTATTTTTGCACGTTCACCTTTCCCTTCCTCGCTACCTTCCTCCCACTTATCAAAAACACTCACTCTGCCCACCTCACACCTTTCTTCTTCTTATCGCTGCAGCTGGCATTTCTCGAAAAACCTCCTGCAAACTCAGCTGTCACATCCGACTTCCTCTCAGCTCAGCCTGCATTTCTTTCCTCTGTCACCAGCCTCTGCTGAGAGGGTAGGAGGGGGCGGCATGGCTCTGGGCTATTACCCACCTCATCTCTATGAGTGCAGGACCATGGGCCTCCCACACATACATCATTAATTAAACCCCCCATCACTTAAAATTCACACACACACACACACATTTGGCATGCAGACTCTGAATTTTAACCCACACTGTCTTCATTGACTCGCTCTCCCCCTCCTGGTGCGCCACACACATTATGAAGGTCAATGATGAATGATGGGTGTTGTCTGCAGACACACACACACACACATGTTCAAAGACACACATGAAAGAACAAAAGCTCAAACAAACACAGCGAGCGAGGTACACGGATAAATCCCTGTCTCTGCAGCAGCAGCAGCAGGGCACATCTGTCATGAGGGCACCGCAGGCAACCAGGTCAGCATCTGCCCCCGCTTCATACCAACAACCCACCTTGGATTGGTTCCCATATTAAGCCTCACACACACACACACACAGACACATACACATACATACACACACACACACACACACACACACACACACACACACACACACAGACACATACACATACATACACACAAACCAAGCTGCTATCCATGCTGTCAATCTACTCCAAATCTTCTGAAATCAAAGCTGACTGTGCAGAGCTTGAACAGAGCCAGACAATCAAGTTAATTTGGACTAAAATTGATTAAATAATTATTTCACTGGAAGTGTTTGAAAACCACCTCAGCGTCGAGCATGCCTGGCTGCTTTCATTATCCTCCTTATTCCTCCCATCTTTCCTCACAGTAAACAAATCCAAAAATAATCCAGTCTGAATTAACTCTGAGAGTGAGGAGAGGTCCCTGAGAGCGATAAGTACCTCATTACATTCATGTTAGGAGAGGATTCAGTGACAGTACGAGTGTATAAAGGGTCTGTTTATGAGGTCAAGTACAATCCAAACAATGTAGTTTAGGGTAATTATCTTCTGTTAATAGATCAGCAGCATCAGTGGAGTAAAATCAAGCAGAAACCTCCAGTCTTGAGAAATGATGCCAATGCACAAGTACTAAAAACTGCAGTTCCTAGACTGTCCACAAGAGGCTGGCTGTAAAAACCCCAGAAAATACAGGAGACACAGCCATTCAAAAAAATCGTAACTCTGTTAAAGTGCAGTTAATTCAATTATAAACTCATTTCATCTCTGACAAGCTCTTCGAAATAAAAGTCCTTCACAGCTTTGTTGTTAGAAGACCTTAATTCTAAAACATCCCCCTTAGGATTGTTTAATAGGGGGAGGGGGTCACAGTGAGTGAACATGAGCAGTTCCATTTACATTTTATAGTTCCACTAATACTGTCACTGGAAGAAGCAAAATAGAGTACCATGGTATAAACTTTAAGTCATATCACCCACCCCACCACATACACTGTGAGGGTGATTAATTTTTTATGATGCACTGATTCTGAAGATATAAAGGTTTCTATTTTTGCAGCATTGACGGCACAGCAGACTCAGCTTCAGAAACTAACAGGTGACATAACTGGACCTATGTGCATGTCTTTTGAAGACTATGAGAAAAACATATGTGATGCCCCCCCAGGACCCACAAGGCTTTCAGGTACAAAAATATATTAAAAAAGTCTGATTCATAATTTGACAATATAGGCCTAAAAATAAAATGCTTTTAAGAAGATAAACATTTGCAGCTCCTGGAAGCAACCTCTAGATTATGGCGTATCATTATGCCCCGTCGTACCTCTATGAGCTTCTACACTTTTACACTCCGTCCCGGTCTCTCATGTTGGCTGATCAGCTGCTCCTGAGAGAGCCTAAAACAAAGCGGAAGCTCAGAGGGGATCGTGCCTTTGCTGTTGCAGCTCCTAAACTCTGGAATAACCTGCCTCAGCATATCAGACAGGCCTCCTCCCTGTCTGTTTTTAAATCCCATCTTAAGACCCACCTCTTCTCCTTGGCTTTTAACACTCAGTAGGAGGTTGATTTCATTTTATTGTCTTTTATGGATTTTATTTGCTTTTCATTTGATTGTACTGTGTTTTCATCTAACGTTGTTTTATCTTCATTGTTTTATCGTGCGTCTGTTCTGTTACTTATTGTATTTTTATCTTGCTGTGCAGCACTTTAGAAACCTTGTGTTTGTTTAAATCATGCTACATAAATAAAATGGATTGGATTGGATCAAAATGCACCAATATAAATTTTCGGTTTAGGTTGTTTCATAAACATCTTAAAAAAACTCCTCACAGGAGCTTCAAAAGATTGCTTATTCAATTTGTTTTGGAATGTTAAGAGTTGAATGAAAGAAGACAGTGTGTCAACCAATCAGAATTTTCCATCTCCACTGTTGCTGGGTAGAAAACATAATGGTTCCAGCTCTGTGATTGGTGGCCTGCCAATGAAACTATTTAAAGCCTTTTCAAGTTAATTTCACAACACTCATTTTCAAATGTCAGTTAAACTGACCAATAATTGGTGAACCGACTCGCTCTTTGAAGCTGCAGGTAACAGTACTACTAGTGAGCGTATTACTGCTGCAAATTTATAATCCATGGTTTTCCTGGATTAACTTTTAATAAAAAGTTGGAGTTAGTGGTCAGAGAAAGACCCACAGTTGAGTTGATTATGAGCTTTTTCTGAGACACCATGAATGACGATTATTATACCACACAGCCATGATCATCACATTTACTGTCAGATCTTGTTGAGTGTGTGTTACTTTCTGGGGTTTGTGTATGCTGCTGTGTGCACGGTATGGTATGAACACGTTGTTCTTATGTGGTTGCAAAGGGGAGAGAGGTCACGTGTTTCGCAGCCCAGTCAGCATATCCTGATCGGCTGCACTCAGTCTGAGTGATGATGTGACTTAATGTGGGTAGAATTAGCAGGTCAGTTAAAAAAAGCACAGAGAGATTATATAAAATCTTCCTCTGAGAGTCTCAGTTTGCTTTTATAAAACGCTGGTGGTGCGGTGTGGAGTTATTTTGTGGCTACAAAGCATACATGTCTGCTCCAACTGATCGAATAAATATTCTCTGCAGGTTTTACAAATCACATCCTGTCCCTGTTCTTCATTTAACAGCCTTAAAGGGTAATCACTTTACAGCGCACCGGGCTGATCTGACGCTCTGTTCTGACTGATAACAAGCAACATGGGAGGCTTAGGCTTCATTCATGTGCTGACTGAAGCCTCAACACTTTCAACCTGCAAGAAGAGCATTTGTCCTGGTTTGATGCTTTAATACTTGACGCTTTAAACTGTGCTCACTTCATGACGCACCAGTTTCAAAACAAAACCCAGAGCATCTCTCTCTATTTTTACTCCAAACAAAGGAAAAACACACACTGTCATGGGTGACTCTGACTGACAGGCCTGTTGATGGGAAGCCCTCAGGTGGCCACATTTGAAATTACAGCCCACTGAGAGGAGAGTGTTTTGTCATAAATTATGTTTTATTTACAGTAAAATCTGCATAGTTTATATTTACTATATAGCGTGCTTTCTTAGAGCAGTGTTATGCACAATGGCCAAACCTAGCAAAAAACATTAAAGAGACAGCCAAGATAAATACAACATTTTGAATATTGAGACTGAAAAATGTTTTTGTTTTATTAAAAATATGCCCTTACTCAAGAGGAGCCAAACAGGTAAAAAGTTGTGTAATACTTAAAACAGCTGGAGTTGAGAAAGATCTCGACTAATGAGGGGAATTTTCAACAGGTTAGTAACATGACTGGGTATAAAAAGGGCATTCAGAGAGTCTGAGTCTCTCAGGTGGAAAGAGATAAAAATGCAATATGGATAAAGAAAATACAAACGTATAAAACTTCGGAGAAATTAAGTATTTACACATAAATATGTATATTTTTGCTGGCAGTCACTTTCTGTGTGACAGTTGTCTGTAATATTGGAATTAACAGAATCAAAATAGTGCCACATAATAATGTAAATATTATCTCAAATAATGTATTCATGCATTCAACTTTGATTATCAGTGCTTTATTACTCCTGGTACTTTCCTCTGTTATTATTCATTTCATTATTGTTGCCTCTCTGGGCTGGCAATTTCTCCAACATGGCTTCAAATGAGGTACTGTGACTAAAGAATTTGTCAAAGTGTGAGTTAATGTATGTGCAAACACACCTTGTATTTCCCTCGACAGTAAAACAATCTAAGCATGAAGCCGAGACTCAGGCATGTCTTCAGGAATATCAATTTATATAAAGAGAAAGAGAGAATGGGAGACGTGAAAAGCAACGGAGAGAAACATGATTCTCAGAGAAACAGAATCATCCTTTTGGGCTGAAAACCACCACGAAACGCAGCAAGTGGAAAGACACAAACAGGATATTGACCATGTTTTACATTGATAGTGAGAGAAATTAATTTTCAATATATACCGTTATCGTTTTATCGCCCAGCCCTAGTCTGAACCTGTAAACAGTCTTTCCAAATACATCATCCTACGCATGTATGCCCTCAAAAGCATCTGCATATGAGTGTTGGAAACTTATCACAATCAAATCTGTGTTTATTTGGCATGGAAATGGCACAAAAATGGAGTCAACATTTCATTTTTTGTATGCAGAGAAGGAATTATTTCTAATCTATAATTTCCTTTTTTCGTCGCATTTTTACACATAACACAGCCTTTCCTGTCCAACAGTCTACCGGAGGCTGTATTCTTATAACACTGAAGAGAACACTCATAGAAGAACAATCCACATAAACACAAATATTCAGCCATTGTCCACCAGTACACTTCTGCAGCTGTTGGAAATACCTGTTAAATCTAATTTAAACATTTATTCCACCCCTTCTTGTAACTCCGTCTCCCACCTTGAAACAATGATGTTGGTGAAAGGACTCAGCCGGCTGGAGCTCCCAGCCTTTTCCTTCCTGCCAGAGAGAATGAAAGCTGAACACTTCAGCCTGTTTCCTCTGCTCTGCTAATAAATGAGGGTGAGTCAGACCGGCTCACTGAGGATAACACCACCCAGAGAAAGGTGCACAGCTGAGGGGGGTTGCAGTGTGGCAACACACATACAAACTATAGCCGCCCTGCCAAGCTGCGTTCAAGACACACAGCACACTAACACTGCAGGGTGATGGGCCATCAGGAATGTTGCCAAAAAGGCCATAGAGTCTGGATGAGGGTCTTAAGAGGAGGAAACGGTTCCCAGGCTTTTTAGAACAAAGACGTCTGTTTTATTTCCAACATGGAGGATTAAAATTCTCCCTCACACTCTGCTGTGCAGATCTACAACTGTTAGACCATCCAGATGGAGTCCAGACTGAAGCTCAATGACCCAACGAGGGCTTAGTTCACAATGTGCTTCATTGATTTTTATTGGGGATCCACAATATTATCTGTACAGTACGCGCATCTGCAGATCATGGCTCAGAAATATAATTCCAGAAAAAAAATTAACAGACAGACACAAAGAGGAACAAAACAGAGACAAACTGATAAATCAGGCCAATTATCAGCAGTTTGACAACATCATGTTCATATCAGCCCCGACAAGGCTGCTGTCACCATCATCTTTTTCTAACCTTTCTGTATCCTATACTGTATATTTGATCCAACTAAAATCCATCTTAAATATCTGACTGGCTGAGATAACTATGTATATTGTATTTTTTAATGTGCATAAAATAATCAATCTGTACATGTTTTTTTAGTTTTATTCTAACTTCAGCTGTATGTTAATAATAATAATAATAATTCATTTTATTTGTACAGCGCTTTTAAAAACACTCAAAGAGGCTTTACATAGTACGTAAAATTCAAGATAATAAGACAAAGACATGAAAACAGTAAGATGAAGATGTTACTCGATTATACACTCTGTTGTTCTCATGGGAAATTTAAAATACATACAAGACAAACAAATTGGACACAGCATCAACTGGAGAAAAGGAGAAGTTCACCACGAGGCCCCCACAAAACCCGTAAAGCCTTGAGACATATCACCGAGCCTGGTACTCAATGTGACAGCAACACTAAACCAAGTATTTACCCAACCATCGTGTAGACAAACCGCTGACTTTCTTACTGAACCCAGGCCAAGACACAACTACAGAGGAAAGGGAGCCTTTCAGTTTTCACATCACTGGCTGTTATTTTATGGAGCTGCAGCACATTAAAGGCCGCACAGCATCATATCTCGGATCCATTAACATCACCTCAGCAGATTTAGTTTCACTTTTAACCCACATCTCATAAAGCCAAACATTTTCTGTGTCAGTGTTAAACTCTTACCATAACAGCAGGGCAGACACATCTTTGGGGCTTTACCTTTCCGGCTCCAAAACCAGTACTTGCGCCTTCGTTTCATTCTCAGTCCAGTGTCTATTATTTTAAAAAAAAAAGGACAAAAAAAGAAAGAAACCCAAGCTCTCCTCCTGAATCGAGTCTGTATTTAAGTAACGACAGTGTTCATTCTCACTGTCAGTAAGGATCACCTACCAGAGACAACACGTCTGAAATGACATCTCCAGCAGGCGGCAGTCAGGCAGTCCGTGTCGTGTCCACGCTGACAGACAGACCGCAAGAGAGAGAGAGGAGAAGAAATGGGACTGGGAGGTCAAGGAAAATCTCTGCTCTGGAAGAAATGTCCTGAAACACGCTTCAGTTTCAGACCCTCTCCTCTTCCTTCCCCTACCTCCGCCTGGAAACAAAGAAGCGGAGAGACCCCCTGACAGGACTCTGATCCTCCTCTGCTTCGGGGCCAACAGACAAGACTGAAGATGAAGTCGAGTCATCCGACTGTCAGACGCTGCCCATCCTTCACTCCTCTTACTAACGGGATGTCCTCAATTTCGCAAAGGTAAGGAAAAAAAAGGGTTGGGTAATAATTGCTGCATATCTTCCTCTCTGTCTCAGAGGCGGTTCTTCCTCAAAGTCCAGTTTGGTTCTTAGTGTGGAGAAGGTCTGACCTCCAACAATCTCAGACTGAGAGCAGAGTGAGAAGAAACTCACAGGCTAACAATGCAAGTGAGGAGAGGAAACAACTAAGGAAGTCAGGAAACATGGGCTGGTTCATGGAAAGAAAAACAGAGCCACACACAGCAGATATTCAGCCTCCTGTTGACCAGAACGCTCTGACAGCTTCAGACCTTTACTGACTCAGCTGATGAGGTTCAAAGGTAATAAAGGATGTTCAGGTAATAAATCATCCCATTTACAGAAATGATATCCTTAGTGGAGGTGTGTCTCCTAAAGGTGGTATTTAAGGAAGCATCCAAGGACCTTTTTTACCAACCTTGTTTTTCTGAAGACGTTTGTTACACATTTCTGTACAAACAGTCTAAAAGTAGCACATTGTTAGTTTCCTCTCTCCACCTCATTGTTTTTCCTGCACAGAAAAAGGTCCTCCTGTCCTCTTAGAGTCTCAGGAACAGTTTCCCGGTCAGTCACATGAAACCAGGAAACTTGAGTGCTTTCTAAATCTATCTGAGCAAAATCAGACTGAAGTGTTGAGCTGAGAGGCGATAAGGAAAAATTGGACACAGACATACATCTATATTAAGCCACCAGAGGTCAACCAATAAGTTTTTTCATCAGCTGATATTGATGCTGATGTTTGATGCTGTTACCATGTTGTTTTTGTGGTTTTTGCATTTAATAAAATATACCAATCCAATAATAATGATAAAAGCCATTGTTCCATAAATAAACATGGTTATCTTGGCAAGAAATCTGTGTAAATTCAGGAAATGAAAGAAATATATGATATGAAAAGAACCTATATTGTGCTAGCCTATAAATGCTATGGATCATGACGTATCAATGCCGCAGACAAATATGAACTCTTATTCTTTAGCTGATTGTAGTGGCTGCAGATCTGATTACTTCATTTTTTTCATTTGACCCAATTAATCAGCCTACCTATATTCCCCACCTCAATTGGATGATTACGTTTAGACTGTGTTCCCCACAGATAAACTAATATAGAGGCACTACACTTCAAGCCAAGAAATAAAATGTCCTGTAACCACTATGGCTGTATTTATTTTCCATTTCTCCTTTTATTTTGTGGGGTTGGGGTGGGCTCAGCCCCCAGTGTCTTTGAGTCCAGAAACGCCCCTGGGCAGGTGCTGGACACAGTATGTTCACTCTGCTCAGCAGCACCTTCAAGAGGTTAGACTTGATCATTACAGTGAAAAGTACTAATTTACTAATATGATCCAAATTAGGACAAAATTATGAGTCATTAACGCTAATGGCAGCACAAAAATGTCAAATATGAACCTGAAGTTGCCTCATTGCCAGTAGTATTTTGTGATTGTCAACGAACACCAGGAAAAGTTTATAAATGAAAAAGAAGCAGAAACATGAGAGCAGAGAATCTGCCCCACAGGACACTTGTAGTATAAACTTAACTTAAAATGTGAAATATTTTGGATTACAAACATTTTCATCTCATCATAATCTCCCTCACAAAACAAATGTGTAACTGTCAGAGCTTATATCAGCAGTAATGTGGGCTATTATTAGCTTGTAAATGCAGAAAAAAGGTTGTCGATGAACATTTATCTTCATAATTTTGGTAAACTAAATAAACCCTGATCAAAAGTCTTAACACCTGCTCTGCAATGGAAAGACCCTGACTGATCCTGGGCAGTTACCCCCACCTACTGGTGGATGTACAAACTGCAGCGACTGAGTGCTGGTTGGAAATAATTGATGTTTGTGAGTATGAGAGGGTGTAACTAACAGAGTGTAACAAACACATTAGACACTTCCTGCTTTGGTGCAGCCCACCCACCATCGCACACACACACACACACACACACACACACACACACACACACACACACACACACACACACACACACACACACACACACACACACACACACACACACACACACACACACACACAGTATTATCATTTGAGCAAACATTAACCTTCTGATATCGCCTGGACTGTGAGGCGTGACAGGGTAAACTCAAGGAAGTGAATTAAATAAAGAAATTATTAATAATGTTTGGGTCTCTCAGTGTGAGAAGAATGAATGTTTACCACCGGGCATCAAAACAATTCATTAAACTGAAAATGTAAAAAGTGCTGTTAAAAAATTTGAAATTCAGTGTAAGAAAAAATCAAACTACAATGTAAGGAAAAAAGGGGGGAAGTCAAGATGAAAAAAGTACAAATTATTTCTAGAAAAGTCCAAATAAAATGTTGAGGAAAAAACATAATATTCAAATTAAAGTTAAATTAAAAAATAACTTGGAAATAAATGTTGTGGATTGAACTGAATTTTATGTCAACAAAAGTTTATGCTTTAATTCTGAATGAATGAGGTTGAAATCACAAAATATATATATATATATATATATATATATATATATATATATATATATATTTTTTTTTAAAAAGGACAAAGTTGAATCAAAGTCAAAATCTACTCAATTTACTCAAGAGAAAAATGACGCAATTCCTGAAAAAGGTTGAAATTTAACATGAAGGAAAAGTCCAAAAGTTCAATTTATGTTCATTTATTTGACTATGTTGACAAAAAAGTAAAAGTGGAAAAATAGTTTGAAATCTTAAATTCAATATGAAGGAAAAAAGACCTGACATTCAGAGTCCAAAAAATGTTGAAAATATAGCGTTGAGGAATAAAAGCAGAGGTTCAGATTGAAAAGAAAAAAAAAAAAGAAAAAAAAAAAAACGGAAATTCATAGGTTTAAATATTTATTTATTTGCTTGAGGACACTGGCTCCCCCTGCTCTTTGTGTCAGTTGACAAAAAGCCAACACATTATCAAATAATATGATAAGCATGCAGAAAAACAACATGTCATCTGCTCATGCGTGCAGTCTGCCATCCAATACTTAGAAGGTTGGAGATGCTCACCTGATTATTTACAAACACATTCAATAAAATTTTCCTTCAGCTTTTCAATTGTCTCTCTGGCTTCATTTAAAGCACAGAGAGAAAAGCAGTCTTTCCAGCTGACCTTTCAGAGTTCACATACCAACCACACATGGAGCGATGCCTATCTGCACTCTTCTTGAACTGGTGTGGTACAGCAAAGTACGGCACATAAAAGCAATAATCTCTGGAGCCTTTATGAAGCGAGCTGCACAACACTGATTCTGTTGTTGTGTCAAGTGAAAGCCCGTAGAGGACACTAAGAGGGTTCGGCTCAGGGTGAATATGCATCAGGGCAGTCAAACAATCCGCCGAGCAGGAGGCAAACAGGCTACACAGCCTCCGATTCACCCAGTCCCACTGCCCGTGTCCCTCCCTGCACACAGAAAACAAACGTACCCTTTGTTACAGAGTGTTACAGCTGTCCTCACAGCCACAGCAGCTCAAACCGAAACACCCACTGGCTGTTTGGGCTTTAAACACTAAATACATTTCACTTCAACAACACACACACTCAGGCAGTGTGCTGTAAAGTTCATAACCATCCCAGAGAAAGCTAACTGTTGACTTCAGTTACAAGCACAGCTCTCTGAAGAGTGTGATAATATCCAAAGACAATTCAGGGTTTTTATCTCCGCAGCTATAGTGCAACACAAGCATCACACTGACGGGCATAAACTCTAAAATAGCTGAGCGTGATGGACAGCAGACGAACAATTTTAACATGTCCTGCACAACTTTGATTTCATTCTCTGATTCAAGCTCATTAAATCAACAATATTCCTCTGAGACTCACAATCCCAGAGAGTCCTAACAGAGAAAGCTGCAAAATAGTCCAACAATCTATCAACTCATTTAAAAGTGAGCCTAGCTAACACTTTTCAAGTGATCCCTCATCCTGATTTTCAATTTTTTTTAATACTCAAGTTAAAGGTGATTCTGCAGCTCTGATTCAGATGAGGAAGTAAAAACAATAACTTTTATTTTACCAGGGAGTCCCACTGGGATTTTAAATGCAGCAGAGACCAGGCCAAGGTAGCAGAACAACACAGAAAAACAGTCACACACCACACAGTCAACAGAGGCTTTCAAGAAAAACCACCACATGCTTCTTTCACGATACTCTCGACAACACTCCTAAATATGTTGGGAGATATTGTTGTGTTTAATTTGAGCTCTTTTTATTCCGTATCCAGTGAGTGTTATAGGAGTTTAAATGGAAGGTTGTGTCATTCATTTATTTACATAGTCAGTCAGCCCATATGGACTTAAATGAAGTATGAGTTAATACACTCTGGGTCAGAGGCCAGAACAGGTCAATCTCTGAACAAAAAGACAAAAACTAATCAAAGTTCACACAAACCATCACTAATTAAAGAGGCCATCGCATCTTCTTTCCCAGCCTTCAAGACAAAATTAGCAGCTTGAACTTGTCAAATTTAAATGGCCAATCTAGTTTTTGTTCATCTGGCTGCCACATTATGTCAGGCTTTTGGCGAACAGCCTTTTAAAACAATAACTTTTTCAGGTAAATGTATTTTTTACAGTGTACACAGAAATAAAACTCAGTTTCCAGTTCATCCAAATCACAAAAATTCACAGTCTGTCTTCTTCAGGATCCTTTTTTAACTATCCAACTTCAAGTCCAGAGGAGGAAAACCAAGTCTGAACTGTGAGACTGAGGATGTTTGGCTTCTAGATTTGAGGACAAGATATGCAAAGGCTGATTTGTCCACAGGGGGCGCCAAAATCTGGAGGAATGTCAGGCACCTCTGGTGAGCTTTATACTCTCTAGTCTAGAATTTATGCATGAGCGGTCTAAATGGTTGAATCTGGTAACATGCATGCTATATGAAAATGAAGCTGTTCTGAAAACATAAAGCTGCTGAAAATGATTAAACATTTTCACTGCTGGTACCAGTTATGGAAATGATCAATATTTTTGTTATTGCAGGCCTAAAATAAACTCACTCTACAAGCATTTCTGACTGTATGATCCCGTATTTACATAAACTGTGCTCCATTTGTCTGTTTTCAAGTGTTTTCAAACTCATAATGAAACCCTCCCCAGTGTAAATTCTGGACCCCTTTGAGTAACCGGGTAACAGGGTGTCTATTTGCAGCCTGTATACAACTTTTTTTATCTAGTTGTTTGTGTCCTTAAGTGTCTCATTTTTTATTTTGCCAAACACAACTGATCACTGACTGTCTATCTTCACCTATCCTAAATAAACCCAGAGGAAGCCTTGGCTACTCATTTAAGTTTTTACGATGCTTCATTGATAATGATACTTTCACTTTGAGGACTAAAATGATGATAAAGTTTATTTTAAATGTACCTGGCCAATGTCATAAAGAGTTTCTGATTAGTCTCTGCATTTAAAAACAGTCATGAATCACACTGTTGATTATTAAATACATCAGGCTATAGGAAATAGTAATATTATAACAACAGACTTTCATTTAAATCCAAGTCGTATTGGCATATTGCTAAAAGTGGAAACATACCGGTGATGTATACTGATGTCAAGTGTCTGTAAGAAATCTGACTCCAGTGTTGCTAACACATGGTGACTCACTGACAGATAAGATCTCTGGGTATTTCAGTGATTCCTTCACTTCCTGTCCTTGTGCCCAGTTTATTACCTTAGACCTGTAACTGACTGCTGACAGACACCTTGTCTGATCATAACAGAGGTATATAAATCTCCGAGCAAAGTTCAGATCAAAATGCAGCTACAGTGAATCTCCTCAGCTGCTTGTTTGCACAAGAACTCCTCAGAGCAGCAAGATAAGACAAAGCAGCGGCTCAGTGGGTCGTGCCCAGACAGTAACACACCACAGCAGGAGTGCTGGCATGTATTAGGATTCCAGTTTTAGAGAAAAATAAGTACTTCATCACAACAAAGCCTGGGCAAACTTTCAGGTACAGCTGCCAGGTCGTATCTCTGCAAATCTCCATCTGGAACCTGCACAGAAACAGATCCACATACAGTTTCTGATCAGGAACAGACGTGCACAGAGAACTTTCTCTGCATGATCCTGAGAGATGAATCCTGAGAACATCGAGTTCTCAGTCTTCCTGAGGAGTAGTGGTCCCCCGGAAGAAAAGAAATGTGCCCTGAAGCATGTGGATGGTTACACAACAGGTTAGAACATGCCTTCGAGTCCTTCATACCTGCTGAGCAGTCAGAAGTGATGTGTAAACATGGGCTGTAATGTAGGTGTGTTACAGTCCTCACCTTCCATACTTTCTCAATCAGCCTGACAAAAACATGATGGTTAAAACATGACCTGGAGCAGCCAGAGGGTCAAAACACTGAGTCACCAGCTCACCGGATAAAGACTTAAAGCCTCTAATGGCCTAATTCTCCAGTTTTCCTGAGACCCATAAACAATCCAGAGGTGAGAGCGCACAGTTTCCATATGGAGTCACCCAAAACATGACACAAAACTTTAATGTCCAACAAGCCGGCAAAACTGGACAGATAAGACAAAACTGTGATTTATAAACAGTAGATCAGAGTTCAACGTGGTTGTAAAAAATGTGATCTGAGGCTACGGGAGGATCACTTCTTAGACACATTTGTTGGGTTGATATGACGACAAAATCACTTAAAAAAACTCACCTTCCTCTTCCTCTGGCTCCGACGTATCCATACTCGTTTGTTTCCTGCGAAAAGCGACCCTGCTAAATCCCTCCATTCTTCTGTGAGGCTCTGACAGCTCAAGCATTGAAACCCTGAAGTCAAACGCATTCAAAAGTGACGGCAAAACAACAAAAGTCGCGCGCTCCTCACGGATAAATCAAGCGCACCTGAAGAACCGAAAAGGTTTATACTGGGCTGGCGTTTATCCCCTTTAAAACGTGGACCCGGGAGTTTGGTAAACAGCTGCGCACATGTGTAAGGTGTTTCGACTTCATCCCCCACCCCTGAAGAAATGTCACCTTGGAGGAAGAGTTTCCCTAAGCACCGCCCCCTCCCCTGTCAGCGCGTACTGACGGTGCAGATCTCCTCATTATTCCACCTCAACAATGCTCCTACTGTTAAGGGGCACCAAACGCATGCATACAGAAAGGCGTGCAGTGTAGAGTCAATTTTTGAGATGCTGATTATAAATCTGATCAATTTTTGATCATGATAGTTATAAAATCAGTAGAATCTATCTTAATGAAAGCTCCTGTCCTAATTGACGTTGAATTTGGGTCATAAATGTGGTGAAGAAGAAATAATTAAAGAAGATAATAATTCTAATAATTCACAGTCCTGATCATTTTTAAAACATTTGCAGAGGAGAAGCTCGGATGTTCAGCATGCCTTCACTTACCAGGTGGTAATAATGTAAAAGGTACTAAGTGTAAAAATATTGAGTCAGCTTCTAGACTGAAATGCTGCCCTTCTCTTGTACATTTACACATTGATCAAAACATGTATTTATTGTAATAGTCTGACTGAAACTGGGCTTTTATGAAACATGTGGACATGTTAGCCTGAAAGACAAAGACAGGATGAAAAATTATATGTTGTATTATATGAACAAAAGGTTCAGAGTTTTAAAAGTGACGCTGTTTTTTGATGTACATCCTGTTAGCCACGTACCAACACGTTTGTCAATTGTTTTGGTACATTATAGGTCAACCCTGAGAGGACCCAGTTGTGAAGGGAGCATGTTGCCAACTACTGTAGCAGAGATAGACATGAGACTATATTCAGATTGTTCCACAGTATATGTAAACTGGGACAAGGGCTGAAGTCCAGTTAAACCACAACCTGAGCAATAACTGTAGCTTAACTGAGCATGTAAGTGTGCTGACTGTAGGCCTTTCAGGACACAAAAATACTGCACAAAATATTGTGGCCAAGTTACCAAACTAAGAGTCCAAATCCGAGTCTTGAGTCCTTCAAGTCCGTGTCACCCGAGCGGAATTCAAATCATGTCCTCATTGACGATATTTATAACAAACATGGTGACTCTTTCACTCCGAACTCAAGTGTGTGAGCCTGATTAACTGTGCGTTCTTTTCTTTTGTTAACATTCAATTCTTACAACCTCTCAACCTGCCTCTCCGAAATAAAGACCTGGATGACCAACAACTACCTTCTACTGAACTGTGACAAATCCGACATGATAATCATTGGCCCCAAATCCATCACCCAATCCATCCCCCCCTTCTCCATCACAGCTGATAACTCACCCCTGTCTCCTTCCTCCTCCATCCGCAACCTTGGACTCATCTTTGATACCCACCTCACTTTTGAACAACACATCAAACAGGTCACTAAATCAGCCTTTTTTCACCTCAAAAACATTGCCCGTATTCGCCCATCTCTCTCCCTCCCCGCAGCAGAAACCCTGGTCCACGCCTTCATCACCTCAAGGTTAGATTACTGCAACAGCCTCCTGTACGGTCTACCCTCTAAACTCCTCAACAAATTACAGATAGTCCAGAATTCTGCCGCCCGCCTCCTTACCCACACCCGTTCACGAGATCACATCACCCCCATCCTCCTCCGTCTACACTGGCTCCCCATCAAGCAACGCATCATGTTCAAGATCCTCCTTCTCACCCACAAAGCCCTTCATCATCAAGCCCCTTCCTATCTCACCGACCTACTCCAGCCTCATGTACCCCCCCGTAACCTCCGTTCCTCCTCTGCCCATCTTCTCACCCCACTGTCACGGCCCAAGCACCGAACTTGGGGGGATCGGGCATTCTCCTCAGCTGCCCCTACCCTTTGGAACTCCCTACCTCCCTCCATCAGACACTGCCCTGACTCCACTACTTTTAAATCCCTTTTAAAAACCCACTTATTTAAAATTGCTTTTAATATTTAACTGTTTTGTCCATCTTACTGTTTTCATGTCTTTGTCTTATTATCTTGAATTTTACGTACTATGTAAAGCGTCTTTGAGTGTTTTTAAAAGCGCTGTACAAATAAAATGAATTATTATTATTATTATTATTATTACAATTCCTGTCAGCATCCCAGTAAGACATAAAGCTGATGTTAAAGTGTCTTAAAAGCTGTTGGTGTACATGTATTATGTATCACCTGCAACACGATGCAACAAGACAGAGAAAGCGACACAAACACAGTCAGATACAAATCCAAGGGCAGGTCTTTATTTAACTTGTGAAACCAATTAAAGAGTGTTTTTATGGAGGAGAACCTTCAAACCCACCACTATCATTGTTTTTGGGTCAGTCCTTTTTTTCTTTTTCTTTTCCACTGGGTTAGTTCCTCTTCATCCATTGCTATATTGTGCAAACAATCCCAGAGAGTTATGTCTTCAGTGAGCCTGCATGTTTCTAGAAGATACTTTCGGACCAATCTGCACTGCGAACAGAGACAGATCCTACAGATGTGCACACAGAGAACAGAAGAGTCCACTCATCCATCACTGATGAGAAAGAAAAGTTTTTTTCTCTGTCATTCTAACACTTTACTGGCTCTGTAGTTTCAGTTTATCTCATTAATTTCCACCTGGAAACAAATTTAGTTACATTACAGACATCATGAGGGTATAAAGACGAAGAGAGGGAACTTTAATATACAACAAAGTCAAAGATACATCCACGTGTGAACAGTCTTTATCTGTCTTTGAAGAAGTCAGTGACACTCCTGCTGCTTCACTGTTGCTGTCAGCCTGCTGGTTGGTTCACCGTTTCAGAAATGGTTGGAAGATTTTGGAAATAATTTGTCTAATTATCCCACAAGTGGAGCAGATATATTGCTTGAATGCATTTTGCATCATTGTGCTTGGACAGTATAACATACTGATTGGAGAAAGCATGTGGAGAGAGATGAACATGGAGGTTTCATGACATACGTGAGAAAACTGGATGTCGGCAACGTGTCTTAGACTGACATTTCTGGGACTGCAGGATGAACTATAATAACAGTTTCCTGGGTTTGTGGCGAATACAGTGACAGACCTCACAGAAGAGACAGACAATATTTTACAGTGAGAGTACGATGTTGAAATGGCAGAGAGGATTACTCTAGAGGAGGCACACCTTCTGGCAATCCTCTAATGTTAAAAAGCTGGAGGTCACTTCACTCCATGGTCACTTAAACCTGTGCAATTCAAAAGGCAAAACAGAAACAAAGAAAGGCCAACAGCCCTAGTCCTGATCCCAAACACTCAGCCCCTCATCTATCCCAGCCTCTAAAGAGATCTGAGCTACCTTACTGACACGCCTCTGCCTCTAGAGTCTGCTGTAAAAAATGAATAAATAATAAGAAGTATAAAAAATGTTTGCAAATAAAATCTGTATAAAAAACACAAGCATCTAAAGAAATAGTAGTGATGTTAGAAAGGTAGTTGAAATCCACCCATCATCACCTCAAGAAACACTGCTTCTGTAACATCATCTTCACCGTCATTAGTCTCTCTGTTAAACCCAATTAACTGAAACACCTATGGAAAAAAATGGCATGTTTATGTTGGATTATCATAACACCAGATTTAAAGGAGACCTATTATACTTTTTAAATGATTTTGTAAGGTTCAGAAGATTAGATCACATAAGAATTATGCACTCTGCAATAAAATGGTGAGGACTTCTCTCTGTTTATCTGTGAGGAAGACAGTGCACAGCACAGCTCTGTGCAGCAGGGAGTGGAGATGCTACAGATCTGTAGGCATTTTACTCTTGAACATCATTTGGGCAATTTGCTCTGTGAATTAGACCCTGAGAAGGAGTGAAAAGAGAGAACTGAATATAACAGTTGTCAAGTTCCCTGTTTGTGTACACAAATCTGTTCAATAAAGTTGATTCTGACTCTGAAGATGTTATTTTTGGAGAAAAGAAGTGATATGTTTTTAGCTCATTTGACAAGCCAGATCACCATCAAAGTCTTTTTTTTTTTAAGGAATTTTCAACTTTGATTATGTTGGTCTGGGACGCTAAAACATGAGCGATGCATAATTTGCTGTTAGAAAAACCTCTATATTCATCTTACAGCAGTATGTGTAAAAACCCTTATTTCAGCACGAATCAGCCTCTGCCTCATAGCTTCATTTTGGCTGCTTTTTTGCTGATATAATGTTAAATCCGGCTTCTGGGTGTTACTTTTTACACAGCTTGGTAGTCATAAAAATGACCTGAAAGTTACACTACCAAGAAAACATCTGAGCTGCATCTGAGCTGTTGTTTAAAGTGACTTAAAGCTCAATGATGCTCTACACCGGATTTGCATACAGTTAGAGACGGAGCTTCCTGTCTGTACTTTGTGCTCATTTTCATTTTGGTCATATTTCTGCAGATCTCCTGCAAGCTTGTGGTTATCGACCAAACAGTAGATTGCCACTGACAATCATGGGGGCAAAGATGCAAATAGTTCATACCCTCGACTGTATAAGGAACTGAAAATAAGATACTTTGAGTGCCTGGGGATTACACCAACAGCTGTGTTTCTTATGTTTTCAAACTTTTCCAAGGTTTACTTTGGACACCTGTCACTGTAATGTCGGACAAATGTGTTAAAGTAATAATAGGTCTCCTTTAAGGTCTGTACAGTGTCACTAAACCTGTTTCTTAGAGCGCTGCTGAAGCTCTGCTGTAAGTCTTGTCCACCACAGCAGTTAAACCTCTGATTTTAAACTGTTGTCTTGAAAAATGACAAACAACAAAGAGAAAACATTCCTGTAATAAATAGCTCCAAAATATTCATAAATCAATTTGTAAATAAATAATCAATAGAGTAAATAAATAGGTAATAAATACTGATACCACAAAGGGAAAAATTCCCCTGATTTGTCACTCTGGCTTTTTGCGCCTCAATTCCTTTGTTTCCAGAGAAGAAGAGAGTCCTGCTCTTCTTCTGTGACCCGAGGAACCAGGGGAGCCCAGTCACTTGGTGGGAGGTGGGGTGGGGTGTCACAGAGTCCAGTAAGCACCAGGTTAGACTGCAAGGCTGGCTGGCTGAGAGGGTGAGGGGGGAATCTGCAGGAGCCCCCCTGTTTTAAGCGTCTTTTAGACTCCCACCAGGCCAGGAGCAGAGCCCGGGCTGGAGAGGGGAGGTCAGGCATCACGTCTTAGGGGGGCTGAGGAGGCTGAGCGAGACAGTTACGAGGGTCGCAGGGGGAGAAGAGGCTACTTCTTCTGGACAGGACTGAGCGGTTTGCTGATAACTTAGGACTGAAAGGAGGCAGAAAGACAAGAGAAAAGGGTAAAGTTCGGTTATCTACTGGCTGAAAAAGAGGAGAAGAGTTAATGGAAGAGAAAAGTAAGAACAAATCAAACTGGAATATAACATGTCAAGAAAAACAGTGACATGGTTTTCTTCAGGGAGAAAGCTCTTTTTGGGAAATACTTGAAATTTCTCTTTGGTCGCAGTTCAAATGAGAAGACTGACTCTCATATTTCTCATATTTGGTGGTGAAGTTTTAACTTCTGTTTGCTTAGCTTTAGGGATGCTGTGATCAGCTCTTTGATTTATGACAATGAGTATTGAGGCCCCACTGCAACAGCCCAGACAACCTCAGTGTGCAGGCGACCCTCTGAGAGCTTTTAACATCTATAACTTTGCGTTACTCTATGAAAATACGAGTTCAAAAACAATACCAAAGGCAGCATGATACATGCTTAGACTTAAAATGCTATTGTATGCTAATACTCACAATGATATAGATGAAAAACATTGTGTTACAAGACACTAATGGGCTTAATTTGAAAGCTTCAATCGTGACAGAACAGAAATCTGCAGGTTGTAGTAAATCTGCTGAAATGAGAAATGAGTGACCTACTCACTACTTTATAGTCTAAAGAATTATCTTCAAAACTAAGATCATTTTACAGATTTAGAGGAGGTGAGAGGGGTCTCTCTTTCTCCAGATGGAAATGATTCAATGTATCAGGCTCATTTAATCTCATACAGTTATTAGTTAGCAAGTTAGCAAGCAATAGTAATTTTCTTTTTCTTTTAGGGCCTCTTCATCTATTTGGGCCTTGGAAGGTCAAACCTACTTTCCCTCCCGTGACACCTGTGATCTGCTTCACTGCTTTCATAACATTTACAAAATGAGTGTGATGAGAATGAGGTGATAATACATAAGTATAAAGTCCTGAGTTCACAAGGAAAAGTTGCGAGAGAAGAAGCCATAAACCCATAACAGTAAAGCTGTACATTGTTTATTGTTTATTTTTTTTGTCTTATATCTGTACCTGTCTCAGGACTTAAGATAAAATTTGGTTTTTACATAGATGCAAACTGCAAAAATGTTGATGAATGTGTGTCGTCCTAATTAAATAAATTCAATTTTAAAAAAGAATAAAGTAATGAATGTATGGGATTTCGATCAAAAGTTGAGATTGTATAAGTCAGAAATTTGGTTAAGAAACTGTTGACTTTGTATCCCTCAAAATTTCACTGATTTGGACCTCTTTTCCAACCAAAACATTTTTTTCCTCATCTTTTCATCTCTTTTCTACAAATTCATATTTCTTTTTCTTTTGATGTTTTCCCATCTCTGGCCCTAAAACTATTTAATAGCTAAGACATGAGAGTGATATCATTCTCATCAATGCTTAACATGAGGACACATTATATCATAAATTTCCCAAAAAGTCAAACTTTCCCCTTCAACCATGCCAGAGACAAGGGAGGATCAGATTAAACCATACTTCAAGACAAAGTATCAGGTGAGAAAAAGTACAACGGAAAACAGAGTTAAAGGAGACAGTGAGGTGACAAACTGAAACCAAACACAATCTCAGATCTGTCCGCAGTTTCTGAGTCGTCTCATAAGAACATTTCAGTCCAGTGAGAAAAGAAAGACGAGTTATTGCCAGACAATCCTTGTAGAAACTGAGTGTAGAGTTGAAGATAAAGGCTGTCTTTAAAGTTAGTGCTGCTGTTGGCTGTTAGCACAGATGTATGTGACCTTTCTAAAGTTAATACTAACCCTTGTGACTCTGAAATGTATGTCAAGCAGAAGGAACAAGAGTATGTGCTCAGTGTTAATCCTGCAGCTTAAAGTCAGAGTTTGACCTTGTGCAACATTTTTTGAAATGCCATAACAAAAAGGCAAATGCATCCATGTCATACTATTAGTACTGAAGTGGTTTACATGTTATAAAACAATAAGTAGTGACTATTATTCATGCAGAACAAAAATCTAAATCATTACTGCAGTGTGATAGACAGATAGATAGATAGATAGATAGATAGATAGATAGATAGATAGATAGATAGATGGATAGATGGATAGATAGATAGATAGATAGATAGATAGATAGATAGATAGATAGATAGATAGATAGATAGATAGATAGATAGATAGATAGAAAGATAGATAGATAGATAGATAGATAGATAGATAGATAGATAGATAGATAGATAGATAGATAGATAGATAGATAGAAGTGTGGATGAGCCTACTTTTAACAGGTACTACAGCTGGTTACCTGCGGGCTCGGGAGGCTCTCCCTCGCCTTAGTTGTGGGGAGAGTGACGGTACTGAGGCAGCAGGCTGCTGACAATCTACAAGAAACTGATAAATTAGACAGATATACAGAGTGGTGACACTCTGGGTTAGACAGAGAGACAGAAAATACGAAGGACAGACAGGGGAGGCCATGTCAGGGACAGAGAGGATGCTGGTTTACTGATAGCGCTTAATTTCATACTGAAGCACCACTCAGATCCTTGTCAAGGAACTGATGATTTTATGTCATGGTGCAACTTGAAGGGATTGTTCACTTATTTATAAGAGTGGTTGCATAAAGTACAAGTCAATAGAGCTCCTGCTGTGTTGAAATAAACTGTATATATGTACAAAAATTGCAAATGTTAGACTGAGCGGGAATAAACTCTACAGACTTCACCACACAGACGATCCTACACACTAGGTACTCAGAAACAATTTCAGTCTAACTGGGATGTGTTCCATCTGCTAACTGTGCAAAAAGGAAAAGAAAGAAAATAGGGATGCACCGATCTGCTTTTTTCACCTCTGATACAGAAACGGATATCTATAGTTTAGTATCGGCCAATACTGATCCAATTCCGATACAGAGAAGCCGCACTGAATTACCTTTTGTTGTAACCTGAAGTTTTACCACTGCCCCTTGGAATGTTTACTGCGCAGGTATTGCAAGTGGCTGCCAAGCTTGTAGGTTGAGGTATTGTGATAAGTTCAAGATAGCAGACCCCTTTGCTCGCTCCATTTAAAAAAAACAATGTGTGCATCCGCTCGGCGTATTTACTTGTGGATGCCACTCACAGCGCATAGCATAGAGTTAGACTGAATAGATCAGCCCCTATGCATCGGGTCCATTGTCACGATACCCGATCTAGAATTTTCTTCAGTATCGGGAGCTATATCTATATCAAATATCGGATCGGTGCATCCCTAAAAGAAAACCATATTCTTAAAATAGAGCGTGATTGACCTGATCCCTCTCAAAGCAGTTTTTCAATGATGGGGCTGAGTTGACCTTGATCCCCTCACTTACTGACAAGTACCTCATACGACCACATTTTAATACTCTCTCTTTAACACTGTAGAAGTTTATCTTCAGAGGTTGAACCTGATTTTGAATCTCCTCGATGTGGAAGGTGATTCTCTTCCTGCTGAAATCAGGGTTCAAAATATCAATGAATGTGAGAAGCTTGAGAGCAGGTGAATAAATATGAGCCCAGGCGCAGAGAAAAGCAGGAAAGTACCTGTGGTCAGTCTAAAGAACTGAACCTGCTGCATGCCAATACATTCCTGCCTAGCATGAACATGACTACTGCTGTAAACCAGCCTCATCTGACAGGACCTGTCTCTACACACAAAAACAATTAACACTGGGGGAGGAAAACACCAGGAGAAACAATCTAACCAAACATACACTCTCAAATCCAATATTGTATTGATTTGTCCTGCACACAAAGAGAAAGACAGACACAGAGGGGCGGACGCTAAACAATCCAACCCTGCTGGACTCCACAACACCTGCTGCCGTCTGACTCAGCAAAGTCAGGTCTTTGTTTGTGCACATGGTATCATTATATTAAAGCTGTTTAATTTACAGTATAATTATACAATTATCTGAGGTAGGATTGATAAGAGAAAGGGAGGTCAAACAGCATTTGACAGGAAAAGAATGGAAATATTTGAAGACACTGACATCTAGTGGAGAAAACAGGAGTGTGTGCCTGAGAGCTTTTGCTTTTGGTTTTTGTCTTTTCATGCTTCATGTGGGATAAAATACAAGAGTTAAAAATCAATCAGAGAGAGGGCTGAGGCACAGAGAGGAGGTTTGACTGGTTTCTCATCACACCGAGTGTTTAGCCTGTCAAATGCTCTCTGACAGAAGTTTAGATGTGACTGACTGAGGCATGCATAAAAAAATGAAGGGGGTTTCATTTGACAGTCTGTAATATTTGATATTTAAAAATTACAACAACAACCCCAATTTAAAAAAGAAGCTGACACACTGTGAAATACTAAATCAATAATAAAGACAAAGTATCAAATGTTGAAACTGAGAAACTTTGTTGTATAATGATAAGTTTATGCTTATTTTCAGTTGATGCCAGTGACAGGTTTTAAAACAGCTGTCAGAGTCACATTTACCATCATGGGTCATCACCCCTTATTGTTACTAAACTGATCGAGGATTTCAGACTCAGCCTCTCCGAATGTCTTTTTTATACTGACCTGTTGGAAATTCACCTCACTAGTTGGAGATGTTCCTACAACTTTCTACATGTTTGGTTGTTCTTGTCCTTTTTTGAAATGTGTTGCTGGCATCAAATTTAAAAGGGTGTAAATTCTTCATAAAAAAAATGATGTTTAAGTTTCAATATTTGATATGCTACCTTTATACAATTTTCACAGAAACTTCGGGTTGATTTGATTTTACTTTTTACCAAAAGCATCCCAACCTTTTAGGAATTGAGGCTGTTACTGAGATTTGAAGAGTTACATGTTATTCTCAGAGTCTGCCACAGGGAGGTGCTGTCATTATGCTGAAGCCGATGCTGCAGCACATTTTATTTATTTATTTATTGACTTGTTTTTTCCTCTAAAACCCTACCCATACTCTCTGAGCACTGAGAAACATCATTGTAGTCCAACTTTCTTTTATGTTAAGAACGATTAAAAGTCAGTAAGTGGAGTTTTTGTGCAGTTTTTAGGATGTTTTCAAGATTAAGCACCCTACCATCAGCTCAGTCTTCCTGAGGGTTTTTAATTGTTCAACCAAAGACGTGTGAAACCAGTTTATTCTCCACTCTGTGTCCCATCTCAACCTGAGGACTCTGATAATTGTACACAGCAGAGATTTAGGCTGGAGCAGGAGATGATGAGGAAGAATTATTGCTTTCGTCGCAGGCGAGGAGAGACTGAGGCGGACCTACTTGTGTTGCGAGATGGGGAGAGGTGACCTACGTCTGGTCTTGAATAAATCAGCCGTCTGAACTTTACCGTAAGACTCTCGGGGTCTATCATGATGGGCTGAATGCCCGCTGACAAATGAGGGTAATTGATGTGAGGCGTGGTTGAAACGGAGGTCTGGATTGTTTCAGAGAGTGAGTCAGGAGTCCACAAAGACAAAGACGGAGGACTACGGAGGGTCAGAGAGGTGTTCAGGGTGTGGGTGGTGAGGATGGAAGGGCTGTGAAGTCTGGTGGGGCTGGGGGGAGCCGTGTAGGCACCTCTTGGACTTACTTTGGGCGGGCTGCTTTTTATCTTGGGCACTTTGGCCCCGCGGCCCCTGTGGGTCTGCTCATGGTCAAACTCCAGATCTTCCAGCCGTTGGGTCAAGGCCAGTTTCTGCTGGATGGCCATCCGGAGGAGAGAGTTCAGAGTCTTCTTCTCATCCTCTGCTGCTGCCAGCTGCCTCTGCATCTCATCCAGCTGTGTGACGTACTCATCACATCTGCAGAGAAAGACAGAAGAGGGGAAGAAACCAAGATTTAGTTTACACATGCTAATACTCGATATTGGATGATGGCAGGTTAATGCACTTGTTAGATTCAATGAACTTAAATACACTCTCAATACACTTTTCACTTGGCAAGGAAGGAGAAAGGCTGAGGTAAGTTTTCAGGTTGAATAAAAATGACTGCAAAACAGATTGGAGTCTCTGAATGCAGTGAAAAAAAAAAGAAATAAAGAAAAGATCCATGCAAGAAGATTTCAGAAATTTCAAATAATTAACACTAGTAGCATTGTGATAGTAAACACAGGGATCACAACTAAGACAAACATTCCTTTAACTCCAATAATTGCAATTTTTCCACAGTTTTTTGCAACTTACGTCACAAAATATTTACACAGTAGAGAATGATGGCACACTGATCCCAATCAAACCTCGCATTTTGAAATATAATTTGTCCTACAACTTTTCAAGCTGTTGGATTAGTAGCAAATCTAAATTTGTCCAGAAGAGGAATATGAAAAAGTTCACATGCACTATTGTATAAGGGCCTGCTTAACAGTTTATTGCATCTCTATTGTACAAGAGCCAGTGCCTTGGTGTGTTTGTCCCCATGGCCCTAATTGGGATTCTGATTGAGAATCAGCTTTTTATCGTTAATCAAATTGCTCGAAAGTAATTCGATGATGCAGTGATGTCAGAGCAGTCCCTGATTAGTTGATTGGTCTCAGCTGTGGGCCTGGCCTGAGGCTCACAGGTTGCCACGGTGATAGATGCACCGCAGGGTGAGGCAGCCAAAACGTTCAGAAAAAGAGCGATTTTGGCCTCAGTGCTGGTCTCACTTTTGGGCTTATTCTGATAAAACGGTAGCTCCTATCAGAAAAAAAGAAGGCCATAGTCATTGTAAGGAGTTCCTGAACACTTTGATATGATTTTGGTGTTTCTAAAGTAAATAGTTTTGACATATTTGCAAGATATAAACAGGAGTCCCTTCTGCCTCTTTCAGAAATCTTTGTATTAGTGTCAATGAGGAGCAACACTTATATTCTGTAAGTCTCTCTGCTTAGATGAATATATTGTTAGAGACAAAACAAGTGTGTCAAAAACTGTGGGGAAAAAACGTGTGTAGAGTGTAATTTGTGGCTGGATGAAGCGTGGAAAGGGAAAAGTTTAAGACGATTTCATGCAACTTCTCTCACTCTAGCCGATGATTTCACCCACTCTGGCATGAACATTCCCCGCATTACACACCCATTATAATCTCAAAATTTCTCCAAAAATGATCATGGTCATTGAACCGTAGGTGTTCAAAAACTACGAAACCTTTTAAAATGCAGATTCCTCCACCAACAGACAAGACTTGTGCAAAAAATTTGAAAATGTAAATAGAGTCTCTAGGTGAAAGTACACCAGAGTAAGACATTCGAAAAACTCCAATAGTTGCTCTTTTTTGGTTTTTACCATTGACTTTGATGCAGTATTTTTTCATTGAAGTCAAAATTTCTGTACGACAGAGAAAAGTAATAGCACAGCAATCCCAAGGCACGGACCCTTATACTTAAGTGTAAGGATCAGTGCCTTGGTGCATTTGCCCCGTGGCCAAAACTAGACCTCAGCAGGAAGGTCTACCATGAAATAATTTATCCATTCCTCAAAAAGTGGTGAGGTCAAGAGTGCTATTTAACAGTCAGGTAATGATGGGACTAAACTTTTTCTCTCAAGTTTGAATGAACTCTGGATAAAAACTGACAGCCTAGAAGGGTCCACTTGAATCCCAATGGTGGTGCATCAAAGGGTCAACGTTAACATTGAGACAGTGATTCATAGAGTTCAAATGATCAGGATTTATTGTCCGTTGTGATCCAGACTAAAATGATCATGGTATTAGTTACAGGCCTCACTCAGTGGTCTCATGTTTCCTGTCTCACCTTGTTGCAAACATGGCCCTGAGAGATGAGAAGGTGGCAGCATCTTCTTTCAGAGCCTTCAGCTCGTTCCTCAGCTTCATCATGGTCTCCGTCACCATTGCCTTTTCATTCTCATACTTGCTCTTCAAGTTTGCCAGAGCAACTTCTGCTGTCTGCAACATGAATTAAAATGTTTTATTAAATCACATACTCAGACTTAAATGCAAAGAGACAACATAAGGAAAAAGGAAGATGAACTCTTGACCTGTTTGTTGGCCTTCAGCACCAGCCTGAGTGTGGCGATCTGCTCCCTCTTGGTGCTGAGCAGAGACTTCAGTTTGAGGATCTCCTCCATGCACAGCTCTTTGTCCTTGTCCAGCATAGGAGCCAGCTCCCTGGCTGCTGCCCTCTGCCTGGACAGCTGCAGTGAGCGGTCCACAGCCCTCTGCAGGTGCTTGATCTGGTCTCGGATGATGGCGTTCAGGTTGTAGATGTTCATGGGCTCCTTCCGCAGGTCTGCACCCGTCTCTGCGGGCACTGGAGACGGGCAGGGGGAGATGTTAATGGATGGGGAGCCTGGGGGGTTGCGTGTGGGGCTGCTATGACAGGATGAAGAGTCTGCTGTGTTGGTGGATGCCTCGTTGTGGTGGGCGTCTTTGGATGGGGAGTCCATGGGACTGCGTGGAGAGTCGGAGGAGCAGGCTGCAGCTGCTGCAGCGAGGCGGCGTGCCAAGCGAGGCGAGAGCAGGGCACGTGGGTCATCTGAGCCTTTCAGGCTGCCGCTGCGTGTGACGCGGCTCTGGCGATAATAGTCCAGCATGACGCGATTAGGTGTCTCGTTGTTGCACATACAGACGTGGTGGTAGAGCTGAGCCAGCTCCTCGCTGAAAGTCACCAGCTCATCCTGCGCTGCGTTCAGCATGCCCTGACTCTCCGTGGACACGCTTGTGGCTGCTCGGAGCTCTGCCTCCAGGCTCGCCACCCTCTCCCTGCTCTCACGATAACTACGCTCCAGATGAGTGACCTGCTTGGATGAAACAGATCAGAGGTTGGTAAGGTCAACGTGAGGCTGATGCTGCAATAAAAATGGTGACCATGACCACGACTAACCTGCTCAGACAATGCCTGGACTCTGTCGTCACCGTGGACGTCTCCCTGCCCCTCCACTGCCTGGTTGTACTTCTCCTTCAGGGCTTTTAGCTCCGCCTTCAGGTCAATCACTTCTGTCACCGCCACCTTGTACTTACACTCCAGGGTCTCAAACCCACGGATATCAGGGTCATGGTGACCATTGGTTGGCGGTGATATGGAGCCCCCGTCAGGTTTCTCACTCTCCTGCGGGTCATCAAGCTCTTTGTCCCCGTTGAGACGTCTCATGGTGTTAACTCGCTCGGTGAGACGATGGACACGCTCGCTCTGCTCTGTCAGGGCGCCCTGCGTGTGCTGCAGCTGAGTCTGCGACTCTTGAAGGTTCATGAGCAGAGCTGTTTTCTCACACTCCACCTGAGATACAGAAGGATGCACTGCCATGTAAGAGGGAGCAGGTAAAAATAAAAGACACTTTACACATTTGCTCAAACTCATTAACAGTAAAAGACGCCAGGATGGAGAAAAAAAGAACACAAAACTTTTTTAACATCAACCAGGCTGGGCTGACGTACAACGATGATACACAACAGCAGATTTAGTTTTAAAGCTTTCTGTCTCTACTGCAGCCTGCACAGCTCCATGCCTTAGAGGCCTGAAGAAACAACCAGATTCATAAGGAAGCATCTGCAGAATAACAAGCAAACACTGACTCAGAATTTTGTTGGATTTTGGACCATTTTTACTTCTGACTTATGAGACCTGGACTGTCTCCAAATATCTTTTAAACAGCATAATTGGAACTAACACCAAGTGCTGCACACAGGTATCATACTCAGTTATCTTTCTGCGTGAAACAGCTAAACTTTATTGATCTGACCTTTGAGAACCATATTAAGAAAAAAATTCATCCTTAAAAAATAAACAATATGTAAATCAATCAATTCTGGACAACAGTTACTGATTTTATATAGCAAAGACAACACTAGAAACAGTCTAATCACATCAAACCAATCTGTGTGAAAAAGTGCAGTGTGCAGAGGACTCATGTATTAATGCTTTGAGCTGTGTCCTGCAGCAGTAGTAGAGTACTGTTTGTGTTTTGCATCCAGCTCCTCAGTTTCGCTCTTACATGCAGAAACTGACGTACCAGTTTAACCTGCAGGTGGTTGGTGAGGGGTTAAAGCTGAAAATTGGAGCAGTGGTTGTGCTGCTGTTATTTTTTTTTGGCATCTTTTGGTAATACAGACGAGGAAATGCTGATGTTTAGACCCTAAAATAAATGAAAATGATCATTTAATATTGAATCAAGGATACAACTTTTATTTTAACTGCATAAAAACTTACTTTTAAATAGTTAAATTCTTTTTAGATTGCGTTTAATTGTCAGCTTGTTTGTATGTGTAGCTGATGGCACTATAACAACATGATTAAGTATATTTATCCTGGGATAATACCAAACCACCTGTTCACTATACAGTGCCCCTTACTTAAACAGTTCCACTCCCTACAGCGTCCTTTTACATATTCAAAAAAAAAACTTAATTAATAGGAAAATTAAAATGGTGATTTAATGCTTAATGTTGCATATGTTTACATCAGTCCCAGTTTAATCAACTGTGAGGACAGAACTGATGGGAGAGTAATTGTTTTTGCAGAGAAAGATGCTCTGCTTTTATAGCAGCCACTAATCTAATTCAGTATTTCCCTGAGGAGCTCAGCAAAGAGCAGAAATCTGCAGTAATGACTTAACTAGATTGTAACATGACTCGAAAACCACATTTGATTTTTGTGTCATTTAACACCCTGTACGAAATACTCTCATGTGAGTGATTTGCAGAAATACAGTTTCTGCACTCCATGTTTTCTACATGGCTTTTTCTCATTAAAGGGTTAAAACATATCGTTATATATATGCTGATTTATTGTGCTTGTTACTGTGACCTAACTTCTTCAGTAAAGCAGCACATTCAGCCTTTGCTTCCTGCTTCTTGTGCATGTTGGACACTAATCACCCTGACAGAGCTCCCTACACAACATGCAAACATACAGCCTGTGCGGTGGCGGCTGAACTCCTTGTCCCTTTTCCAAAATGTTCTTCCTTCACATTAGGAAACCATCCATAAAACACTGACATACCTCGAATGGAGCATAGGCAAGGGCTCATATGCAAATGCAAAGAAAGTTGTGCTTAATGTATGCTTTAGGATTCATTCCTGTTGTTGCAATACTGTACTGTTTATGTTCGTGTCTGGAAATGTAACATTCAGCAGATTTTATTCATCTAATTTTCCATCACCCTGCCATTACTCTGCAGATATGGTTTTCAAATCATGATCATTCCTGCATACAAAGATGAACACATGCCTACAGAGAGCAGCAGGATTGCAGATCAAAGTTGTCAGTCTCTACACACTAAACCTGAAAGTACTGTGAGAAAGTGGAGAATCAATACAGCCATTTTCTAATGTGCTGTGTGCAGCTTTTTTTATCAGTTTGCAGACATTTTCTCAGACTTTAAGACATTAGCAGCAGCTTCAGAGGGAGGGAAATTCTGCAGATGGTAACTTTCTGTCCAGTGTGGTGTTCAAGTTGAATCATCGCTGACCTTTAAAAGGAACGTTTGTGAAAAAAAGGGCAGAGTCGAACATGGAGTGCACTCCAGCAGCTGCATGACTGTGTTATGATGGGTGATGTGATAAACTGTGTGTCCAACTGACCTGCACTGAGGTCTTTTGATGCTGATAATAACCCACCTGTAGCAGCTGCTGCTTGAGCTTCTGCATCTCTGACAGGTTGAGCTCACTGAACAGGTCAGGCACAGGATGCAGGCTGTCTCCTTTCCTGCCTGGTCTGTACTCCCCGTTCATCTTAGCCAATCCTGTGCTGGCATGGAGGTGGCCATTGCGGCGGTTGCTGTCCTCGTTGTTGCCGTTTGCAGCAGGCATGACGGTGCCGTTGGTGCCGTTGGTTCCATTGGTCTCCTCTGGGAATTTGAGACCCTCGACCCCAGTGACAGTGAGCGCCAGATGGGCCCCTGCCCCGTAGACGCTGTCGCTCAGGGTGATGTGGTGAGCCAACTCCTTCCTCAGGTTGTTCTTCTGCTCACGCTCACTCTTCAGGGCGTCCAGAGCCTCCTCCAGCTGACCTTCAGAAATGTCCTTCAGACGTAAGGCGTCCTCCAGCTGGCTGTTGAGGAGGACTGTCTCCTCCTCCAGAACCTTGATTTCATGTTTCAGTCCCTCATACTCCACCTTAGGAGAGGGAGGAAGAACAGACAGACCAGAAAAGAGAAGAGGGGAAAAAAGTCAAAGTTTCAAAATAGATTTAAAATCAAGACTCGTAAGGTGCACCATCAATGAATGCATACACTGGAGTACACTGGATTATAAAGCGCATTAAGCCAAACAAAACAGTCAGATAAGTCAAACTTTATTTAACTCATTCAATAACTCCGCTAGGCTACGGTAACTGCAGGACTGTAAGTGCGCCTTATAGTGCGGAAAATACGGTAAGTGTTACAACAGACCCTAATCCAATACCAGAGTCAGAAAGGTAAAGACACAAGACTCTTCAAGAGAAATGAAGGTAATTTCTTTTGACATCTCTGGTCCAAAAATCCATCAGTGTCCATGTCACAGGTAGCTTCCAGATCTGTTAAAGCTCCATCAGTGCTGAACAGTATCTATGAATTTAGGAACAAATCACTAAAATTTTCAGTTTTAGTTTCACCAAAACCTGCTTTTGATCAATGATTTTCAGTGTCCCGGCTTTTTTGTTATTAGATTTGTACTTAGAAATCAATTGCAATGTATTTTTTACGATCTGAACACTCACTGTGACTCACTATACCATACAGTAAAGCCAGCAATGTCAGAGAGTCTTACATCACAGGAGAGATTTCATGTTGATAAATGACCTTAATCTACCCCAGCCAGAACAGGGATTAGAAATTTTGACTAAAGCCAATCCAGAAACTGCAAAATTGTATGTAAATACACATGGTTCAGCTTCTTAGGGGAAATGAAACACGATGAGCAAGTAGCTGAGAGCATACTGTGACAAAGGGCATCCTGGAAGTGTGACTAAACCTTAAAGATGGTGTTTTTCAGAGGTGGAATCAGGGAATTGAGTGTGAGTCAGTCATATTAACTGGTGCCTCATGTTTAAAAGGGATGACCACTCTGTATGGGACAAAATCAGTGAGCAAGTAATGATGTTCGAGGTGCTTCAACAGCGATAAATCCTAATCCAGACCTGGCTCTGCTTGAGCGTTGACACCAGTTTCTGCAGCGTGATGTTCTCCTCCTCCAGCTCGGTGTAATCCTGGAGCAGCCGGGTCTCCCTGAATTTGTACTCCTTTATCTCCTCCCTCATCCTGCTCCTCTGCAGCTCCTGCATCTCGTTACTCTGGAGCAGAAAGTACGGATACAAGGGCGAGAAAGAAAGAAAAAAGAGAGAGAGAGAGGAGGACAAGGATTAAATTCAGTTCACAATGAAACCCCTGCCACTGACTTTAAACTGCCTTGTCAGATCAAGACTGGATGAAATGCACGGCCTCGTAACGCTGAACAATGGAGCTCTAATATCTAATATAACTCATACAGAATATACTTTTCATCTCTTAACGTATGGGGGAGTTTATGGGACAGTTTTGTACCATGAAGGGAATGAGTCAGCACTGTATTAGACAGATCATATTTCAGGTCACTTGTGGTGCGCAAAGAGAAACGTGAGCATATGCTGGACCAGATAAACCATCTATGAAAGAAATGCAGCGGCCTCATGGGTCATAAATCTGAGAATAGCGAGGCAGCAGCAGCAGCGCTGAGAGTATATTGAGACTTCAGCAAAATCATCTGTAGTCACATATCTCAGAGAAGTAACTTTTCCACAAAGGAGTGGGAAGAAAGATGGATTAAGTCTCATCGTATTAAACCACAACAACCGTCTCCATGACTTTTATAAATGCACTTTTGTTTCCGTATATATCCACTATATTTTCTCTGTTTCATACAGTAAAACTTTGAACACTGTTCTGATAGCACCTTTCACAATTCAGTCCAAACTGTTTCAAGATAACTTGGGATACTGCTGCTCACTTTATTCAGTCAGAACCGCTGTTAAGATCATTCTTATTTGCATGCAATCATAACTTATATTTGGCAGTAAGTCTCTCTTCAGGGAGCTTTCATGTGCAAAACCTGAGGCAGGGAGAGCACACCTCCCCTCTGTTTTAATAGTGAAAGACAGGTAGAGCATCAGCAAAGACCCCCAGGGCCCAGAACAGAGCAGTGGCATTGGTGACAAAACAAACGGCACTGATAAACTAATGCTGTGTTCAAGTTACCTCGGAAGTCAGATGTCACAACCAATTTACCAACGTTTCAGATACCAAGTCAGAAAAAAGCAAAATCGGAGGTGGAAACAAGATGGCTACATCTATGAAAGTTATTTAGCGCTTGCCTTGTCCTTGTTATACTCAGACAAGGAAAGCGCTAAAATAAATTTCGTAGATGTAGCCATCTTGTTTCCACCTCTGATTTTGCTCTTTTCAGATTTGGTAATTGAAACGCTGGGAACTCGGGTGTGACGTCATTCCAAGGCCTGACTGGCATCTGGCTTCTGAGGTAACTTAAACACAGCATAAGATACAATAAAAAAGGAGGGACAGAAGTTGTACAGCAGTTTGCAGCAGGTGCAGAGGATGTAATGTGGGCAGAGCTTGACTTTGTGGCCTGTCTGAACTAACACTTTGTATTAATTCTATGGTAACATTTAAAAATACAGATTTCAAAATCTGCTATTTGCAGGGCAGATCCAGAGAAAACAACAACCTCCAGTTCTGAGAGGCAGCCAATGCAAAGTGCAACGGCCCCTGTGGAAGAGACCCTCTTTTATATGGATATAAAAGGCTAATTCTAACAAAAAAGTATTGTATGCTGGTGGTTATAAACTAATCTAGACAAAAGTTTATTCCACTTCTTTAAAGTCTGTCCTGATAAAAGCTGCCTCCTGCACCTTTCAGTATGAACAGAAAATGATTTATATACAGTGTGTTCATGTGTGCACTGCAGAGGTGCCTGCAGCTCCCTGCAGCTTTTTGTGCATAAGGCAGAAGTGCTGACCTAGAGACAGTTTCAGGAGTGTGTGGGTGGATACACACTCACAAAGGAGAAAGAAACTCAATGATACGTTCAGTCTATTTAGGGCTTTGAGCCTCCGGACCATCAGTGAACATAGATGTGTGTTTTGTGAGCACAGAGTTGGTTGGCAGTGGTACTTCTAGAAGGGGGAAACTGGACTGAATCTAGAGTCTATTATTAAGCCCTGTCCAGTTTGATGTGGACAGTATCTGACAGCAGCTTCGGCCCTCATGGAGCTAATGGAACTATGGAGTCCTTATAGTAGAGTAGAGCTGCAGCTACACTGAAAAACTTTTACATAATCCAGTCAAAGATTTCAGAAGCTAAATCACATTTGAGGAGCAGACCTCATTAGCATGTGTCACATTATACAACAATACACAGCTGGATGGTGTATTATTCTAAATAATGACCTTCATTGATGACTGCAACATGTTGTCTGATTACATATTCATGTCAATGCGGGGGAATTACACTGAGCTGGGTATGAAGTGTAAAGGATTAGCAGCCAATTATCATTCAGTGAGGCTCAATAGAAACAGAGCTGATCAGGGGCTTCGGCGGTCGGGGTCAGGGACAGTGCGGCTCATGGTGCTGGCAGCCAGCCTGCCACAGGGCAGAGCTGGATGTGCAACTTGCCCCCCTGATCCAGAGTTCACAGCACAGACCGGGACGGTGGCAGCTTTATTGGATTCATGACACAAAAGAAAATAAGGCACCAGTCCAGATATCCTGGTCATTCATCAGCGCCACCACTGTTGCTGCGGTAACAGGGAATAAAAACAAGATGTAAACACAGGAGGGAGACCAACCAAGCAGAATTCTTATTACAGATAGTCGAGACTTTTTAAAGTGAGTTTCAAATATGGACCCCATTCCTTACTATTATAGTTTGAAACTTTACTTTTCCTGTTATCAGACACTGTGAACAAAACACACCTTTACGATCAAACTCGACACCCACACACTACAGTACATATAATACATTTAATACTTTGCCACCAAAATATGCATGTAATCTTACTTTACAAACACATCTTAATCTTACACCAAAAAGCCAGCACTTACAGTACATTCACCATTTTTTCACTTTTTTTTCTTAATTTTTTCTGAATCTTCTTCGGTTTCTATCATTCTTACACTTGTTTACATTAAAGTTATAAAGAATATTTTGTCTCCATTAATTTTAAAAATAGACTGTAGCTTCATTACACAACTGCTATTATAATATTAATATAATATTATATTTTTATCATTATCTTTATTTTTTAAATTTGATCTGTTCATAATTTTATGGATCAATTTCTTTTTCCATCTTGTTTGTGCTGTAAGTATTATATTTATTATTTTTTATGAAACATAATATTGTCATTAATGAAGAATTAATTAATTGGTTCATTCATTCAAAGAACTTCTTCTTACTTATCAGTTTAGGTACACACACACGATTAAACATCATCTGACATCAGAGAATAATCAATGTACTGCAAGCAACATTTGCAAGTAATTATGTAGGTTTTGTTTATGTTTTTCAACTGCCAGCTGCCTTTTTTTTCCTTTCTTTGTTTGTACAGTGTTGTTGTTTATTTTCCACTCGCACTCACCTAATTATGAAAATAAAAAAGTAAGTTGTAAGGTTTTTGTGTTTTGTGAAGTGTTTTGATGCTTTTCACTTCTAAAAGCAAATCTTTTCAAAGATTTTGTGACTGGACTGTCTTTGATTTGTCTTTATTAATGCCTCTTTTTGATAATTTTATCTGTGAAAGTTTGCTGCAGCGGCGTTTTGATAAAAAGCTTTATGTGACAGTTGAAGCCCCCTGAGAGGATTCAACACCTGTTTCTTCAGGATGAAAGACGAGCCCTCCTTTTAAATGAGCATCACGTATGCAAATGAGGAGAACATGTGTGCGTGTGCGTGTGTGAATGCGTGCGCGCGCGTGTGTGTGTGTGTGTGTGTGTGTGTGAGCTCAAGAACATTTCAATATTACAGGAAAATACAGATTCAATAAGTGACATGAGGTTGAAAATCCTTCCTGACAGAGCAGCTGTGTTAAACATAACCCTGCCTGCTCACTCTGAATAATGGAAATATGTGTGTGTGTGTGTGTGTGTGTGTGTGTGTGTGTGTGTGTGTGCAAGTGTGCACGCTCCTGTTTGTTGTGTGTTTAGAGAGCAGCATGGCTCCCTCTGTTCCTACACATGTGCCGAGCTCAGGGCATTTTACCTAGTCCGCAGCTTAGCACCGGATTTGCCCCACAACAATGGGGTCGTGGCCGCAGCGTCTGACCCTCAATCGAACTCCAGTGCAGCGCGACACAGTGGCTGCAGACACGTATGAAAGCATGCGTTCATGCTTTGCATGTCAGCACACACATGTTGTTTCTGTGAGGCTTGACCTCTTTCTGTCCATCAGCGTGTCGCTTTGGTCCCTGTCATCCTCACTGAACTCATGTCACTTAATGAACACAGCGAGCACAGCCAGGTAGGATGTACAATACTTTGTTTATAACTCAGGAAATTACTAAATTAAATGATTTTATAAACATCAAAGATAATCCATTTGGAGGGGAAGATTTTGTTGAATGCTTATGCAGTCAGCTGTCACTCCTTGAAAACACCATGTGACTATTTTTACTTTAAAAATAAAAAGGGGGGATTTTTTCTTTCATCATTAAAAGCAAGTACTTGAGTTTGCAATTAAGTGATAATTTGCCTGAGTAACTTACACTGGTGATGGAGGAATATCTGACCAGGAGGATGTTTGACTCCATTAATCAGCTGTGTAATTTGTCCACCACAAGCTAACGTGCTGAAAAATTTTAATACATAAAATAACTGCTGCTCTATTAAAATAAATCTATATGAAAATGCACGAGTGAGATCATAGATCTGATGGGTCACTCTGTCATCTTCAAGCAGCTCACCTCTCGCAGCTCCTGCACGAGCGCATTGAGCCTCTCGTTCTCAGACTGAGTGTTCGACGCCACGGAGCGGCTCAGCGTCACCTCCGTCTGCAGCTCCAGCAGTCGGCCCATGTAGTAGGCCTCCTTACAGGCCGACTCCTGCAGCAAGGTCTCCTCATTGGTCTCCCCGTCCTCTGCCACTTTACGCTGGTTGGTGTACGCCTGGCCAAACGCCTGGGGGAAGAAGAATAAACAAGGACAGTCAGAGAAAACGCCGAAACAACCAACAAACATCTTTTACAAAGTCAGAATTGAACTGACACTGATCTAAATCCTGTCATATAACATCAACATCCTAATCCACGGCAGAGATTTATGCCCACTGGCAAGTAGAGTCCAGCTAGCACATCTTGTAGAGTTATGGCCACTAGGCGCTCTCCTGCTGTAAGTTTGACCACCATCAGAAATGACTGCACACACGCCGCAGGGCTCGTCCCTTAAGGATACCTGCTTCCTGTCAATGTGGGATGATGTTTCACTGTGATCAATAGACACTCTGTTCCCATTTTCCTGACACAGGTTTTCACGGCACAGGGAGCTGACTTGTCATGACAAAGGAGCCGAGGCTTGATTGAGAAAATCAAAGCATGCATCAACAGCAGAACAGGCCACCATATGCGACCTGCAGCACTAAACTAACACTGATACAAATGGACTAGAACATGGTGGTTTAAGGAAAAACATGTCGTTTATAGTGCAGGAATGTCTTTGGACACAGTTTCTTCACATAAGCAGCAGCTGTCTGAGCAGCTCAATATACACTTTGAACTGTCCTCCACTTTCCAGCACATCAGCAGAAAAATGAGTTTGTTTTCCTGGACTAGCCTCTAAGAGAAGACCATGGATCAATGCTTTTACCTCTAAAAAGTACTTGATGGTTTATGATGGCGGCATGAAACTGTAAACAACACAGCATAGGTAGTTATTAGAGTTATCATGCGCAGGGTTACTACAGCAAATTGACCGTGGAGCCTAAATCACAAGGGAGTCATACATTGTGGACAACCAGAGTATTAATAATTCACTTAAGTCCTCCCAATCCTACCACAACACAATAACATTATTTTCTGCCACGGATGAATCATTTATAAGAACAGTCATCCACATGAGCTCCAGTGTGCAGCAGCCTTTTCTTTTCACATTACTGGTCATTTTTCAGCTTTTATTCACTTCTGATTTACCAGCAAACAGTCTGCACTCAGTACACTTATATCCAACCATTAGTCAGGGGTGATTTGTTTCAGTCAGAAATCTACTTCAGTGAAGATCACGCTGTGTGTGTGAAGCAGGACATCCTGGTTACATAGAGCCACTACAACAATAAGTAACCTACAAACCTTGATCTCCAGAGCTTTAAGTGCAAAATTTACCAGTTAGAGTTTCTCCTTCTTCCCTCCATAGACACACTGCAGAACAAACTGGTCCAATGCACATATTCAAAGATTTACTTTTAAAATAATGGAGTATGTGCTCTCACTGAAAATGCTGACTGTCCAAAAGCACTCTTCTTGAATCGAACAAAAACAGCCACTGCGTATTGATGTCCTAGTCTCTCTTGTGTTGTTTCTGCAGAATTGTACACAGTATCAGAGCTATGGTGGGGCATGACCCTCAATTACTTTTATACATGTGTGCAATACAAATACTACCATCAACAGGCAATGACGCAACAGATCGTGACTCGTATTGTTTTTTTCCTGGATAGCTTTTACAGGTTGAATGTTTTTTGGTTTTAACACTCAGCTTTTGTTTCGGGATTCTGGATGGGACATTGATGATTTTGGGTAAGTTTGAGTTGGCTTGTGTCAAGTTCAGTTAAATTTAGGTTTAGTGTGTTTGGTTATGGTTTGGTTACATGTGTAATTAGATCAAGTTTTGTTGGATCATAATATGCAAGGTTGGGTTAAGTTGGGTTGGATTTATTTACGTTTGGTTAGACTGGACTTTTGTCAAGTAAATTTGGGTTTAATTCAAGAGCTTAGTTTAGGTTTAGTTAAGCTACTTTGGGTTGAGTTGAGTTAGGAGGGTCAAAGTACTTTATTTCTACCTATAGGTTGAATTTGTTTGCAGTTAAGAAGTCTACTTTCTTTTTTATTCACACACAATCTTCAGAGCGAGACAGATGACATGAGAGACAGAATGATTCGGCTGAACTTGAAAAGGTAATATTGAGTAAAAACAAGATAGAAAATAAACTTCCAGTAAGTTAATTACAATTTAAAAACAGGTTCATGAGAAAAAGACCAGAATAAAAATGCAGGCCTGACATCCTCCTGGTGGTTGATTGGTCAATTAGCTCTCCTCGAATTAACATCTCATTAGCCAAACAAATACTTGTGAGGGAACCTGATGCATTTAGTTTGCGCCCAGTCTGCCCAGACACTGTCCTGATATACAGAAGATAAAGTGTGTTTAACTATAAATCCAGCTCTTTCTGTCATTATAAATTTACTGTGAATCTACAGTTCATGATGTAAATCATGTTAATAAATAGAAAATAAAGATATTAATCTTTCTTTATTCAAATTCAATAAACTCTTTGTCCCACTGTATGACCAACGAAACAGTCAGCGTATGAAAAAAAGAGCCTGTAAACACTCTGAATACTCCACCATTCAGCCATTATAAATGTCCTTCAGGACTCTCACTCAATCATGCAGGAAAAACTGTGGAATAATTCTGCCTCATTGTCCCTCTCTCACCACGTCTCTTCTCTCTCTCTCTCGCTCTTTCACACTCTTTCATTTCCTAACCCTCATGCCCTCCCTCGCTCTACAGGGAGGCCGAGTCTGATTGTAGTGAATCATTAGGAAGGAGGGCCTCAGGAACAAAACAGCTGATTAATTCAGAGCACAGAGTGGCTGAATAAGCTTGCATGCTGTCTTTAGATGACGGACTGTCAGAGTCCAGGGCAGGCAGACCTCCCAGCAACAGCTGAGACCTGAAGACTGCATTTCTAGGATCATGGTGAAGGACAGAGAAAAGATTTATGCAAAGACTAAAGAGGTAAAAAAGAAAAAAAAAATCATTAAAAATAGAGATACCAAGTTTCTCAGTGCAGAGATTTCTGAAGGTGACAGTGCATCGTATTTAAAAACAGACTAGGACAATTTTCTTGAAAAGGGGGTTAGATGAGATGATCAGTCAGTCTCATGCTAAATAAAAAGCTTTAGCTATGGCTCAGTCAGCATACTTTAGCACAGTGGTTCTCAAGTCCAGTCCTCGAGGCCCACTGTCCTGCATGTTTTGGATGTTTCCCTGCTTCAACACACCTGATTCAAATGATCCGCTCGTTATCAAGCTCTGTAATTGCTTAATAACGAGCTAATCATTTGAATCAGGTGTGTTATCAATAAAAGTCCTCACGTATGAAGACAAGTTAAACCTTTTGGGACACTTGCAAAAGCTGACTGTGTCTTTTGTACTAGTGGAGTTAGCTACAGGTCCTGCTAGTGGCAGGTGGCTGTGCTACAGTTTAACAAAATATATGATTGGTATTTCAGGTCTATAACACACACAACATTAATAATACCTTCAATCAACATGTAAGCTTGACTAACGAAGGTGAGGACATACATTTGTTGTCAGTTTAATGTGTACATCTTCAGTCTACATCTACACTGCAAGTAGATTTGTAAGAATGTAACTAAAATACAGTTCAATATCAGTGTTTTAACCTGTATTTGCCATCATCAGTGATGCATGTTTGCAAAAATATTGAGTGACATCATGATCCAACTGTGGCCTTTGCCATATGCTGGTAATTCAGCAGCAGATGCTGGTGGCTTTGCAGCCTGCTGTGCCAGTCCTCCCACTGGTATGCCACCAGTATGACCATTTGGTAATGTATATGCAGCACAGTAACATAAATGTTTAAATGTCTGTTTCCATTGTTTGTATTTTATGGGTAGCCAGAGTATCAATAACAGATGAAAAAACAGCCATAATTTTGATACACAAGAATGATATTTAGGAGAAACATACATTCCTTTATTGTCATTACTTTGTTTCGTTCACATTGTCAAAGAAATTAGTGCCACCACTGAAGGAACTGGCCAGACATCCTGAAAAACCACCAACATCCTCAGTGCCAACTTGGACTCATGCAGTCATTTTTCAATCTTGGCACTGCTGAAAATAGTTTTTTCAATTCTCTCTCCACAAGTTATGTTGCCAGAAAAGTCTAGCATGCAAGACAAGTAGTTATATTTTGCACTTTATACAGATTAAAAACCTCAAGGACAGGGTGTACATTGGTAATACTGTCATTAAATTCTAGAAACGGACCGTCTGCATGTTCCTAAAAACCTAAAGACAGAAGCTAACAGTAACAGACAAACTGTCTCAGTTGTAGGTTTTGCTTCAAGAGTAACCCATCCATGGCAAATCAGCAGAACTTGGAAGCGTACGACTGGGCAGATGGTTTCATGACATGCCTCCTTCATGGGCTGAGCTGTGCTCCTTGAAGTCAGACGCTCCATCTGCCTCTTCTCAAAGTAGAGCACAGTGAACACAGAGAACCCAGGTTCAGCATTCACAGCGTGCTCTGACCCTCCCGATGCTGCTGCAGCTCAGCCTCTCCTGGGCTAAAAATATCACTGTGGCGGCCCAGCCTTTTTTTTTTTAGGTAATTGCAATCCTGTGCACGCTGCATCATTATTTGTTGTGGCCTTGTCTCTGTGTCCTGATTGGCAAACATCTTACAAGCTGAACAGGATGTGAGGAAAATGTGGGAGATTAAAGTTTAAAACATTTCCTCAGGATGATATTCATATGGAGTCTCTGATAGGCGGCCCGCTCCACACTGTGTACTGAAAACCTGATAATGCATTCAACCTTGAGGCTCCTAGGCCTTCTGTGGCTCTGTGGATAAAGTCCAGACAAAAGAACTGTCTCCTATAGATATTCATCCCCGAGGCCATGGAAAGAGGGGCAGACAAAAACCCAGTGCTGCACCAATGTGAAAGAAGGAGGAGCCTGTGCAACCCTGAAATCCTTCCCCGTCTGCTGCAGCTCCTAATGAGGAGTCAGGGGAGGACCTGTGAGTGTGCGTCTTGTTTGTTTGTGTGCATATACACAGCAGGAGTCTAATTTAACACCCAGGAGGGAGAAGAAAAGTGAACTTTTTCTGCAACAGCAATTAATTTCCACCAAATGTTAATGAATTCGTTGATTCCCAGGGTTCCCAGCCTGCAGCAGAAATGTTAAAAAAAGTATATTTATAGAGATATGACGCTAACTGGAAAAGCTCTTAGAGAGGGAACAGTCATGTAATCTTAGTCTCCTGTTAAATAACATTTAACTGCCTGTTGTTTTTTGTCTCATGTTGCAAATATTCTTACAGCCCCTGGTGTATTTGTGGTTGGTTTTTGTGTGTTTTAAAAGCTAAGTTAGGAAGGGCTGTTCAAATGAACTCAGACTTTACTGTAAATGCTGCAGAGCATGAAACACGTTTATTCGCTTCTTACTCAGCCGTAAATACAGAAAATATTAAAGTAACTTAAAAGGTCAGAGAGTAAAGCTGAGAGTAAAGTGCAGAAATATGGACACAAGCAAAGATTAAAAAAACACTTTTAATGATTTGTTCATGCACTCTCCTGCATTCAACTTCTCATTAAGGTGGATTTTAATGAGATTATCTAATGCATTAATAATGGGAGCACTTAGGGAAGGCTTCATTAGCTGTTAATCATATGAAAGAGTGACAAGATTAATGCAAAATTGTGAGTGAGTGTTCATTCAAATAGACACCGAATCTGGAAACAAATTGCAAGTTTGCTCTTCTTTCCAACGAAGTGTTGTTGGCCAATAGCCACAATTTTTCTGCAAATTTCCTCACAAGCTTTGCTGAGTTTTCCAGCTATCATTTAAGGACAGTGAGGCTTCTGAAATAACCACCAGGGCAACAGAGGACAAGCAGATTATTGTTTTCTCATTGGATAACACTGAAGTGAGCATGTCCAGGGAAAAAGCCATAACAATTTACCTCAATTTTATTGAGGGTTTACATTTTTTTCCCCAGACAAAAAAGCTAAAATGACTTCAACTTGCATGCAACATGTTACAAGAGCTGGAAAGGAATCTGGCATATTTGATCACAGCAATCACAGAAAAGTCAGAAAAATCATAAACAGAAAAAATTATACTGTGTATGTGCAGAAAGACAGATTTCAAAGACCAATTTAGACACACAATAGTTGATTTGCTCAGTTTCACTCGGGAAAAATCAAAATGATTTAAATATCAGTCGCACATCCTGTCGAGCCGTAATCTCTGTCAGCTGCAACAATGTTTGAGAAGTTACAGGAAATCAGGAGTCAGAGTTATAAGGCATAAGAAGATTTTTATGAATGGCACGCACGCGCACACACACAGTTACTTTATGTCCAGATGGTCAGCCAGCCAACCACATGATGGATTTCACAACTATAGATAGATAGATAGATAGATAGATAGATAGATAGATAGATAGATAGATAGATAGATAGATAGATAGATAGATAGATAGATAGATAGATAGATAGATAGATAGATAGATAGATAGATAGATAGATAGATAGATAGATAGATAGATAGATAGATAGATAGATAGATAGATAGATAGATACTTTTTTTTACCATGTTGTAAAATGGGCTTTTTTGGATTAGTGTTTTAGTGTTTTGAAGATGTCATTCAAAACTCCATGACACAGTACAGTGGTGATTTCAGACTGCTGAAAGATGAGGCTACCCTAAATGCCATCTTCATTGAGGCTCATCTCAACCTTGCATAGGCCAAATACTTCGGACTGAGAATGTCACCATGATATTTTGTAAATCTGCACAACTGCTTGCTATATATGCCGCCTACAATAAGCCACAGATACTAACAAAGATTAAACAGTACCCATTGTGCATGCAGTGCAGAATCCATCCATGTGATTCAGCAGCAAAATTGGAAAGGTTGAAGTTCGACTATTCTTTGATGTCAAGCACACGCAACAGCAACAGATGGTAGATTCCATCCAATAATGTCAGGATATCTTCAGTTTTAATAAACTAATGAAGTTAATGCTGCTGTGCCTTGTCCATAAACGCACTCATAATTTGATTTGGAAAATCACTCTCGTTTCTGCTGCTCAGAGTGATTGTTTAATTGGATTTACAATCAATCCATGCTTTAACATAACTCAGACCAATGTGTGTTTTCTGCAGTTTTAAAGGCACAGCAAGAGGAGGGGCGTTGCTGGCTCGAGTCTGATGTGTTTAAGTAGAAAGTCACAAGTCAGCTGTGTAACTAGTAGCACCCCTACCTGAAGGTATGCATGTCACTAAAGAGGGAATTAGAGCAGACCCCCTGATTAACTTGACTCAAAGAAGCTGACTTCCTTTAACATAAAACCAGAGAGGAGTGAAAGAAAATTCCACACATACATTATCTTTCAGTGTCTTCAATATATTTAAAACTCTAAAGAAACTCTGATGTATTTAAAGCCAATTTCCATAATGAGTCACTGAGACAGCTTTATGGGAAACCTTGTACCAGCATCATTTGTCCTCTAACAAGGACACAGATACATCCCCATGTGCTTCTCAGCCATGGGGAAAAGTGCCAAGTCAAGAGATCTGTCATCTATAAAAACACATGAGCACATTTTCAACAGAGAGGGGGAAGCTGGGTAATCGCAGCCCTGCAGGAGCGGAGGTAGGTCACAATGACAGAACCTACAATTAAAACAGACGCTGACGAATTTGTACCTTTTTAAAAATAGAAGCATCATATAAGCACATTTTTTCAGCTGAATTCACAAAAAATCTGTGCGTATCACTAAAAATAGTGCAATAATTCAGCACCCCAACACTGGCTTTTGTGTGCACTGAATCAACGGGGATATCATTGTAACCCTGAGTGCACAGGCCTGCTCCACAGCACCATTTATATCCTTTATTTACATTTTCCCGAGCTGGTAGAAAGCTCCTCTATTCATGAATCACTGTCTGCGTAAACACTGAGCAAATGTGCCGTAAGTGCTCTATAGATAGTAAGGAGGCTAAATGTGAATTGCCCTCTTTCCACTCCTCTTTACTGAAATCCATTTTAGTGCAGTGATGCCTGTTATTCCTCTGATAGTATTAGGCTATTATTTCCTTACTAAAGCAGGAAAAAAAATCTATAGCTCAGGATAATGGGCTTCATAGATAAAATACTCACAGTAGTGTCGCATCTGCCACCTTTTCACAAACACGGTGTTCACTCTGAAGCTGACAGGCCGACAGGACACAGGGTCGGTTTAGTTAAACTGATGTGGTGTGTTAAAGTGATTCAATTTGGCTCAAATGTGCTCCAGATAAGAAAGATGTCTGGATTGTTTCCCAGAATGCCGTTCACTCCGGCATGCTCCATCTGTGCACGGCTGAATGGACATTGAACGTTGGACAGCGAGACAGCTGGGCTCTGAGTTTGTTATCAAGATCCCATGCAACTCTTTGTTTCTTACATACCCTCTCAAACTGATCCCTGTGTCCATCAATCCTCCTACATCTCCAGAGAGAGTGTGGTGTCTTTATTTTGCTAAATGAAATATAATGACATGATAAGATGAAAAACTTTATGGTTATCATGTAATATATTAAAATGTGCTGAATCATAATATACAGAAATGTGATATTAAACATTTTGGTATAAATGACATAGAATGTGATATTAAATAATATGTGATATGATACTGTTTGATATTATATGATATAAAACCTTATATGATGTGACATCATATGACTCATGGAATAATAAATTATGTGACATGATATAAGATATGTAAAAAGATCTGTTATGAAGCCATATGACTCCAGCAGGACTCTGAGGTCCTCTGATCAGGGTTTGCTGGTTGCTCCTCAGACCAGTCTCTTGTTTCTGTTTATATTCTGTTGTTGTTTTTTTCCTTTCCCTCTGATAATTGAGAAGAACTTAGTGACAAAAAAGTTTATTATTCACACCCTAACACTATTTTAAAGATAATTAAGATTTAAAATGACAAGACATGGTTTTATGTGGTGTTGTATAAAAGTTACGGTGTAGTATATGATATGATTTCCTTAAAATCACATGATATAATATAACATGATACAATATGGTGTGATATGATATATGATTCAGTATGATAAGACATGACATGACAGCATGACATATGTTTTAATAGCATAAGATGAGATATATGATATTTATATATGATATAGCATGGCATGCTATAGTTTAATATGGTGCAATATGATATAATAAGATACGATACAACATGATACGATTCGGTGTGATGCATTACATATGTATACATTATGTACGTTTTTTTTCTTTTTCTCACCGGTGATGGCGATGTTGATATTTGAAGAGCTAGTAAATAAATGCCTAATATATGAAACTGGAAGCACACTTTTGTTGTTTTCTGCATTTTATGACAGGTAACTCCTTAGAAATAACAAGCATTACAGCCATTGATCCATATACTTTAAAATCTAATAGACCTGGTTATTTCAGCCAGAGGCATGTTTAGATAGATTTTAAATCAATCAAGTTTATGATACTTTTGTTTATTCTATTATTTCACATGACATGGTGTATAAAATTGTACGATATGAGATATGTATGATACAATATAATATATGATATGATTTGACACAGTATGGTATCTGATTATATGACACGAAACACATTGTCTCCCTACAGATTTATGGCTCACGTACTGCACACATCAGCTGCCCCCTCTGTATTGTTGATTGATAAAATCAATCAAAACAAAAATTATCATGCAACAGAGATGCACATAGTAATAAAACCACAAACAGCTTTTTTGCCCACGTTCCTCATGAGGAATCAACAAATGAATGGCAGGAGAATCAGAAGAATAAGACATGATAGCACTGGTCATTCAACCTCAAATGACAGAGTTTTTGACAGAGTCATCATATCACCGTGAAGAACAGCAGTATCATCTGTGCTACTGAAAAGCATACTGTGATCAGCTTCAGCAGACTCTGGAGCACAGACTGTACCAGCTGGAACTGTGTCATGTGCAGCTCTCTATGCTTGGTAATGTGCCCTGCAGCAGATCACAAGCAAGTCAACCACAAAAACACATGGCCAAACCCTTTCAGGCTGTCCCAGCACCAAAATACTGGCTGAAAAAAGAAATACACATGGCTACAGGCGCGCTCGGACATGCACTTGAGTGGTTTTCGTCTCTGATCCTGGCATTCATTTAGAGAGGGGAAGAGAGCCACCAGGCTGGGATAAAAATATAAAAAGCTCTGAGAGAGGAAGGAGAGCTCAGAGACTACAGAGACGAGGAGGAGTAAGAAAGAAAGAACAAAAGACTAAAATGGACAGATTCGTTAAAAATGTCAAATTTATGAATAACAGAGACACATCTATACCCATACATGATTCACTGCATGTTCACAGGGACAAGGTTACCTAATATTTAAAGACAACTGTTTTTTTTAGCCTGTGTGCATGTCTTTGTAAACTGTGCACACATCTTTTGCTCAGAGGTCTCTGTAGCTTCCTGTTGCAGGTGAATGATCCCGAGGTGGACCCTTTTAACTTGAAGTGTTCCATCCATTACTGTCACTGACTTCATACAAATCTTGCGCACAGCCTTGTCAACCTTGTCACAACCCTAGATGCAGCCAAATTGCGGATCTATTAGGGCTGGGCCATAAACCGAAAATGTATTGATACCGAAATTTAAGACAATAACTTCGTCATTTTGCCCATGTCAATATATTTGGTGTCAATGAAATAAATAAATAAAAGTTGGTTTTGGATGTGTGTAGGTAGGCTATGATCTCATGTCCCTTTAAGACGCTGTCCTATGTTGGAGACGTTAATCAACCCCATCCAGTCCTTAACAAAGAGGAAAAGACAGGTGAGGAGATGGAGGACGGTTCAAAAGTTGTAGCAACTCAAGTAGACGAAGTTTATGTGGGAGGGGGTGAGCAGCTTGTGGAGTAGTTATTGTCCATTTATCGTTATCAAGGTGAACTGTCCAATACATCGTAGTATTGATTTGAGGCCATCTCGCCCAGCCCTGAGATCTATCAATTTTTTAGGGGTCATCTCAGCTGTTGTGTTGCTCTACTTTTTCTCGCTTTTCTCATTTTCTAACTTGCAGCTGTTTCATGACGAATACACGTCTAGAAATGTAGTATAATGTCTCCCAGTTCAACAATGAAGAGAGACAATAAAATAGTTTACAAACCGAACTGTTACAATCCACAATATCTTCACCATCGATCAATAACCATGTCTTAAAACAGAAACCCCTAACATTGGTGTATTTTACTTTTTTCCACTTTTCAACATTTTCTGCTCTTTTTGTTATTCTGTTTCACGCTGTTAGTTTTTTTTAAAGACGTCTTGTTCTGAAACAGGAAAACTGGGTTATTCTATGGATTAAAGGACATGACCGACATTTATGATGAATGCAATATTACCCTTTATTTATTGATTTTATATTGAACACTATGGAGTGACTGTTTCAGTAGCTAACAGGTTTATAAACTGTAAATCAACAGGCCCAATACAGCTTAATGAAAGATTTCAGTCATTCCAGTCCTCTTGATCCCTGAGCTCTGATAAAACAGCAGACAATCTTCTGATCTCTCAGAGGAAAAACACTTTCAGACGGATGTTTTGATCTATTTCTGTCTGGAATCCTGTTTTAAGAGGTTTCTTCCCCCGTGATAATCCTCCAAAATGACAACAGAGCATTTCTGTTCTGATCCTTAACTACTGTGAGCGCTGAGTCTCCTAAGTCGTTCAAGTGTTCAGGGACTCGCCTGAGGTGATGAAGAATTAGAGCACTAATGTAGGGAGGATGGAGACTGAAGCACTCTCTCTCTCCTTTGGTCCTCCAGCCTCCGCCTCTTTGTTTAAATAATGAGGACAGAAGCACTCCACGGGACAGAGAGCCGCAAATTAACAGGAAAAGCAAAGGCGAGAGTAAGTGAACGTGCAGGACAGCCGTGAAAAATATAAAGAAAAGGATGATTCGAGGCTCAGAGACTGATTGGTATTCTGAGAGAGAGTCTGCAGACTCATGCAGAGACAACAGAGAGGGAGAGGGAGACTGAGTGACAGCAGACAGATGAACTGATAACATTGTCTCCCCTCTCTCTGTGGTGTGTCTCCACCAAGCTGATAAAGAGGACTCAGTCCAGCCACACAAACAGTCAGGCACCACAATAAAAAGGCCAGCCTGCACATAGACTCCCTCCTGGTTCAGGCTCATGGGGCCTCTGGGTGACTCTGAGCTTCTGTGCATCCTGCAGACCAGCCAGGGTTTGAATCCAGCCTGCAGTCCTGAGGGGATAAACAGTGACTCAAACAGGATAAAATTAAAGGTGGGGTAGGCAGGATTCCGTCAAAGAAACATCTTTTTTTGTGGTGTATATACAACAGAGCTTTTAATATCAGTCAATAGCTATTAGTAATCGATGACATTTGGTAATATCACAATATCGCATGTTTTGTCATGTCTGTGTCGTCAACATTTTAAAATTTTTGAGTGGCCCGCTCTTTCTGACTGTAAACAAAGCCATTCTATGCCTCCCCCGTCCTGATTGGTTGTGAAGCAGACGCTGCTCTCTCATGTTGTGAGGCACGGTCCATGTCCTTGAATAATGTTCATGAGCCCAAACAAAGTTAAGGTGCTACAATATCGGACAGTAGAAACTAACCAAAAAGTACAGAAAAATGTCTGAATCCTCCTTTAGCCATGACCACCAACACAAGTAAATACCAGAAACTCTGGCAAAATAACTGGCGCTTAAAAAGGAGGTAGACCGGACAAGAGCTAAAAAGCCAGATCAACATCAGCACAAACAATGTGACAGGTGTCAGGGTCTTACGGACCCTGTAACCTTTCTGCTAGACAGGTAAACTGCTTGAACACAGTAAGCTAAGTGTCTGTAACGGAGGTGTTTCTTGTCAAACGGGACCTGCTGCGTGTTGTAGCTCCGTTAAACAGTTTACCTCAGGTCCTGGACTATGTCACTTTATCCTAGTTGTAGAAGTCCTGCAAACATTGTGTTTGCTGGTAGTCTGGTGGCATCTACAGTAGCACCAATGCTTTTTACTTTCACGATGGCTGGGCCCCATTTGTAATTATCTGAAGTATTTATCTGCATTATATCTGAATTTCATTAAAACGATAATTGTTTGTGGGCGGGGCTTGCTGGAGCAGAGAGGGAGGGAAGAGGAGGAGCTGAGGAGAAAACTGGTTGTTAGGGGTAGTGTTTACATTCATAATTTCTCCCAATAACTGGCACTTCCTCAGATTCTGTCTACCCCACCTTTAAGATGTTAAAATTGATTGAAATGTATTACCAGGACTTTTTTCTCCATTTGGTGGACAGTGGATGAATCAGAAAATGGGGAGAGTGCCACAGGCTGGAATAAACATAAAGATCATAACCTTTATGGATGGGACACATGCATAGGCTGCGAGGCCAGCTGCACTGTGCAATATCCATTATTTTTTAATTCCTGTTCTTTGACTCTCGTTAAGTTTGAAGCCATTTCAAACACAAAAATCACACACTAAACATGCTTGTCACTGTTACTAATATTCTGACAACAGCTCCGACCTGAAGGAGGATAGGGGTGATTTAATAGGGTAAGTAGAGGATGATTTAAAACCTGTCCAATGCTTTACAACCCTAACAGTGTAGAACTGACAGAGACAGATCCTCTGACCCTGATACTGTGTCACACACAGTACAAGTGCACGTTGTGTTTATGCATGTGGGCGTATGCGCACTGAAAGTGCTGCAGGATATTGTGTCCCCTAGTTATCTAGATATGAGGCAGCTCCTCCCCTTGTGTGCAAAGATGATGAGCATGAAAGACACTGTTCCTGAAACACAATTCCCCTGTCTGGAGACAACCTATGAGAATATCTGAGTGCAGAGATGCTTAAAACGCAGATTTTTAGAAAGAAAAATCAGCAGATGGTGTACACAGATCTCAAATTATCAAAAGGAGGACCTTGGGTTTGTACAAAGAAAGTATCATTGTGAAAGGACATGCTGGTTTTTGCTCTGCTTTCAGAGTTTGCAGCACACACAGCTAAAGTAGACGGCTGATCGATACAGCAGCCTGCAGGATGGGAGTCCTGTTCCCTCTTTCCTCTCACACACTACTGTATTTCACTGCAGCAAAAAGCAGCTTTCAGAAAAACATAAACTGTGCAGGGCTGGGCAGGCCTGAGGGTCTGTGCAGAGAGAAGTGCTTCATTAATTCATGTTCCTGCTCATGTGAGGATTGTTGGATTACAGAAACAACTGAAACTGCTCAGTAAGAGTCAGGCCTAAATGCAACTATGCTCTCTTTTTATTTCAGACTGACTAATTCAATGCACAAAGACCATTAACCACTTCATCTGCTCATCCCCTCTTTTCTAACAGGTCAACACCACCTGAAACAAAGAGGCACAAATAACAGCTGCAGTCACTCGAGCTGCTCCGCCCTCTTCACCTTCAATCACAACATCCACACCAAAACCTTCAACCTCTCCTGCTGCATACACAGTCACACACACAGGGGAAAGTATGAAAACACACATACTACATGCAGAAAAAGTGGCTCTGATGAACCGCAGACACAGGTGACCTTCCCCTCAGGTCCTGACAGAATACATGTAAATGAACCTCCCCCACACAAAGAGATCCAGAGGCCAAACACAAGGCCAGACAAGTTCTGATCTATATGCTCAGCTGCATCCCTGAGCTGTTGCCAGGGTCAAAGGTCACCCACCAAACCGGCATGCAGCAGCAGATAATTCATAATATCATCAGCAGAGCAAGTCTTCTTCTCTTGGACACCAACGCAACATGAACATGAACAAAAGTGACTCAATAAGACGACGTCATAGAGGTTTCACTCAAATGTAAGTGCTGTAATCAGAGCTTGATTCTGATTGGTCATGATGTAAAAACATCTCAATTTAAATAGTTACATAAATAGTTGATTTGCAGATTGCATTCAGTAAAAACAGGCTGGACTACTTGATAACAGCTGGAACACACACTGATGGAGATCTAACTGTTAAAGCCTTTACAAAGCTGCTCAGTTCACAGATCTGAAGTGATTCTTAACTTTGCTGGACATAAAGTTCAATCCCTAAATGTTTATTTACTGGTAACTTTATTCTTAATAGCAGCTGAGATCTAATCAAATTTTCTGCTGTGCATGCACTTACAGAGCTTTGCTGTGTCTGCAGCCGGGTACTCTCAAACTAGGATAACTCATGGGAGGTTACCTAACAGAGCAGCTGATGATTCACCAAAACAACTCCTGAAAATCGCATAACGGTTTCTCTCTGTGAACTCACAAACTACTTATTACTCTCTCTCTCTTCTTCAAGAACAGCTCTACAAAAAGCTAAACTGACTGATGCGTGCTATTTAACATATCAGCTCATATTTCCTGTGCCACATGTGAATTGATAAACTCAAGACATATGACTGACAGACAGGGGAGTCTGGTGGAGGTTTTTCTGGGATCGGTATGATTAAGATTATTAACAGTTTTTATAGTGTGACTTTTCAAGTCTCAGCACAACTTCAAATCAGTTACTGTCTTGTGCCTAATCATCAGGTTGTGTTCCTCCTGACAGTGTTAGGCTCTGTGAAGGGCTCAACAGGGATTATAAAGTGTCCTTGGTGCAAACAAAATTGGGATACCTTACCTGCAGATTTTAACCTGACCCCTCACATAAATCATTTCAAACTCAGAATAATCATGCCGTCTTGTGAAATTTTTGTTTTACTGTATGAGCAAAGGGTTGCAGTGATCAATATTCTTTCAATTATTCTGAGTATTGATCAGTCATCTAGGTTTTCATCAATAAGTTGTTGTAAATTTAATTTGCACGTGTTTCAGTGCTGTATTAATATTAAATGAAGGTTAAGCATGTGAAGCTATTTAGAACTTGTGTTCATACTTACTGTAGCCCAATTTATGCAATCACAGAATAGAGTTAGCTGTACAGTTGTATACAGCCCTTGCATTATATTGCTAATTTGTGCTTTTGTGCTCTCTCTTGAGCATTTCTTGTTGATTCTATGTGCTTTACAAGTCCATCTAATAAAACCAGCTTAGACTACAAACTCTGCAGTGCGTGGTGTTGGTGTACCTACATGAAGCAACAGTGAATATATGAAAACATCTCTTATTAAACCATTTTCAAGACTCTCACAGGCATCTGAAGGCGCCGAACACAGATCAGTGATTTGTAAGTCATTCAACATGTTGTTTGTTTTGATCCACTTTGAAGAAACAACATAAAATCCAACCGATGTGTTTCCCCAACATGCACTTAGTCCCATCATGCATGCTGCAGTGCACACAACATGAAACAGTTTTTCCACGCAGAGTAGGAATCGATAATTCCCACTTCACTCCAGGGGGGGACCACAAGGCGGAGGATGGGGGATGGTGGGCTGAGAGAAGGGAACACTATCATCCTGGAGCTATTGATTCAGCCCCTCCATCCTTTCTCTGTGGAGCCCAGCTAACACTAAAGAGGAGCAAAGAGGAGAAGGAGGAGACAGGGAGGAACCTGTGATGCATCCCTCTCCTCCACTCTGACAGGACGGACTGATTTACAGCCACAGCTGCTCTCTTTGTTGGACTGCTGTCCCTGAACCGGAGACCGGGTCAAATACACTCGGGTGTTGAGTGTTTCAGAATAAAGTTGATAAATTTTAATATGTATTCAAGGTTTGCTAATCCTTTTATTCATGAAGCAAAAACACCAGATGTGCTCTAATGCTGCTCTTGAGCCTTTTCTTCTTCTCTCATTATTACAACTACAGCAGTAAAGAAGAAGAAAGACAGACATCCTTCAGCTAATTCACCTCCTCCTGCTTTTTAAACATTCAGATTGAGCTCCTTGAAGGTTTGAGAGTCGGTTGGACTTTGCACATGCTTTCATAACTTGGTCTGATGGGGGTAAATTAAGCAACAGTTTAACACCATCACCACTGCACCCCGATGACGGAGAAGTCATTTGATGTTAACTCAAATTATGCAAATAGACCCTCTGGGGAAACCGCAGACTGACAGCAAATCAATCATCCACAGCAGCCTTAGCATGTTGTTGATATCAGCGAACCTGACAGCTGACCCCTGAGAATAATGCTTCATTATTACACACTTTTCCACATGACAGACTGTATGTTAGGAACACCTCAGGCTTTCTGAAGGACAACTCTGGTGTTGTTTGGTTAAACTTAAAGCCTTGATTGTGACAAAGCCTCTTGATTCACTGTCTGACATTGGTATTACCTCGAATTTTCACAATCAGTGCATCTCTTTAATTCAGGGATGTTGGCATGAACCCAAGCTTCTCTTAAATCATCCAAAAGACCGACATCATGCTCTTGTGTCCGATACCGGGAGGCTTGTTCAAGTTTGATGATCTACATAAAAGTACTATTGAAGCTATTGGTGGGGTTGTAGAAGGTATAATCATTGGAGTACTCCTCACTGAAAGTCTCCTTTGACTTTGTTTCTTTGTGACTGTGGACGTAGAGCTCATCTATCAACTAGTTCAGAAAGAGTAAACTTTGTCTCGTAATTTAGCTCATTTTGAAGCTCATTTTAAAGCTCATTTATAAAGTCAACTTAAATTCATATAGTTGCTTTCTCATGATATCCAAAGTCAAACAAGACCATCAGACACAACATTAAAGATTTCAAGGGGGTGTCAAATTGGTACAAACGAGAACTTCCTCACAAGAGCTTTAAGAAACTCCAATTCACACACGAGTGTCACTGCACGCTCCATTTAGAAAATGATCTGGGCTTCACTTTGCAGTCAGAAAGCAACTTTTGTTTAGCACTGATCAACTGCTTTAATAATAATGCATCAGATTTTATATCACGCTTTATCAGAGACCCTCAAAGCGCTTTACATTGGATACATCATTCATTCGCTCACACAGTCACACTTTGGTGGTGGTAAACTACCTTAGTAGTCACAGCTGCCCCGGGGCAGACTGATGGAAACATGGCTGCCAGTTTGCGCCTACGGCCCCTCCGACCACCACCACATAACACTCACAACCAGTGGAGGACACACACTGGGAGTAAGGTGGGTTAAGTGTCTTGCCCAAGGACACAACAGACAGACTCAGGATAGGAGGGAATTGAACTGCCAACCTTCCAGTTATCGGACGACCGCTCTCCCTCCTGAGCTTCTGCCACTTTATCTTTACTCTGATTTACTGTGAGAGTAGGTTTACGTAAAATTAGCTGAATCACATTTAAAAATTGACCTCATCTGTTGCGATAGATAGCTTAGCCTCTTTGCCAGGTCTCATGCATTTTACTTTCTTTCTTTTTTTTGTTTTTTTTAAGAAGTGAACCAACTGCATTTATCTGTACTTGCAAATAAACAAAACTCCAGAAATTTCAAAACAGACTTTCCCTGCCATTAGATTGATTACATTTCTGGACATGAAATTACTGCTTTTAAATTATGTACCTCGAGGCCCTGGAAATCTTTTGAAAAATACTTTGCTCATGATCTTGCAGGTACTTATCTCCCCTAGAAAGATCCCAACAGAACTGCAATGTGAAGTAATCTTTACTTCAATATTAAAGATGGCAGGCGTGCAAACAGCACAGAAGCAAACACTGCAGAGGAAAATCAGAGCAAAGGAGAGGAATGAGTGTAGCTGGGAGATATTCAACAACAGATTGGAGCTGACCCGATGAATCATGACTGAATCTTTCTTTTAAAATGTTTGAAGTTGTCATGTGAAGTATTTGATGGAGATTTCTTTGGTCACCTTTTCAGCCTGAAGCCTCAAGAATCGAGTTGACCTGAGATCGGCCTGTTCTCAGCTTTCAACAAATGACAATTCTTCTGCAGAGTTTTAAAGAGCTGTGAAGATTAGCTGTGACAGTCGCCTAAATGACTAACTTACTCTGCACGCACCTTAGCAGACCTCCGAGCTGCAAAGATGCTTCAAGTGAAGAACTTTAGAAAACTTTAGACATGAGTAATTGAGAAGAAGAGGGCTTTTTTACGCATCAAATCATGACTGATTTATATGAAAGATAAAATCCAAACACAAATACACTTTATGACTACACGGCTTCCTTCCCAGAGCTCTCCATCTATTTCCAGCCTTGTTGACAGTGTGAATTAAACATTACTAAAGGCCGCACAAACACACTCTCTTCATCCTCCTTTTCCTTCAACCGCCTCCTGCGTCCTAGCCGAGGTTGATCTGCCCAGAGACAGCACTAACAAGCCAGAACCACAGGGTAATAGCGGCTCCGTCACTGCTTGGGCAGCTATCCAGAGACATTCAGTACATACAGAGATACAAGGGAGGAGAGGGTGATGGGGCAGGGAGGGAGGGGCGCAATGGAGGGTGAATGACAGGGCTGCAGAAAGGGGAAATATAAAGGGATGGGAAGGAAACATTTCTAGATTGAATGATTAAATCAAACTTATATCTTGTTTCTAATATTGCTCTTCAGGTGGAAATATGACGCAGGCAGGATTCACATGCAAATAACAGGATAAACATTGCATTATTAAAGAGCTCCAGCTTTGAATTGACATCAAAAGGCTGAAACACCACCAAGAAAATGTTAATTTGTCCTCTTTTCTATTTTTTAATAATTGAGAGGAAGAGAGAGAAATCGGAGGTCTTTACTCTCTGCTCGAAGCCGTGCTATACTTGACCTAAAGCTAAATCATTAAGTTAGTTTCCAGAGTTAACAATGTAAACAATGAGAGTGACACTTCCATTGTCACAAAGTGTGTATTTCTGTTGACTGGAGCAGTCTGGGAGATTTTAAGGTGAAATGTGACATTCAAAGGTGCAATGGTGTTGCACTGGGAGCAAGAGCAGAGGGCCTTGGCTGAACTATGGTGTACCAAACAGGAAATGTTGAACCTTATGCATGAATGCAAACAGTCTGACCATCCTTCCTTGTAACACAATAGTGTCTTTGACAGGACAAGTTACCAAACCACACCCACCAAACCAAAAAGGCTTAAGCAAAACAACCAAATCTAACTTTTGACATTCATGGATTCAATAAGGCACATTAATTTGTGGACACCTTTACGGTTCCTAACAGCAGCATAAATCTTCAAGCTGTGATAGGAGGATCATAGCGGGCCAAAGCAAGCATGACATATGGAGCATTTATGTCAATATGGCGTAAATTTGAGGGTACACACTGCAGATGATGAGCTGCTGCCTTCTTAATGGTCTTCATCTTCAATAAATGAATCATGCCTACAAACATTTCCAATATATTTTTTTAAGACACAAGTTTGAATTTTGTTTACTCTTACCATAAAGGGTGAAATGAACAGGAGTTATACTTCTGCTACTTTTAATTTGGGTATGCAAAATGTGATATGTTGATATTGTTTGATATTCTAAAGTGTTTCAAATGATTGTAATTTATTTATATATCTTTTTATGTATATATATATATATATATATATATATATATATATATATATATATAATTTTTTTTTTAACTCATAAGTTTCTTCATTCTTTAATTTCTCTTTTGTATTTATCGCTGCTGTAAATTTGAAATTTCCCCTTATGGGACGAATAAAGGAATATCTTCTCTTATCTTATCCATTTTTGAGCTATTTAGCTCATTTTGGCTTTTGAAGTATTTATCATCCAAATCTCCAGGACAGCAATCAAGAACTGATAAGAAACTAATGAACAGAACAGGAATTGGAGCTAATTACGGCCCAGCAAGGAATGATTCTTTCAGTTTACCTGCAGCTCCAGCTCTCATTTCCGGAGTGTAAGAGTGTGGCTCAAAGTTTTGCATGTTAGTGGCTGAGGTGTGAGTGTGTCCACCAGCTGGGACTTGGTCTGAAGGCACACAACCATGGCAGGCAGACCACTACACTGAAAATGCAAAGCATGTCCAAATAACATCACAAAGACTATGTGATGGATTTTCAACAGAATAAACAACAGTTCCTGGATGCAGAGGCCACCCCATCCCAGAAGCAATTCCACTTTCCATTTGCAGCTCCCCTGACCTTTCATAATGCATCCCTCCTGAGTGCAGCGAGAGCAGACGTGATGTTATTGTAGTGGCAGGTTTGCACTCTGGCACTTCGTCTCATATTCAAAGAAATATGCGACAGGCAGAAAGAAACCAGGAGGTGTTTATTCTGTGGACATAATATCAGCTCTAAAAAATGTTCCCTGTGAGAGGAGAGGGCAAAGACAGACAGGTGGAGGAGGGCGAAGGATACAACCTGAGTAGATCACAAAAAGAGCAGCACTGCTCTACTAACAGGGTTATAGCTCACTAAACTAAAATCTACCTCTATATAACCAGAACCACACATCACCAAAGCACATTTTTAGGGACTCCGCCTCCATCTGCCTCTCTGTCTCTGTCTCATTCAGCTCCACCAACACATCCTCCAATAATTCATCATCTGGAGACAGAACTCTGCTGCCGTCTGCATCGGGCCGTCACTTTATTTTGACAGTCTGCTGTGAGCTGCACAAAGATCACTCTCATTCTGCACGTCAAAACAAAAAAGAACAACCAACATAGAAGAGGAAGAAAAGGGCACTCTGAGGAAAGTGGGCGGTGTGATATGCATACACAATGTCACATGGATATTGCTGGGCATGAAACCGCAAATATCTTGATTCTTCTAATTAATGGTCAAACGCTCGGAAAGATAAACACACAAATTGTTACACTCAAGAAAAGGTAACTGTTAGTTTTAAGTAGTTTTTATTCCTAAAACAGCCACTGTTATTAAAAAATAAAATAAAAAAGCTGTATAAAGCTGCACAGGAGTAATAATATCTCTAAGTAGATTATCGTCTGTATGCATAAAAAGGAATGACACTTTCCATTAAATAAAGATCCCTTCAGAGACTCCATCTCCTTTTGGTCTTTGGCTTTTTTCCATCTCCATCTGCAACCTTGAGCTGTGAACACCGTCAGCACCGGAGTCTTGTTGCAATATGCATGTGTTCATTAAAGGCTGAACGTATACCGTGAGCATACATAATTTAGGCCGGTGTGCACGTCATCCTCTCTGCTGTAATTCCTGGACAGTTTTATGTCCAAGATATTTGCACAGTTACTACAGGCACTAAGTGTATGTTTTACATCCTTATGGTTTGTCACAGTTCGTAAAAAACTAATTTCTCTTAAAACAACATTTTTACAGGAACTTAAGGGTGTGATAACGTGTCAATTCTGCAAAATGCTGTTGTCCTGATGTGTATGGCACAATTATTGCATCAAAATATTGATCTCAGTCCTGATCCTTACGACAATGTGGAGCCGAGGAGACAAAATATTAGGGACACTTTAACCTGACTCTCCACTTTTGTTATCTTGGTACAGACAGCTAGGTGCTCATTGTGAACCGAATCTACCACTTTATCAACTCTTTTTTCTTGCGACAGGAGGATTTTATTTCTCTGACATTATGTCTTGTTCTTCTCATAGCAATATAACTTTAACTTCGTTGCATAAGCACTTTGATCTTTATCATTTTATTTTGTTATAAATAGTTAAATTAGTATTGTTGACCAAGTATCAGGTATCATATTGTATCACATTATATCATAGAGAATCGTATTTTACGATATTCTATTGTGCTGTATCATTTTGTTTCACATCATATCATTATTATATCAATCATTTCATATAATACTCAAACATATTCTATCATATCATACATTGTATCGAATTGTATTATATCTCATCAAACAGTATGGTATTCTGACACATGATATGATATAATATGATATCATGTTCTATCAAATCATATCATACATAATGTGTTGTCATGTATAGTATGATATCCTGACATATATTTGGTTTTAGACTGTTTTGTACTCTTGTTTCACACAGCCTTATATTATACTTTATCACATCATATTGTATCAAATAGTATTAGTGTTACACTACATAGTATTATATCCTGTTGTGTTGTATTGCAACATATCATATTTAACGTATTGCTCCATTTAATATCATACCTTATCACCTCACAATGTGTTCTATCATTTCACATCCTTTCTTATTGTGTCTTACTGTTGCTTATTTTATTGTATTATTTTGTACATATCATACCATGCTGTGATGAATTGGAGTCACTCTGCATACATTCACATTAAATTAGAGTTTACAAATGATTAAATATGGGCACTAAACATGCAGGGACTATAAGATGGACTTCAGCAGTTCTGAGTTGATTTAATTTTTCAAACCTTTTAATATCTCTGCTTGAACCACTGTTTTATATTGCTGTTTTTGTTTTGACTAATCCCAAACAAAGAAAAACAGAGTATTTTGTTTCTTCTGAGCTTTACATGCAGGTCAAGGAGGCAGGGAGCTGATATCTGTAGGTTCTCTCTGCTCATTCCTCTTTGGAGATACAATCTTGACATTGAGATCAATAGAGGACCAAGGCTCTACATTACAGTAGTGGACAAATCTGATGATCAGGTTACTCAGGGATGTCTGGGGAAAATTTATTTATCTTGGCAAGACTTTCCTGAAATTACTGACTGTTGCTATGCACACACAGGGGAGGAATCTGAAACAATGAAGCAGGCTGTGGCTGAGGTGTGATGTTAGTGGACCTTCAGAAACAGGGCCTTGCATTCATAAAGCAGCAACAATTTTTGCATCCAGTAATTCACTTTTTAATCAAATTTAGGTGTTTCACAGAAAATGGAGCCACACATTATGGAAACAGACTCCTTTTTTACAGGACTTCACGTGTTCCTCATTTGTCTGGGTACCTTTCCCTGGGTACATTTAAAGGATTTCACTAGTTCCTCATTTGTCTTGTACCCTGAGACACACCTGAGTCTCATCTGGTCGCCAATCAAATGCACAAACACCTTCTGAGTGCAATTTAACCCAACAAACAGGAGTGACTCATGTCAAGTGCACCCTGCTGTGGTGCAGCTGATCACACACAGACACACACACCTGTCAGGCTGCAGATTCAAACAGCAAACACCACTCCACCTCCTACCTCCTGTAACTGCTCCAACTCCTTCCTGAGAGTCTCCTGTTCGGTTTCCAGGTCTGAGTACTTCAGCTTCAGTGCCTGGTTCTCCTCCAGGACGGCCAGACCGCACTCCGCAGCCCTGATCTTCTCCCGGTTCGCTTCGGCGAGCTCCGCGGTGAGCCTCTCCACCTCGGCCCGGTACTGATCCACCGATTCCCCGCATCCTGCACCGGCGGCCATCGCCCCTGTCCTTGTCACTCTCTCTGTGTTTGTGTGTCTCCGTCCTCCTGTCGGTGTGCAGTCCCTCTATGCCCCCTCAGCTCTGCACAGAGCCACAGAGGCGGGCGTAGGCTGCGGGATGCTGCTGGATATCCGCCCCCTCTCCAGAGAGCCAGTCCGGACAGGAGGAGGAAATACGACACCAAATCCCCAATATTTACATGAATTTTTCCTCCCGAGATATTTTCAGCTCCTCACAGCAGGTAGAAAACACCCAAACGACCATCATATCAGAGAGATGAAGCTCGGATACTTAAAATCAGGTCAGAGATTCTTTCTGTGTGACTCTCAGCAAAACATCATTTCTGCTTATTCATGGGGACGAGGGCGCCACCTGTCTGTGTCTTCAGGGCATTGCGTCGAATATATTTACTCACCTATACAACTCTATAAATAGGACAGATGTTCCTGTCTGCTGACGCTACATTCGTGGAAAAAAAGAGTAAAACAGACTTATTCATTTTGGCTGGTGAAGAAAGTCACTTACATAGCAACTCATTTGTTGTGATCTTTTTCCCTTACAGGCACGTGTACCCTTTCAATGAGGGTCTTAATGATCAATCAATCAATCAATCAATCAATCAATCAATCAATCAATCAATCAATCAGTCTTTATTTATATAGCACTTTTCATACACAACCATGTAGCACAAAATGCCTTACACAGAAAAAGGAATAAAAGAAACTAAAAATACCCAAATCTACCCCAGCCCAACCCCTCATTCCCACCCCACGATCTAAATGCAACAGAAACAGAATTAAAAGGCTTTTTTAAAAAGGGCTTGATTTCGTGGAAACTGGAATGTCCACACTGAGGAAAAGTCATTTCAAGAGTCAAGATAAGGAAACACTGGAGGTTTAGGTTAAAATCTAAAACAAAGAAACATAGAATAAGAAATAAGAAATAAAACGAAATAAAAATGACAGTAAAAGATACTAAAATAAGAGCACCAAAACAGCTCAATAAAAGATGTTCCTGTCATTAAAACTAGAAAGAGATAAATGCTAAAACACTTAAACAAAGTTAATGATATAAAATTTAGTTAAAAGCAAAACTAAAAAGGTACGTTTTCAGTTTGCTTTTAAAGTCATTAAGATTAGGTGCAGTCCTCAGGTCTTAAGGTAAGCTGTTCCATAGACGGGGGCCATGGTAATAAAAAGATGCCTCACTATATGTCTTGGTTTTAACTTAAGGTATTGTGAACAAAGAACTTCCTGAAGACCTGAGGGCTCTACCTGGCTCACAAGGTAAAAGATCAGATAGATAAGATGGGCCAAAGCCATTAAGGGCTTTAAAAACCCATAAAACAACCTTAAAATCTATTCTAAAAGAGACGGGTAGATGATGCAGAGACCTTAAAATCGGTGTATTGTGTGTCAATGATGACAAGTGTGGCTTTTAAACAGAAATTTCTGAACTCTTTTTCAAGTACTTACGGCCCTTGATTTTTATTTTCAAATAGGCCCTCCTGCTTCTATGCTGGGCTCAATTTAAGGTTATTCTGTCACAAAACAGTCCATGAAAAATATCTTGGGCATGTTGTCACACCACCTGCATTAAGATTAAAGCTGGCATTACTTAATCTGTCTTGTCTATATTTCAGTACGTCACCACCTGTTTTGACCTCTAAATGCATCTTTAAAAAAGAATTAAAGTTATAACCCCATTATGCAGCCTAAAGGCATGGTTGACGATTGGAGAGATTGGTAATTATTAAGAAGCCCGTTTATATGGCGGTCATGGTCCTACAGTGCGATCTCCACAAAGTGAAGAGAAAAAAGAATGGAAAAAATGCATTCACCCTTGCAGGTACAGGGCTGCAAAAACACTGACCAATGGGAGACATCTGTCCAGGACAGCTCCTATTGGTCAATCTCCTGCTCCGCCTCTCCATCCAATCACCTCGCTGTATTCGACACACCCCTCTCCCATCGTTCCGACTCGTCCCCTCCCACTCTCCCTCCCGCAAATATATTATTATTATGATTTTTTTTTTGGAGGACGGTAGGTGAAAGTCCCGCCTCCTTCGCCTCTGATTGGCTAGAAAAGCTGGAAACATCATCACACGGCTCTGTACATCGAACAGTACATTACACAACATTATCGCACTTCTGAATCTCCTAACCCTCATCCTAATCCTAACCCAAACCCTAACCCTTATCCTGACCCTAACCCGACAGATGATGACGTTTCACAGCCATGAGGATTGACCAATTGGAGCCCAGCACTTCTATCCAATCAGAAGCGAAGGAGGGCGGGACCTTCCCCTACCATCCCACAAAAAGATTTCACCTCCTGGCCGTCCTCATGTCTCTGAGTGGCTAAAAGTAGCATAGCAGCTTAGCTACAAGAGCTGTAATGAAGAGGGATGCCAAAAAAAAAAAACACTTCTGCTTGCCCCACCACCAAAAATGCTAAGAAAACGCAAGCCGACAGAAGAAAGGGTAGAGCTGAAGAGGAAATGTGGCCTAGCGAGGATTCTAACTCGAATAAACATCGGGTCATCCTTCGAGCAGTGGAGAAAGCTCTGCCAGGATCTGGGCCTGAAAACAGACACAGAGACAGCAGAGTTTTTGTTGAACAGGTAATTTTTGCCTTTTATGGTGGCACATGTTACATAAATAACTCTTATTAGTCTCTGCAATGTCAACATGGTAGCTGTCCAGGCAGCTGCAGACGGTGCTCGCTAGCAGAGCAGGCATTTACTGCCGCTAGTCACCAGCAATGCCACATGGTGAGTCCTATTTGAAGCTAGCTAGGATTTTCTGCCGGCAACCATGCAAACCATGCCTCCTGTCAGCCATGCCTTTAACTGGACTGCTGTCCTTGTCCAGGCTTACACACACCAGGCAAAAATCAAATTATTGACAGAAACGCGTCTCTTTTCACCTCCCTACTACTATGCTATCTTCTGGTTGATCTTTTATGTGCCAAAACAATCAACAAAAAGCGTTAGCATGTGGCTAACGGGGTGATGAAAACCATGACACTGTTACACCTCTGTATTTTTTATTTATATATGACAGTTTATAATTCTTTTTATAACCTGCATCTTCATCCGTTAAGGCTTTGTTTTCCACTTGGCTTCCTAGCAAAGCTGTTCAACTTCCAGACAAAAGCCCGGGTGTGAACTCTAAAGCATCCACAGAACACTCAAACCTGTTTCAGAACAATTGAGCTGTATACTCACAGGAGAAAATCAACTCCCAACCCAATAAATATGTAGAGTATAAACTCAAAGCCCAGTACAAGTGTTTATGAGGGTCACCTTTAATCTCATACCCAATGTCTTTGAATAGATCTTACCAAGTTTGTTTATGTTTCAACTATTTATTGATAAAAATTACATTTTTACTCAAAATGTACTTCATTAACTTACTAAATAATTAAAAAAAATTTTCACACATCATATAAATGGTTTTGTCCTGGGAGTTATCAGGTGAAGTTTTTCTTGCAGCTGATGAACATAATCTTTTTTTTATAGAGCATACAGATAGACAGACTTCTGTTGAGTTTTCCAATCTTCATAATAACGTCAGTTCCTGACTACAGACTGACTACAAAACACTTTACTGCTCTAAAACAATATTGTCCTCCTGCCATGAGCCAACTAACGCTACCTGAGTGACCAGCCATCTGAGCTAAAGTTACTCTCTTTGAAGTCAACATTTCTGCCTCCTTATCTCAAAGTCAAGACAAACAGGATTATACCAGACAGTAAATGAACATTATGGAGTGTTATTTTAGTGTTGGCTTTAGTGAAAAGACAGCAAGTTGGAGTCTTGAGGCACCTTGGCTACCTGTGTTGTGTCTGCAAATGAAAGTATCAAAAGTGTGGTCGAGGTTTTCATGTTTGATTCCTCCTTCATTTATTTTCGTCCTCTGTCACCTCGACCTGAAGCCGGGTGTTCAGTTATCTCACAGCAAACAAAGGCTATAAAAGCCGATATGAGCAGGGTGAAAAGTTTAACCACACTCAGAGGCCTGTTAAATTTAATCAGTGTACAGTTTTGATAAAAAAGGTGATGCCGTGTTATCTCTATTATAATTGACAATTATTTGAAGGACAGCGTATGACTCTTCTTGGAAAGGAGGGAGAGAGAGAATGGATTATTTCCAGAGAAGTCTATCACTGTGTGACATAAAGCTATTCGTGGAACTAGATAATGTCATGAAAGGATAGCTGTGAAGAACTGTATTTTAACCTTAGACCTAATCATTGTTTAGCACACTGACTAAACCTAAATAAAACTGTTTTTGATTCGTTCGTTCGTTAGTTCTATTTTCATTAATTGTTTGAATGTTTCTGCAGCTCAAATATCAGGGCTTCAATCCGAACAACAAGTTCTCCGAGTACTCTGCTGACCTGCCTGTAACCCTGATATATGAACACAAATTAAGATAAGGAAAGGTTGTCAGAAAGTCAAACAGATGAACAGTTTATGGCTCTTTTAAGTCTTATCTCTGACAAGGAAGTGTGGTGTCATGAAAAACACTCTCCTGCACAAAGAGAGTGCTGGACAAAAAGTAACACACTCAATCTTTTTCTGTAAAATCATTCATGCAGACTGACTTTTATCAGACAAACAGACCTGAAATACTCTTACACAACCAGCGAAGATATCATCTTTGAGTGCAAACTTTATTTGGGAATAAAAAAATGTTTATTTGTTGACACATTTTATTTGAATGCAAGTTTTAAAACAGTATAAACAGCTCTTCAAGAACATTTCTTAGGGACATATTACAACAAAAGCTTTAATAATAAACATCATTTGAAAACTTTTCAACACATGACAGTCATGTTTTGTAAGACCACTCAGATATCCATTCCCAGGGGGTCAAAACATAGGGTCCTGTGATGAGGGTCCAACAGGGGGGGTATTGAAGTCGCTCTGAGGAACAGCCTGGACTGAAGAGGTTTTAGTAAGCAGCATGGGAGCAAGCAGGTGGCCTGCAGGGGGCGCTTCTGTAAGAGCTGAGAGAAAACCTGATGGTGAGACGTGAACTCACTGTTGTGACTTATGTCAAGTGTATAAAATGCCCCCATTAAAGCTCTTGTAGTGTTTAAAATGTAAATGTATTTGCCATCTAGATGACTTTGCAGTAGATTAAATGTTTAAAAAAAAAGTGCCCACCAGATGTTCCTCCTGTGGATAAAGTTTAATTAAATTGTCTCCGTATTCCCAAAGACATAAAGCCAACAAAGTCTTCTCTGTATTTTGGTGGATAAAAACTTTAATCAGTCCATCCAGATGTTATTTTTGGGGTGTTTACAGTGAACAAGGTGCCCCTGGATTTCTTTTTAGTTGACAAAAATGAGCAAAATACCATCTAGATGTTTTCTGGTGGGTTGACTGTAAATCAAGTGACGCCCTTACATTGGATAAAACAGGCCAAGGTATCATTTTGGTTATCTGATCTAATTTTGAAGTGTACTTGTTATGCAAGGTTTGTGTCACAGGTATCCGAGGTCTCTCATGGCTTACAGCAGTTTTGTCCCTGTGTATAAAATATCGAAATATAAATGATTTAAATTATGGTGTTACCTCATGATGAAACTGGGGATGAGAGGGTGACTGTATGTAGCATGTGTTGATCAATTCAATATCCTTCAGTGTTTCTGCTTTTCTCCATTTGGCTCGGCGGTTCTGGAACCAAATCTGCAGACAAAAACGTGAGATTAATGTATCTGTTTTTTTTTTCTTCTTTTTGTAGTTTGGCTGTTGGTTTTACATGAGAATACAAATAAAGAAGCAGAAAGGAGATTGCAGAGAAACACATCCAAATAGTAATACAAAATCTACCACAGGAACTTGTTTATTTGTTTACCACTGCTTGACTCACAAGTTTCAACAGAGAAATGTGCAAAGGATACACAAAAGGAATGATAAGTACTTAATGTTTTGTGCTTTAAGGGTTTGAGTATTTTGAGTCGGGTAAGTTTGACCTTTTGGCTCTGTCAGAGAGGTGTTAGTGATAAATCTGTTTTTAAAGAAAGATAAAATGACCTGCAGATGTCTTACCTGTATTCTCCCCTCATTGAGGTTCAGATGGGAGGCTAACTGGTCTCTGATGTTCATGTCGGGGTAATGAGTCTGCTGGAAAGCCTTCTCCAGCTCCTGAACCTGGAAGGTTGTGAAAGTGACCCTTGTTTGCCTCTTTTTCCTCTTATCTGTAAAAATAACACCATCACTGACGCCTTCATTTAAACATGTTACTGGCACATGGATTTGAAGAAAATATAGTTTTTACTCACTTATGCAATTTGTTGTGGCTTTTGGAGATTCCTCGTGTAGTCTGGTTTCTGTGGTTTCTACTGGAAGCAGGAAAATATGACTATTAACATGAATATTTTGTGAATTTAGATGAAAATATCACAACAGCCCCATATTTCATAGATGTCAAACCTGTGGGTGAAAGCTGGTTGGATATCCTGGTGTTCTCCTTGATAACTGACCAGGTGCGGTGAACTCTTCTTTCTTTCCTGACACAGGTGGGCCTCCTCAGGATTTCCTCAATAGAGTGGGATAGTTTTTTACTTGGCTGTGGTTCCTTTTCTTGGTCCGGGCAGAACTCATCCTTTCCTTTATTCCACATTTCAGGTTGTTTATCACCGGCCATCATCTCCTCTGTCTAAAGTCGTGTCTTGGTGTTCTCAAAATATCCTCAACTCTTCTTCTGCTTCTCTCCGGAGCTTTCCTCCAGTGTCTTCCTTGCTGATTGATCTTTTTTGATCTCCACCCTCTGAAAGGAAGGATCAGCCTGTGTTTGACCTGCATCACATGGCCATTGGTAGGGAGGAGCGTTTGTCCGTACGTAACAGCTTCATACTTCTAGGAAAGTCACTAATCTTCATCCAGTCACTTTTAAGAGTAAGTGCTCATTGTAAATACATAAACTAATCCTCCTGATATAATAATCTGCCCTTATCACTCCTCTTCATTTACTGAAGCTGAGTTGTTGAATTGGTTCACAGGTTTCATTGTATACATTGTAAAAACAAATTGTGATGTTGGAGCAAATCTTTGTCGTTCTTTAGTTTGATTAACACAGACATGGTCCTCAACCATAAAAGATCTTTAATTTTCTAGCTACTCCCTCTTATCATCACCTTTATTGGGAATATAGCCTTATCTCCTTGGCCTCTGAATAACCCTCTGCACTTTAGTTCACCCTTTACAAACTCAGGAAACATGAGGTGGAGCAGAGATATGGCAGGGAGTGACAAAGAACATCTCAGGTGTTTAGTTTGCCTCCATCTAGTGGTGACAGGTTGGTAGTGCATCCACGTTTAATAATAATAATGCATCAGATTTCATATAGCGCTTTATCAGAGACCCTCAAAGCGCTTTACATTGGATACATCATTCATTCGCTCACACAGTCACACCTTGGTGGTGGTAAACTACCTTAGTAGTCACAGCTGCCCTGGGGCAGACTGACGGAAACGTGGCTGCCATTTTGCGCCTACGGCCTCTCCGACCACCACCACACAACACTCACAATCATACACCAGTGGAGGACACACACTGGGAGCAAGGTGGGTTAAGTGTCTTGCCCAAGGACACAACGGACAGACTTGGGATAGGGGGGGAATCGAACCACCAACCTTCCGGTTATTGGACGACCACTCTACCTCCTGAGCTACTGCCGTTTGACCTCCTTTTCAGTAAAAATACACCCTTATGAGTTCTTTTTGAAAATCAGCAACCATGCCATGTAGGTAGACTAACCTCTAATGGCAGATGTAAAGTGCTGAGTTTCAGCTTGTGTGTACAAGGTCATAATCACTGATAGAGTGAGCAGGACCCTGACATGAAAAAGGGGATCTTGGGTTTTCCAATTTGAACAACTGCTCATTTACTGGACATTAACCTGTTTATTCACTAGCAAAAAGTTTTAAAAAAATGAAGTAGTGACAATGATAGTAAATCTTTTTTTTGTTGTTGTTGTTTGTTTTAAAAATGATAAAAAGATCATCCCTGAGTTGCAGTGGTCGGTAACGCTTGCATGTCAACAGAATCTTGGCAAACATTAGTTTTCACATTTTCAAGTCTACATTTAACAATATTCAAGACGCTGAAAGTAACAGCAGCACCTGTGCGAGCTTCTCTTCCCTGTCAATTTTCTGTCTGTCTAACGTAGCTAATGTTGTGTTGCACTTTGTGTTTTCTACATGTCTGTTTTTTTTAATTTGTTAGAGGAAAACAGACGTGTTGGCTCAGCTCCTTGTGTCTTCTAATACTCCTTGTTCATTTGTGTGCTGAATTTATTTCCTTCTTTACTCTGCTTGTGGCTTATCAGCCATTTACCTTCAATCCAAGCTTGTTTAATCTTAAAAAAATAAAGATTTACTTGAAAAATATCCTCCATGTTGATTGCTAATGATATCAGAAGTTTTTGCCACATTGTAAACAGGAAGGGGTCAATTATAAACTTCATGCTGATATCACTCTCATTCTGCAAATTGATTTAATATTGGTAATAAGTGTGATTAGGTTGTCCTTGGTGCCTTGATTAATAACTGTTGTCAAGAGGTTCTGACCAATAAGAATCAGGTATTTCACACAGCCATGTAATTGAAAAATCTCATCATAATGTACACACCCCTGCAGTTGACCCCGTGGCCCTTTCAAAATATCCCAGAAGGGATTTTCTAGTTTATCTTATCATAGAATATAATGCAACAAAATTAAACAAAATTAAACTTTTTAAACATAAGGAGCTTTTAATGTCTTTTTGCATTTCATATTCATACTCCATGATATCTGAGGGGGAACAGAGCATGTTTGATTTTATAAAACGGCAGATGAACTTTGGGATGAAGATTTACAATTTGATAATCTCATTAGAATAAACCATAGAATGATATAAATTCAATGAAAGAGACGGATGTATAAAACTTGAAGTTTTAGAAACAAATTAGAAGAAGGCAGGTTAACAAGTGTTTTGAGACCACCTAGTGGCCATTTGAGGGACTATAGTTTTTCTCTCTGGAAAAGGCTGCAGCTTTGTCCCCTCAGATTACATAAACGCTAAAACACTTGGACCTGTAATTTTTGTAATGCATTCCTTACGCTTCAGTGTGCCTTATTTTCAAACCTGACACTGTGCTGAGATGCAAAATTCCTGTTGTGATAACTTTTAATCTGAATGACATCATCAGGATCCGTTTAATGGACTCCCTCACTGCCAGGCTGAGTCTTTCCCATGCTTAGTAAGCCAACAGTCACGTGTATAAACAGTGGAGTGCACCTTTCATGCACCAGTATCACCCACATTCATAACCACGTGAGCCTTTTGAATGTATACCATGCACATTTATGAGTCACAATTTTGATACCAAACAGTAGAGACAGATCTTAATCACAAAATGCAAACCCAATATTTCATGCACATTTTTTTGTTATGTCTCCAGCAATAGTGAAGGATTTTTTGTAATCAAAAAGAGACATAAAGTTAACATTTAAAAGTTATTTCACATGCTGTAAAGACAGTTTTGTGCAGTCAAGCTTTCTTACCGTTATCTGTTCATAACACAAATGGGAACTCAGGAGTTATAAAATGTGACCCACATGAGTCTCTTGAGGTGAAAGTTTACATTCATGGTGGTCTTTGTAAGATTAAAACAGTACTCTTTTTACAGGGAACCAACTGCTTATTAATTGCACAAACAGTTTAAGAGTGGAAGTGTTGCTTTCAGTGAGGGTGACAACAAAGATCAATCTGACTGTATTTATTTGAGGCAAATAAAGTTGGACTTTTGGAAAACATCAGAAGAAATAACAGTCAGTGAGCCGAAATGTTGGAGTTATTATTAAATATGAATGACTGCTGACTTTGTTTATCTCTGCTGGAGTTTGATACATATTACAGTGATAACAAAAACTTCATTGTTCTGCCATTTAACTCCATGTGGTTCCTCTTTTCATGCAGTAAATCATGATAAATAAATAACTTTAGCTAATCTCTGAGTATTTTTAAGAGAGAGCCACTTCAAATATGAAATACTCACTGAAAGGGTCCTTATATTTGAGTTGATCACTGGGTAATATTACTGTACTCCTAAAGTCCAACTAAACTAATCCTTACTCAATCCAGATTAACTGTAAAAGCTTTTTCAAGCAGAAAACAGTTTAGGTCGGGAAAGTTGTACTCAAAGCAGAAACTTTTAATGTCTCATCAAGAGCAACCAAGCACTGTACCACACACTGAAAAGTAACAACATTTAACTGAAACCCTTCAGTTTATCAGACATCAGTATTTACCAAGACCCTGAGGGGTAAGGCCAGAGGAGTGATCGTAATTTTACAGATGAAGTAGCGACCAGAACCGTCCAATGCAAAGTGGGGGATGGTTGAGTCCAGATAAAGGTTACGTTCTTGGGTTTTATTCTACTCATATCTATAAATAAGTGTGGCACAGTCATTAGAATAAAATGTATTTCAAGTTTTAGTGACATTTTAGTCATTTTTGCCCATTTAGTCTAGTTTGAAATTGTAAATACTGGCAATCATGCTAACTGTTCATTGTCATGCGCAATAACTTGACAGCCAATATGGACTTGATTTGATGAAAGAAACATAGAAATGCAGTCATGGCAACAATAGTGTTGCATAAACAGGGATGGACGTCAGCCAAAGAAAACACACTTCTTGATACAAGATCGAAAATTTATGCTATTTGTTAGGAAAACATGCCAAACAAGGGGAGGTGTTGAAAGAAACTGCTGTGCCAATAGAAGAACCAGGAAGCCAAGCGGCTAGCAATGGTTAGCTTGCATGGTCATTTTATTGGATTTCCAGTTATGAGAGTCAGGACAGTGGTGAAAAGAGTCTTTGTGTGTGGTGGCTGCACACCACACACTACAGGAACAAAACTATCAAACCTATCATGTGGGATCTCTGACATTTTCCACATTTCAAAAATCTTGGTGTGAGTCAGGCTTTAGATGGATGATTTAGACTCATCCCCCAAATGCAATTACTGCTGTGTTGTCCCTGCTGGTCTACTAAAGAGTGACCCTTACTCTAAATAACTTATCATCCTTTTCTTTTTCTTCCATCTTGGTCATGGAAAAACATTTTGTTGGGAACATTTGTTGTGATATTTTTCATTCATGTTTGGTATTCCTAGTTTTGGTACAAAGTCGGGTAGTCTGGTATGATCTTTATGGGGATTCTTGGACTCTTGGGGCTCTCTTTTCGTGCCCTCTGACAGCGCGGTGGAGGATAGCGCACCCTGCGCTCTATTATTTTTGTCACTTGCGACACTTGTTGAGGAGCTGCCTTCTGTCACCATCGTGTGGCATTGCTGTCTTTAGCCATCTCTTGATCTCTTTGACTACTGCACGAAAATTGTAATACGCCTCACCAGTGGCAGATTAAAATGTGAGGAGAGGAGCTGATGTGATTGGTGAAAACAGGTCTCGGCTGTGTTAAACCCACTCCACGTCTTATCCCCTCTCTCTCTACTACTTATGCCACTGGGAGGAGCTGAGTTAGGGAGGGGGGATGCTTATGCCGGGCTGCGCCGCTCTCTAAAATACCAAGATGTGCTTGGGTACGCCTTGTCGGCACAGCAGACCTGACTTACATCTCGTGCCACGCCGCAGGGGAGGCACGAAAATAGAGCCCTTGGAGTTAGCCCCCAGTGGACACTTAAGGAACTGCAGTTTTAAGTGATGAAGTTTCTTCATTTTTCCTCTGCTGGAGGTTGTTGCTTGTGTTTGTCATGTTCAGTTCAGTCCAGAGTTCTGCTGGTCCAAGGTTTTTTGGCTAATGTTGCAAAATGTTGCTTAGCCATTGCTCATACATGATGGAATGATCTAAATGATCTTAAAGAGCAGTGTCAACCTGCTCTTCAAGTGTGTTGAGAAAACTTCAGCCTGTTTGAGAAACTATATAATAAGAATTTAACAGCTGAGTCTGCAAATTTCTTAAGAAATTTAATCCCGTTTTTACCTTCGGCACAGCACGTGAGACAAACTGTAAGAAAATTATTATTCTTTTTTTTTAAATCTTAGATGGATTTGAATAAAGCTGTCTGATCTGCTAAATTTAGACCTTAAACGGCACCACCTTAAAGTCCAACATGTGCAGCACATTACCCTGTAAAGGATTCCCTGTATGTGGGGATTGATAGCACACTGCCTCTTGCTCAATTTGATTATAGTAAGTCTGTGAGACAAACATTTGAGCTGTCTCTCTGGTTAACTGGATCATGTGCCGCTGTATTGCAGCTGAACGTAGAAGCTCAGATGTGAATGACAGATCAATAATGGGTCGAGGTTCAAATCAGGTAACAAGCTAAAATAAAGACCTTCTTTCTTTTCTAAAGAAAAAAAAAAGAACAAGCGGAGTTTTGGTTAGGGGTTAGGGGACAAACATTCACAAAGATGATTAATGTTTGTTCAAAGCTTTGATTAGCAAGATTTAATGAGCACATGAGAGAAAGCTCAGCTGCTTATTACTCCACCTCTGAGAGGCTGAAATGTATTTATATCATGGTCCAAACATGAGTAATTTTGAAACCTTGCAGTTTTACCTCAGTTTGAAAGGTAGATTGAAAGAATGCTTACAAACTGAGGCTAATGCTACCTGACATGTGATTGATCCTGGATACAGTAAACTGAACAGAGTCACATGCACAGAGCAGCAGACCCCATGATGCCTCTGCTCTACTTCTTTCTGCACTTTGTCAGTTTCATGTGAGTTTAATTTCCCACAACTACTCTATTTGGATCCTATTTGAAGCTCCCAATGCTGTAGTGCGGAAAGACCAGAAAAGGTTTCTCGAATGCATTTATTTTCTACTAATAAATATATACAGTATGTACATATATATATATATATATATATATGTATATATGTATGTATGTATGTATGTATGTATGTATGTATGTATGTATGTATGTGTGTGTGTATGTGTGTGTGTGTGTGTGTGTGTGTGTGTGTGTGTGTGTGTGTGTGTGTGTGTGTGTGTGTGTGTGTGTGTATATATATTTACATACACATGTACATACATATTCATATTATAAACAGCTAACTGTTGAATCTGCAGAAAAAGAAGCTACATGCTCTGGAGTTAGATCAACCTGTGGGTAAAACTCTCTCATTGATGATGTGTAGGGGTCTTGAGAAATGAGAAATGAAGCGAGAATTGTGAAAAAGTTCCCGGGTGTCCAAGTGCTACACTTTCACTTTGCACACTTAACATACAAAACAAACAACAACAAAAAATCACATACAGCTTTTTCTTAGCTGGGAGATTATTGTATAAAAGAGCACTGAAACGCTCGCTTTTAAAGAAGACAGGACAGATTACATCTCTTACAGCACAAACAGACCACTAGAGCTAGTTTGCACACCCTGTCTACACTATACCATGGAAGCAGTTGGCTTGTTGTGTATAATTTGACAACAGGTGACTTGTTAGAAATCAATTTTTGGACTTTTCAAATTGGTTCAAAATTTGCATTTCTTACATGGATGGCTCTTTTAAACTCTGCAGAAACATTGCAAGTGACAGCTGGAAGATGTGTGTGTGTGTGTGTGTGTGTGTGTGTGTGTGTGTGTGTGTGTGTGTGTGTGTATGTGTGTGTGTGTGTACGGTAGATAGTACTCAAAGATCCAGGTCCCTTCTTGGTAATTAAAAAATAAATGAATAAAAATCACATTTCAAGTAACATTATGGTGAAAGACCTTAAAAGAAAAAAATTCTATTATATTTTTGTTTTATTAAAATGACCAGAAATAGGAGTCCACTCTTGGTCAGTGTGGCCTAATAGTCCACGGTTGGTCAGATAAGCGTGTACATCTGTGTGTGTGTGTGTGTGTGTGTGTGTGTGTGTGTGTGTGTGTGTGTGTGTGTGTGTGTGTGTGTGTACTTAAGGAGTCTGTGCTTGATTGTCTTCGTCCTGCAGTGGCCGGTGTGCGACCCCAACTCTTGACTCAGTTATTAGAAAAGCTGAACAAACCTGTGACCCACAGAAGGATGCCAAAAGAGTGAGAGGCCAGCACATATCGGGCTCTTCTAAAGCAGGCTTGGACTACTTTCAAACTCTTAACTTGGAATAATAATCTAATCTTTCTAATAACTCTGCGGGGAAAGTTGGGAAATTGTGTTAACATTTCCAGGACGTTTACTCATCGCCAATTTTATCATGTGACAGTTTGGCACATGTCTTAGATATGGAGGCGCACCCTCCCAAAATGAATGTGTGCTATAAAAAAAAAAGGAAAGGAGGAGAGGAGGCAAACAGAACCAAGGCACTCCAAGAAGACGGGATTTAATCTCACTTCACCAGTAAGTGCAGCAGTCTGACTTGCCTGTGTCTTTAAAAACAGGTCAGAGCAGCTAACAGGCTATGTGTAGCGTTACAGTTTGCTGCCACAGCTCTCTGAAGGGATTATTCATGCTTGTTCAGGTTTCCTAAAGAGTTCTTCCACCCTGAGATTGAAAAAGTGAGAGGAAGAGAGAGAAATGATGTCAAACCCTGACCGGAGACTTTCTGGCTGACAGATGTCAGCTGGTCAGATGCTCTTACTGTTGTAATTGGGTTCACATGAGCTGCTGGTGGGACTCATTTCAATCAGCAGGCGCAGGGATCTCGTGGCAAATGGTCCACCCCTCCTGTACTCCCACCTCTTTGCTTTCTCCATTCTCCTCTTCACTCTCTCTTGATGTGCTCCCACCCCTCTTATGAATGTTTTTGCACTTTTCTGTTTTGTTTTCTTCGGGCTTAGAGGACCACCACCTGAGCCTGTAGGCTGACGCTGACATGGCTCCAGAAAAGGAGAGAAACGGTCTCAGCAACTATGCTTTTACAGTAAGTAAGGCTTTTTTTCTGTTTATTACAAAAAAATGAAAACCCAATTTATATTTATGATGATTGTAACCCTCATTATTTTGATCTCTAAAATGAGGATCACACTCCAGCATCTAAAATCTGGCAGTAAACAGGAATGTGAAAGCATACAGGTGTGTGTATAAGTATTACAGGGTGTTTTATTACTGGATAAAACCTGCTGTGTGGTCACTCGGAAACTAGTGAAAGCCTCATGGTTACACAGTATGTTACTCAGACATTCTTGCTCCTCCATGCTTAAAATGACATTATATAATTGAGACGGTTTAGTCCAGGAAACTAAACTTGAAGCTTTGAATCTGAAGTATGTAGAAATGATCTTTTACTTCTGTAAAACAAGACAGGAGAAGTTTTCTACAACAGGGTTTTAAAGATTTCTGATCAAAGAAAAACTGTGGTGGAAAAATGATCTGACTGTGACTTTTAATCAACTCTGTGCTACAGGTGTGAAGCAGCATGATTAATTCTGGTCTCTAGAAAGTCATGAACTAACAAACATTTTACTGAAACAGTCAATACAAGACAAATAGGCTGATTGTTTGAGCATGTTGAGTATATATAAGACTTTGACCAGGACTGTCACATCAGAAATCACTCTGACAATGAGAATCAGGTTTTGACTGTGGTTCTTCTTATTCTCGGTTTTGTATGAACTCTTCAATAGTCCTAAAATTTCTCTAGGAATTGCTTTTGATAAACAAAATTACCTTATATGTCATCTTTCAATTTTACTCATGTTATAGTTTATCAATATCACTTATCCTGTCACTGACACTTCCTTGAAGAACACTCATTACACTCATTGTTTGTCATGCTTTTATTTTGATATTTTTTTCTGTCTTGAGTTTTGGTTGATTTGTTAGCTATGCCTTTATTCTGAAGTGTTGCACTTCTGGTAGCAGTTAATGGTTAAAGTAACATTTTTAATGAAAGAGAGTAAACTGTAAATGTTCAATTAATTTATAACTCTGAGAAACTCAATAACTAACTTAGTTTTTGGACTCACTGTAAATCTTTAAATCTCTTAAAGGGCTGGTAGCTACGTTGCTAAGATATAGAGGTGTATTCTTTTTAATCAACATCATACCTTCACACGGCTTTTGGGTTCATAATAAATCTTTAAACAACAGTTTTAAAAAGTATCTGATGAACTACAGCTTGCCATCCTGCTGGTTTGTTTTCATGGTGGATGGTATTCAGAAGCAGAACTACATCCAACTATGAAAAAATAAGTTACATGGTTGTATTGTTTGCTTATTTCAGCACAATACCAATCTTAATCAATTAAAATATAGGCACAGATGTGTATCAAAGATCATCATCTCTTCATGTTTCACTAACCTCTGACTCTATCTTTCTTTTTGAAGCTTGAAAAGCGTTTCAGTGATCTTCCAGAAACAAAACATGGGGATGAAACGGACTCATCAGTGGAGGGAGACACAAATAAACTAGCATACTGTGTAACAGACGTACCTCCCTGGTACCTGTGCATCCTTTTAGGCATCCAGGTACGTCTTTAGGATGGTTTTAAAGTTCTTGCTTGTAAATGTTGTCCTCCTTCAAGATTGATTAGTTTGATGCAAAACGAGCAAACGTGACCACAGAGTCACATGAGAGGCCCCATGGTTAATTTGACTTGGTTTTATTCACACAGGTCAGAGTGTGAAATTTGCCTCAGATAAAGTAAAAATGTAAAGTCAGCGAGACTTTGGTTAATGCATTTAGCAGCTATGTCAGGAAGTCCTAAATCAGCTGTATTTACTATTCACCTTTTATACATAACATGCACAGCCAATGCACAGATACATCCGGATGTATGTGTATTTTAAACTCTTTGTAGTTTGTGCACATGTCCACCCAACATCAAAATAACATGTCTCTCTGTGTTCCACTCATGTCTCTGCTCTGTCAGCACTGTTTGACTGCGTTTGGAGGAATCGTCGCTATCCCGTTAATCTTGTCTCAGGGGTTGTGTCTGCATCATGATGGCCTCACACAAAGCCACCTCATCAGTACCATCTTTTTCGTCTCTGGTCTCTGTACTCTATTGCAAGTCACCTTTGGCATCAGGTAAGGAAGTAGGAGGATACATAGTGAATGAGCAGGAGGATGTCTGTTGCACGTTGTGTGATAAAAGCAGGAGTTTATCAAAGATGGAGTGGACTATAGATTTATTTTCTAATCAGTATAAGGTGTTTAGTACATTTTCCGTCTCTGTTGGCTTCTGTGTTAAATAATGTGAAGCTGCACAGAATGCTGTATTAAAGTGGGTTTAATCATGCTGCTCCCTCTGATTAAAAGGCAGAACAAAAAAAACTGTTAGCTCTCTTTCCTAACTCTTTTTGAAGTCAGCTCTGCAGAGAGTTAGTGTGCAGCCTTGACCACAAACAATAGAAAACTCTGGTGTTTGAATGAGCACAACTTTATGTAAGGGATTAGCAGGGGGAATGTAAAATTCAAATATTAAGATACTTATAGATTTTTTTCAGCATTTGCAGCTTTAATGTGTGTAAAACAAGAGGTTTCATGTTAAGAACCCTGAGTGTTTTGAAAAATGTTATCCTCTTCTGTTGAAGTCCTGAAAACCCGTTATAATATGTGACGTGATGAAGGCATGGACCATTACGCACCACAAATATTGTTATCTGATACATCATGACGCAGGCCAAATAAGAACAGTACATCTTTGTTTCTGCAGAAACTAGGTCAGAGAAGCCTAAAGAAAGTCTCCTCACCATGTAAAATGTGGAGCACCTCTTATGTGCAGTGACGCTCACTAAGTAGTCTTGAAATAACTGGTTAAGCTTTGGAGAACTACAACCCTATAGCATGGTGTGTTACTCTGAACATGCGCCATGCTTGACTCAGCCTGGCTAAATATTGGTGTCAGAGTTGGATTGGTGGAGGAATTTCCATCTTATTATGTTTGGAATTTAGTTCTTGCTAAATCCACATTCCCCTGGTTTAGCACCACTGATGCTTTCTTGTCTCTCTAAATACCTGCTGGTCAGCCATAAGACAAACAATCAGTGTCTTTAACGCCAAAAGAAAACGCTTTTTTTTCCCCTCAGCATGTCAACATTACAAACTCCAGCAAAGATATTTGCTAGCTTTGTTTCTTTCTGTTTCTTTGAGTTATCACTGTATCCATAAAAGTACTTGTCTTCTGACTCACCGTGAACCATTGAACATTTTTCAGTAGTGCATCTGTAGTGGCCTGATGTGAACTGCAGACATTTACATGAGCTGCATTATGAGAGCTTTTACTGAGCCAATGACTGTAACTCAGTTAGTCCCCAAAGCAGAAACTTGTTCATGATCAGGAGGTTAGTCTGACGACCTCCATGTGATTTAAATGAGCAGATCTATCATATGTTGGCCAAAGACACTGTAGATAGATGACTGAGATAGCCACAGGCATGGTGTGTATTAATCAGTGACATTTAGCAGCACAGACTTGGTAGAAATAGAATTCAAAGTTCACTCATATAAGTGAAAAGAGCCCTTCGCACCTCACCTCACTCTCTGGCAAAATATGTTGGCATCATCTGAGACCCAGTTTTCAAATCTGACACATTACTATTATTTAAACCTGGATAAAGCCACTCACTGGAAAAGGCCAAATTCAAGCCTTTTCCCTCCCTTAATGATTTTTAAACTGCCTCCAGCACCTTAGTTGCCACCCAGCTAGACTACAATAATTCCCTTTGTCTGAGCCAAGACTGTGAAGTGGAAGCAGAGAGCTGTTGTTGTTGTTGATTGCAAAATTTTTGACTATAAAAACTTGAAATTAGATTGTACTTATCATGCATCACAAAGGCTTCTTGCCTTAAAAGGCCACCTTCCCTTAACCAACTAAAGGAGTGATCACAGAAGCATTTCAGCAAAGTATCTGGCCACTGCTAAGTATTCCTTGCCCTACGGTGAGCTACAATTGGGACAGTTAATGGCTGAGGTCTTCTTTAATTTAAATGCTTAAGCACAATTTTATGTAACATGGGACATAAAATCCTAAAGTAAATGATGTCAAATTAGTTTGACGAGTATGGCTAATGTTAGCAGAGCTAGCACCACCAGCCTTTGGCCCATCTTGCAGATTATGTCCTCATGCCTGAGCTGGTCAAACATTACCTTAATCAAGCACAGTCTTCATTCAACTTTACATCCATTTTCTAGATTCAATTTTTTTTGTTAAACCATGCCATGCTACTGGGGGCCATCTGTCATCTGTGCTTGTTGACATCCAAGTACTAGAGCGTTCAAGCATTAATGGAAAGTCCGCTGGTGTAAAATCATATAATCAACTAAGCCTGCACATCCTGGTTTTAAACACACTACAGATATGGTTTCTAAATACTGATTTAACGCCTCGTCAGTGCAGAACTCTATGTTTGAGATTTTTCTGTTGTTTTGTGAAATACTAAGGTGAAATAATTTAAAAATAATATTTTACACATGCACTTTACTCTGCATGTTCTCTGCAGCTGTATTTGAATGATGTCTTCATCAACACTTTTTACCGTAGGGTGTTTTGTATGGCTAACCACTGGCCATCAAAGAGTCAGTGAGTCTATTGGTGCACAAATTTGTACTATGTGAAAAAAACTAAAACAGTCAAGTCAAGGATGAATATATGCGGTATAACTAATAAACTTTCCGTGGCACAGTTTGGAGTGCAAGCTCATCCTCTGTTTCTTGACATGTACTTGCAGACTGCCCATTCTCCAGGGTGGGACATTCACGTTGCTGTTACCTTCTATGGCAATGCTTTCCATGCCAGAATGGAAATGCCCGGCTTGGACCCAAAATGCGAGCCTGGTCAACACCTCCTCCCCAGAATTTATTGACGTGTGGCAGAGTCGCATGAGAGCAGTAAGTAAGCCATGTGATATTTCTAATCACAACTTACAGCCTAACTTCCTGAGCTTTGGCTGAAAGCTGGAGCACAATTAAATCCCGCTAATAGTATTTTGATCACAAATACCAATGGTATCTTGCCAGTTTGGATTGGGAAGGACTGATTTAAGTGTAGAATCCATTCAACAAAACCCCAAATCTATAGTACACCAGCCCTATATAGGATGTAACAAACATTATTACACCAGTGGGCTAAATTTAATTAAATAAAAGGCATTTATCTGTATTTTTGCATGCAGGGCCTGATCCTTGTGTTTGAAAAAGAGTCAGGGGAAGCAAAATAAAGCATTACCATCACAACATGTCATTAGCCAATATCTCTTAGTATAGCCAGCTACTTAAAAATGATAGTGTGAAGTGCTAAATCAAATTTAACCCTAGGAATATATCAAGTATTCTGATTCAAATTTCTCCTTCTGTAGTTGGACTGCTGTTTAATTTCATATCCAAGCTCTTTAACTCTAAGCTTCTCTTGCAAAGATCTCACCTCAAACATTATAATTTTAAGAAACTTAATCAAGGTCAGCAAACAAGAGACCAGAACACGATTAAGATGTAACCGTATATAGGAGAACAAACCAAAAGCTGGGTTTGTTTGTTGGAAGCACAGTGCTAGTCTTGCTAACACTGAAAATGCTAGGTGAATCACTCAGGCAAACATAAAAATACTCACAAAAGAAAGGAGGAAGTGCAAAACACATCGCCTGTTATACATTAACCTAGACCACACTTTTTCTAGAAAATTCAAATGAGACATGCTTTCTTAGACCATCTATCAATCCCCAGTGGCAGAGAAGGGGACTACAAGGTCTTCAAGAAAATATGATCCACATTTGGATGCAGATTTTTAGATGTGGTTTGCACATGGGATAAAAATGTGAGAATAATTATTTTTTTAGAGATTAGATATTAAGAGCATTGCAAATAAAGTCTTTGTAATGAAGTTGATGGCCAAAAATAAATTAAGCTTTTTAATCTGGTTTTAACCAAAGCAATGACTCAGCTCATATAAAATTTCTTAATAATTTGTTTGACAGCAGACAATAGGAACTGTATTGTTTTAATAATGCCTCATTTTAAAGGGCAAGCTGCTTACTGTAAATCCTAAATTAATGACCAGTATTTAATCTACAGCAGGGACCCTCATAATAACCAAGATCATGAGCTTGATGATTGATGAAAGGCTGGCATTCAATTAACTAACTGGACCAGATTCATATTTTCGACATTGTACATCCTGTACAACTAGGCGATAACCAAATCAGATTAGTGGTGAACCACATCACGTGTCATCTCTGTGTAATATCTTACTTTTTTTCTTTTTGTTTCAACTAAGTACCGCTGTCAGCATCTCCACCGCTCAGTGAGTGCAAAACCTAACCCATTTATGGTTTGTGACAAGCTGTGCAAAAATAAAGAGTCTTTATCAGTTTAATGTGTTAATCCACAACAGATTTGACACATTTCACAGTTTAGAACCATCTGTCCTGGAATGAGTGGGCAAGATATTATTCATTAAATAGATAAATAAGCCCTCACACGCCATAACCATGCATCCTGGGTTCACCTGACAGAATAATCTGAAAGAGACTTGAATACAAAAAGAGAGTGAACAAAAATATCAGGGCGCTAATGTAGAGTTCCGACTAAGGCTCAAACCTTTTTTAGCCCCAACACACATGTTCATTGTCAGCCAGATTAAAGCGACAAGAACCACTGTATGGCAGCCTAATGTAGCCCTGTGTGGACACAAGAGTATTAAACCCTTTAGGCTTTGTGAATAATGCAATCTCTTTTTGGCTGGAGTTAGTGAATAAGACCCTCACTCTGTGTGAAGTATGAACAGCTGTAATCCTCAGAGACTAAGAGAATTTGATAGAAAGGCCTGCTTCCAATACAAGCCTGCCTCATATAAAGGCCTGGTACCTGAGGCAGTAAAAACAAATTAAAGCCTATATTTGGGGATTTACTGTATTTTAAGTCTTGGGAAATGTGCTCAGGTAACAGCTCTTTTTGGTCCCAGTCATACCTGAAAAAGAGTGAATAACACTCTTCTACAAATTCTCTTTCATCTTTGGAGTTCCTCAGGGCTCTGTTATCATGTGTCTTCTCTTTTCATGAGCTCCCACTCAGTCCTCTCATCCCAAAATTTCTTTAAAAGCCTTGGACATATTTTTTAGTGTTTTATATTCAGTAAATTAATTAAACAAACTTCAGAGTAAGGGTCTTCTTTGTCAAATAGTGATTCTGAACCACATTAAAAAGGTATCACTCCAGCTGTGCAGCAAAATTTGGCTCTCCTTTACAAGCCACCTGTTGATATAACATCTGATTAAATTTTATTAAGCCACTCCATTAATTTATCCCCTCTAAACTGCTGAACCTGCTACAAGTTCTCAAGTTTTGGTCTTTCTCAGGTTTTGGTCACATATTAGTGGATTAGTCTGCACCCTGACATCAAAGGTGCCCCCTCAGCAAGGCCTTTAAAGCTCAGATCAGAGCTTACCTCTTTTGTGGCTACAGAAAGTATTTGTTGCATAACTCTTTGTTCTACCTTGAGTGTTGCCTGGTGTTTTTATTTTCTGTAGCTAAGACGGCGGTGGCTATTGTTGAAAAAAAACCTTCAACAGTAGTTTAGTAAAAGCTCTTTCAAAGATTATAAAAATGTTTATTTTTCTTTGATACCAGGTTTCACTAAGAAATCTGCTACTTTAACAAGATTCTTCACACAATAAAGTACATAAAGAGGGATTTTCCAGTAGTATTTTGTACATACAGCATATGGAGTAGCTGAATTTAATGTCTAAATCAGCAATTCATCATAGTCAACATAAAAAACCTTGGATCTACGACCAGGATTAGACCAACAACTGAGTATGAATCTGACACTCATTGCCATTATCATGTATCCTTTGAAATGTTTTCAATGTCGAGGCGTTTCTCTGCTGTTGTAGTCAAGGCTGCAAAGTTGAAGTGTCAGCTCTTGCATTGTAATTTTTCAGTTGTTAATATTTCAAAGGCTCTTTTTATGCATTTAATCTTACTTCAAGGACCACAGCCCATAACTGTCTTAGTTTTTGCATTAAAATAAAACGCATTGCGATCACATCTTTGACGCGGACCCTACTTTAACCACCAAACCACTGAATTTGTCATGAAGACACTAAAGATATGTATTTGATTTGAATAAACTAGACTAATAATCATTTAACCTTTGTCTGTTTCTAGCTTCAGGGGTCCATCATGGTCGGCTCGCTCTTCCAGGTGTTTGTTGGCTTCTCTGGCCTCATTGGCCTCTTCATGCGCTTCATTGGTCCCCTCACCATCGCTCCAACCATTGCTCTCATTGGGTTGTCCCTCTTTGACTCAGCTGGGACAAGTGCTGGTTACCACTGGGGCATCTCTGCCATGTGAGTGAAAAATGCTTTAAATCATTTCAGGGTCATGAAGGTCCAGCTTTAGAGCATTAAAAGCAATGGACATCCAATGATTTGTATTTAACCTCAATCTGCAATTGCATTATTAAAAAAAAAAAAAAGTATGTTTGACCATATTGTACAAAGCAGTAAACAGGCTCATTACAGAGCAAGGGTTTCTTTATGAGGACGTTTATTCACTGTAATGCAGTCTAGCCGGATAAATCTGTCTTAAAGTTTAATTTTAATCTGCTCAATTTCTTTCCGTCTGTGGTACAATTGTGTTTTGAAAAATAAAAAAAACAAAATATATCCGTTAAAGCATTAAGCTGCCCCTACAGGGACAGAGAGCTTATCAAAAGTTGTGCCAACGAATCTATTTAATGTTTGTTTTATTTTTTTACTTTATGTTAATGGACCTTGACCCATCCAGCTTTATTCAATCCCGCTTAGGTTAAATATTAATTAAAATGAGAGTTAATGTCTTTGTCCCGGTTCTCACAGGACCACAGCACTGATCATCCTGTTCTCACAGTACCTCCGCCACATTCCTGTGCCCTTCCCCATGTACAGCAAAGACAAAAAACTGCACACCTCCCGTGTCTACGTCTTCCAGATACTTCCTGTATGTACCTCCCAGTCAGTTTTAATCTAACTGAAAAAAAAGACAACAACTCAGTCTAACATTACATCATGTTTATCTTTCATCACACAACAAAACATGAAAAGTATTTTTTGTCTTTGAACCCTCAGGTGCTGCTTGGAGTCTCTTTGTCCTGGCTTGTCTGCTACATTTTGACGATATATAATGTTCTCCCTGCTGATCCGGATATGTATGGTTACAGAGCTCGCACTGATCTAAAGGGAGATGTTATGAGCCAAGCTCCCTGGTTTACATTTCCTTACCCAGGTAACTTTGCGAAACTGAAAACTGAGGAGACTTTTTGTTTCAGAAAGTTAATAGAAATAGGGATGCAATGATGTACATGCTTCGTCTGTTCCACTAAACTCAGGTCAGTGGGGGATGCCGACTGTAAGCCTGGCAGGGGTGGTGGGCATCCTGGCAGGTGTGATATCCTCCATGGTTGAGTCTGTAGGAGATTACCACGCTTGTGCCAGGCTATCAGGGGCTCCACCTCCCCCAAAACATGCCATTAACAGAGGTATAGGGATTGAAGGGCTTGGCTGCCTGCTGGCTGGAGCCTGGGGGACTGGAAATGGTACCACCTCATACAGCGAGAATGTGGGAGCCCTGGGTATAACAAAGGTGAGATGAGCCTCCATGCATGGGCTCAAAAGCATGTAAGACATTAACTTAAACTGACACAACTGAGACAGAAAATGACCTTTTGTAATGACAGCAGGGATGTAAGCTTGCAAGTGCATTTAGTGCATTGTTTTGCTCCTAATTGAAAGATGTGCCGAAACAAACCCATAGTATGCCTTCTCTTTGTCCACCTTTTATTTTACAGGTTGGTAGTCGCATGGTGATAGTGGCCAGTGGATTCTTGTTGGTGATCATGGGTTTATTTGGTAAAGTTGGTGCTATATTCACCACCATCCCATCCCCCGTGGTAGGAGGGATGTTTCTGGTCATGTTTGGAGTCATTGCTGCAGCAGGAGTGTCTAACCTACAGGTACATCTACGAACCTGTTATTACACTGACCATCTAAGGTTTGATTGCAAACATAACATTGATGTCCTTTGTGTTTTTCCTCTAATATTTACAGTATGCAGATATGAATTCATCTCGAAACATCTTCATTTTTGGCTTCTCCATGTTCTCTGGACTGGTCATTCCAAACTGGATATTGAAAAATCAAAGGGCCATTGCTACAGGTTCTCAAGAAAACTTCTCTTTGTGTTTTGTATTAAGAGGATTAACTTTTTTTTTTAATTGTTTGACCAAAGTTTGAACTGATTTCTTTATATTGTTTTCAGGTGTGGTCGAACTCGACCAGGTGCTACAGGTTCTTCTAACAACCAGTATGTTTGTAGGAGGATTTTTTGGCTTCGTACTGGATAACACAATACCAGGTATTTCATATTTTACATGTATGTTATTGGCATTAACTTTAATTTTAATTTTTATGTGCACTAATAGCTCCCAACCCTGCAGACTTATTACATTATTTAACATTATTGATTGATCTTTTTGGTTAGATCTGAAAAGTGCAGTAAGATGAGGAGAAATAACACAGTAAGATTTGGTCAGCGGTCGTAGCAATCCAGTTAAGAGCCACAAGTTTATACTAATTGATTAAGACTAACACTTTACAGGGATAAAATTAAGTTAGGGTCAAACACACTGTAACACAGAGTAAGACACCCTGTCGAGAGATTGATGACGTTGACCACTTGCTTCTCTAGTTACACCAACTTTAGTAACGACCGCAAAATAGCAATACACAGCAGTCTGAGGAGCCACGCGCTCATAAATGTTCTTCCTTGAGCTGCGTCACCCCACTGCGGTAATGGACTCACCCTGAGATCCCTGTACAAACAAGTGGCTGTTGGAAGAGAGTAGGTGAGTTGTGTTTAGTCTCTTTGCTAAAGAAATCAAGCTAAACTAAAAAGATATTTGGTGGCTAGTGCTATGGCTAGAACCCTATATGTACTGTTGATGAAGTTAGGTGCTGTTCTGAGCATTATTTGTGGCTATAGGGCGGCTTTTTGGTTAAGCATGTGGCTGCTGGGACTGCTGTGTATTGCTATCGTGCAGTCGTAAAGTTGGTATAACTAGAGAAGCAAGCAGTCGGCAACATTAATCTCTCAATGGGGTGTCTAACTCAGTCTTACAGTGTGTTTGACCCTTAATTTTACGCTGGAATATCCCTTTAAGAAATGTGAAAGTCTAAAAAGTGTTTTACAATTTAATTTTAAAAAATCATTTGTGAAGAAGGACAGGCTAACAAGAAGCTTGAGCATGCATTTGCATTTGCTGTTTGTCCTCAGCTTTGGAATCTAACTTCATAAGGTGATCATTAAGCATTCCTCATTGTAATGCAAGCGGAGTTTGCAGAGCCCTCTTAAATGAATCTATTTGTTCTTTTAACCTGAAGAGAGATCAGCCATATTTGGTAACAACAACAACAACCTCTTTCTAACAACACTACAACTTCATTCTTGTAAGATTAGGACTTTAATCTCATAGATTTACAAGCGTAATCTTGGAAATCGAAGACTGGATTCTTTACTCTAATGAATACTCCCTCCTGAAAGATAAAGTTAGATTTTTTAACAAAAAGTTTTCCTCTTAGTTTACTCTTATAGTGTTGATGTAATGAGTCAAAACCGTCAGTCAGTAAAGCAGTTAAGGGAACTAATATCTAACCCTGTCCCCAAGTCAGGCTCTGAATATTATTCCATATTATCTAAACCACAAAAAAACTGTGAAACGAGTAGACATGTCAGTCACTGTTTTGCAGAGTACCCCCTGCAGGCTTAGAGCCTTCAGTTTTCATGTTTTGGTTTGCAGCACAATGCTTTTGTTTTTGTGTTCCTGATTTTCATCTATTTGTTGCAGGTCTGCTGTGAATGCAGTTGGTCTTTATTTGCTTTTCTTTTTATATACACTAAATTTGCAGTGATGCATTTGTTGTGGACATTTACATGACTTTATGAATTTCTATTGTTTCTGAGCTTGCAGCACATTTTTCCAAATGAAAATGAGACAGAGTATGATGGATGTTAAAGCTTTGTCAGTCACCATGCATACTTCAAACTACAAACCCTGAGAGTTCAATTTGACTCAAAACAGTGAAAAAAGAAATGCTACTCTTAAGTAAGAGAGGAATAAGCTTGTAAAATACCCCCTGTGCTGTGGTTACCACTTAAAGAGAAGAGATGAAATTGCAGTCTATCACATGTGCTGTAACTCCTCTCTACAGAGTGACTTGATATGTTTGGTGTGCAGGATCAGCTGTTCCTAGAACCACCTTTGTCTATCCAGAATTAATCACCATTGTTCAGGGGTTTTGGCTAACCGGAATCAGTACTCAACACGGCTGGCTCATTTGTAAGAAAGCTGAGGTGGAATGCCTGTAGAGAGGCTTGGCTGATGTCACAACACTGTGCCTTTTTGCCAGCATTACTAATCAACCACCAGTCACTGAATTAGTAAAACTTTTACAGAGAATTTGGGAACAAAGGCGGCGCCACAACAATAGTACACATACAAATCCTTCAAAAGATATTTTTAAGATGCAGTGATTGAACTTCAGGAGCATTTGCAACTAAAATCTGTTTTTGGACCCTCTTCCTGTCACATTCTGCTGCATTTCCAAGCTTTCTGAAAACTGAACATGCTGTCTGAGTAAGATAAAATCCACAGAGGCAGTGATTCAGTGATGTCTTGATGATATCTTGGCATGGTTTCACACATCTCACACATGTCTAACAGGATCAAAGCATGAACGAGGCATCGTAGCCTGGAACAAGGCTCACGAGGATGACTCTAGTAACACTCTGGAGAGTGGAGAAGTCTACAACCTTCCCTTTGGCCTCAGCTCCTACTCCTCCTCCTCCTCCTGGCTCCGGTTCATACCTTTCTGCCCTCCTGGTGTGTCGACCTCGCTGGAGAACACCGCCCTTGAGCCGAAGCAGCCGCTGGGACATCCAGAGCCCCCGCAACTCATTATCGGAGTCACTCTTTGAGAGGCGTACCCCCTCCAGCATGCTGGTTTTAGGATTATTCTGAACCTTTACCGTTAGAGGCAGCTTAGTTTGGACCTCCTACTCATCTTCAGAGACACTGTACTGTAAAACATGGTGCAAAGTATCTTACTCAGAGGTGACATCTGCAAGTGGCGTCTTGCACTAGATCTGTCAATATGTGGACTTTATTAGGAAGGTACCTGAGTACCTGTCGATAGCATTAATGGATTTTTTTTTGTAAAGTAAATAATAAAAAAACTGACATTTTAATGTAATGTTTGATCCTTTCCTAAGTAAATTCTTTTCATACAGTATTACACCTTTTTGTTAAATTCTTAATTTTTGGGGTTGAAGTTTGATTTTGTTTTTTACTAGTTTCTGTGATTCTTTGTGTCTTAAAGGTGAGGATGCTAAAGAACAAACACTGGAGAGACAAAAATATAGTAAATCCATCATGTTAATATGATTGCATACAAATCCAAGTCTGTTTTCATGTATATACAGTACCTCATTGTTGAAATAACATGCCTTTGAGAGTCAATATTTTTATGTTTTTCTTCAGTCTATGCACTTTATAAACAGTTTTTTTTGTCAGGATGTTTCACATACGTTCACTATAATCTGCAGTTACTTAAGATGCTTCAAAAACCATTTGATTGAAACCAGGAGTGCACTTTCAAAGGATATTTTCCAAAACAAAAACATGTTTAATATGTATATAATAAACTCCAACATGGAGCCAGTGCATCGTCAAAATCTTTTCAGTTCTCTCCTGTCAGATCCTGCTTGATGGCTTTGTACAAACTCACAAAGGACTCGGCCCACATCTCTCTTTGTTGTTTGTTGCCGTTGACCATCTGCTGGGCGGTGAACACCAGCGTCAACAGGGTGCGCTCAAAATCTTCTGGGTGCAAGTGACCGGCGTGATTTGAAAGATTAGAGATGAGTGTAATTATGTCTGTTAGGTTCCTGGGAATGATCTCCTCACAGATGACTTCCAGGTTTCTCGTCTTGCGTAGCGAAGCCAGCTCAGCGTCGTGCACCAGAAACTCCCCACTTGTCTCAAAGTGTGTGCCAGCGAGCAGGATCTAATCGATGAAAGACAAAAAAAGATTAAGGTTAAATTGATGAATAACAGAATTCTAACTAATTTAAATATTTTTCTCACCTCAAATAACAGGTTAACATCATTCAGGGAGTTGTGAAAAGTGAGGTTGTCCACAGCAGCTGCTCCTCTTTTTAATCTGCTCGCAGCTGGAAACAGGGCTGGCGGGGAAAGAGAGACAGACAGGGTGAGAGAGGGATGGTTTAAAACCTTAACAGACCTTTGCCTTCACATGTCATCACATCCAAGTGTCATGATTCACTGCTGCAGACCGTAAACGTGTCTTGGATTTGTTAAGTTGGGAATCCCTGTGACTTCATAAAAAAACATAAAAAACAGGGTGAACCGGGTGCTGATGTTCTGGCACATGTGAGATCCAGGTTCATCAGGTTGTATACCGGAGTTTATCTGTGATGTGTGCATTTCAAAGTCTTAACTCTCTGACCTTACAGATGACTTCTATCTGCCAGCGATGAGACGTGACCACAGACTTCAAAGGCACAAAATAAATCTGCAGCGGAGTAACACATGGACCATACAGATGATTTCAGTATGTACAGCATGGCTTAAGCTATTCGGCACAATTTTTACAGCATTCCTGATTAAACACACAGTTTAGACCCTGTTTAGCACAAATACTCTGGTGTGGTCAATAACAAGCCAAGAGTTAAAACTTTGAGCAAGAGGAGGTGTTTTGCTTCGCATTCACAGAGACTACCCAGAGCCTGAATAGGGAGAGGGGCCCATAAAAATCCCCTCGTGCACTGGCATGGATAGGGGCCCACTGACATCGAGAGTGCACCTGCATCTCTACTCTTTTAGCAGCTCAGTTATCTGCGTCCTTCCTATAGTTTCTTTCTGCCTTTCTGTGTCCGATCTTCAGAAAAACTCATCAGCATCAGGTGAGCTTGTATGCGGATGATCACCTTTTATGATAACAATCCAAAACTTAGAGCAACAACAACCAGCTGCTCTAAACTTTTTTAACAGCTGTACGATAAGGTTTAGACGAGGCATAGATTTTGGTCACTAGCGGGTCTCATTTATTATGTAACATGGAGCTTTTGGTAACACTTTACTTGATGCCTCTCTCTATTATGCATCATAAATATATGTATAATGTGTTATAATCACATTATAGCACTGTATAACGTTAGTTATAAACACTGATAAATGATCATAATGCTTTATAGCAATAATCATAACAGATTATAAAGCATTTTATCATGACTTGTAAGTTCAGGTTTTACAATGTGTTATGCTTATTGCTACAAAGCCTTATGATAATTAATGAGTGTTTATAATGATAGTTTCACAAGTTTATAAGAAAATTATAACACATCATATAGCTATACAGTGCTATAACATGATTATAACGCATTATACATATATTTATAAAACGTTATAGAGATAGGTGTCAAGTATAGTGTCACCAAGCTTTTTGTCCTTAAAGGCCACTGTAGCTTAGCCTATGGGCAGGGTGAACAAGGGAGTACTTCAATCGAGAATATGACCATTAGAAATGTGATAAAAAGTTTGTTTAGTATAATGCTGGCCATTAAGATTTGCAGCTAGATAAGTAAAAACTTCAGTCTGCACCCGCTGCTGAAGAAAAAGTTAAAAGATCATCAAAGGCAGATAACAGTTGTGCTTCTTTAGTCTTGAACCAAAGCAGACAGATCAATGTGGTTATCCACTGATCTAGCTTAATTTTAGAGATGAAAACAGCAGACATGCAAAGAGAGATAAAGACCAGAGAGCGATAAGGACCACTGTTTTCATTCACTGTGAAGTATCTTAAACATCCCTTGCAGGTTGGTTTTATTATTGTGCGTAAAATCTGGAGCTCAGGCAGCTGAAAGTTCATATGACGTAGAGTAAGCTTCATTTAATGCTTGGCAGATGAAAAGGAGACCACCAGAAGAGAAGAAAGAAAATATAGAGTATCAATAATACAAAAAAAGGCTCTATTTAAATGACCTTAGGCGCCTGGTCTGTAACGCTTGGTCTGATGGTAAAGCCTCTGAAACAAATCCTCTCAGCATGACGGAAACAAAATCACAGACTGTAACATACATTTGCACATGACACACAACTTCAATAACTTGAAAAAACTGTATCTATAATTGTATGTATAAATAATTATTGGTCTACAACTCCGGACATAATCTGACGATACTGCTGTCTGTATGTTTAAAACCAAAGACAGACAAGCTGTTACTTTCTTATTTTGCTGCTGGATCACATGGTCTGTATTTTGTAATGGATCATTAATATCATGGGCAACACTGTCTGTGGAGGGATAAAGTTACTTTTTAGTGGTTGTAAAACATACAGTTGTGTCTGTGTCTGTTTTTTGCATTGATTTGAGACACAAAGAAGTGAGTGCCCATGATTGAGAGCTTGATGTAGTTTCAGGCCTGAAGTGAAGCTCTGATTCAGTTTTGGTGGCAGATACAATACGAAGCAGTGAAAACATGGATTTAGAATGTTTAATGGTCCTTCACAAGCACTTCAGTCTCATATTTCATTGAGGCATGTGTTTGTTAGAGTTTTAAATACCATTGAGCTTGTTATTGTTTTGTTAAATAAGTTGCTTATGAAAATAACTTCTTTCATTCACAAAGCTAACACTGGTAAGGAGTGGTGGCAGCGCTCTTATCTTCTCATATCAGCCTCATACAGAGAGGAGTATTATGGGGTAAGTAGGTGGAGGAAAAATTGTGAATTATGTTGGTTATCAAGTTGGTTTCTCGTAGAAGCAAGTCTTAGTTTCTGAGCATTGATAGCAGTTGTCTCGAATCTAAAATACCTCATACTACCTTGTTTTTAGCATATGCCAGATTTTTATTGAGTGCTACATATGTGCTGTTTGTGGTTGTACTAACAACCGGACCAAGTAGAATTTATGGCTTGACGAGCATCCAAAACAAAGAGGGAGTGTTCCCGTGACCCTTACAACTATGTCCACAAACTAACAGACGAAAACAAAACAAAAAGATTGTGACAACAAGGAAATGTTCTTCCTCAGAACTGTTTGGTCCAAAAACACCTGATGCTGATGGGAAACCATCCATTTCACCGTCTATAAATAAAGATGATGGTAGAGTGTTGATGTTACTTAAAGGTCAACAGCACAACAAAATCATTAAACCTGATCAGTTTAGTCTGGATTCAAGATGTTTTGACTGACTCATTAAGTTTTATCATTCCTGAGAAGTCAGGAAACACAAACTCATTCAGTCGATGCTTCAGCCAAACCCAACAGCCATACTGCTGTTTATGTCTGGCTCAACAAGTGCAACCAGATGATGGTGCTTTAGTTGACTTCTGCATGATCAAATAATCCTTTAGTCAATCATAATGTTTAGACAGGCCAAGGATCCAGGCCAGGAACACCAGGAAGTCCTTACACTCTGTATCAGGCTTTTGGCGTCTTTAACAAACAGATCTCTTCAACTGTCCAACCTTTTCAACCATTTATCCAACTATTTATCTTCCTCTCATTGAGTTTAGTTGTAAAAGTTTCAATAATTGGCAATGCCTGATCCTGTTCTCACAGCATTAGTGATGCTGTTGGCCCATAATCTGCTGATGTCAAAGAATCTCCAAAACGGAAATAACAAAGACGATCATGTGCTCTCTCTCTCTCTCTGTCCTTAGATCACATGTTCCACTCAAATCTGCCGGGCAGCCTCACATGCCTGGCAGCCCCAGCTGGCACTAGGAGGTGATACTTTGAAAAAGCCCAGACATACCAAGAAATCTGTGTGTTCATCAGAACTCATATGTTTACCAGCTGACCTCAAGAGTATCTGGAGGATGAAAGTGACCCAGTCTAGCTTTAACAACACAAACAGTTTAAACCCCAAAACAAAGTTTGCCAGCAGAGCTTTTGTGCTGCTGTTTTCTTTTCTTTCACACGTTCTCTCTATGTCATAAGTTTTTGCAGACAAAGATAAAACCGGCAACTCTTATCAAATCCAAGAATATCTGAGCTTATTAAAGGAAATTCCCGACAGAGCTGGACTGAATTCACAGCAGTATGCTTCTTATTCACATGTGGGATATGAGTTTCCTATTAGAAACAGGTGCAGATCTGAATCTGCAGGGGCCCATGTGTGGCTTGTTTTGTCTATGCACTTAAAATATTTTCAACCTATACACTTGTTTATATTCTACTTCATGCATTTTAAGTGTCTTTTTGGAGTTGTGAAAAAACCTCCCTAACTTTGAGAACCTAAATGTATGGAGGAAGATTGCATTAACACCAATTTTCTAATTAAGCTCATGTTAAAATTTCACAGTTGGGAAACATGTAAGATTATTTCACCGAGGGTCAATAAAGAAAGAGGATAAACTTTTGTAATAATTATAAATGTTTAAAGATCTATGGTTGTATCATGAATCATCATTGAATACAATCTCATGAAGGCTCACCTGACCCAAACTCACATGGTAAATAGCAGGAATCATTTAAGCCATACTGGATTTAGTCCATTTAATTCTCAGAATATCTAATGACATCAACACTGCTGCTTAATACTCTTTTTTCTTCTTCTCTGAAAAGGCTTACAGATACCAGTCAGGAAGGTTTTCTTGCAGCCACATGCATCACGCATTAAGAACTGAGCTTCACTTCAGCTCCTACCTTGTTTGGTCGTCTTGACTCCCGCTTTGATGCAGCAGTAGAGAAGACCGACGACGAGCATCCTGCAGGGCAGCATGGTGGTCTGAGCACGCTCACAATGACAGCTGCATGTGAGCAGCTCTGCACAGAGGTCTCAAGATCTTCCAACACTCTCTCCCTTTTTGCATTCCTCTTCTTCTCTTTACTGAGTATCTGCTGCAGCCTGCATTGCTCTCTGCACCCTCCTCATCACTCCTGTTCTTCCTCTCTCTCTCTCTCTCTCTCTCTCCCTAACCCTCTCTCTTTATTTTTTTCACTCTCTGTTCCTTAAACACTCCTGTAAAGCTCTCATATGGTTGCTGTCATGTTCACTGCTTTCATTTTTAAATCTCACTGCTCTCACCTGGTACAAGTACATGAACCTGATAATACATTTTGTGACTGAAAAGTTGTCTCTTTAAAGTTAAATGATTTTATACAGTATCTCTTTGGCTGTATTGATTGGTAAAATCAAACTGTTAAATGGATTAAATGGATGTAAATGTAAGGTTTAGGTAGCAAAGCACCACATCATACATCAGCTGTCTTTAGTATCTGCTCAGTCTTTGATATAAACTTGTCATTGAAATAATATATTTAACATTCATGTAAACAAGGCTCACACAGCGAGAAAATAAACACATCTTAAAGACCCACTCTGATAAAAATCCTGTTTTTCTTGTTGTCTATCTGTCATTTTCTGATGCTACAGGGCATATAATGAGAAACTGGGGTGCAAAATCGCATTTCTGAGTATTTCTGCATTCAAATCGCTGTGAACCTCTGCCAGACCCAAATGGCAAATGGCTCAGACACAGTAAGATTTCCTAGTCACAAATCCAAGCTCCGCCTCAGCGCCCTGCTCTGCAGGCCAGACACCGCTCCTGTATTACCTGCCAATTCTTCTACATTGGCAATGTTAGGTTGCAAGCTAGCGTGAAGGGGAGTGTTCAGAGCAGCGCTGTCTCCGTCCGCGACTCAAAGGCGAATTACGAATGAGCTACTGGAGCTCTGCTGAAGAAAAAACTTTGAAGATGACACAGGTAACGTGATTTTGGCTAAAACTTCATAATGACAATTTAAAGAGTGGGACTTTAAACACACTTTGGCCCCAAGAGTCAGGGTCACCTTATAATCGGGTCAGTATGGTACCCGTTGATGTTTTGACCTGCTGTTATCAGTGGGTGGTTTGTTAAAATACATTCAAGTAATTTTGTTGGGAAAATGTTTGTAGATGAGTGAAAAAGACAAATAAAGACAGTTTGAAAGGCAATTTTTTTTATTTATCAGATCATGAATTGATTTGAATCCTATCCTGAGCTACAGTACATGTGCAGTTTTAAGTTCGCTGTCAGCTGAAAGCATGTGCTCACAAATTCAGACTGAAAATGCTTTCTTTAGAAAATATCAACACTTTTATTTGGGTACTGCCCACTGCCCTGTTTCAGATTCATAGCCACCCACTCACGATAAATCGTCCTTTAACGATCTGCTGGTACAGCTTTTACTGTTCGTTAGCTAACAGAAAGAACAGTTTTAATACTGTGTTGGAGCCGTGTTTGTGCAGCTCTGAAGTTAAAGTCAGCTCTGTTTTATAGCAGTGCAGCTTCTCTGCAGGTTGGAGAGTCTGTAATGGTGCTGAAGGATGACCTCCGGCAGTTAGCACAGTTTATGCTCCTCATGGGGATAAATGTGGAAAGTTCACACTCCGTGAACATGAATCTGGTTATTTCTGATTGTAAAACACACACAAAAACACACCCTAAAAGTTGGAGGAACACGTATGCATAAACACAAAGACAGACTTTGTTCCCTGTTTGGCACACTTCCCTTCATCCACGCCTGAGGATTTGTTACCTCAAGTGCAAACATGTAAAACATATTTTATTGTAGTTTCATTAATTTGCTTTTTTTAAGCGTGTGCACGGTGATGCCAAAGACATTAGTGCAGCACATTTATGTTTTCTGGGTTTACTTTTGAACACGTGGCTGTCAGAGGCTTCTCAAAGTGAAAATCTGTATCTGAGACTGAGATGTGGCAGTCAGCAAGCTGCAGAGGAATGCAGAAGAAGAATGAGCTCAAACTGGCAGCAGAAAACCTAAGCCTCCGTGAAACCTCCAAGAAATGCAGCTCGAGAACTGAGAGAAACATTTGATTCGCTCAGACAAAAGAAATGAAAATATTATTCCAGGCTGGACCCCAAATCATTTCCTTTAAAACTAGTGAGAATGGAGTCAGAGGAAGGCTATGGTTTGTTTCATTAGATAGGAAAATAGATGAGAGTAGACATCGGAGCAGGCATGATGGGTAAATCTGATGAATAAGATGTGATGTATCTTATTAGTCTTTTTCCTTTTTTGAAAAAAACAAACCAGGCAGTTTTTAGGAAGGTTAACATTTGAAGGAGGACATGCCTGTGGTCTGACAGAGTTACATAACAGAAATGTGTCCACAAAGTTGTGACTCACATCCTGCTGAAAGTTTGACTCGATTTATCATTGTGGTGATAAATAAATGTCTGACATCTTGATTTATAACTCACTAGAAAGAGACTGCGATTTCACTGAGATATTTAGTGATACATATGCTGGGTTAAATTAACTTTGTGAACTTTAACTGAACCTTTTTCACTTTCTGTGACCACAGCAACACGATAAAGGAAGGTATACAGTAACTATGATTAAACTCAGGTGAGAGTAACTTTGCAGATTTACATGCAGAATCTTTTATGATTAATCACACTGCAAATGAATAAAGAGAAAAATCATTATTCACAGCAAAATGTCCAGAGTTGATTTAACCTTTAACCTGTTGATTTTAACCCTTTTTCAGGGTTTATAGATGGGCTTCTGTGCAATGTCATTGCAGGTATGCATGCGCAGCCAGGTGGCAGAAAGTGGGACATTTCTTTTTTGTTTACTAGTTGAGTCAAGAAAGAAAATGACAAGGAGCTGTTGTGCTGTAAACTGCACGAATCGGCAAAACAAACACTCTACTGCTTTGACTTCTACTTCTTCTATTCGAAAACTACTTCTAATGCTTACATGACAGCTAATATCACTACTACAACTACCTATTATCATACTACTTCTGGTAGTACAACTTAAACTTATGCCACTTCTCACTTTTCTGTGTTTTAAGGTAATTTTCTTCCTTATCCAAAACGCAAATTAATTTATGAAGCAGATTCCTACTGTTTGGACTTAAACATTTTTAACTTTCATCCAACTACTTCTTCTTCTTCCTCACGCTTTTAACCAATTTTACATTTTAAACCTTCTTCCATTTTTTATTAGCAGTTTTGCATTGCTTTTTCAGCTTTCAGCACTTAGCATTTCCACGCATTTTCTGCAAGGAAATGCAATTTATTCTAGCAATAATTTCAATGCAACCATACAAATAATACCAATGAATGACTGATGAATGATGTTCAGGGTACCACATATGGATTATAATCTCAAAATGTAACACAATGAGAATGCTCAGTGCACATTGCACAGCAAGAGGCACATGACGGTAGCGGAGCTTTGACATTTTGGCAGTAAGAATCATAGGCCTACATCAGCAGCAGCACTCAAATGTTTTTTTTATTTTACTTTATATATTTGATCATACAGAAAGCATCACTCATACATGTAAAAAATAAAAAATTTGATTTTTTTTCTTTGATTACTCTTGGGGGCCCCCTACTGGCCATGAGGCCCTAAGCAGAGGCTTAGTTCGCTTATGCCTTGGGCCAGCACTGCTCTCTGTCACCTTTGTACAGTTGAAATACTTTGTACTTTCTTGCTGTCAACAATTATTTGTAAATGTTTTAGTTTTCTCTGACTGAACTTACAGTTTGATTCCACAGGATGAATAAACTCTGCTCTTTGTACTATACGGGACGTGGTTTGTATATAAAACTGTGTGAAACTTTGTTAACCTCTGACCTGCCTGAGCTGTGGGATGATATGATGAGCAGGTTGTGTGTGTTGTGGCTCTGCAGCCGACGCTGTCCTCTCTGTCTGACCTCCCTCTCCTCTCGGGCAGGATCAGAGTAAACATGAAGAAACATGGATGAACTCCCACGCCTGTTCTGTCTTTATTTTATCGTTTCTTTTTTTTCAATCTTTTATTTCTAAATGTGATGTGGTTGTTTCACAGTGAGAACAATATATCAAATAAAGAGATTTTCTTTTCTCCATTAAACTGATCTGACTATTTTGTGCGTGAAATATGAAATATGACTTCAGCAGTTTGGTTTTTAGTACAATGTTCTTTCTTTTTTGTGACAGAAAGTGATAAAGTAACAAAAAAATTGCCCTGTTCTCTGAGTTTAAATGTCTGTATGATATTTAATGATTTCAAAGCTGTTTTATCATCAGTAGGTTGTTTGTATCAGCCTCCAGCAGGTTTTATCTAACTCAGTTTTTTGTTGAAACCGAAAAATTTGTCTTTTACAACAAACAAAAGTAACAAAAAATAGTATCTATTCTATGCCTTTAATTCTAGGCAGAAACACTCTGTACGGAGCGTTTTAAGGCTGAGTTTTCTTCCTACAATGCTGAGTCAATCCATTAGCTGGAGTAGATCTGTTTTGACTTGATGTGCCAGGTGACCAATCAGGTGTTAGGATCTTCCCACTGACTTCGATGGGTGAGTTTAACAGATAAAATAAGTTCATGAAGCAAAGGAACACAGGTCCATGAAATAGGCTAATTGATTAAATAGTAAAATAAGTAAATATGTTTTTACACTGAATAAACTGTTATTTTAATAAATTAATCACACATTTAATGGCACATAAATGTTGCCTATTAAATTCCCATTTTCAATAATTAATGACATATGTAAGTTAGTGCTGGACAATAATTCGATAACAATATATATCGATCGATAGACGTGTGGTGCGATAGAAAAAAAACGGGTCGATAAAAAGTTCGATAGAAAAACACAGTTTCCCTTTCTTTTTCATCATAGCCTATCATGTAGCTTTTACTACAGTCATTACTTCCTCCCAACCAATCACAAACGCAGACCCAGGTACGCTACGGCACCAAGTCCAGCCCCTCTCCAACCACAACAGACAGCACGTGTATTAGAAAAAATGTTACAGCAAGGAGAAGCGGAGGAAATTGTCCCGAAAAAGGTCTCAGTAGTTCTCCAGCATGGCAATGTTTTGGTTTTCAGAAGTCTGACAAAAAGCGAACAGCGGTCGTTTGCAAAATTTGCAGAGAATTAGTAAAAACCAAGTCTGGTAACA